GTTGCAAGCTGGTCGCGCATAGGGCAAGTGCGCGAGGGACTCGGATCGGCAAAACAAAAAGCCGAGCAACACGAGTAGAGCAGAAAAAGGATCGAGAAATGAAGACCATCAATACAATCAATCAATCATCCCATACATCATATCCAAACCCATCATTCATCCAAGGAAGCCCAGAAACAGTGCTTCAATCTGACAAAGGCTTGGCAGTGATTTGTCTCTTACAATACCCTCCTATTTCTCTAAGACCTTGCTCTCAGTGCCATCTATGCTACCTACTATCCCATATTTACATATAGGCTCCTCGGCCTCCATACCTCTGCCTCTGACACTAAGGTTTACTCTCTCTCTCTTTACGCTCTTTATCCTGTATTCTTTCTCTGTGCCTCGTGCTTTTTGCTTAATACCTCTCACACTCATACTATTTTAGCAGAAGGGAAAATCCAGTAGGCACCGCTAGAAAATGCCCCGATTTTTGCCCCGATTTTTGCATATAATAGATACTAAGGTACAATTTTCTTGATTTTTGATGGTTTTTTGGGGTGCGCTGGGAACAAGTGGAACAAGTGATGGAGCACTCTGTGTGCTTAGATGAATCCAAGGCACTTTAATTTCTGAGCAACTCAGAACCTGCAAAGATGTCAAAATTTTCATACCACTATACAAGTCGCGCTCTGTATCTATTCCATAACATTTCAGAGACTTCGTACTTATAATTTAAGAACCAAGACGTTTTGTCGCCTGATTTCCTCAAAGTGCGCCTTCATGCTACAACGATATTTCTCCACCACAATGCCGTTATTACTGTTCTATCGCTTTTGAAATCGACAAAAGGTATTTGTTCAGACCATTAAATCCCACCATGATGTAGCAAAACTATCGTCTACATTGTACGCGGTGAAGAAGGGAATTCCCCCACGCAGGTTGGTACCCCAATTCTGACGCATTTAGCAGTTTGTCGCATTACGCTAGAATGAAAGAAGTGCTTTGAGGTAAATTATAGTTTTATTAGGTGTAAGAGAGTCAGCGGCCTTGGCAGCCGAACTTTCTCTTGGTCAATGCACATTGCCCTATAGGTGCATGAGTACATGGAGGAACGAACGACCTTACTGACCCACAACCTAGTGAATCCAGCGCTTACAGAATCGGCTTCTCTTCACAGCGTGCCGTGAGGATTTCTCCGCGCCACTCTTGACAGCCGCCTTACCAAACTATTCTGAGCGTCAAACAAAGGGTGGTATCTGGGACTTTATCGAGCGTCGATCCCATGAGCTGCTGTATATGTGGCTCCACCTTCACATAATCCACACTTCACACTCCTAAACTTGTACAATTCGAAACATCCACAAGGATATGACCAGTGCGGGTCGACTGCACTCCCTACAACGACACGTTATAGGAGAGTCAAACCACATCATCATTTAGCTCGCATACATAGCTAGAGCGACCTCTACGGATCCGTATAACTTAGTAAATACCACGTAAGAGCTTGGACAATCTTGCAAATCCCCCGCCCCTCTTCTCCACAATCTCCATAAACTGCTCCTTAGTAGATCCGCCTACGCATCCGGGAAAGATGTCTGCTCTTCCCTCGTTCAATCCAGCATACGCCTGATCCACGAAGTCTTTCAGAGGCATCCCGAAACTTCTTCCCGACTCCTGCCCCATTTCACTGTCATGCAGCTCGGTCTGGATAGGCCCAGGACTAATGTGCATGACCCGCACGTTCGTGTCTCTCAATTGCTCTCGCAGGCACATGATGAATGCATCAAGAGCTGCCTTGGATGCGGAATAGGCAGGCAAAATGAAAGCAGGAACTAGGCTGATCGGTGTGCCAGTAAAGATCAAACTTGAGTGCTCATTGGAAGCGAGAAGAGGCGGAAGCAGAGCGTGAGCTAAAGCGACGAAGGAGGTGAAATTAACGGTTATCTCACGATTGAAGACTTCTAGATCAACTGAGTCGGGCTTCGAGAAGTCAAAGCGATGATGAGTTCCAGCGTTGAGAAAGACGCAATCGATTGAAGGATAAGTCTTCATGGTACTAAGTTCATTAGCTGAGGATTCTGGGAGAGTGATTTGGGCAGGATTTCTTACATCTCAACAAATGTTGGAATCTTGTCCAAGTCACCAATGTCGAAAGCGAAGCTGGATGCCTTGTCGCTGCCGTGGCTCGATACAAAATCGTCAAGGCGTTCTTGTCGTCGACCCACTGCAGTAACTTTCACCCCTTCATCGATAAAGCGGTCGGCCATGGCTTTGCCAATACCGGACGTGGCGCCGATGAGGAGTACGTGTTTATAAGGGAAAGGCATGTTTGATATTTGTTCGAGAGGTATTGCAGCGCAAATATATCAGTATGAACAGGCTAACTGTCCTGCTTATTGTCATTATCGTAATACTTTAGGTCTCTTTATATGTCACGAAAACGAGTCGTTTCGACTCTTCTCTACTTATGAAATTGGAATGGACGAAGTATGTAACGATACGTATTCCTAATATGGTCGTAGGCAATGGCGGGAAGTCATAAAATTTTAATTTAAAGTCCGCAAGGTCCGACGATTCGCAAAATATACCTGCGCTAGATACATCTTTGGTCGAAAGAACAAATCAAATTCGCAATAGCTGTAGGAAGGATAAATTGACGGAGTTTAGGATCGAAATGCTTGCCCCATCCAGACTAGCGTCAGGCATTCTTCCCGAGCTGAGTTATCTCAGCTAGCTCAGCCGAGGTGATGAGAAGACGCACAAACCACCATGCATAGTGCTACTCCAAACAGAGTATAGCCTAGGGGCTAGCGGTTTCTGACCCCTGTAACTAGCGTTTCTCTCATCAGCCGTCTGAGGGACTTTGGTGATTTTCCTTATGAATCAGCCTATCCAGCTTGACAACCAGCAGCCTAAATCTTCTAAAATTTTGCAGGCTCCCTGACAGAGCCTGTCTTAGATAGGTGTCTTAGATAGGTCTTAAATTCTAATGATAATATATCGTGTAGTTAGGGAGTTGCATTGAGGTGTAGTTGTAGGACTTGGTGACGCAATACTTTGCTGAATCTTGTTAGAAACAGGTTACAAAAATGTTAGAATATAGCTAGAGACTGTCTCTATTACCTATCAAAATCTGACCTGGTTCGGACGTATAGTGGTAGAGCTACAATAATTATTAGTCGAGCTGGTGCATAGTGGAGGAGGTTTGTAATCACATATCACCTAAAAAATCATAAAAGTCCCTCAGACGGCTGGACAGAGAAAGCGCTTTTGAGCCCCTGGTTGGCTGGCCTTCTCAGTCGAGGAGCTAGTAGGGGTCCCCTCCTAGTCGCAGGGTCCACAGGGGCTCCGAGCTTCTCTGGACAGTCCGCTGAGCACCTGAGATAAGAGCTAAGATCTGACGTTTAATGCACATTTCCATCACTACAGCCCTTCCTCTACTTCACCGTATCCAGTAATTATCTACATCACCATTAAGCAAATTGAGCCCATACTATGCTGGGTCCGTCCATTGGCATACATATCCACCGAGGTAGACTCTCAAAAGCCTGCAAGAGGTGCAGGGATAGGAGGCTACGGGTATACCTCATCAAGACTCCGCATGATTGTGCATCAAAGTTGACGAATTTGGTAGTGCGATCTCCAGCGGCCAAGCTGTAGCTCATGTATACGCGCCAACACACCGTGTACAGGTTATCGAGACACGGAAACGGTTCGCATCAATGACCAGACCGAATCTGTGCGGTCCAAAGCATTAGCTCCGAAGAACGAGACCAATGCAAAGCAGCCTGGAGCACCTTCGAAGTTTACGCACTTTCCACAAGACCTCCAAGTCCTGGGACGGAGCATGTTCTTCTCCTACTATGTCGCAGACTTTAGCCGAACGTGGGACTTCTTGTACGCATACCAAGACCCGCAGGTTGTACCCGAGCATCTGACACTGGGCATCGACGCCGTCAGCCTAGCCTTTCTCTCACATCAAGTCTCTTCTCAAGCAGCAAGAGACCTAGCCAGGAGAAAGTATAGCGCCGCATTGAAAAGGTTTAATAGAGCATTGCAGGATCCAGAAACTGCTCGCAAACCATCCACATTCGAGAGTGCGCTCTTATTCGACCTCTTTGAAAAGATCATGAAGTCAGATGCTGATGTGGATGTATCGAATTATGCGCATGTCGAAGGAGCGCTTGCCCTAGTTAAGCTACGAGGCATCGAGCAGTTCCGCGAAGGAACGGAACTGAGAGCTTTGTTGGGTCTCGCGTTGAGCGCGACGATATATGCCCTGAGCACCGGCAATCCGATTCCCGAGGTCGTTCGAGGAATCAGGAGACATGCTGCGCAATTTGTTGATACGTCATACCCCAAGTGGAGACTAAGCGACGTTATACTAGAAGTCACCGATACAGAGGTTGAGATGCTATTCTCTCGCTCAGCGTCATCGTCCCTTTGCGCAAAGAATATAGAGCTCGACAGAAAGTTAGAGGAGGTAGCACTAGAAGCAGGTCCAGCATGGACGTACGAACGGAAATTTATCTCTGGACATGACCCAAGGAGGATTGTTCCAGACGGATTCTTCCCCCTTTACGACGTGTATCCCAACCGAATGGTTACGCAGATGTGGAATGTTCTGCGCTTAACTCGGATCCTGCTCTGCGAGCAAGTTGTAGATAGCTTATCGTCTGTGGAAGATGAAGACGCCGAGCATATAATTGAACGCGCAAAGCTCACGATCACATCTATGATCCGCGAGATTCTCGCCTCCGTCCCGCAAATGACGAATTGCGACTTCGCTGCTCGACATAAATTGCCCAAGGACTCTCTGCCAGGTCGTCATACACATACCATGTCGCACTTTCTCGACGTCTACATCCTCATCTACGCTCTATACATTGTAGCATGGTCTCGTAACTGTCCTCCAGTAGCCCGGGACTGGACCATGAGCCAGCTCAATCACATATCCGAGCACTTCGGGATCAAAGAAGCTTCCATTGTCGTCGGCATCCTGCGCCAGCAAAAAACGCAGAGGGATCCAGTTAATTTATGGTACGTGTACGCCCTTCTTGTATACTTTGACCTATGCAGTGTAGTTAGCACGTAATGCTGAGGGTACGCAGTGTGGCAGGCTCATCATCATGTGTTTTATCTCGGTTTTCCGTAAGAATCAATGCTAACTTCGGTGTAGGATGGATGAACCACGGTTAGTTTACCAGATTCTTGGCACCACGTAGGAGCAATGAACTCACAAACATCTAGGGAACTGCGCCCTTGGAACGAAGTAGGAACGGTGCATTCTCAACCATGCGAGGAAGTTCGTGCAGACCCATGGCTTGTCTATAGACTTCTTGGAAGTTATGCTTTTGCTGCCACGTAAATAAGTCTTCTGAGAGGAGAGTGGAACACATTATCAAAGTACTAAATTACGTCATACTGAAATTGGCTCCAATACCATTGGAATGTGCGAAGACAGACTAAGAAACCCCTTAGCCGTGAGGAACCGTGCGCTGAGAAAAATCGAACGCACAAACCGGAAACCGCACTATGCTGCCGGCTCGCTCAAATCGATATTCATCTCTGCAGGCAGCAGCGAAAACTTACGCGTCCATGCCACCCTGCCACTAAAACCCCTCGGACATGTTGACGGAAATCACGGATTTACGATATCGGATGGTGCGCGGACGTCGGGAAGTGCCCAAACACCGTCCGCCGACCAAATGCATCCGCACTGTCCCAGGCTGAGACGGACATGAGGGATTTGGCGTCTGGACTGTGTAGTTCGCAAATGAGGCTTATATAGATAACGCTGGCTGTTCTGTTTCCTCGATGGTATCCGATGACCTGGTTCGCGCCTTTTGGAGTTCCTAGATTTGAAAAATAGACGAAGAAACTGTACTGTTAAGACTAGTCGATGACAAGGCGGAAAGACAAGGACTCGAACACACCTGCGAAGATGTCGACAACATACCTTACTATTCACGATCTCCTTCGCATAACATGGATGTATGAAGCTCGCTGCGCGGAGGCGAGGAGTCGTTCAAACTCGGAGAGTTCAGTTTGTTCGGTACGTTCGCTTTGCCTCATCCAATTATCTCCGAAGGGCATTCTACTTCACGGTGTTTTTTAACGATACCTCCTATTGAATGGCACTGACGTCTCCTAGAACCCAGATGGGTGCCAACATGTTGCGCTTGCTCCCCCTTCATACGGCGATGGAAAGGATTTCACTGCCTTGGAAACAGACTTCACACCGGTATACTCGCGGAAACACCAAGCAGCTCCAACTTAAATTAACTGCCAGCCTCAAATCTGTCACTAGTCATTGGAACCCGATTCAGATGCTGTGTTCCAACCTTGATCGACACTCACCTCCATTCTTCATTCCATGGAAAATAATGCTTCAACTCCACTCTATGATAAGAGACGACGAGGCGATGAGACCGTTCGGTATACGGATGCAACCGCTTTCTTGTCCTGAGAAAGATGCTCAGGGTTGGCCGCGATTCGGAGTTGAACACTCTATTAAGTTAAGGCGAAGCAGAAGCAAGGGAAGGAAGTTGTATCAGTCTCTGGTCCATGAACACTCAGATGTGGTGGGTCAGAATTAGGGCCAAGTGAAACGATGAGGCGTTACTGGGAATGTGGCAGTGCAGAGCACTACATCATTCATTGCTTGATTAGGAAAATCTTCAAATTTGGCTGACAACATGTTATGAGATTCTTGATTCGCTCGTTTGAATGCTTACTAGGATCCCCAGTGTGAATCTCGTCTGACCGAGAACTATTTCCCCGACTCCGCCTCAGCCCTACCGCCAATCATCCCACGCGGTCACAACTACATCGATAAGGGGAGGGAGGAGATGTATCACTTCACGAGTATAAAATTTTACAGGAAGCTCATGTTAACATTTGCTACTGGCAAAACGCGCCTCTCTAGTTCTTCAAAGAAAAATGCTTTCAGATAATATTGACATTCAGGCCCAAGCCTACGTGCTTTCTAGATACGAAAGATATATGCGAAACTTTTTCTCCTAAAATAAATCGCGCCAGGGCATGGCATCCGTCTTGGCGGCTGGCGCCATCCCTCCCTCCGCCTGCTCAACAGTAGCTTGTCATAGCATGCTTAATGTTTATTTTTACCTCCAACGAGACTTTGCGGTATATATTTTGTGCCTCTGGGTGTGGTGGCGTATGGACACGGGAGCTGCGAAACCCCCCCCTCCCCAGCATATCGCTTACGCACGTTAGAAATGATAGTGTCTTCCACAATACATTTATCGGGCTTGAGGAAACCTCGTTTGAAATCCGAATTCGATTTGAGCTTTCACGACAGGCATCTCCATGAACGCAATGACTAGCGGCGAAATTTACGAATTGCAGCAATCGACTCCCCTGTTATCCGACCCAACACATTCAGCACCAGAACGCATTGATCAGGCAACTCCCCTTCTATCCAAATCAATACATTTAGCACCAAAACCAGAGCACCGTAACCAAGTTGACAGCAAAATTCGCATCACAGATGAAAATGTCAACGACTCAAGCACTACCACCTCGCCCAATCTTTCAAAACCGCAAGCCAACAAACCCCTTAACATCCCCCATCCGAAAATGTGGAATCCAATATGGTTCCACAAAACCGTGCTTATATCTCTAGCATCCCTCCTCGCAGCGCTGCTCGTCGGACTCGGTCTCCTGTGTTATTTCTCCCACGCGCACCATGGCTTCGATACGTATCTTCTGCAGAATGCGTATAGTTGGAAGTACGGACCAACGGCCTGTACGTATCTTCTTCAGAATTCCTAAATGGGACTGAAGACTAATCATCCAACACTGGCAGTGTTCATTATTCTTTCTAGTATGTGGATACAAGTCGACTTCTGGTCTAAAGTCCTTGTTCCATGGCAGGAAATGATCAAAAGCGATGCTTCAGCCGAGAAGAGCGTATTACTCGATTACGTTTCAAGTAACCTCGTCGTTTCTGGAAGAGACGCTTGGAAGAATGCACATTGGGTTGTGGTTGCAACGACTGTTGGCGCGGGATTGTTGGAACTCCTCGTAGGTTGATCTTCTCGAGATGCTCCAACGCTCTGGGATTGACATTTCATCTACACAGACGATTCTATCCACTGCGCTCCTCACTGTAGGACCGATTACGCTGACTAATAACAATTTCCCCATGTTGCAGACGACACGATTCGCGAGGGGTTCGCTAGATACAGCCTACAAATCGACACTAGCACTCGCAGCCTACAGTGGTATCCTTACGCAAGGTCTTCCACATCCGAATGGAAGTTTTGCAAATCTGGCTTATGAGACGATAGAGCCGGCGCAAGGGCTTCCGACGAGTAATGCAACTGTCACCGCAGACACCGTTGCCTTCTTCCCCGAGTTGAACTGCGAGGTCGCCAATGTTTCGTTACTTGGCCCTAGGTTTAATCTCAATTTCACAGACTCGAAATGCTCGTTTGAGTATCCGTATTCCCAAGATGTTAGATGCGACCCTACAGCGCGATCATGCGGTGAGAAGGAAGTGTCAGCGATATGGCAGCCACTTACGGGGCCTCGCTATAATGGGACAGTATGCGGCGATGGCCCCGACAACACTCGGATAATTTTCGCTGTCATTCAACAGGACTTTGGAAAGGGGTCCGATAAGAAGAACATCTCGGAGGTAGCAACGACAATGACGGGAGCCATCTGCCGCCCACGGTACTCCCTCCGACCAGCAAGCTTGACTTTCACGGGCTCCCTGGCGAACCCAAGAGCAATTCAAAGCGTCAAAGAAAATTATCACGGGGTGAAGACAAACGACACGATTTACGGCGTCAGCAACCTCAACCTCACAGGCGCTCTCTGGAAACTGTTCACTATGGGAACTTTCAATGTTCGCGATAACGACGCACCGAATTGGTACGACCTGAATACTTTCGACGAGGGAGGAATGTTTCGTCTGATGCGGGCCGTGAACAACGGGTCTAGTCTAAGCGCTTTTATGGACCCGGATACGCTTATTTCAACAGCGGAGACTTGTTATCAAGGGGTCACTTCGCAGCTCGCGAGACAATACCTACTCGTGGGTACCAATGGATATTCACCAGTGGCAACAGTGGAGTATGTTGAGAATCGCCTGCATCCTGTTATTCTCTCAGTGTGGCTAACAGGTGTGGGCCTTGTTCTATTAATTGGCCTTCTAGTGGTGGTGTTACTATTCCGTCCTCGGGATGTTGTGCCTTGCAATCCGACATCTATGGCTGGCATTTTGACCATCATGGCTTCAAGTAAGGAGTTTAATGCTACACTGAGCAAGAAGATTCACCCTGGGGAAATACCCCTCGAGTCCTGTTTTGGGGGAACACAGATCTTCACTAATATCGTCTCTATAGAAGATGAGCAATCTCCGGCTTTCCGCATCGAAATCTCTCCTAACTCTACAAGTCCCTTGCAGTCTAAAGCAGCTTCTAAAGGGGGGGGACCCTGGTGGAAGCCTTTGCCCATCCAAATCCCTTACTTTTCTTTCGCCACTCTCCTCCCCGTTACTCTCATCATCATTCTTGAAATCCTCCAGAGACTTTCGGACCAAAACAGCGGTTTCACGTCCATCAGTTCCCTCCGTACTGCTCAGGTGCTCGCCAACATCATACCCGCTGGTGTCATGGCACTGGTTCATACGATGATCAAGTCTATCTCCTACGATCTCCGCTTATTGGCACCATTCAAAACCATGCACAAATCAAACGCTCCGGCCCGTCGAAGTGTTCTTGTCCACCACCTCGGCGCGGGATCTGTTCCCGCGATATTTGAAGCGGTTCGAGCTCAAATTCCGACCGTAGTGCTCTCAGCAACAGCGTCGTTGTTAGCATCGGTGCTGACTATTGTTGTGTCCGCGCTATACTCCAGTGACACTGTATCGCAACAGATGGATATAACGCTCCAACGCCTCGACTCGTTCGATCTCAGCTGGGGGAACAACAACACCAACTTGACAAACGTGAGCCTCGCTTTCAATCTCATTGAACATTTCAACATGACAGATGCGCCATCGACGTACCAGGACCTGGTTTTTCCCCGGTTCCAGCTTTCAGACGAGCATGCCGGGGTCATCAACAACGCACAACAGTCAATCACAGCCACGGTCCCCGCATACCGAGCTTCTCTAAATTGCACCGCCGCTGCCCGCGAAAGCATTACTGCGAAAGTGAACCCCCCTCTTTCGGGCTGCTTGAGTAGCACGATGTTCGTGGAGCCAGACGTCAACGTTTATGCCAAAGTCCCGCTTCCATCCAAATGCCTTCAAAGCATGGAAAGGCAGAACCAGAATAACAGTAAATTCACTGCCGACGTCACAATGGGTTTTTGTTTCGGAGCCAATAGCACTGGATGGACACCCATGGGACGTATGGAGGATATAAACAACGATTCCGACGATTGTCCGAGTCTGGCATTTGCATTTGGAGTGTTTTTTGCTAACAAGACTGGTTTTACCAAACATATATCGACCGAGAATACCACGGTATTGGCGTGCAGTCAGGCGATTGAGCGAGTGGATACTATAACCACGTTCGTGGGGCCAGACCTTAGCATCGACCGCAGAAATCCTCCTGTACCAGATGAATTCAAGGCTGTATCGGTAGGCAATTTTCAATATGAGCTCGGACTCAACATCTCAATCAATTCATTTGACTTCCCCGGCCAAGACTCTGTTATGGAGAGGGAATTAGATAGGTTCCTCCAGGCCGTAATATTCGGCCCGGGGGGAATATCGTTGGATGAGCTTCGGGACACGGAAATAGCGACGAGAGGGATTCAGAAGACATATGGGCAGTATATGGCGGAGGCGTTAAACCGAGGAATGAGGCGGTCACCCAATACCACTGCTTCTAGCCCCGAGAATGAGAATGAGGAGCAGAACGAGGAGCAAACCAGCTTTACAGCCTCAACCCTCGCGCCGAGAGACCGCCTGAAACAGAATGCTACACCGAAACTTGTGCTACAGATTCTATTGGGTGTGATCTTGCTGCTAATCGCCGTGGCCTGGGTACTGGCTGGTGATCTACGGACCGTGTTACCGCATAGTCCGTGTTCGATTGCGGGAATGTTAGTTTTAATTGCCGGAAGTGAGGTTTTGGAGAGGGAAGTTGTTCCAAAGGGTGCTGAGTGGATGGGGGAAAATGTATGGAGGAAACAAGGCGTTTTTGAGGGATGGCTATTTAGTCTAGGATGGTGGGGGGGGAAAGAAGTGAAGGAAGTGAGGAAGAGGTATGGCATTAATGTTGGAAGGGCAGAAGGATAGATTTCTGGGGGCCGCGATCTTAAAGAGAAGAAGTATTACTGAATGGATCTTACTCCAGTTGTAAAAAATATTCTCGTCCAAATATACCACTAAATGAGATAGAGCCATCGGCTTGGTCAGAGAAAGAACGGAAGGAAGAAAGGTCCACGAGAAGATTCGGAGACCCAGGACCCGGGCTAAAAACCCTCCCTCGATTATATGTAGCTAGTAGAATTTAAAGGCAATTAGGCGTTGATGAGGCTTTGAGAAGAGTGTCGTCAGCAATGATGTACTTGATTTCGAGGGCTTGACCTTTTCTACTTTGCAAAGGTATACTGAGATAACAGAACACAACTTAGTCGGCTTGAAGAGAGGGATTGAATAAAATTATAGAGAATCGCATTCTGAACTGTAACTAAATTAAACATATTAGTGTAGTTTCTCACCCTTAGCTTACTAGATGGAAGGAATCCGCAAGAAAGGGAAAGAAATGCCATACTTGTGTTTACAAGCCTCATATACAAACCCAATACCTTAAACCCGAACTAGTAGCCAAAGCTGGCAAGCATCCCTAATCGTTTACCACAGAAAATCCCTCAGAACTCAGATTGCCCACGAACTTAGGGTAGATATGTTGGTCCGAATTCACCTGAAACGAGAAATAAGCGCCTGGAGGAACAAATTTCGGCTCATCTTCTTCCATCCGTCTTGTTCAGTACATAGAGACAACGTCCGCTTTCATGTTAGTGATGAGGTCTCGGAGGTTCTGTTATTTGAGTATTAAGGTCCGCACTCTCCCGTTTCGTAGCCAGGGTCCCGATCTAGGATTCTGCAGTCAGCACTACCCACTTCATCAGCTCAGATGGAGATATTCGCTCCGAGACTTTGGTCTCCATGCACATGGATTGCCACCTATCGAGCGGAACCACTTGTTTAGGCGTAAACCTAAAAGTGGCATCTAATTGTCAATAGGTAGATTAAGTAGACTTCAGTAGACTAAACCTTTGATGCCCCAATTGCACTTCACCCCTCTCCTAGGTAGTGCGTGAAGGATAAACTTCCACCGTACGTGGCGAGAACCCCACCGTGCCGAAACTACTTCCACTGACCAGCATCTCAAGTCTTCCTTCGAGACTCTATGAAGCTATAGTTCATGATGATTGTTCTTCGGCTATTTCTCTACGTGTTCCTAGATTGTAGCAGAAAAATACAGCAGTCTTAGTTATGCTCTCAATCGGTCTGGTCATAGCATGGAGAATCGTTTGAGCCGAATCCCCTGCTGTATTAAGGATATTGGAAAGGTTTTTAATTTCGGAGCTTTACCACGAAAGTTCCTCCAGGCAAGAATATCGTTTTTGGTTTGAAAATATTCAGCCATCGAAAACTATCATCAATTCTTCTCCTGGCAATGGAAGGCGTACACACCAAGACACAGCACTAATCATCGCTTATATTATCCTGTATTAAAAATGAAGCTAGTCGTATGGTATCATACACCGTATCCGAAGAAAATTAACTGTACCGTAGTTTCTTGAAGTGTCAATGGACGGCCAAGCAGACTGAGACTCCGCTTGCTGCGCCACGAGCTACTTCGTTCACTTCCACGGACTACGAGCTGGAGCGTTCGCGGCTGTTAAAGTCAGATTCTTAGCGCTAGATGACAGAATTGCGCTCAACATATGGCTTTGACTTTAGGGATAATATCTAAATAATTTTCCAGTTACTCGGACCACACACCACATAAAAGACAAGTTGATGTGGCACCTATAAGTTCAGCTGTGCTGCAGCCAAGCCGCAGCTGAGAAACTCCTCTAGATTTCAGCCTTGGGGAGGCTGAATCTGCAAATATTTCTACTTCCTTCTACTTCCTTCCTCCTTCTCATCATTCCCGCATTTCATTTCCTATAACACTGTCCAAATCTCTTGCTGCTTGCGAGATGTTGAGCGCTTGATATATCTCAAATAGGCTGAGGTTACACGACTTCGTCCGAAAACAATTGCGACCATATCTGAATTCGTCCTCTTCAAGACCTCGTCTCTTCGCCTGCCTCCATAGTGCCCTACCCGTGAGCATGTCGGACCCTAAGGACTACACCGTCGGCTGGATCTGCGCTATAGTTACGGAATACGTTGCTGCTCAAGCTTTCCTCGACGAAAGGCACGATGGACCAAAATATGTGCTCCCTCATGACAACAACGATTACACACTCGGCAACATTGGAAAACATAATGTCGTTATTGCTGTCTTGCCTGAAGGAGAATACGGTATTTCCTCGGCAACAAGCGTCGCAAGAGACATGCTCCACACCTTTCCTAACGTTAGAATCGGTCTGATGGTTGGCATCGGCGGCGGCGCACCAAGTTCAAAGCATGATATCCGCCTAGGCGACATTGTAGTCAGTACTCCTCGTGATGGAAAGGGTGGTGTGTTTCAGTATGACTTTGGCAAAGCGATCCAAGATCAGAGCTTTCAGCCCACCGGATTCTTAAACCAGCCACCAACAGTCCTACGGACTGCAGTTACTGGACTTAAGGCACAGTATGAAAGCGAAGGTCATCGGTTTGAAGAGGCTATTAACAGTATTCTCGAGAAGAAACTAAGGCTGCGGGAGAAGTATCAGCGTCCTGCCCCAAGTAGCGACCGACTGTATCAAACTGGAGTCGTACATCCTCTAAATGATGAAAGAAACTGTGCGGTAGCCTGTGGTGACCACCCGTTGAACTTAGAACCGCGAGGCGAACGGACTGAAGTAGAGGATAATCCAGCAATTCACTACGGTCTGATTGCTTCGGCGAACCAATTGATGAAGGATGCCTTGCTTCGAGATAAGTTTGCAAAAGAATACGATATTCTATGTTTTGAGATGGAAGCAGCTGGTTTAATGAACCAATTTCCCTGCCTAGTCATTCGTGGCATCTGCGACTACTCCGACACCCATAAGAACAAGGAGTGGCAAGGGTATGCGGCAATGGCAGCGGCTGCATACGCAAAAGATCTTCTCTGCAGAATTCTCCCAAACAAGGTCGAAGCTGAGAGTAGGATCAGCGCTATTTTCTCTAGTGGTTAGTCATCTCGAGCCTCTGTATGGTAGCAGTAAGCATCTAATAATAAATAAAGCGCTTGGCGCTATATCAAATACTAGAACAAATGTAGAAACGATAAGGTCTAGGTTGGATAGATACGAGAAGGTTGAGATCCTTACGTGGCTTACCCCAATAGACTATGGCCCTCAGCAAAGTGACAACTTTAAAAGGCGACAATCGGGAACTGGCCAATGGCTTTTAGACTCTGGAGAGTACCAGACTTGGCTGACAACAGATGAACAGACGTTATTCTGTCCAGGCATTCCCGGAGCAGGAAAGACGATCCTTACATCAATCATCGTTAACCATTTGACTACCCAGTTTTCCGACGACCCGACGATTGGCACTGCATATATCTATTGAAATTTCAAGCGGAAATACGAGCAGAAGATTGATGACTTGCTAGAGAGTCTGCTAAAACAACTCGTGCAGAGCCAATCTTCACTGCCAAGTAGTGTTAAAGAGCTGTATGATCGACACTACGCCGAGCGGACAAGGCCATCACTTGATGATATAACTAAAACCCTCTAATCTGTGGTTGCTCTGCATTCAAAAGTTTTTGTCATTATCGATGCACTTGATGAATGCCAGGCATCTGATGGCTGCCGGGCTAGGCTACTCTCAGAGCTCTTTACCCTCCAGAATATACATAAAACCAATATCTTAGCAACCTCGAGGTTTATTCCTGATATTGTTAATCAATTCGAAGGCAAGAGTGAATCTTTCGAGATTCGTGCAAGCCGTGAGGATGTAGAGATATTTAGAAAGCTACATTGGACAAATGTTGTCTTTCGTTCAGAAGAATCAACAATTACAAAGCGAAATTAAGGTTTCAATCTCAGAAGCTGTCGATAGAAAGTACGTTTACAGCTAAAGCAAACATTAATTAAGGCACTAACTATCTTCTAGGTTTCTTTTAGCGCAGATCTATATTAGGTCATTAAACGACAAGGTAACTTCAAAAGCTATTAGAGATGTATTACAAGACATCCGGAAGCAAACCTCTGGATTGAGTGAACATAAGAAAGTTTAGGTTTTTACTAATGTATATGAGGGAGCCATGGAGTGAATCAAAATAAAGTTTTATCGTGGATCACCTGCGCTAAAAGACAAATAACGACAACAGAACTTCGACGCTCGCTTGCTGTAGAATTTGGTAAGCCAAAACTTGACAAAGATAACCTCCCAGAAATTCAAGACATGGTCTCAGTATATGCTAGATTAGTCACGGTTGATGAAGAGAGTAACATTATCTGGTTGGTCCATTATACAACGCAGGAATACCTCGAGAAGACATGGAGTTCTTGGTTTCCAGATGCCCAGAAAGACATTATAAAAGCCTACGTTACCTACCTTTCATATAACGTCTTTCAGACGGGTTTCTGTCAGTCTGATAAAGAGTTTGAGGCACGATTGCAGACGAATATCCTTTATGACTATGCAGCGCGATATTGGGGTCATCATGCGCACATAGCATTGATTACAGAAGACTTAATTCTCAACTTTCTAGAGAGCAGAGCTAAGGTCTCCGCCGTCAGGCAGGCGATGATAGCGTCCGGAAGCTACTCAGGCTATTATCAAAGAGTGCCAATGTAAATGACAGGAGTACACATTGCAGCACACTTTAGACTTGAGGGGCAAATAATAGGTCTGCTAAACAATGGGAGTGATCTGGGCAAGGTCGACGCCGACTCGAAGGGTTCAGACGGGCGGACACCACTATCGTGGGCGGCAGCGAACGAGCACGAGGCGGTAGCCAAGCTGCTGCTCGAGACAGGCAAGGATTCGGACGGGCAGACACCGTTATCGTGGGTGGCAATGAATGGGTTCAAGACAGGCAAGGTCAACGCCGACTTGAAGAATCGGTACGGGCAGACACCACTATCGTTGGCGGCAGTCGGCGGGAACGGGGCGGTAGCCAAGCTGCTGCTCGAGACAGTCAAGGTCGACGCCGACTCGAAGGATCAGGACGGGCAGACACCGCTATCGCAGGCGGCAGCGGTCGGGCACGAGACGGTAGCCAAGTTGCTGCTCGAAACAGGCAAGGTCAACACCGAATCGAAGGATTCGTTTGGGCAGACACCGCTATCAAGGGCGGCAGGGGGCGGGAACGAAGCAGCAGTCGAGCTGCTGCTCGAGACAGGTAAAGTCGACGCCGACTCGAGGGATCAGTACGGGCGGACACCGCTATCGAAGGCGGCAGCGAACAGGCACGAGGCGGTTGTCAAGCTGCTGCAGTCGCACTCTAATCTTTCTTAGAAACATGATGTCTGTCCCTGCGTGGCGAGACACCCTGTGGAGCGAGACAAATAAGGGGTACTTTAACTTTCAGAAACTAGACAGTCTATACGCACATTAAATATTGCGATATTTCAAAGAAAATAGCCTGCTGTACCTAATCCTGAATATCTATGATCCACTCTTCCCTAAAATTACGTTCGCATTGTCCCCTCCGCGCCTATTTTGTAATGGGCCTCCTTTCGTGGCGTAACAGACTTCCCATAACGCTAACGTTAAGCCTTTGTTGCTCAAATTTTTTGTAGAATAACATTTTCTAAGCCTTAGAACCTCCCTCCAGTGCTCGGAAGTCATTGTTAGCCCTTTGCGTGCTGCGAAGCGCAACTTCATGCAGGGTGGCCACGTCGATTCGTATTTCTAACAGCAGCCAATCCTGGCTAATGCGAGATAATCCTGCACCTCAATCTCCGGGTATTTTACTGAAAGACCTGTGGCTGTGCGGATTGCACAAGCGTTAGGAATATAAGTAAATCCGGCAAGGCCGGTTTTTAGTCAGCGTCCCGGCGTTCCAACGTTAACAGCTCAGCCGCTCGACACAGCCATCCGACATACTTCGAGATGCTGTCCAACGCGCAGTAATACCTACTTTATAACGTGGACACATACCATCACGTCGCCCTCGAGTGCTGAAAGTCGCCATCGTTCTCTCCGCTAAACCAACGAAAGATCTAATCAAGCCCGCCAAGTCTTCATTCCTCTCGACCCTATCCTTGCGCAACTGCTCAGCCGCATTGCACTCGACTTCTACTAACTCAAGTATCTGTCAAGAACATCTAAAATCGAGAAGAGTCGCAGGGCTAATACTTGAAATTTTGGTGAGCCTGCATGTCTAAGAAGCATTTTCTCATTACGTTGGATTGATGTAACGTTATCTTAGTGCGCGATTTCTATCCCAACCACCACACTAAACGGGAGTAAACTTAAGAACTACCGAGTTCCACTAGTGTTGGTGCTGCCGAAAGCCACAGTCACGCCGTTTTAGTTCCGCCGACGGCCGCCACGACCACATGACAGGCTGCCATAACGGTATCAAGGGAACACCAAGTTAAAATATAGGGACAACGTCAAGGGGCATGTCAAGTGTTGTACAAGAAAAGAATATTAAATTAGGAATCACACTCTATCAGCAGAAGAAGTTTAACGAGGCCGAAAAGTTATTTCGGCAAACCTTAGCTGAGGCGGAAAGCACATGTGCACTGGACAATGCAGATACGCTTAAGACAAGGTATTGGCTAGGGAGTGCACTTTACGAGCAGGAGAAGTACATTGAAGCCGAGGAAGTACTCCAGCAAGCAGTACACGAGCATGAAAGAATTCTTGGACCAGACAATTTGGGCACGCTTGAATCACAGTACTGGCTTGGGAGTACTCTCTTCGAGCAGAAAAAGTACGATGAAGCTGAGAATGTGTTTCAACAAAACGCGCATAGATACGGGAGAAGCTTTGGACCAGACTATATAGGCACGCGCCAAACAAACCACTGGTTGGGAATTACGCTCTACGAGCAGAAAAAGTACGAGAAAGCTGAAGAAGTGTTCCGAAAAGCAGTGCATCAAGATGAGAAAGGCTTTGGACCGGATTATCTGGGCACTCTTGCTGCAAAGCACTGGCTGGGAATTACGCTTCACGAGCAGCAGAAGTATAGTGAAGCGGAGGAGGTGCTCCGACAGATAGTGCCTAGGCACGAGAGAATATTAGGACCAGACGATCCAGCTACGCTTGATACAAACTATTGGCTGGGAAAGGCGCTTTATAAGCAAAAGAAGTACAGCGAAGCTGAAGGGGTGCTCTGCCAGGTATTACATGGCCAAGAGAGAACTTTCGGAAAAGATGATAGAAAGACACTTGACACCATACGCTTGTTACAACAATTGCCGCCGAGGACCTCAATATTATCGACAAGTGTTACCGCTCAGCGTACCTTGACTAGTCGACTGAATAGTTTTTTCTCAGACGCACAAAACTACCGGAAATCCTATACTGAATCAGAAATACGCGACATATCAAATCTGTTAAAATACTCAAATCCGGAATGGAGCAAGGTGCCGCGGACGTACGTCATACTTCGAAACATTGGATATCTCAACTTTCTTGATGACATCATTGACGTCGGCTTTTCCGATTATTGGCTGCCAGTAACAAAACATAATCTGCCCGGATGCTTAAGTCCAAGTGTCCGTGCGGCATTCTTTAATACCCAGCATACTGTACTGACGAAATCAATGGATCTAGAGAACGGTGAAAAAGGACACCACTGCCATTTCGAGCAAGGAGACCCTCTTCCTTTTGAGTCGAAGGGAGTCTTGGGCAACGGTGGATTTGGACAGGTTGACAAAGTTCTTAGTATGACCAGTTTCAAAGAATACGCGAGAAAACGAGTGCCCCGAAGTACCGCCTTTAGGGGCCCAAGGAAAGAACACATGAAAAAATTCATCGCTGAAATCCAACTCCTAAAGCGCTTAAGGCACCACCACATAGTAGAGTTGATCGGAAGCTATACAGACACTCGATATATTGGCTTGATAATGTCCCCAGTTGCTGAAATGGACTTAGGCAGGTACTTAACGGACTGCACAGTCTCCAATCATCCCGAACTGCGAACCTTCTTTGGTTGCCTAGCTACGGCGCTTGAATATTTACACGAGCAGGGCGTTCGACACAAAGACATCAAGCCTAGTAACATCCTCGTGGACCGTGGTACTATCTTATATACAGATTTCGGCCTATCTTTCGACTTTACAGACGCAAGTGGCAGTACTACGGCGAGCATGGTGAATGGAATGAGCCCAAGATATTGCGCACCTGAAGTTGCTCTACATGAACCTCGGAATACAAAGTCCGATATCTGGAGCCTAGGTGTAGTCTTCATGGAAATAGTTGCTGTTCTTAAAGGCCAAACTGTTCAGGACATTGACGAATACTTTAAGCAGCATGGATTAAAGCAAGTTTACATCCGTACGAACATGGCTGCTTTGCCAGCTTTTGTTACAGAGCTAGAAGGGAAAGGAAACTTGTCAGACAATAGAGCACTTGGCTGGACTCAGCAAATGCTCTTGGCGGAGCAGCAATTGCGTCCAACCGCATCTTCTCTAGTCTCCTTAATCACTGCATCTAACAAAGACGGGGAGGGTATGGGCTTCTGTGGGATATGCTGTGTTTCTCTTGAAGAGGATTTCTCTGATTGGGGGAACGAGTAAGGCACGCATAGGATATGAAGCCCGCCTAATTTTATACACTGTCAATCATAGGTATTCCATGCGACTCATTAGTACAGGAACGTATACTTGAAAGCGTTTTATTCAGATACTTCCCCTCGTTCCTTCACCCTTGATCTACACTACTGCATTTGCATCGACTGCGCTAGCGGGGATAGCGGCCAAGCTACTCCTACTACATTCCACTGGCTTCCTCTGCTCTTTATAGCTAGTTTTATCGTGCTGTTAGATGGACGCTGCTTAAGCGAATTCCATTTTGCCACCGTAAGTAAGGAGGGCGGTCGATCCACTGGACATACCCGTGGAGGCTCTAAATTATAAGGAAAGTACTCCTTTGTACAGCATAGTCAAGTTATATAAAATATAGTGCGGGTGTGGCTGGAGAAGCTAAGACTGCTTAGGGGCCAGGCAAAATGGTGTCGCAACAGCGTGCTGTTAGGCTACCAACTCTACAGGGCTGCGCCAACCTGCAACCGAAAAGGTACGAATATTCAACACTGTTGAATAATGTGTGTAGAAGAGTATATATACCACGATGCCTTACGCGTGCAAGGGTGAAGCTGCATTTGCTAGAGACTATATGTCACTCTCCGCTGCCACGCCTTCTATTCCTAAAGCCGCCCAGCCCATCTTGTCTAAGGCGTCTTATATCCCATTTTTATTCCATTCAAAGTGCTAAGAGGAGATATCTGGCTGCTACTTGGTACATGGAGGTCGATTATGACGGGCTCTAGAAGCTTATGGGCGTGATAGGCTTGTGTACCTTTTTTTCAGTTATCAGCAGAACCAGCGGCAGTACTAACAAGGGTCTGCAGAGCTTCAGGGAAATGCGATGGTGTGTAGCTAGGCTATGACACGAAAGATTTTAACATAGACGTAGCCGAAACGTACGATGATTGTGTTGCTGTTTCAATGCTAGACGCGCAGAGTCTCAACCCTGCTCCGAATCCAAAAAAAAGGTATGAAACATGAAGGGTAGATTGCCTGCTGCAATGGTCCAAATTCCCTTCAAAGATGAAAGTAAATAACTGTAGTTAAAGGTCAATAGAGAGAAAGACTGGCGCAAAGTAAGAAAGGTCACGGCGCCGACTAGACCCCCACCATCCCCCCACCCATCTCCACCTTTACATCCACCCCTCTCATCAAGCACACCTCAATATAGTCAAAGAAGAATATTCATACATTCTAGAAAATGTGAGAAAATCAATCTACCCCTCACCAGAACTCTGCAAACTTTTATCGCTCTAAACGCCACATCACCCGATAATCCCAATAATCCCCTCCCATTTCCCCCCTCCAAGTAACCCCGCTTTCCTTGCTGCTTTATTTCGCAGAGAGGGTCTTCTTCAAAACCTCAATCTGCTCTCTAACCGCACTCTTACTCGTTCCGCCCGTCGCATCCTTCAATTCCACCGCGCGCTCGTAATCCAAGCACTCAATTACATCATCACCCAACCTGGCATCAATACCCTTCAATTGCTCTAAACTCAGCTTATCCATTGGGACACCCTCTTGTTCAGCAAGTGCAACCACCCTGCCAGAAATATGATGGCCTTCCCTGAACGGGACACCCTTTCTTACTAAATAATCCGCAAACTCTGTAGCCAGCATTTCGGGTGCTAAGGCTGCGAACATTTTCTCCGGGTTGATCGTCAGAGTAGAGAGCACGCCGGTAGCGATCTGAATGCTGTCCCCGACAGTTTTCATATGGTCAATGAGCGGCTCGACAGATTCCTGTAAGTCCTTGTTGTATGTCGTCGGTAGGCCTTTAATGGTGCAATACAAACCCGCCATATGCCCGAACGCACGGCCAGACTTCCCTCGCAACAATTCCAGAGAATCTGCGTTCTTCTTCTGCGGCATGAGCGATGAGCCCGTCGAATACGCATCCGCAAGTCGCACAAATCCGAACTCTAGGCTCGAGTAGATGATCAGGTCTTCTGCCCATCTAGAAATCTTCAGCATGAAGCTAGAGCCCCATTGAAGGGTTTCGAAGACGAAGTCGCGGTCCGCGACCGCGTTCATCGAGTTGTAGAGCAGGCCGTCGAAGCCAAGTTCTTTGGCCATGGCTTCGCGGTCGATCTTGAAGGGATTGCCGGCCAGGGCACCGCAGCCGAGAGGTGAGCGGTTGACGCGCTTGATGACTTCGCGGAGGCGCTCGAGCTCAAAGGAGAAAGATGTTGCGTGGGAGAGAAGCCAGTGGGACCAGCGGACCGGTTGGGCTTTTTGGAGATGGGTATATCCCGGCATCTAGCCCCTTCAATTAGCCATCCATCCGTTCACCTCCTTCCCAAGGGAATGAGAAGGGCGAGACTTACCAAAACCTCAATCTCCGCCTCCGCCCTCCCAACCGCACACATCACCAACTCCCCCAACCACCCCTCAATCTTCCTTAACTCCTCCCTCAACCACAGCCGCATATCCGTCGCAATCTGCTCATTCCTACTCCTTCCCGTATGCAACTTCCCGCCAATCTCCTTGCCCACAATCTCGCTCAACCGCCGCTCATTCGCCGTATGAATATCCTCATCGTTCTGTTTAACGACGAAAGAATCGCTCTTCCATTCCTCTGTTATCTGCGCAAACCCTTTCTCAATCGCAGAGAACTCATCGGCGGTGAGGATTCCGTTGTTGAAGTTTGCCCGCGCGAAGGCGATGCTGCCGGCGATATCTTGCGCGTAAAAAAGCCGATCGTAGGGGAGAGAGCAGTTGTACTGTTCCATTAAGGGGTCGAGGCCCTCTGTGTCTCATGTCAGTTCATAGCACCTTCAGGTGTCTAGCTTTTGCCAACGAAGCTAGATAAGCCCAGCCCAAAGCCATTGAGAAGCAACATACGCGTGAAACGACCTCCCCAAAGCATGTTCTCTGCGACTTTCTTCGTGGAAGCCATGATAAGTGTTCGAGGTTGAGGAAAGGGGCAATTGGGCGATGTGTTGGGAGAAATAGAGTGAATTGCGCAATGTGACTGTCCAGATGCAGTTTCAAAAAATTATTGTTGCGAGCAGGGTTCAGGGTCAGGGTTGTGGTCGGCAAGCCACATTAAATGTGGCTGATGCGGGCTGAGGCAATTATTAGATGATCGAGTGTAATTGCGGGAATCTCACCACTTTGTGTGATGATGGGCATGTCAAGTTTGCAAGGATTGTGGCTGTCATTTCTGGCTCCTTCAATGTACCTGCGTTAGTAGCGGCATTCCCTCAGTCAAATAATAATGAGTGCAGTTAAAACATTCCATTCTCAAAAAGCCTTGTGAAGTGGGGTATCTATACAAGTTCCGTCGGCGTCATCAAGAATGCATCCATCCCCAATTCCCTGATGCCTATCCCTTCACATCCTTAGGGTCTGTCTGTCCGATAACCACGCAATTCCACGTACGCATTCATCATAATACATAGGTCAAAAGTCGAAGTCGAAAAGTCTTCTCTCCACGTTACCTCGCCCCCTCGCCTCGCCTCATCAAGCTCCAGTAGATGTTCCAAGGTCTACTAGACTCTACTTGTATGATGATGCGTCCTCGTCTTCAATCCCCTGCGCCTAGAGCCGCCGCGTCCGCAGGTAAGGCAGGAGATGATAATGTCAAAGAGGGTGACGATGCCGTTGATGATAGCGGTTAGGATGGCGCCGATTCCGTTGACAATGGCCATCAGGCAATTGCCGATTGTGCGTAGGACGGACTTAATCTGTACGTTTGCGTTAGCACGGGGCTGTGTGGGTGTGATGAGGGAGACATACGCAAGATACGACGGCACCCATTTCAGCGGTGGCGATGCAGGATTTGGTAGAGGTGCGTTGGGACTTGGGGGGTCGATGGCTGTGTCGTAAAGCTTCTGCGTTCCGTCATTCAGTATGTTAAATCTCCAGAGCGAGAAAGACAACAAACCTTGTATAAAACAGCTTTACTTTCTCTCTTTGTCTGAAAAAGGGCTTGTTGTAGTGGTTTGTAAAGTTGCAAATAAATCGCAAGATTTGTAGGTAGAGCTAGACAAGTCCTCCATTCCTCACTTATAAACACTCCCGCCTGCCCAATCTCTGCGTGACGTCATTTAAACATCCTTGCTCTTTCTCCTCCCCTTCAAATTCCCGCCGCACGCCTGCCACCTGCAATCTCTGTCCATCTATCGCCGTCAGAGCGTTTGATCACAACACCTTCACACAAACACTTCCCCGGCCCGCCTACCAAAAACCTGCTCTTTGACCTGCTCAACTTAGCGTCTTCCGAAACAGGCATCGATCTTCGCCTGCCATCCCAATCTAGTATCGTATGACAGGCTAATCCCTGCGGTTTCTGCACGCGACGCCCATTTTCGACATCATGCGCCACAAGCTTAAATTTTCATGTGTCGTCATTTGGCCAGTTTTAGGAGGGATCGGCGAGGTTTGTGTGGCTTGACAACGGCGTGATCGAGATGCGGGATAGGTATCGACAATTTTTGTCCCATTTGCGTACTCCAGACAGATTGTAACGGATACACGTTCCGTGACAAGAGAGGGCTGGCATGTTATCGGCCTATCACTCCTAAATTTGAGCTGCGAATCGCTTTAGTGTGGAGGCAAAGTGTGGCTGCTCCTCATTCCAGAACCTCAACAATCCATCTGCCCAACCAGCCAGCCTTGGAAACCAGACATCGTGCATCCTTCGTCTGACCTTGGTGACGTAGCTCTAACATTTCTTAAACCATAACGCCTTTCAATCCGCGGTCTCGGAAACTCTGGTCAGTGCGTCCATCCTGCATCCGCTGTGCAAACGCCACAGCTTACAAGGATGCAAACAGGGGCAGGGGAGCTGGCAGCACGCAACAATGGTATTGGTGAGACAAACCCAACAATACCATGACAGAATGATCGGGAACTGAAGATGGAGCTTCCACCCATGGTGATCTAAATCGTGCTCCAGCTGTTCCCGGACCTTGACAGCTCTGCCATCATCACCCGTTAGATTGGGAACGAGAGGGACATGGATACCCAAAGAGAGTGGAGCGACGGGCTTGAGCATCTCTGCTATTGTTCGTTGTCCTGATTATATACTCACGAGGTAAGAGATAGCACACCTGGTCATGTATACTCCTCTTCCCCAAACCCCCGGATTTCGAACAGGCACGTAGGGCTCGCTCTTCTCGAGGAATCTTATCAAGACATCAACCGATATCAGGATTCTAGGCCATGTATAGCAGAAAGCTACCCTGATGCATTGCATATTCATTAATTATTCCGGCATCCATCCCGCTTATCTACCTAGCCCGCCATCATCACCAGTCCAGGTAGCACATGATCAATGCAATGAACAATCTAATATCAATCTCCCTCCTCTCAAGTCCCCATTCAGAGAAAATTTCCCAGCGCCAAAAGGACATCCATTTCAGGAGTCTGATGCCGATGCGTCTAATGCAATGTGGTCGAATCTGAATAAGGAAAGGAATGCTAGTACCACATCCATTTGCCCTGGTCAGTTTCTGCTCTCCCAGGTCGAATTGAATGAAGTGAGTGATTGGATGAGAGAGTGTGTGTGAATGTGCGCTATCATATCACGCTGATGCCGGAAACCATACTACGATAACGCCAATAAAGGTATTCATGCAACGCACCAAAAAACAAAATTTCTGCTCTGCTCTGATCAAAAATACGCTCGCTCATTCGCGCTCAGGACTTGTTTTCGTATCATGACTTCGTTAAGCTGTGGAAAGCTGTTGAGATGAGGAATAATCGTCCTCAAGCGTCTTCATTAATCACTCCGTTCCGTTTGCGGCTCCTCCGTGCTTCACTTCTGCTCATGTCACCGCGCTAGGTTTCGCAGCATCCCTCGCATGTTTCATCTGCGGCAAACTTGGGATCTCGTTTTCACTCATCAGCGTCTGTAGCTGCGGTCTGGAAGTCCTCGGAGCGCCGACGCTGGGTCTGCTCTTTGGTCGAGCAAGGGGACTAGGGTTATTCGACTCGCGACCCATCTCCACTGGCGACATGACCGGTGTCAAAGGTCGACTAGATAGTGGACTAGCTTGACGATTCACATTCTCGCTGCTGCCGGCAAAACGTGCGTTGAGTGCAGGCAGAGTCCGGCTTGCTGGTCGACTAGGGGGCTCGGGAGCGAGCGGCATAGTAGAACTCAGCGTACGCTGTCGGTTATGGCCGTGATAGTCACTGAAGTCTCGGGAACTCCAGCTCGCGCGGTGGACGCGAGCGCCATACGGAAGGCTGGTGAAGGACATCTGGGACCGGATACTCGGAGCTCTGCTGGGGCGGTTCTGAATCTCAGCAGCTTCAGCCATGTTCCTAGACGCTAATGAAACCTGGGACATATTGGGTTCGCCACTGATCTCCGCTACGAATTCGGCATCCTCATCCTCAATCTTTGGCATTCGCTTGATAGAATTGACGCTGAAGTAAGGGCCCTTGGGTTGCTCTGGTTCTGGTGGTGGAGGGGGTGGCGGAGAAGGGGGAGCGTCCTTCTCTTTTTGGTCGATGTGGTTGAAGTACCTCTTACGGTAAGGAACCCACTTCTTGGGTCTAAAGTCTTCCCGGTTACGCATCACCGACATGTAACTGGAGATAGCTCCTAGCACAATCGCCATGAGAACGATGATGGTGAGAATCCCTTGGATGACGATAATGACGATCCCGATAACGGTAGTGGGAATGCGTGGGAGGTTGAACCGGGTATCAAAAGCGGCCGAGAGCGCGACTGTAGCCACCTTGCTGAATCCAAGGAGATAGACAACAAGTAGGTTCAACCGTTGCCCCTCAAAAGGACGCATTATGATGATGCCAATGAATGCAATGAATTCGACCACGAGGAGGCCAAAAACTTGGGTCATGGGGTGTCCGGAGGCGCCAGCAAGGAAACATGCTCGCACGAACTCGTAGACCAGCCAAACAACGAAGAACCACCAGCGAGTCCTACGGAAGCGGGAAGCAAGCCAGCCAAACTTCTTGGTAAAGGCCTCATCATCATGGATTGATTTATCCTCCTCAGAAGCAGGCCGAACTCTCCACCACGGCAGGGAACCAGCATAAACTTTATCTTCCGACCGTGCCCCTTCGCTTGCCCGTGAGAATCCGTACCAGGGAATGAACTTTAAGGCCTTCCTCTTCTCTAGATTAAGACGGTCTGGTTCCGAGACATAATTTCCGAATTTGATCCTGTAGAAGCAAGCGTAGCCTGCAATTCCGCCCAGGCCGACCAACATCATCAGGAAGACGATGCTGGCGATGGCCACAGGGCCAGTAGATCCAAGGTAAGTAAACTGGAAAAGACAAAGGAAGATAAGCATGAAGAATCCGATGAACAGGGTCCGAAGAACAGCAAGCGCCGTGTAGCCGAGATAGTGCGTTCTGAAGAAAGCAAGTCGATCATTCTTCACCAACTTCGTCTTGATCAGGGCCTCCAAGGTGAACTTGAGAGCAATAACCGAGGCGGCCACTATGACCATAAGGATGAGGAACCAGAGGAACCCGGTCATGAATGCATTCGACGCCGGGATATTCTCCTCTGCAAGCGTTCCGGCGAATCCGGAATAGTTTCCTGGTAGTGGAAGGCCTGGCTTGACCGGACGGCCATAATACGAGAAACCATCCGTGCTGTTGGCAAGTTCTCTCTTTGCAAGGTGCTCCTCAAGGTGGCGAGCCACCCGGTTGAACTTGCTCCGCCTCATGAGTCCAGGGACATTCAGAGCATTATTGTACACGTCGCGCTTGTAAATCTTGGAAATATCGTATCCGCCTCCGAGATTCTCGTTGGAGGTACCAACTCCGGCAGCTCCGACCGCCGAGGTATTGCCCTTGTTGGATCCAACGAAATTATTGATAGAGTTTTGCATGGCCTCCGTATATATCATCCCACCAGCCCAAGCATAGTTGCTCCAGAACGCTACCAGCACGCTCGGCCAGTTCATGGAAAGAGCTCCGCTGAAGAAGATGTGATGCCACACAGCAAACACCACCAGGACGGATAGCGAGTGTGCGTAGTGTTTGCGCATGACCGGGATGTTGTCGCCGTAGATGGCAGTAGCGAACGACGCTATGACAGCAACAATGGTGAATATCCCCAGAATCGAGCCCACAGCTTCCGGCTGCGAAAAAGTATTGCCATTGGTAACTACGGCAGAGAAGCAGCCAATTTCAGATTGTGTAGAGTTTGCGAATATCCTCAGGATAGCCTCTCCTTCAAAATCGGGAATAACTAGAGCGAGCGATGGGATCCCGGCGACATCGCTCTGGCTAATGGGAATGATACCGTTGGCCTCGATTGGGATTCCGGCTCGCATAGGACATAGACTACGATTTGTTAGTATGCACACAAGCACTGAATGAATGTTCCGCACCTGGCGATGTTTGCGCTGCACGGGTTGAAGGTCAAGTCGAATCGACCTTCTCCGTAAGCGAATACCCCGATGTACACTGTCCTCTTGTCAGCCGGAGTTCCAGACCAGTCCAAGCATGCGTTTCCTACTCATAAGAGCCTCGTTCGTCAGAGCAGTCTCTCCCGCCAGGTGGAAAAGCACAGTCATGTTATCCTTGTAGTACGCAGCATCGAATCGCGTCACATTGACGGTGCTGCTGCCCATGCAGTCTCCAAAGTTCCCAGTGTACAGCGCCGGTCGTCGGTTATCTTTCAAATACACCTGTTGTCCATTGACGGTCCCGGTAACGTATTTGGTGTTGTCGGCCAGCGCAGCACCGAGAAAGGAGAGAATGGCGACGAAGAGGGCGAATGCCGACCGAGAAGAAAACGAGGAAGCCATATTTACGGAGTGCACTGACCCCGGGGGGGGGCGAGGGAAGGGTTATGTGCGGGCGTGTCGTGAAGGCGAGAGTTCTGTTTGCGGGTTGAAGGACTAAACCGCCAGCCTCCGAATTTGGACGCCAAGGCCAGGGTCTATAGCGGCAAGCAAGGGTCTATCACCAACGTTGTGGATTGTGACGTGGTGGATCCTAAAGTTTCGAACATTCACAGGCCCAAATGGAACAGTACGCAGGAGTTTGGCGTGACAATGGGTGCGGGCGGTGAACATGTATCAATAGTGCGTTGGCCGCGATACCAGCGTCCGGGAGGTCCGAGAGTCGGTCCAGGGGAGCTAGCGACACAGGGCAGCGAGTGGATTGGACATTGTCTAGGCGGCGGAGAGTCGGAGACGGTGGTGGACGGCGATTGCAGGTCGATTGCAGGTGTGGCGAAGGTGAAGAGCGAGAGCGATGTGGTAACGACAGTCCAGGGTGAAGGGTGGGTAGTATTATGGGGGGAGCGGGTGGTCATGGAAGCACTACTAACTTGGAACTTTTATTCGTACTGGGCCTGGGCCAACCTGCGTCAGCGGCATGCCCCTGCTCGTCACTGCGGGTAAAAAGACGCCCACGCAAGCCACTTTGATTCGCCTGCATCCACTCTGTTTATATCGAAACAAGCTGGAAACGGCACATGGACACACAATTAGGAAATTTCTACTCTTCTCAACACGGAGGAGTCGTAACTACCATTCTCCATCTTCTCTGACCGCAACTCCGAAGACTTAATTGCCTGTCCATGCGAGTGCCGATAGCCAAGCTCCACCTGCGCCTGCGCCGACGCGACAACTACTAGACGGCGAGGAGAGCGAGCACCAATCGTCATCATGAGGCGTACGCAACGTGGAAAACTGAGGCAGAGAGATCAAACACGATCCGAAGGATCGTGACCAGGATGCTGACTTGCTGCAGACGCCTGACGATGAAGCGACTTCTTCACGACTGCGCGCCTCTCGCTCTGTGCCGTCATCCATTCGCTGGCTCGACATCCACGATTTTGCGAATCGCCCGGCGATGACCATCCGAGACACCGGCCTTGGGCATTACGCGTCGTCCAATCGAAACCAAGCGAGTCTGCTTGTCCTCGGCACAGGGCTGCTTGACAGCCATTAAGAGGCATTTCTTGTGAGCGTGAAGTAAAAGAAATAGAGTCTGATACATATGCCTTGAAGACAATCAAGGAGAACCATGTCTAGCTCCAATGCTGCCGTGATCTCTGTCAAAAGCTGCAGTCTGTCGTCCTACGTGTTTCATTGCCGCTGGCCAACCTTGCCAAGCACTCATATCAAATTCATCGTAAGATTCTGCACAAGGAGCGCCAAGCGAGGAATTAACCCTAAACTTACTGTAAGGTGGAATTGAGATCTGAGTGTTTTGTCGCTTGCAGAATCCTCGCGATGCAATTTTTGTTTGGGAGGTTGGCACTCCAATCCATGGCCGTCCTCGACCCGCAGCATCATCCCACTGCGCAATATTGACAAGAGAGCCTAGTCTAGAGTCCGGTTTGAGAACGCAAATCACACTAGGCCCCGACACCCCACTACTACCTCACAGTACTACAGGGGTGGAAGGACACGGCAATGCTGATGGTCGTGGCGTACTAAAGAATCCTGCATTCGTCTCAAAGCGAAGAGCAAAAGGCTTGGCCTTAGATCTACTGTGCAGTAGTCGAAACTTCCACCCACGTGCACTTGATATCTGCATGGAAGATGTCATACCCCAAGGTAGTTCCCCGGTTTCCGATGCTGCATTGATGGTCTCAACCCCCTTACGTCATGCCGTCCAATCCGACTCAACACTGTTCTACGCCCTGGAACTTTCACCTCCTCTCCCGACTGTTCTAGCATCCCCATATTCCCAACGACTCCGGGAGGAAGCGGGGCCTCCTTTTCTCCAGAGAGACATATCGCGGACATGTGCTGAAGACGTTTGACTATTGAGAGATTGCGATGGATACCAATACTCGAGGGAAACGCGAGAGCCTCAAGAACCTATTTTTTAAACTATTATCTTTGACCAATTCATGCGCTCTTTTCCTCTAACTCCGATAGTAACCCTAGGGAAGAAAAGCGCGATACGCGGAAAGTTGCGTTAAGGTATGCGGGAGCCGAATCTTGACTACTGCCAAACCGTGAGCCCGCGATTCTCGAACGGATGCGGTTGATCAACCTGACTAAGCAACGAAGCTCCGATTCAACGATTCTGCTTTTGAGGGGTTCTGACCGCACACATTCCCTCCCGACTCAGTGCGAAGTGGCCAGTGGCTGGGGGAGTCGCGGAGATATTCCAACTCGGATTGTTCGTACTTCTTTTCGAAGCATTCGCAGCTATAGATTTTAGGGATTTAGGGGCCGCCAGATCTTGGAAATGTACCCTTAGCTCTCACACACACCTTCCCTTCGAGCGTCTCAAGTGTGGCACTAACTTCGACAGCTGGTGCAGGACCGCTAGTTGTAGACTTCCCGACGGGCGTAGGCTTGGGCGCAGGCGCCTGTTGTGGGATGTCTGGGGTAGAAAACGAGGCGCGAAGAATGTAGTAGTTGAGGATCGGGGTAGGTCGAGCGTATGTTACACTCATAAACGAGGGTGGCGGAATCGAGTCTACCCATTTCGTTAGTCATTTGAGCTAATCGCCGAGGACAGAATCGCATCCATACCGACAGGGACATTAGGCCCAGCAACGAGCCTCAGCATTGCATCCTTGAAGACGATAGCAATCGCTCCTCCATGCGCTAACCCAGGCCAACCAGAAAGTGCAGCTCCCATCCAGACCACAGCAACCAATTCCCGGGTTTCGGAATTCCAAAAGACTCGTTGCACTCCTAGACCTTGTGCACCAGCCATCGACTCCATGGTCAACGTCCGCGATGGCCGCTCCTTATCTAATGCAGCCTCTGTCATATTCCTCTTGACATCTAGCTCCATCCATCCTCGGTGGCCCTTCCCGATCTCATTCAATGGCGTATCCGCATGTAAATGGTAGCCCTCGGCGCGCAACGCCTTCACGATCTCCAGCGAATCGATGTCCAAAGCAAGCGCCTCGAGGGCTAATTGATCTTCACGAGAGCCGGGCACTGGAAGTGGAGATGGGGCTGCGAAGGAGGATACTGCGTAGCCGGCGCTTGCACCAAAGGCGAGGCATAGCCCGTACCAAAAATATGAGACTCGAAAACGGCGGGACTTGGTGGATGTGGAATTGAAGTGCGCAAAGCCTTGTCTAAGAAATGTGCGTTGTGAAATCTGCCGAGCAGCTAGCTTTGGAATATGAGAGCTAGAAAAGGGGCGCACAACAGAGAACATGGTCGTCAATTCGAAGCTCATGCAGGATTACGGCGTGATGTTGGAGAACTGAGATTGTTTCCGTGAGCGCTAAACCTAGGACCGAGGCCTTGGCGCTGCCCGTCCCTCGAGGCCCTTCCTCCTTCCATTTTAACCAGCATCTTCTTCCTGACCACATCATAATAAGCTCTCGCATTACACCCTATACTAGCAACATAATGAATTTATTTCAGGTGATCCGAGTCAACAAAAGGCCAACCGCTCCAGCCGTCAAACTTGACAAGGTTCAGTTCATCCAAACTGACCCCTTTAAACATCCGAACCTGGGCACTTGAGCTTCATCCTTGGGACTCGAATTAGGCAGACTCACATTTATTCCCAGCAGATCTAGATTGTAGCCCTGCTCCTTCATCCTTGGATCGAAGAACACGCTACTCCCGCAATTCGTGCAAAACTTGTGCTGATTCATCTTGCGACCAAACGAGTATGACTTCAAGGCGTCCTCACCGCTCGTCACCTTGAGTTGTTCGCGTAGCGGATACACAAGCAAATACCCGTTTCGAGCGCAAATAGAGCAGTTGCACGAACAAACCTTCCACTTAGGAAGCGGCGGGGTGAGTGTAACTGAATATTTCACCGTTCCGCAGTGACATGTCGCATCGTAAGTTTGAGCGTCTGCGGGATCGAACTTGGGCAGCTGACGGAAGAATTCGTCGGCCATAGTTGCAGAAGTTGGGTCGATTATGAGATGAATGTTAGAGTAGGTGTGTTACTTAAGAAACTGCACGAAGTCCGAATCTCCATCGCCTTTATGTGCCTTGTAGGGGCAGCTGTGCTTACTGCAGGAGCCTTCTCGGTAAGCGTTTTTCCTATTTTCAGTTCACGTACGTCAATCACATTGCTGTCCGTATGTACCAATCGACGCTTGGCTGGCCGCCCAAAAGTCTCCGACTTTCCTCCTGGCTTCGACAAAGTCAACGAGAACTCTCCGAATCTTCGATTACGCTGTTGTGAGAGAACAACTTTTAAGCAGTCCCACCACATCCGATTAGCGGGGCTTCGCTTCAACACCGAGTCGACTCCGGTCCTTCTCCTTTGAACACACTCTCTGACAACTCATAACTGTGTCTCAAAATGGGTTGTGGCGAGTCTTACTCCCATCTCACAACTTTTACAAACACGGATTCACATTCTACTTTGAAGAAATAGGCCCGGATATATTCCTGCTAGCACTCTAGATCTCGTACCACAAACAGGTCACATGTCCTCCCTATCCTCATTGCACCACTCTGTCCCACGATCCCCTCGCTATATCTACTACTTCCAGTCCTCCGTTCTACGCAAGTTCCACTACCTTTGTCCTCCTTTTGCCCGCTCTCAGTGACACCTCCACGATCGCCGCCCTTGGGCGTACAAGATATCATGTGGCACAGCAGATTACGCCCACATCGTTCGCACTAAGGGAACTACTCGTCATGCCAGCATATGCAACCGCATTGACCGGGCTCTCCGATTGGTGTCTCAGATTTCCGTTGTACTGCCATACTCGGTTGTAAGTGTCATTCCAGAAGGACGGATGTGTGTCGTACCGACGTTGACTCTAGCTCATCTTCTGGACGGGCTTTCCTAGTCTTCATAGGAAGTACAGGGCAGGTGTCTTTTCACTAAGCAACGAATCTTAAGGAACCTATGATAGGCTCTTGGGCGCCTCCCTGTGCGATCTTGAGATACCTCGCTTATCTGTTACCGGGATCGCGTGAGCCCACGGGTGGCTACCGGTCGTTTGAACCTTGCTGCTGGGAAGCGCTATTGTAGCTCCACAAAGAATACTACGACAGAGGTAGGAGCGAGTATGTAAGGATTAGTCATCCCCCTTTTTCTTCCACTGCGCAACTTTCTACTCCGAGTGCCATCACGTGTCCGATATATGCTTCACTAGAACATCTAACCCTAGAATGCAGAAGCTCCACTGTCAAACTTCTTTTCTTCTTCACAGATCTACCATAACCTTTCAAAACCTGACTTGGCAGTAGTAAAGGGATTGATATTCGAGTTTAATGACCTTAACCATCACGCGCTTCAATGCGGCTGACCACCTCCAGAGCTTCGCCCATATCCGCCCAAGGAAATGTACACGAAAGCAAAGGGACCGCACATGTCCTTGGCTAAAAGAATGGCTTTTACTCCCCTAGTGGTTGTCGGCAGTCGTTTTCTTTGTCGTTCCCGTTTCCAATCCCTCTTCGGGGAAGATCTCGTTCAAGTAGTTGATGTCCACTTTAATTCTCCGGGACAAACACTGGCGCAACCCTAATATTGATGGAAGAAGTCCCGAAGTCCACACATACCACCTTCCCGTAGCCTGTTTTGATAGAGATTTAGCTGTGAAGCTTTGCTCCAATCAGGTCTTCAAGAGCTTGATAGATGCATCTATTGTTTCACTCGAGGGTTTTGCCGCATGCGAAGAGACGATTGGGACATTTGCACTTCGAGAGAGGGGAATACGCGAAGGTTGGTATCAAGTTGAGGAGTGTGTTCTTCTAGAGAAATAGATATACGTTGAACTATTTCACTAACCCAAATGCATTTTAGTCTTTCTAGCTCAGATCGTAAAATTGTCTACCCCTCACTTTTACAAGGTAAGGGCTTCCAACATGTCTCTAAGATCTACCTATTTTGGTAGCAGCTGGTTCGAAGTCAGATTTGATACGTTTTTGGTTTCATGACAGCGATCTGGATCAGCGAGTTGGATCTAGGAAGAGACCCATCTCTCCAAAACATGCCCAGTTCCATTCCTTTTTTTTGTGTCTACTGTCCCAAAGAACTAAATAAGATTTCAACTGAAATTCATTTTATTTTGCACGAGACTTCAGCCATACATGCGCAGACCACATCTTTTTAGCTTCGGCAGCGATGGATATCTTAGCCAGGGACCAACAAAGCATTGTTTGAATTTCAATTTTTCAACAGATACCGAGTATGTGTCAAAGGCCACCCAAATATTAGTCCTAGAACGGAGTCCGTGTCATTGAAATTAAGTTCAACTCCTTGAGTCCTTGAAGGAAGTACATTTTCTAGGGACCCGACAACATGTTGAAGGGACCAATTTTTAGCGCTGAAGGAGCGGCAAAGCAAACGCCCTTGTATTTGACTTGATCATCATTACTTCAGGTCATGAATTCAGTCATTTCAAGTTTCGAAATCCGCGGTCAGCGAAGCCATCAGTACTTGATCAGGTATGTCTAGCCTTAGGGGAGGCCAAAGAGAGCTTTGGTGGTAATTGGAAAGCAAGCCTGTAACACGCTCCGAACTTTTTTGGCTCCCACCAGACTTCGACCACTTGCATGATATATTGTCCTTTTAGGCCTGGGTTCTAGGAATTCCATTCTAGGGTTCTATTGGAATTCCTGGATGTTGGGAACTCCAACAGCAACGATACATGACTATGCGATAGAATGATTTTATGACTCAAGGGTAGAGATCTAAAGGAGGGGCGCCGAAAAGAAGAATTAGAAGCTCTCGAAGTCTTAGGTTAAATATAAAAAGTCTTATTTAGGGCGCAGAGGGATAGAGCTAATACATAGGAACTCGCAAGCCTCTAAAATCCATCCCGAAGAGTGACCGTTGTGGGTAAATGAACGGCTCCTTTTACCCTCCCAAGTCCATTCTCTACATTTCATCTTTGAGCCTATCTGTGGCTCAAAAACATCGAGAAGGTAGAAAATAAATTACTGCCCTTGCTTGGGCTTCGAAGTTGAATACTCAGAACGTCATGTAACCGTCGTCAAAGATAATTAAGGATGTTGCCCGGATTGAGAATTACTTTCTATCGATACAACTTGCAGCTGTGGTTTAAGTGATGCTAGGACTAGAAAGGAGCTTAGGTGGTAGGTATATCCTTGGAAACTATCTTACTTCTACGATTTGAATCCTGGATATCTTATTCGGGCTAAGAGCATCAAGAAATGTGGACTATAGCTCGTTCCCGAGGCTTCAAAAGCAGCTAGAGAATAGAACACAGTGACCAGAAATCCTAGCCAAATATCCCTGAAGTGGTTGGGAATTGTTACGCGTAGTCTTATAGTAGGTCGTGTGCTCATAGAAAGCCTTGCGCTATTACTAGGTATTGGAGATTTACTAACTTGGGTGAATACGGGATGCGCTGGCCGATATCATAAAGATATAAAATGCAATGTCTACGTACGGATTGAATACTACAAGATGAAAGAAATATTCGTAACCTAGAAAGAGATTTAAGGTTCGAGGTCACTTCACGTGTCGATCGCCCCTGTTCCTTCCAAGGCTTTCACTCCGCTTGCCTCATTTGTGACTGCAAGCCTCTATTGAGCTTCCTCAAAAAAAAAAACATCTAACCGTGGCATATTCAGTTGACGACCCGCTGAAAAGATAAAATGCTAGATCAAAACATTTCCGTTGCGACAACATCAATAGTGCCTCAGCGCTCTAAAACTAATTATCCGAATGTCTAAAAGGCTAACCTGTTCATGCCTATGCCCTTCGGCGTTGGAGGATAGCGAAGGCTCCCCAGCGTGAGTATATTACAGCAAATCCAGAACATGTCGCAGATCTTAACTTCCATTCAAACCACACTCTTCTCGTTCACCAAGCTACAAAATTCTGCAGTCGGAGGATCCATGTTGACCTACCGGGCATCATCTGAAAAGGACCTATAAACAGCTTATGACAGCGAGGCGGAAGGAAGGCAAAACACTACCCTAGACCCCTCAAGAGCGTTCCTGAAACGAGAAAATGTAGCGACCTTGCCTATGCGAGCAAGCCAGAGAGTTCTCGTTGCAATATGGAAACTAGTCAACGACCATCGCCATGGGACTTTGAAACCATGAATCTACCCTTAATGGAGGATAGAAGGCGGGAACCCTAAATATGACGATGGAGAGTTGAAAGAAATGCGAAATGCCAGACTGCCTCTTTAAAAAGGCAGCGAGTCACTCTCGTGTGGGCCGGAATCCTCGCCCTTGCAAAGAATCCTAAACACAATCTATCGCCCGTGAATTAATATACCCTGTACGCTCATCTCAAACAATCGAAAAGGCTTCCATCAAGGCCATGGTCTTTGGATTGAACTGAATCGCTTGGCAGCATCTTCTGGCGGTTCTGGGCTCCACCTTGTCAACACCTCGCCACAAATTCCCTCAAGCTCGATGCTTCTTCTTTCCAACCTCTAAACAAGACCCGCTATGCCCAGTATCAACCCTAGAAAACTACGGGCCTGTGTAGCTGATTGCCGCAATCGTTTGCTTTCATAGAGCATGGCTGAAAAGTCGAGAAATGAGAAATAAGAAACTATGAGGGAGCGGACCCGCACCTTTCAAAGCGCTTAGCCAAAGAGCAAGCGAGTAGACTCGCGGTCCATGTGGAGAGATTCCTTCCCATGTTAGAATTTACCAGAATTCATATAGTATTTGTCAATGTTTCTTGTTACATTAGAACTCTATCTTAATAGTTTATACTCGGAAGACCTTTGTACACTAAATAGGACAAAATATTCTCCCGAACTCCGCTTCTCAAATTCAACGTTGTCAAATTGTGAAATTCTCTTTTAAAAAGCAAACCTTGTCACTTTATGGATCAATATGCACGAGACTCGAAACTTGCTTCTTTCCGCTCATGACTCTCCTTCCCAGGTTTTGGTATAAAGCCTCTCCCAGAAGATACTATGTCTGGTCCAGAAGCAAACAATAAAAAATATATACGGTCAAGAATGATGCGAAAGACCGCTTCTGAGTCCGTGGACACCCCTCTACTTGCCCTGCAATTGGGTATTGATCTCATGCGATGTGTAAAACGCAGCGCTGGAATACCCATGCTTGGAGATAAAAGACCATAAAACGGTGAGATGCTGTCGTTAGGTTTGCCAAGGCCAAAATGGGTGTAATTGGCGACGAATGTCTGGAAGTTTGGAGCCGTCCCAGTACCGGGTTGTTTCGTATACCTGTCTGAGAATCTAGATATGCTTGTCAGAAAGATTGGTTTTATTCTCCCGGCCTTGATAGTAGACGAGAATAAAACCAACATCCAAACCACCAATGCCTGGCGCTTCTTCCTGCATCACAGGAAAGACACCCATTGGGAGCATGGGCGAGAATCCGGGACTCACTTTCCCTGAGTTTTGGAAAGTTCACGACTAACTCGGAAAGTAATCGCGTCATGGGTGTGGACGAGAAAGTAGGCGAGAGATTACAAGGGGTGGATTCACATCACCAAAAAGGGTAGAATACATATCCATGCGAACCTCTAGCGTCACCCCTTTAAATTACCAACGCTCCTAATCGTCATAATAAACACTCGTGGCCGAGAAAGCATACAGCTGGCCCTAAAAATTCTTCGAGTCTGCTTCACAGAAAATCGTGTTGTTCTCTATAAACCGTCCCTCCAAAAAGAACTTCACCTTGAAAGAAACTCCCCTGCGTCGTCATGACCAGGAAGCATGGACGATTTCCGAATATCTGGAGGACAGTGACCCTTCCAGAGCCTATACTCGAGCTGAGTTTCTCCTACATTCCGAAGGTCTTCTAAACATGTGGTCCTTTGAAAGTGACGCAGAGTACGGCCTGGTAATCGTATGACCCGGGGAGTAGGTGCGAGACATTGAAGAATGGAAACCTACTCTGAACTATGGGTATGATGAAAAGCACCACCAGAATCTAGTCATGCCCGAATTCCCTTTGCAGATGTAATAGCCACTTCAGGGTTTCTGCCCTGCACGTCTAAAAACCGACCCCGGGCTGATTTGATGCGGAGGCTCTATGTTGACGAAAAAAGCAGGTAACGACTGAGGGCATGAATTAGGGAACAGAGAGGAAAACCCTTCAAGCAGACAAAGACTAGTGATATGTACCAAAAGAAGCTACGCTGATTCCATTTGCGGATTGTTGGCTTCCATTTCGGGGTGTGCTCAGGAGTCGTCGCAACTAACTTATAATGGTAAAAGACGAAGAAACACCATGCAAAAAGGTCATGGGTCGATCTCGACGAAGCCACTAAGGAGTAAAATATCGTTGGTTAATTTCAATGGCCGGAAGGCGAGCAAGAGAGATCAAATTCCCAAAGATTCTTAAAGCTCAACCACCATATTGCATGTGGAGTTTCTGGTCGTCGAGTTGTGAACAGAGGAGCCATCACCAAAAAAGATAGAGGAGGGGGATGCGTCGCGGTTCCCCTTCGCATAAAGTCACGACGAAGGCCAACATAGCTGAGTCTGCGCTTAGGATGAGACTTTCATTAATGTTCCCTGTATTTCTTACGGATTGCGCCACAGTAGCTTATGTGTCAAGTTCCGACTTGAGAGTTGCATACCAGAACTCCGCCCTGGGATGGACTAAAGCGTTACCCTTCCATGTGCATACTGCTTCGAAGACTCTAGAACCTATACTTAGTATTTATTATACCAGTTTGAAAATTGCAGCCTACAGCGAACGAGCAACGTATACGCATCGATGGACAAACCTAGACCTCTTTCGATACCCTCCAATAGCTAAAGACAGGACAAATTATCGCATAAGCCACCCTCAAACTTTCGATATCTCAAGAAGTCAAAAGACCAAAAATACGGTAACCTAAATACATAGACAGTGGGGACTTCCAAAGTGTAGTCTCTTCTCCGTATGTCCGGGAGTTTGAAGTTCAAGATAGCGACACTAGGGGCCGATTTCTGGATCTGGACCTTAAAAGCCAATCTACACGGGAATATGAACAGCAACGCTAACCGCCTGGGTCACGGAAATACCTCGCCAATATTTATGTCCGAAGCTAGGTGTGAAGACATATGCTGTAGCCGAATGAAAGAGACTTGGAGCCGGGCGGCCAAAGACGTTTGTATACTCTCGCCATGGCTGTGAGGTCGAAGTGAGATCGACGTACGCTCACTTCTTCTTTGAAAGCACGTAGCCCTACACGAATGTATTCCTCTTCACCGAATCTCTAAGGAGAGACCCTCATGGTGCGTGGGAAGTATAAAACTCATTTACCACCGGCTAATGTCCTTTGCTCTGACCTTCATCCTTCCTAAGCGTCTGCCGCGCTTCAGCATGATTGGAAAGGTAGACAATGGGATATCGATTAAAGTTCCAAACTCATCAGGCCATAGCATGAATATCTTTGTCGCTTCGTGAGGATGCAAATTAAATCATAGGCATCAGATGCCATGGTAGGATGGCCTTCGAGGGATGTTTGGACGTTGAAAGATAGAACCTGTTGTGGTGGTTAGCACGGTTGCTTGACGGTGATGATGGTGAGCACTTGGCGACACAGTAAATTTCTCGCGTGGGTAGGTCTGTATCAATTGTCGGCTTTATTGTCGTCTTTGATTGATTCGGAGACGGATCTACGAAAGAGTGGGAAGGAGCGAAGGCTCCATCTCTCCTGGATCCTGACCGTGGAGCTAGCATAGCTTCTTGTTCAGGCATGATAACTTCCCATGTCTTGCTGTGTAGTGTTGCTGGATGCGGAGAGCTTATAGCACAAGGCATGAGGCTTAAAAGAATAGAATGCCCTTACGACAATGCAGCGACCTAGGGTGAGCCTTCAGGGATATTCGGTCATGCTTCTCAATATAGAGATACCTTAGAATATTATTGTGGCGACATCGACGGAAAGGTTCATAAATAATTCTGTTCTAAGGGCGATGACTGATCAAAATAGGCCTGCTCTAAGGGCGCGTAGTACGGCTGGGAGAGATTTCTCGACCCACGAGAGCAAAAGCTGCGCTTTCAAACGGCGCGAAAGGGTCATGTACAATTTGGTTAGTGTTGTGAAGCGGCATGTGGGGTCCAGATGCATAATTAAGGTCGATGAGGTTCTCGAGTGTAGCTTGATATACAGCACGACGCGGTAATGAAACCTACTAACATTCCATTTCAACGTATCATCGACAACTCTAGTCGAAGCCTGTTTCAAGAAATCAGAGCGCAGAGAAATTCCTATTAGGTATATTTCCCGGCGTTCTCGTCTCGCTCCAGTGCTACCGTAACACTCACCATCCAGTATAGAAAGCTGACCGCCTGACCAAATGGTGTGGTAGTATGGTACGAAACGAACGGAGCAGAATACATCTGCATTCTAGCATCCGGTGAGGGACCACCATATAGATCGTATGTGACCTAATTCTAGCCATTTTGAGTAACGGAGCGTTACAAAGTCAACGTCCCATTGTCATCGGTCTTTAGACCGCCTCATTGTAAGCTGAGCATACACCGTTCCTCTTAAGGCTAGGCTGACGACCATCAATTAAAGCTCCTCAGGTGGTAGAAGGACGAGCGATTTCGGGGAGGATCGTGAACGTGATGTGCTGAGCCTTTCTGTCTGCCTGAGCTTGACTCATCGTTCAGGCACAGGGGAAGTGTTGATAATTCGTGTCTCGCAGATTCTAAGGGATCATAAACGATGGTCAGCATTATTCCTAAAGAGCATTTACCAGAGAGCATGTCCGTTTGCAGACTGCCATTCTGAAGCTCCGCGCCATTGTCTCAGCTGAAGAGGGAGGTTGGTATTCGTAACTCGTATCAAAAGACCGACCCAAATATAGTCCGTTAGCCACTAACCCTGCCCGATATGAAGGAAGCAGATTAGAACTAGGTTAATCTCTTCATTAAGACAATACGTTAGGGACTAGGTACTTGACATCAATGTACTTAGCAGGTCTTGCTGGTTTAAGCGACTACTGTCCTGACACGGACTCGTCCATAAGTCTGAGGTAAGAAGACAACATTCGCATTGTTGAACCGGTCACCTACAACTCTCACAATTGCCCCAAACTAAGCAAGGCAAACGACGTCTAACCACACGCATGAAACCCCGAGGCTAAAGATTATGTCAGACGGACAACGCAGCCAAACGCAAAACAAAAAGGTTCTGAGAGAGCTGTCAAGGGATGCACGTGGACGTAAGCAGCCCGTAAGCAATAAGTTGCCGCAATCGAAAACGGGTTGCTGGGTCTGAAAATGTGTCCTAATCGATAAAATGGTCAACCGTAGGGCAAAAATAAAGATTTGCAATTTGACTGGAGGGTGGATTTTGGCGGTGTATTACGGAATCGCAAAGCTGAGTTGGAGCAGTTGAGGTGTTTCGGCTGTGGGGAGTACTACCGGCTTCCTATTGCGGTAGTCGTTGCCTTGGGTCTCGTTAGTGCAAAAGAGCTGAACTATTTACGAGATGCTTCATAAATGTGTCAGTGCAGTTTAGATCAGAGGGAGCAAAGCTCAAAGATAGACCAGATATCATGAATGTCGGCAAAAAGAAAGATCTGTGGAGGTTTGCGGGGCTAAATGCGGTAAGTCTTGCAGAGTGAATGGACTGAAGTTGCACAGGAAGGATCCTGGACTGCCGGAGTGTTCTCGTAAAAGTGGTCATCATGCTAACTTTGCTTGTATTGAGCAGTGGGCGTCTGCAATGCTCGATGGGCTGTCGATTCGTCAAGATGATCGAAATGGTGTTCTGAATCAGCCAAAGGGATCAGCAGGCAGAACCTTGTGTCAGTGTCGAATACGCAGCGCTGGGAGGCCCCTGAACAGAGCTTATCATGAAATCGGAGGGAGTGCGCACGAAGATACAAGAATAGCACGAGATATTTCTGATTTTGAGGGGACTGCGGATTTTTCTCTGTTGTGATTGGCGCGATTTTGCGTGACGTGAACACACCGAGGATTGTACGAATTGAGGTTACCAACCGCGATGAGATTGGTCAAGAAATACTCGCAGGCGAAGGTCATCTTGCACCAGCTGCATTTGAAGGACGAATAAAGGCGGTTCCCCACACATCCAACACAACGTCTTGTTGCTACTAATCGTGTGAGCGCGTACGCCCTCAGCACAACATCAAGCAAGTTCTGCAGCTTATCTTCGGGGTCCGGCGTGAAAACGAAGCGCGCGCTCCATGAAAGCTGGAAGATGAGGGAGGAACCAACCTGATTCCTAGGGGAGCATCTGAATATGGTGTCTGGCCTGCGGCGAAGCAGCTGAACGCGAAACGAACAGACTCTATTCATGAGGGTCTTGCAGTGACATTTGTTGTCTCTTGCAGAGCGGCAAGATTGCTGGCTGCATCCTGGATTCTTGGATCCGTGCTGTGTACGATCCAGACCAGCTATCAGCGGGCGGCGTTATGGCGTCCAGCCTAGCGGGCACGATAACTAGAGGATACCACTTCAGGCAGTGAACGACACGCCAGAAGGAAGATGAGCAGCGATCAACGGGACCTTTCCAGTGGAACTTTGAGATGCTGGCGTCTGCCACTGAGGCCTGTGTTAGAGCATCTTCGCCCATGCGGATGCAGGTACACAGTGAGACCGAGTCACGGCTCTCGCAAACCAAAAGTTGTTTGTGTTTTGCGGCGTTTGTTGGACGTCCAATAATGCATGATGAACGCCCCTTTCGCTCCTCAATACTCGGCACCGTGGGACTTGCCCTTGAGCGGCAAATGGAAGCGTTCTAAGACTCAAGCCCGCAAAAGGATATCTGCTGATGAAGTAGGAGAAGGCGAATTTCGCGAGGCATTTTCCGAGGCTGAGGTGGAACATGAGCCTGTCTCTTCCTGGCCGCAGTGACGAAAACGAAAGAAGCTCCCCAATTACAAAAATGGCGACGCCTCTTGCGCCTAGGAGCAAATCTTGAAAGCGGAGAAAAACGAGGTGCGGTTGACAAGTGAGGGATAACGACACTTGAGAACATGGGCTTGCGGGATAGCCCAAACGTGCTTTGACGCAAGTCGGCCGCGGTCAGCGCACAGCAGGGTTTGGCGAGGCACCCCTGGCCAACCTAAAATTGAGGGTAATTATTGATTTGATAGCCAGCCGCAGAACATGCCTGTTGCAGCCTGCAGCACACAGGAGAGAAGGACTTCCGTGATAAAAAGTCGCAGGCACAGGACCGTGGGGTGCGTACGTAGTCATTTCACTTACTCGCAGTGCAGCGACATCTGCGGTGCCTCCGTGTCTCTTCAAACGGATGCGGAGGGGGCATCCGAGATGGAAGACAGGCTTCCTCTCGGAAGGGTGCGTCGAGATCAACATGAATAACGGTCTTGGCGGCTGATGAAGGCGGGGGAGCTCGAGTCTCAACGAGGGGCCTGCGATGCCACTGCGGGCTGGCACTGGGGAACCAGCGTCGTTGGGCCAAAGGCTGCTTTGCTTCCAGCGTCCCGGGCGATGGAGGCTCAAAACGTGGCCGCCGCCGCCCGCCGCCTTCGGCGGGGCAGCTCATCGAAGAGGCCCGAGGGAGATGAGGTCTGCTCAGTGCTCTGAACCTTGACCTGCATCACGAGTCCCAACATCACGGGTCAGGCTTGGTCGGTTCGAGGATCATGGCACCCGATCTAGAGCGAACAGCACCAGGGGCAGATGGAGAAAGGCTTGGTGGCTGTCCAAAACCGCCAATGTGATCCGTGTCAAAAATTAAGTTGTGCAGCCCGCCGTGTGACAGGGGCATGTACGAGCGAATCACTTAGGCCGACGGACATCCCGAGCGCACGCCAAGCGGATTCTGGCTTCGATGTCGAGCGCCGACGACCCACGATCTCGCAGTGGGAGCCGGTCCACAAATTACTTGCTGCCGGTGGAGGCTCACGGTGCCACTGGTGGAAGGAGGAGCAAGTTGAGAACTCAAGAGTGAATGCGAGGTCCAAATAAGCTAGCAGGTGAGGTTAAAGTTAGCTCTCAAATGGCGTGGGAGAATCCGGTAGAAGGGTTATTTCCTGTCGCGCGAAAGCAATCAAAGGAAGCTTGGGATGGCAGGGATACGGATGGCAGTTTTCGCTCTGAGCAGTCGTCGCGGGTGCAGTCCGGGCCATGGGAGAGAGCCGGCGTCGATATCACAGGACTGTTACCAGTGCTGGCAGCGCGCTGCCAGAGCCATCAGCAGTCGGATGTTTTTTGGTTGACGGCTCGCTTAGGCAGCCTTCCTATTGGGCGTTGCGCCCAGGATTCGCCCCTAGCCCTCGCAGATTACACGAAGGGTCGAATTAGGAGTCCTTCATCTCTGGGGCCGGTTGCGCAGCAGAAACACATACGTGCGAGATGAAAGGAGCGCCCGCGTCGCTGTTCTTATGGCGATGGTCGATCAGAGAAGTTCCTCGGGAGTCACTCCGCGTCAATCCGCCCCGGGTGATGCACTCAGGGCTGTCCCACGTTGGAGACGCCATACCGGGACCCGAGAGCGGGCGGTGGCAGCAGCCAAAAAGCCCACCAAGGCTGCGCTCTCACGGGTGCTCTCGCGGGCAGCGCAGTGGGCGCAGAGCGAGCCAGCCGTCGGTTGCGGCTAAGATCTCGACGTACCTCTTGGTGCTGCAGCCGGCCATTTCTAGCAAGGCGCGGGCCATCTCGCTCCAGGCCTGTGGATGTGTGGCATGCAGACTTGCACAATGCGCACAGCCAAGGACAAGCCAGGACTGGGAGCTGGGGAGTCAAGATACCTGGCAAGGGGCGCTTGGGAGAGGCGTCTGGATCGACCGCGGAGTCCCCACTTCCCAGGCCGTCTGTCTCCTCTTGCGCGAGCTCGAAGCCCAAACCAGGCAGTCGGTAATTACTTGTCGATGCACCACCGCGCACCAGGCATGCACAAGTCTGCATCCGCCCAGCACACCAGCGGACGCCAGCTGTCATGGACAACCAACGGGTGCCTCGTGCTCGCGAGAGCTGGGGCGGCCATCGACGAGAGCAGGCCCAGCGCACAAAGGACCGAAAGTATCAAATGCGCGGCCACGTGGGAATCTGTTTCTTGTGCGCGATGCAACGCGCGGGAGTAAAGAAGAACAAGATGATGGAAGAGGCAATTGGATTCAGACGACGAACAGAGAGCCGACTGGGGATTTGGCGGTTTGATGCCTGCAATTCCGCCGTAGAGCTGCCCGCTCGCTGCTTATTTCACCTGGGCACCATCCGTCTTGGGACGGACACGTGCCGCAGCAATACCACCAGGGAGCCTAAAAATAGACCCCCAGGACGCGCTCCAGCTTGGGGCCAGAAAAGCAGGTTGCCGGGACAGGATAGACTCGCAGGCTCGTTAATTGGAATCAAGTTGGGACGAGCAGTTCGTACTAGATGAGAGTCAATCAAAGGGAAACCGGGAACTAGCCGCAGGTCCAAAATCACGCTCCTCTTGACTTCACCCCTTCGCAGCAGCCCCTCCCGTTTTTAAGAGCGCGGCGGGCAGCAGCAGGATCAATCAGTCAATCAGGTGCCCTATACTTGCTCGTACTGGGCTAGTGCAATGCCCGGCGACCTGAACGAGCGAGCATCGAATGGCGGGCCATGTCATCAGCCAGCGCCAGACGCCCAAAGCCAGAAGCACGGGCGAGTATTGGGAAGCACTGGGCGCAGGGATGCCAGGGCCTCCTGTCCAGCTGCCTCTCTGACACCCTGAAGGCAGAATTGGAATCGATGTGCTGGATGCTCTGCAGCAGTGGAGCGGGATGGCTCTGAGCCCTCCCTCGCCTCCACTCCATGGCTCCTTGCGCGCTTAACAGTGCCGTGTCGAATCCACATGCAGCACGCACAGCGATCTGCGTTTCGACGCGCGGGGATTGGAGGACAGCGACAGAGAGTGGATGGCTCTCTTTGTCGAGCGCTTTGTCTCGCACGGCTCATGAGGCCAGACCCCGTCCGTGCAGTGGGAGAGGGCGTGGGTGTTGCTCGTTGGCGCCGGTCCCGACGCATCATCGAGTGCCTCCCCTCACCCTTGGTACTTGGAAAAACAAAAGAGCCGTCTCTGTCTTGACCTCTGTCGCACCGCAAGCCTGGGTTGGGAGCCGCACGGCCCAACACGTCTCCCTCACCCCGCTTCGTGCTGGGCAGAGAATGAAGAGCATTCTCATGACGGTGAGATGAGCAAACTCATCTCAGCAGCTCTGAGGTCTGAATAATGAGGTCCTTTGAGCTGGTCGGGCCGGCGCAAGCGACCTGCTCCTCCACCGCGCTGGTCCAAGCCGTCCCGCCAGCGACTCCGAAAGACTAGCCGACAAGGGTCTGGTTCTGGTCGGTGCTTTGATCCTGGAAGCGCATTGTTGTCTGCCCCAAGTCCAAACCCTGCCTGGCTCTGGCAGACCACACCTGAACGGTGTGTGGTGGTAGTTTTTCTTTCACTCATCGTTGCTTCTGCTGTGCCTCGTCTGGTTTACCCTCTTCCGTCAAAGTGTGTGAATGAATAGCGCTTCCCATCCTCACCTGAGGCCCGCTCTCGTCTCGTCCCATCCCTCATCTCCCCAATCCCGATTAAGATTCGCCCCAAAGCTCGGACGAACCCTATCACCTGGTTGACGTCCTGATGTTCTTGATCCCCCTAGTCCGCCAGACAGCCAAGCGAACCCTTCAACCCTTGACACTCCTAGCCTGCCGTACATATACGTGAGGGCCACCACTCTCCACTCGCTCACGGCAACAAAGCCTTCAGGCCCAGCAGCGTCCAGCCTCCCTTCCGCCATCGCTCCTCTAGGGCGCCCAGGAACTGAGCTTAACAAGGAGGGATCGTCACTCCCCGCGCGCCTCACCACCACCATCGTCTATTCTCTGTTCGGCGCCTCTAGGTTGCAACACCAGATCTTGCAGCCCCGCTGTTGTGAACTGCGACCTCGTCGACCTCATCGCTGCCGCTCGCCCAAGGAGGAAATCGTCTACCATTCCCAGTGCCGTGGACCGTCAGAGCTAACCATTGGCCAATCCGTGGGCAGCGTTGTGATCGCCGGGCGACGACTTCAGCACGGTCATAGCGAAAGGTTTAACCTCTTGACCAAAAACCAACATCCTCACAGCTTGTGGTACCCCAGTTGTAGCACTACGTACTGCGCAACCAGGAAGCCGGGCCCTACCGATCGCTGGCTGTGTTGGAGGAGAACACAGTTCCACGAATATCTGCTTTTGCTCCTCTGTACGCCCCCCTCCCTCGGTCTGACGGTGCGAGCACCACTGATTTTGCGCAGAGACTGAGACTTTCTAGAAGCTTTCCGGACTGGCCTGCATCCTCCGGTATCACTGTCCTCTAGAAGTCTGCGCAGGTACCTTCACCAGGACCACTCACCCATCGCAGCCTCGGGAAAGCCATTCGCCCACCCGGAGGGACGATAAACAAGGTCGGGAGTACCATCGTAGAATATCTAGACCGGTTGGGCGTCGTTGTGCCCTGAGGATCTCTTACAAGATCGATATCCCTCCGTTGCCTGCATCTCATCAGCACTTTGTCCCTCTCAACTAAGTCCTCACACTACGCCTCTGGGCTACGAGCCGTCCGTTGCCCTTCGTGGATCATTCCCAGTCCTCACGTGGACTTTATTGGCCCGGTGCGCACTTTTCATCTCCGCCATTTGCAGCGTCACAGCTGCAGTCGATCCCAACTCCTCCCTCCTCTGAAGCTGCTCGGCCATCAGGGCCTACCCAGCACACAACCGTCAACGTGGCTGCTGCAGTGGTTCATCCGGCTTCGATGCATCCGGGGTCTGACCCAATGGGTGCACCTCCCAGCTTTGCGGTTAGGAGGCCAAACGCAGCCAACCTGGGCAGTTTTGAGCTTCAACTTCCACCGCCGCCAATGCACAAATATTCGTCCTTCAACACCGTCAACGCCTCACAGTCATCACAAGCTCCGACAACCATTGCTAGTGTTGGTAATCTGCTGACCCCCCCAAACAACATTCCAGGTGATGTAATAAGTCCTGCCTCGGGAGTGTCAACAAGCAGTGCAAACTCGTCTGCGATGCCGCAATACGCACCAAACGGGCAGTACATTTACTCCCCATCCACTCAGGGGTCCCACCAATACGGCTACCCATCTGGGCAGCAGCAACAACAGCAGAACCAATATAACCAAGCCAGAGGTATGTTTGCTTCACCGCATCATGACCGTCAGCTCGGGATCCAAGGCTCACTTTCTCGGCGTGAAGGGCTAAACCCGCCACCGTACGAGATCAACCAACAACAGTTGCCACCATTTCCGCCATCTTCGACACCGCTCGGAGCCTCGTCACATCATCCAACAATGTCTGCACAACAGCAACCTCATCATATGATGAGCGCACAAACGCCTGTATCGAGTTCAGCACCTCAGCAGTCACCAATCCACGCTCAGGAGCCTTTCCATCACCGACCTCCCCCAACTCCGACCTACTACAGCTCACAGCCTTCTTCTGCACCTCAGCAGTCACCATTCCAGTATTCGACAGGACCGTCGCCAACTCAGCAGAGTCCAATAAGCGCAGGAGGCTCCGTATCCAGGATGTCTCCAGCCGTGACGCAAGGCCAGGTCCCATCAATACCATCTGCACCATCTCAGTCGCCACATCCCTACCAGCGTCCCTACGGACATGGAAACTTCCCTCTTCCTCAAGCGCCGGTGTTTTCGAACGTCAACAATCCGAACGGGCCTATCGCTCTCGTTGGCGGCATGCATCCGGGGATGATGCCAGGGTTTAACAGCGGACATGCCGCAAGCATGCCTCACTTTTTGGGACACCCGCCTCACCAGCAACAGCCGACAAATGACAGGCCGTTCAAGTGTGACCAATGCCCGCAGAGCTTCAACCGGAACCATGACCTGAAGCGGCATAAGAGAATTCATTTGGCTGTTAAGCCCTTCCCCTGTACCCACTGTGATAAGAGCTTCTCCCGAAAGGACGCTCTCAAGGTACGCTTGGAAGTCTTAACCACTATTTGCGAGTGCTAATGCTTCTGCAGCGACATATACTGGTCAAAGGCTGTGGGAAGGTCGCAAGCTCTGGCGAAGACGTGAAACGCGAGAGCCATTCGCCCGACCAAAAGGGCGCATCTGATTCCGTCGACAGCAAGCCTGCAATATCGAGCCACGCCTAATACGACAATGTGTTTTCCTTAAATATGGCTTCATTTCGCCTTCGCTTGTATTAAATACTCTTTCTCACCATGGATCCAAGGACATGCTCCATCGGAACCACACCACTTCGCTGTTTACAACTTTGGGTTACGGTGTTATTATGCGTACTGTTCATTGTGTTGTGCCTTATGGCCATACGGGGTTCTTGGCCGGAGTCGACGGTAAAGGCGCGCCGTGTTTCCTGTCTTCGAAGCGGATACCTCTTAGTTGCTGTTTCCATGGTTCGACGGTATTTTTTAGGAAGTTGCTTTTCAAAGGGAATTTTTCATGCATGCGCTGCGCCAACGCAGATCGGGTTTCAGGTTTCGGTTCATCGCAATGGGAAACGCTCTGGACTTTAGGGCACAAAGTCAAGCACGCGGGGGCTTTTCAGTGTAATGGGCAGCGTTCTTTGTTCCTTTTGCTGCTGGCAAATTCACACTTGGGCGCAATCTGTACGGCTTTAGGGTCGAAGATACGGTGACGGGGTAAAAAGTGAAACGATAAGGGGAATACCGAGATATGAATCAAACGTTGCGACATCCTGCCACACTTTTTTCTCGCCTTCTTTTCTCGCCTCCTGAAGTAACGAGCGATATGTCGCCGGCTCCAGAAGCGTCGCGAGACGCCACGCAGCTTACGCTTGAAGGAGAGAAGGCTGCGTTAAGGTTATTTTGTTCCAAGGATCGTGCAGATCGATAACGTGACCTGGCCCAAAACATCCTTGCCGCTCGTGAAATCTGGAAGTCGCTTCCGGCTTTCGTCACGACTCACCTCCGCTTCGCACCACAGTGCATCAACGACATCATCCACCTAAGCGACAACGACAATGGGACGCAGTAGTACCCATGCGACGGCACGATCTGAATGACTTTCCATTGCTTGCTATAGGCGATAGCCTTTCTTTAGCGTCTGAAATTTGTCTGTTCCTCAGTGAAGGGATTCCTGGGTAAAAATTTCATTTTCCAATCCATCTGCTGTTGTGGCATGTTACACATCAAACTCGAGCTTTGCACATCTCCGCGCATGTCTACGCATCATTGTAGTCCCGTAGAACCCTAGAAAACATAATGACATAGAGGTGTAGTTCATCAGGTCCAAGGTGGGTATAATGCCGAGAACGACGGTATTGCAAGGTGGTAGGATTGCAACAGCGTTGATCATCCAGAGGCGGTCTGTAGGGCAAGGCGGTAAGCACTTCTGGTAGTTATTTCACCTGGTGGGATCACCTGTTCATTCCTCAAGTTCTCTGACAACCCATTCCATCCCTCGATTTAGAGCTACAACAAACAACGTCGTTGGCCCGCGTTACTTGGCTCATGCTTTCGTTGCCAAAATCACAAATACCCTCGAGTGCAATTGACATTTTGCCCAAGATTCTCCTTCTAGTCTACGAGGTATCGTCACTTCTTGTGCCCGGTGTTGAGCGCCTTCCACCGCTTGTTTACCGGCTGCCCTGTGAACGGAGTGAACACCAACGGCTCCAATAACACGTACCCCGGGCCGTCCCACATACACTCTTCCGACTTCTTGTATGCATTGAAGAAACTTGTTAACTTTTGGTTGCTGGTGGGCTTTAATCGCCTCGCCAGCCGTCCTTCTTTATCGGCCCCACGTCCACCGACTTGCGCTTACACTTTACATCGCCGTCTGACCGCAGATCAACTAACAAACAACACAACGACCCCAGCCATGGTACTGAATGGCTTCTGAGCCACGACTACAGCAATCATACCGCGCGCATATTGGTGCCCTGGTCTTAATTGCATCTTCTACGCCGGTTTACGTCTAGGTTTTGTCTCGGAGCCACTTCAGCATACCGTATAGTTGGATCGTCAGGTATTTGCTTTTGACTGCTATTTCGGCTACACCCTTTCGCGATGGAACGTGTTCATCACTCCCGCCCACCGACGCGCAGGCAGGTGCTTGGTGATGCTTCCCGTCGTGTCAATCAAGGGAGCAGCCCTCAGCATGAAGGTAAAGCGCATCAAATTGACAATAACGAATCATCGCCACCGAGCCATCTTCCCCACAACGAGTCCCTCGTCCCAAATGGGAGTCTTGCAGTTCGCCATCAACCACAACTATCCCCAGAAAATAAACGAATCTCCGCTGTCATTAACGACGAGTCTCGGCCGCATAATCCAAAGCGTGACTCTGAGATCTCCAACACAAGCACCAACGCCTCTAGTACCGGTCGTCGACGAAAAACACACATTGGTCCATGGCAGCTTGGCAAAACTATCGGTCGAGGGGGATGCTCTCGCGTCAGGATAGTGCGACACAGCATGACCGGCCAGTACGGGGCAGCCAAGATCATATCAAAAGCCACAGCAGAGAAAGTGAGGGCTTTGAGCCTGGCAAATCTGATCAAGAGCGCAGAAGAGGAGCCCTCCATGTTTCCTGGGGGCAAAGTCATTCCGTTTGGGCTCGAGCGTGAGATTGTGATTATGAAGCTGTTGGATCATCCAAACATCGTCCATCTATACGATGTTTGGGAGAATCGTAACGAATTGTGAGTACACTGCTGTGTAATGCAATAGTTACGATTGAACTAATACTTGCAATAGGTATCTGATTATGGAACACATCCAAGGCGGCGAACTCTTTAACTACATCGGCGAACAAGGCGGAATTCAAGAAGTAGAAGTCGTCCACCTCTTTCGACAGATCATTGCGGCGTTGCTTTACTGTCATCGACTCAACATCCACCATCGCGATCTGAAGCCCGAGAACATTCTCTTAGACCGGAAGTCATGGGAAATCAAACTTGTCGACTTTGGCATGGCAGCTCTACAGCCAGTGGGCAAGAAGCTCACTACTCCGTGTGGTAGTCCCCACTATGCCGCGCCTGAAGTTATCCGGACTCAATCGTACGACGGTGGAAGGGCGGATGTTTGGAGCTGCGGCGTCATCCTCTACGTGATGCTTTACGGTGCCCCACCTTTCAACTACTCTGGCGACGATAGAGACCTGAAGCATCTTTTTCGTGCCATTGCCCACGCTGACTATGTAATGCCTGACACACTTTCACGCGAAGCTCAAGATCTCATCCGGCGAATACTGGTTCCGGATCCTAAGAGGAGAATACCCATTGAAGCTATCTGGGACCACCCATTCTTGCGCAAGTATGATGCGGGATTGGGCTTTCAAGGAGATATGGCTACCATGGCGCATTGGGTTGGTCCAACCCCTGAAATCAAAGGTTGGACCCCTTTGGAATGGCATACAATCGACCGGGAGATTCTCAGGAATCTGCGCACACTCTGGCATAGTGAGAAAGAGGATGTGCTTGTGCAGCGTTTACTGAGTAAAGAGTAAGCACACCCAAGCTCTTCTTCTCAGGATTACATTCTAATTTCAATAGGGGAAACCAAGAGAAGTACTTCTATTCAGCACTTCTGAGGCATCGCGAGGAACAATTGGAAAACTATGCACCTAGCCCCAACGCTGTTGGCTACTCGAACAGCGACCACCATCACCATGCAAAGATTGATCCAAGTGCTGGCGATCTCCTGCAATTACCATCCAACAAACACAAACGATCCCAATCTGCATACTCTATTCTCAACGACGAGCACTTGTACTCGAAACACAGTTTCTACGAGCCACCTTCTTCTGACGTCAGCTACGACCCATTTCGAGCATCGAGAGATCCCATCATCCCAGGTCAAGCCCTACACCGCAATGTTACAGTACACCGGGGTGGCTCTGATAGTGAAAGCCGTAGAATGCGACCAGTCACAGCTCTAGGCCATCGTACGGGGAGTTCACTACGGATCCAGGCTCTGAAAAACTCTAAACAACGAAGCTCTAATCTTTCGCATAATTCATCGAAGCGAAGTACACCCTCCCAACGCTCTTCATTAGCGGCGCGACGGAGGTCCATGTCCAGGTCCTCCATGGCAAGCTCACATTGGCCGAGCAGCCCACCTGTTATTGTCCGCCCTGGCAGCATAGGGAGACGGGGAGTGAACTTTTCCCATTTGCGGCGCAGCTCTGGTAGTGAGGCAAGCACGACTCCATATACGCCAGAACAGCGAAGGCTCACAATTCGCTCCCGGGAATCCGGAGGATCCTCTACGATATCTCCACCACCCAGCCTCCACGTAACTCCTGCAGCTCGATTAGTGGCAAAAGTAGCTGTAAACCCAATGGTACCACGCCTACGAGTACGGAAGCCCGAGAGCCCAAGCAAGTATATCCAGAGTGAGGCTCGCAAAGTGAGCTGCGAGCTTGAAAAGGTTATGGAAGAGGCTTTTAATCGCTCTTCGATGAGTGAAACTGTCCGAACATCAGTTACAGATCAGGATGGGGAACCCATTGGGTATGAGACGCCACCCACGTCGTTTTCCAATCGAGGCTCGGGAGCCAGTACAATCGCAACACCAAACAACAGGGCGATGTTGAAGAACATTCAGAACCGCCCCCTTCCGCCGCTACCCAGTGAAACGCCAAATACGTTCCTCCAGCGAAAGCTGGCTGAGACCCGGGAAGAGCTTGCTAAACGCTTGGATGAAGACCCTGACAATACCGGACACTTTGAAGAAGTGCTCGAACATTTGGATCGCCTTATGCAGCCAAACACTGCCGGCGCTAAGCGCGCCTCTTCTGCACCCACTAAGTCTCCAGAATGTCCTGGCTTGTTGCCAGTCATTTCTGAGGAGGTCAGGGATAGCGAAGATCGGTTTGGCACCTATAGTTCTAACTATAGAGCTGTCACTGACCCAATAAGGCCTACCCTCCACGGACGTAGAGCCATGACCGAACAGCAAACGATCCGAGTTGTGGAAAACTCTCCAACATCGATAGCTCCGCTGAACATCCGTAAGCGGAGTGGTGCGAGTACTCGTTCTCACAGCACAGCTGCTGACAGTGGACCTACAGTGCCGTGGCCAGATCCAGGGTCGAATCCGCCGCCGCGAACATACCAAAGTGTTCATAACGAACTGCTTGCTACACGACCTAACGATGGAGGTCCTTCGAGGACTGTTACACCTGCCGTTTCGGAGAAGAAAGAGGCTACGATTACGAAGAAGAAGTCGTCCTGGTTCCGCCGCACCACGGAAGAGAAAGAGAGGCTGTCCGAAAACCAGCCTAGACCTGAGACAGGAGCACGGCTGATGATTCCGGAGGCGTGGCAGAGTCTTGATGACCGTATCAAGCCGGAGCATCCGGCAAGTAAAATGGCTTCTGGAGCGTTTCCTGGTTTGGCTAAACATACCTCAAAGCAGTCTGGTGCGAGCAGCGAGTTCCCGATGCGTAATCGGAATTCTACGATTGCGAAAGGAGAGGGTACGGGTGGACGAAAGGGATTTTTAGGCTTATTTGGGAAGAAGGCGAAAGAGGATAAGGGAAAGAAGCTGATGGAGTTAGGATGTGAGTTTCCCTTATTGTGCTTTTCGAAGTTCGGCAAGTTCGGTTTTTTTCTCATGTCCTTTCTGCACCTCCTGAAAAGACTCCAGCTAACTTTCCATCTAGCCACCGATCTCAGCTCCTCATCTCTCCTTTCCGGCGGTTTCGACCTCGCCCCCGGCTCCAACGACGGCGTTCCAATCCGGCCGCCAGAGTTACAAATGAACTGGCTGTCTCGGTTCCTGCACATCAAGCCTGCCAACAAGATCCTCTGCTTCCAAATCGGCCGCGGGAAAGTCCGACAAGACCTCGTCCGGCTGCTACGAGACTGGCAGCGCTTCGGCGTCCGCGATGTTAGCTACGATCGCAAGTCCAACAGTATCAATGCGCATATTGATAAGAATAACCGTAAGTATACCCAACTCCTTTCTCGTGAATGGAGTATGCAGGGAGTTTGTTTTACTCTGCATTTTGGTAGAGATTACATTTGTTTGCATTGTTTGTGTTTCAATACCGTTTGTGCCAGATTGAGCTAATACGGTGGGTGGGTAGATCTCAAAATCAAGCCTGTGTCCCTGGTCATTGAACTTTTCGTCGTTCTAGAGCATGGACGTCGCGCGAACCTTTGCTTGGCGCGGTTCACGCAGACACGAGGCGCAGCGTCGAGTTTCCGCAAGGTTGTGGATATTGTTGAGAATGTGTGTCGGGCTAGGAGTATGCTTGTTGAGGATGAGGACAAGAAGTCGGCTATGTGTGAAGTGCTTTCTTGAAGAGTTGGATCGAAGGAAACTCTGTTGACGGGTGCCTGGAAATACACTTCTCTCTCTGCTTCAGAGGCATGCTGAACTGGGTATTTTTCTTGGTACGGAGTGGAATCCTTGGGGGCAGTGTTGGGGGTAATGGTGAGTGGTGGTTGTTTGAACGCGCCGTCTTGGATGCTGGGCGTGTGGACTTTACTGGCTAGGATTGGATTGGATTGCGGGCCTTGGGGCATCGTTGGCTACGACATCTCGTTGGATGAACGACTCACATTTTCTTCGACATTGTCAGCCCGGCAGAAGCTACATTGGACAGCCTTTCAACACCCAATACATGACACGAATCCCCGAACAGGAACGAAAACAATAGTAGACGACTTCACCCAGTAAGAGTAGGAGTGGAGATCATAATGCATGGTATCTTTGCTGGAGTAGCAGAGATACCGTAATACTGTAATGCCTGCATGACTTTTTCCTTTGTTAATGGATTCTCGAGTTCCTAGTTGGGTTAGTAAGAAGTATGCCGGGCATCGGAAAAGAAGTGGGCATTTGCATTCGATGGCCAGACTTGGGGGGTAGTAAAATTGTATAGAGTATAATTTATGGAGCTCTAGAAAGATTTGCATCACTCCTGCGCTACTTTCCAAAGCTAACTTTACCACGGACATGCAATATCACAAGCACTTAATCCGCAGGTGCTATCTGGTCGTGCTTTGCTCCACCTGTGGCGCCGTTCCCTCAGCCACGAGCAGTTGTGCCAAGGCCGGGTCAACAGTTCTCCCGACACACAAAGCGAGCGACCACGAACGCCAAATTCAAGACCCATCGACAACGAATCCGATACTAACACCTAGGGTACTGCACCACCACCACCAACATGCGTACCTACGACGATACCTTCAGCGGCCAGAAGATCTACCCGGGCAAGGTTCGTCTTGCTACCCTCTCCCTCGCACACCCCCTTCAAAATACCCATCGCGAAGCCGCCACACTCGCGGGACAGAGAATCTGGGAGGAGGGAACGACGGGATTGCGGTATTGGGATTATCGCTAATGGAGCTATGTAGGGCAAGCTATATATCCGTGGCGATAGCAAGATCTTCAGGTTCCAGAATGGAAAAACCGAGAGTCTTTTCCTGCAGCGCAAGAACCCGCGTCGGATCGCTTGGACAACTCTGTTTCGGAGACAGCACAAGAAGGGTATCTCTGAGGTTAGTTGGAATCACTGTTGCACTAGCTTTTGGGGGGGATTGGGTGTTGGAGGTGAGAGTGGGATGTCGCATCGAGATTAGACCAGCCACAAGCTTGGGTTATGATGAGTGGAAAACACAATTGGAGTGCGCTGCGGTCTATCTCGATGGCATTTCCGCTCAATTCACCCCCAATCTCGACATATTCGTCATATAGGGCTTCGTGCTGATCACCTCCCCTCGACAGGAAATCGCTAAGAAACGCACCCGCCGCACCGTCAAGCACCAGCGCGCCATCGTTGGAGCCTCCCTCGACGTGATCAAGGAGCGCCGCAGCATGCGTCCCGAAGCCCGTGCCGCCGCTCGCCAAGCCGCCATTAAAGAGGGAAAGGAGAAGAAGTCGGCCGCTGAGTCCAAGAAGAAAGCAGAGAAGGCCAAGTCGGCTGCCGGCGCTGCACGGGGCCAGACTCAGAGGATCCAGAGCAAGCAGGGTGCTAAAGGTGCGCCAAGCAAGGTGAAGGCGACGACTCGTTAAGGAGTGACGTGATGATGGAGGGAATGGTGCTGACTGGGTCTGGCTCGGTGTTTTCTTTAGGGAAAATTCGATGGGATGGGACGATGGCTTACATCTTTCTATAAATCTTCATGCCGGATGATCCTTTGTTCATTAGGGTCTAGCGATGGGGCAAATGCAATTCATGTCCTCAGGAGTCTGCACAGACGCGAGTATGAGTGCATCGGTGAGGAAATGAACGTATTAAGAGACAAAGCTCTGTCTAACTTCTAGACTGATAATAATTGGTTGCATGTGCATGCTGGCACTGGGATTTCAGTGAATGGAATGAAAGCTCGAGATGGTCCGGGGGAATTCTCAAGTTCCTTTGAAGCTGCCCAGGCTTGGCTTCTCATTAGATGAGTAGTTTCCCACATGCGTACAACTCTCACGAGGAGGGTAGACTACCTCTTAATTCTTTCTGACCTGGCTTGACATGTTGGCCTGCAACCAATTCCTCTCAGAAACCTCCTAAATTGGGTGGAGAGTAAATCGACTCCAGGTGTCTGGTTTGATAATCACCGAGAAACTTAAGAGAATATAAGGAGGCGATCTAACTTAGTCACAAGACCACCTCAAGCCCATATCATGTTGACTAATTGTCGCTGCCTCCCAAAGCCAACACCACGGAACTCCCTCCTAGCCACCCCTCGACATTTGTCAATCCAAATCCAACCATGCCACGTCCCTCGCCTTATCCACAAATACCGCTGTAGATACCTTCTACCGCAACTCAAAGAAGCAGACCACTGGTACCGTCAAACATAATTGGTACGCTTTCTACTTTCCCCTTCCTCCTCGGTCCTCCCTTTTCACGCTTAAGATGGGATTGGAATTGGGATTAGAACTGGAGAACTGATGGATATGATTTAGGGATCTTGGCAGCGGCCTTCATCCGCTTCCGGACGCACCAGTTCCTAGCTGATAATTACTTCGCGCTGTTGTTAGCAACTGTTATAGGTGGGATTTGGGGGCAGGTGAGCGTGATATTGGTATTGTTGGGAGTGCCTTTGGAGCTTGGTAAATCCCCTTCCCCCTACTCTCTGTAATCTCTCTCTTCTAACCTATCTCCATGTCCCCTTTCTCGGAGCTGCGCTGTGCCGTGGTGTGCAAGTCTGCTCACCTAATGCTATGCATCTAGGTGCCATCGCCGTCAGCCCTAGCGGCTTTCAAGCTCCTCTCCTCGGTTTCACTCTCTCCTCTCTCACAAATGCATTCAGTTACCTCGACCTCCTTGAATTACTCCTAAACAATTCTAACATGTCTACTTTATTCCGCTGCATTTTAAGCACACGCATTAGAAGTATTTGGGCCCTGACCTCGGATTTGAGTTCGTATGCTATGTTTAGGCCACTAGGTTGGGTGGTTATGCCCGCGAGTGGGATGTGGGAGGAGTGGGTGTGAGGATTCGGTTTAAGGATTGGGTTTGGTGGGTTTAGTAGGTGTGGGGAGTATTTTAGGGGTTAGTCAGGTGGTGGGAGAAGCAGAGTGGGGAGGATGGGGAGTAGGAGGGAGAGGAGAGAAGGAGGAGCTTAGTGTTTGGGAGATAGTAAATCAAGAAGGCGAAGGAGAGGAGCTGAATGCTAAGGCGGTCGTGGATTAAAGTGATGGCCAAAAAGAGAACATGCCAGAGTGGGAGATCATCGAGGTAAAGAAAATAGAATGTCTTCCGTGGGACTAAGAGGCTGTGGTTTGGGTGTAAGCTATACATTTCAGGGCATATCTAGATGCATATCATTAATTCGACCTAATCTGGTATTGTAACACTGCAACTAGCACTGCGAAGGTGATATAGGTCTCACTCCAGTAAATAGGATTCCCGTCCACCTTTAAACCTAAGTCTTACTTCCTCCCATAACGTTCCTCTTCTTCTTATCTCTCCTAAGCGTCTTGATTAGCACCGGACCCGTCGCATTCCAAAACAAGATGCTTGAAATGCTCCAAACCCATATCCTTACTGTCGCTAATCCAGACCCCCCAGTTCCAGCACTTTGCAGGATAGCGAAAACCCCGCCGCTCTCGGCTCTTCCGATTTTGGAATGAGCATATGCAGCTAGCGAATCTGCAAGTCTTAGTTTTTAGGTTTCGAACATTATTAAATTGGAAGATCGAAAATCGTGGAAGCTGAATGTATTGCATCTTATCTATTACGTATAATATGACAGAAGTGCAATCCCGGGTTGAAATTAGCATCTTGTTCGCACTCTTGCTAATTCTAGCAATAGATTTAACTGATGCATACCACTATAGCCATGTTCTACGTGAGGTGAGAAGGAGCAGAAAGTAGACGTACCTGGATCAATATTAGCGCCGAACCCAAGCCATGATAAACCGAGGGGTGTGAAGGCGGCGAGGAGTAGAGGCAGGGTTGTGTTGCCGATGATGGCTGTGAAGAGGATCGGATGTTGTTTGATGAATTTGGACAGGATGTTGGGTTTTATTTTTGAAACTTCGACCGGTGGTTGCGTTGGCTTGCGGCTTGTTTGAAGGGCCCTTCGCTGGATGTCGATGACAGATCTATAGATATTGAGAGTATTTCTTGGGTGAACTCTTGGGATGGTCCGGAGATAGAGGAAGGCACGTGACGGTATTCTTAAGGCCATTTTGGAAGAGATCGCTACATGCACTCTTCACTAATTGAAGACGACGCCTTTCTGTGGCTATGAGACTAGATTTATTATAAGAGGAGGATTATATAGCAAGATGCTGTCTGCATGATGGGATAGGGATTTGGTAATGAATGAGGTGAGGTGGAGGACGCTTGAGTTGTGGATAATCAAGGATGACTAATCAACTAGTGGCTGAAAATTTATCTGCACTTCGTATTGATGCTGTTCTCGCAGCGCTACAGCGTTCAAGCCATAGCCAGCAACTAAAGTCATAGATATGCTTCGGAGAATCCCTCTATCCCACAGAACATTGAACAAAGATACAATGATAACGTTGGTCAGGGAGAAGATGACATGCAACTATCCAGCCTGGGAAACATCGCAAGATGATGGAGAAGAGCACAGAACGCGCACTGCTCCCCATATCCTCTTCTGAACTTATTTCCGTCGCTCTATTCTAATTAGCTAGGTCTCTATGCTCGTACCACGAAGCTCAATTGCGTCCCTGGCGCGTGCTGTACAACTTTTCTCGCAAATTTCTTGTGGCGTCAATCATCGTCACCAAGCTTCCCTCATGGCTCCCGCTTCCTACATATCGCCTCTGCACCGATAGGCACGCTCCCAAGCTCTTGTCATTCCATGAGAACTCTCGAGATCGAACAACGCAGTAGCAAGACCATCTCCTGCAGGACCGTACTACGAAATGTCCAACAACGCCGAATTCCAGGTCGGAGAGATCTTCAATGTCAAGCGTAAGGTTGCCTTGGTCACGGGCGGTGGCTCTGGGAGGGCTAAGGAGAAGCTTGACCGTGTGGCAGGGATATATGGGAAGGGGATTGAGGGCCAGATCATTCCTATTGTGGGGGATGCTTCCTCCATGGATGGAGTTAAGTGAGTGATCCTGTGCGATGGAGGGGTTTGAAATATGCTGATCTTTTGTAGGAACATGGTAAAAGGGATTGAGTCACGTGAGAAGTGCCTAGGTATTTTCGTCAACAATGCCGGGATTGCGGCTCCGAAAATAAGTACATCCGTACAAATGGAGAGAATGCAGAGGAGCTGTGGAAGAATCTCTTCGATCCTACCTCGTGTGTTGCACGGCCCATTTACGGTGTTCTGTCAAGCAAATGTACGGTTAGGGTCGAGGAATGGACCTCCCTCCAAGCCACCAATGTCGTTGGACCCTACCTCATGACCACCGCATTCCTCCCGCTGCTTCAGAAGTCGTCCGACACCCATCATTGATACTCTGGATACGCCATAAACGTTACGACCATCTCAGGACTCGTTCGAATCTCGCAAGGTCACTTCAGTTACAACAGCAGTAGAGGTGCACATGTTCATTGAAACAAGTTGCTTGCGACGGAGATCGCCAAAGCTGGCCTCAAGATCCGAATGAACAGCATCGCTCCCGGCGTCTTTCCCACCGAGATGACTACTCAGGATAGCAAAGAAAACCAGAAGAGCGAAATCCCAAAGGGGCGCAAAGGAAGCCTTCCAGCCCAGTGCCCGGGGAAAGATCAAGACATGGCGGCTGCCATTCTTTTTGCTGCAAGCTGCCAGTATCGTAATGGCCACACTGTCCCTGTTGACGGCGGTTACTTGATTTAGGTTGGAATCTAGATGCACGTGTCGCGTACCCTGCTCTGCATTGGGAACTTGGGAGCGCGATGCTTTTTGCTTTCACTAATACTTTAAGCTTGAAGCTGGCGTCAAGTCCATGGGGTGGACTTGTCGGCATTTTCCGTATACCGGGAATCTGGACTTGTGTTGGAGACTGATGCTGGTCTGAACACACATGGTATACTTCCACATTCTGCATGACGCTTTCAAATCACAATAGGGGATTTGGAACTGGCGGTCAAAAGTGAAAAGCAAAACTAAACTCAAAAAATTCCTATTTCACGAATCCGGCCCGCACCCCAATAACGATAAATCCCTGGCGAAATGAAGAATGTGGCGTTGAATGCAGGCTTTGCGGCATGATTGGCTCAGGGGTAAGCGCTTGGCGTTGCTTAATTCAGCTTCCTCTCTCATCTTGAAACCTGCAATCATCCACGCCTCCCCATTCGCTCCTATAATAGTTAGAACTCGTGTTCGGCTTTTTCCAAAGTTCTTTTTTGGATCCTGAACAAGAGTGATGTGTCAAGAAATCCTCGTATTCGGGCGGCATGGCGCAGCACAGCCCTATCCAACTTGCGATGTCCGGAGGATCTCCGCATTGAGATCCACTTTCAGTAAGGAGGGCGGATGCAATGCCAGGAACAGCCATGAGTGATCGAAACCTTGACTGAAACTAAACCTATCATAAGAGCGAGCACGCTTCCAGCCTACCGATGAGTTGCCGTTCACGTGCGAAGACCATAGCGCCCGGCTTACATGCTTCAGATCTCGGTGGGCTTCAGGGGTGTCTGGCGTTCTGCTCCTCTATAACAATAAAATGGAAGCTCCAGTCGTTCGTACTTTCTCCCGCATTCCGACATCGCCTTCGAACGTCTTCGCGTTTTAGAAATATTAGGAACCGTGATCGTACCAGCTGCAATTTTTACGCAGCGTCCATTCGTTATTTTTCTCAACATCCTTATTTCACGTAATTTAATTCCCATCCCCAAACTACCACGATGCGTGCCTTCGTTCTTGCTGTCGTAGGTCTAGCTTCTGCGGCTCTGGCCCAGAACTGTGGCCCCAAGTATTCAAACCAGATCTGTGCGGCTGGCAAATGCTGTGGGTACTCCTCCCGGTTTTCTGATCAACGTCGTCTAACTTGTACTCTTCAGGCAGTCAGTACGGATGGGTACGTTACCAGTCTTCCTTTCAATCCAACACCCACAGGAGGCATGACTTGCTTACCCTTCCAAAAAAAAAAAAATCCCCCCCCTCAAAATGATCTAGCTGACCATTCGAATTTAGTGTGATACTTCCGCCGCACACTGCGACCCAGGTACTTGTCTCAAGCAATTTTCTGGCGCTGGATCTAGCTGTGCAGTATGGCTCCCACATGGCATTTATCCTTAATTTTCTTCCTCCTAACCCTGTGAGTTCAGAACAAGGGCGCCTCGACGACCCTGGTTTCAACTACCAAGCCAACGGCGACCTCTTTCGCCTCCACGATCCCCGTTATCGATGTCTGTGGACAAGCTGAGGGCGGCGTGAGCTGCCCTGGTGCAGGTTTGAATGTACGAAATCCCCTCATATTCCTCCCCGTGAAACCCTTTGTTTGCTGACTTAGATAGGGCTACTTCTACCGCTGCTGCTCCTCAGCCGGCCACTGTGGCCCCAAGAACGACATCCAAGACCAGGCCATCTACTGCGGAACTGGCTGTCAAGCTGGCTACGGGAAATGCGACACGGAAGCTAAGCCTCCGGTGCCTACCGCTGCTCCGGGAACTTCACAGAGTGGAGAGACGTGCGGACCGATCGTAAATAAGAAGTGTGCGGCTGGGCTTTGCTGCTCTGGCAGCAATTTCTGCGGTACTGGAGTGAGTGATATTTCTATTATGTGACATCTGGAGGAGATTGGAGAGGGTTTGATCAGAACCAAGGATGAAGGGAGCGGATATTGATAAGATGTTTATGCTGACTTCATTTATAGGTTGACTTCTGTGGTGCGGCGAATTGGTGCCAGCCAAAATGGGGCAAGTGTACTTAAGTCTTGTAGTCTAGGGCGGGAAAAGCGGTAGTATGCCAGCTAGAAAATAGAGTACTATGCACCGTGTTGATGGTCATATGTAACGCACATCGGCACTTCAAGCATCCTTAATATTATCTATACTTCCTATAGTGGTAGATACTTTATCATTTCGATTGTTTGATTATTATTCTCTAGTGCTCATTATTACCAACCGAGGAGGAAGCTCTTACTCATTTATAACATTCAACTGAAGCCCTCTATCAGGGTCACCTTTGTCAACGAGCTTGCAAAGACTGACTCCAGCAAGGCCCCATTCCTACTTTGTACCGGCCTCAGTGTTACCCTACACCATCTTCTATTCTCGCATTGTTTCCACAGACAACCTAAAATATCTTCCTCATGCTCCCACCCATAAATTAACACGCCACAACAACGCTTCGAATTCCACTTCCAAGGCGGCAGCAATGTGCTAAAGCCCAATCATATCACTTGCTGCAAAGTACCCTGCCTCCTCTGCCACTCCTAAGAACCTCATCCTCGAGTATTCCGTCAACTCCGAACAACGCCGCAATTGTTCTCTTTTAGTATCCAGCGAGAAGAGTCTCAAATCGCACCTTATTTCCTCTTGGAGAATTATTCATCGCCAATTGCGCCGCTGCTATGAATCTCATCAGCAGCCATGGCTGCATATTGGATGCAAAGGAAAGAACTGCTTACAACTCATTCATTTTCAGAGTTGCATACAGTAAAGCGAACTAAGATGAAATTCGGGAAGCTAACACTCTCCTAGCCTTGGACATCAAGTTATCCAACTACTCATGTTCTAGACTTAGGCCGAGATGGTGATGCGCACGGACTGATTTATTCTGTGATTAAGACCGTTTCAGTTGCGGAGTCGCCACAAGAGGTCTTTTCGTGTGCCTTAAATGAGCCGTTTGTCTGATTACTTTCAACATTGGGAGGAAGTGAGCGCTTTTGGCACAGGTGACGAGATGAAAATAGAGGAGACTGTAGAGACTTTAAAGCGGCGGAAAAAAGTCTGAGTCGGTTCTCACGTATTTCAAGCGCTAGAGTGGACAGCGTAAAGCCAGGGGCCAGCCTAGTCTTTTTAACAATGATCGGGTTACTAGCCCCGGGCGTTGGGCTGATTCTGGTTGGCCCATGTATCCCTCGAGAAGTGTTCTTGTTATCATGACGTCTCTGGCTATTTATGTCTCTCCAAGGGTGCTCGTAAATCCGGCCATCCTTGTAACCGTAGTCTTTCTGAAATCTTTGATGAGTCTGGCTGTTCGTCTGGTTCGAACTAGAGACGCTCCAGTTGCTCAGATTCTCCCGATCATTCCGGTAAACCTTGCCGGCTGTGTTGCTCCGGCCCCTCCAATTCTCCTCGAAAATCCGGGTAGCGTTGCTGCTCGGATTCCTCCAATTAGCCAAGTGAATCCGGCTATCACTGTAGTTCGGATCTTTCCACGCATTGTGGTGCTCCTTCCTATTCTGGTACTAAGGGAGACGCTGGGGGTATCGTTTAGTAAATATTCGATGGCCTCTGAATCGTGGCGCCAAAGTAGAAGCGGGCCCATGTGGAGAGAAGTCGGTAGGGACTCAGTTGTTGGCACTTCATTAGGCCGTGCTTCATGTTTGAGACTCCTACTGCTGTTTCTCGACCTTGGATGCAATTTCTGGCAGATATTCTCCTCAGGGGCCCCTTGCGGAGTATTTCGATCTTCAGAAGATTCATCACGTGGAATTTCCAATGAAGAAGGACGTGAATGTGGTGATATTTGATCGGTCTTGCGTTGGAGTTGAACTCCCTTTGATTCATCTAGGTGGGATGCTGTTCCTTTATGTTTGCAGTGCTCGGGGCTTCTGAAGGATCCTGGCACAGACTGTCCAAGTTACAGGAAGCATTGTCCTCGCCTTATGTACTGGGGGTGGCATTAACAAGAATGATATTCTCGAGGTATTCAGCTGGCCTCTTGTTGCTTTCGCTCTAGTCCTGATTGCCGTTGGTTGCTTTAGCCAAAGATAGGGCTGGCCATGATGCTGGGTCCAGGGCAAAACTCGCCGAGGGTTTACAGCCGCTAGTGTTGGAAGCTGACCAAGGAGCGACCTTTGGACGATGGGGTCGTTTGGTGATATTTGGGACTAGAGATATGGCGTTTCGTCGCAGAACTTGGGACGGGTCTCTCGCACCAATGGTGGATCTATGGTGAGATGTTGAGAATATCCTGAGACTGGCTGTAGCTGAAGCGAGTGAGCGGGTGTACAAAGACATTGGTCTAGTCTTTGATTCTGTGGAGGTAGGTAGACAATGGAACTCTTTATCTAGAGATGTGATTGCGATTCTATAGGAAAGATAGTTGGATTGATGGACGAATGATGGATTGTAAAAGAGAAGTGGACACAGAACGAAAGACAGCCTTGTTGGATGGCAACTTCCGGGGAAGTTATTGGCTCAATCTGGAAGTGGCGTCCTTCAAGAACGCTTCCCTAGCTGCTCTCTTCCCCTCCCTCCATAATGAAAGCGCATGATAGAGGCGCATGGTTGGCATGGCACATCGTCCCGCACCTTATAGAGGCGCCCTGGGTAGTAGATACCTTCCCGAAATCTCTCTGCGCCTGCATTCTGTGCTGTTTCATCTTCCTAATACCTTCTGAATTATAGTGTCTTGTAATGTGGACTGGAAACAAGTGAATGCCGAGAGAATTGAGAATCCGCAGTCCCGCTGAGATGTAAGCACGTGTAAGTATACACCAGAAACCATGCTACAGATTCACGAATGACTGGTTCTATGCAGCACTAATTTTGCTTGGCGCATTCACATGGCATGCAAATTCCGCGTACATGTTGAGGGTGGGTCTGAAAGGCAGGAAGTTGAAGGGCAGTTGAAGTTGGAGTGAAGCTAATTGGAGCTAGGGTCTTGGCGGGTCCGCATTCTGGAAGTTTTGGACCCAGTCGCCCTGGACCTAGCCAATCTCACTTATCGGCAGCCGTCTGCCAGCAAACCCTTGGAAACTGCACGCGTTGCGATCCCGTAAAATTGATGGTGCATGTCAGGCTGGGAGCTGCAGCTTGTGCCCTGGTGTGCCTCACTACGCGCATGATCGGGCGGGCTTCTGGCAAGTGGCAGGCCACGACGTGGAAGTGTGGCGTCATGGCTCAAAGGCTGATATGGCTGAGCCATTGTGGTGATCGCCTTGATAGGCGGATGTAGGACAGGGAACGGCGACAACGCGGCCGCTCCCACCACAAGCTGGGATCACTGCCCTGTTTGACGTGCCACTCGAAACATGCAGCCCTTGGCCGTCCGGCTCCTTTAAAATTGTTTCCACCCCTCGGGACCCGACTTATAAATCCCAGCATGCCGCCTGCGTGGTGCCTGGCCGCGTTCTGCGAGACACACAATGCCGCTGAGGAAGCGCCCAAAGCAGTCCCTGGAAACTTCTGGGGACACGGCAGCAGAGAAGAGGACAAAGCGGCAGAGGATTCTTGATTTCTTCAGGTCCAGGAAGAGGAAGGCGCAGGGGGAACCAGCTGTAAATTTACCCCCATCAACTCTCGCCTTTTCGTTGCCCCCCTTTTAGCGAACATGCAGCTAATGGCGTCCTTTTGGTCAAAGATTCCCATACCCACTGGCAAAGCAACTCTACGAAAGCCTCCACGAGACTCCAAGATCGCCGAATCCTCCAAGCCAGTCGTATCCAGCAGCTCCATCGATATTACGAGACCCGATGCGGAGAAGGAGCAACCGACGCAGCTGCCCAGCCCACCGCCTGAGCCGAAAGAAAAGGTTGCCGTGCTCAACGAGGAACAGCTACACGCACTCTTCTCAGGGGCCCCTCAGTTCGGCATCCAGCATAAAGACAACAACCTAACCCCTACTGCTTCATACCCCTGGGACGCCGAGTTGACAGTCAAGGATGTCTCCGACTCGGCCCAGCTGGCACAACCTGCCTTCTCCGCAGCGACGCTCTATCCGCACCTTCCGCTTGTACAAGAGCCCTTCGAGGAGGGGAAGCCGCACCAAAGCTATGACGTAGGCACGGTGGAGGTCCCGAGCATGCTGAGCGCCCAAGGAATTGAGCCTGGCTCCATTGGCTTCGTTCACTTCCTACAGTTGCCAAGGTCTGACAATCTTGCTACAGACTTACAACAATCACAGTCGAGCAATGAGTTCTTGCAAGCAGCAAAAAACAAGGAGCACATGCAGAGCGACCCGCAAAAGCTTGGCATCCGGGAGGTTGACCATTCTATGGTTTACGAGCGTTTGACTGAGTTCGGCGATTTACTTGAAGCTCTCCAGGACAGCCCCGAGAGGATGACCATTTTGAATAACCAATCGTCCGGAGAATTGTACGCAAATCTCTTCGGTAAATTTCTATATCCACCGAAATGGGACGGGTCTACCGAGGATCCTACGGGTATGAAAGTCCAGATCGACACCCTACTCAAAGTCCTGCGGTTGAAGGGCGTGTGGTACGACTTCAGTCTGGTCGAATGGCGAATTAGACTGGGCCAGATTCTATGGAGTGATTCAGATACACCCGTCGAAAACGACATTACCCAACCCCATCAGCTGTGGTCAGATCGAGACATACTGCTTCTGCAGATTTGCTTATCCTGCGAGCTGCTCCTTCGACTAGATGCAGTTACTAGCATGGATGCAGATGAGGTGAAACAACGGATGCACGTCACCCCAGAGGAGTTCCAGGGGTTTCTCGACCTTCAAACTAAGAAAACGAATTGGGACTTAATTCTAGCGCAGCGGTTCCTGGATAATATTCTGGTCGTTAGAGAGAGCGACCCGACGCCTTTGCCGCAATCTCCTAAATCTGGGCTACTTTCGATGCTTGGTAGAAGCGAGTCTAAGGGGCCACCAAAGCCTGACCTCATCCTCCTTCCCCGTCATCAAGCCCGCCAACTCTCAGGCCTCCTTAATTTCGCGGAAACTGTCCAATGGCCTGGCATCGATTTGGTTGTGAACGAATTAGCGCAGAAGCTGGGTGTCTCAGACAACACCGCAGAACCAGAGCAACAACTATCTCCTTACGGGAAATTCCTAGAGCCCACTTCTCCTTCTATCAGTATATATGGAACCCCCCTAGCGACATCGACAAGCAGCCCTCATGACAGCTACTTTGGGCACATGACCAGACCTTCTCTTAGCCGAAGTAACTCGCGATCGTTAAAGGTTCCGCTGTTTACCAACCTACTGTCACACGCTGCGGACGGTGCAACAGGCACTTTGAACATTGGTGGATGGCTGAGTCGCTCCTATCTCACCGGATTAATACTCCCCGGTGAAGCCATTTCCCACTTTCTAATGTCAACATTATTGGAAAACGACAAGCTTGCGATTGCTGCTCTTGGCGATTCCGCAAACCTGTATGGCGGCTTCGTCTACGCAGATAGAACCTGGTGGAGCAAGAGTTCCATCGTTGGTCGCGTCCTTGCTTGCATTGAGGGGGCTTCAGAGTGCATGGGCTGGATCTCGATTGGAAGGCTTCCAGAATTACAAGGCGATGGATGGTATGCTCTCAGCAGTGAGCAGCTTCCATTTGAACAACCATCCCGCATCGCAGCTAAGGAAGATTTGCTCGGACGAGACTCTGCAATCGTCCCATGTAGCGACACAGAGAACATCAAGCCTGAAGACCTTACCCTCCCTCTCGATCCAAGCACACCCCCAATTCCATCCATTGGGTTCCTGGAATGGAACTTGACTTCCATCATCTCTGAACTATCCGATACTGATTCCTCCTCCCAACCAGAAGCGGAGGCACACGTTGCTTCTATTACCTTCACATCCTTCGCTCGCGGCACCACACATGTCTTCCCTCTCACCTACGACGTGCAGTTCATATCCTCATTCCCATGCACCCCGCCCCTATCATTCCCTATGCCGAACTTCCCTCAAGTCCTTAAACGCTCCCTCTCCCGCTCCTCCTCCAAACGTAGTGTCCGCAGCGCTCGGAGCGGAATCCGGCCATCCCGCCACCTAAGCCGCCGCAACAGCCACGGCTACGAACCTCTTTTGTCGCACCCACCGGACTCCGCAGGCTTGCCACCAACGCGGACGTACTCGCCCCCTCCAGATGAAGAAGACGAGGATAGCAATGACCATATCCCAACGCCGCAGAAAAGTGAGCCTATGACAACACATCCGCTGCATGTCTCGTACAAGTACAAAATCGTATCAGTGACGGAGATTCTGGATCCGAATTTTGAAATACCGCTTAAGATCCCGATTACGTCCTGCGGGTCGCCTGCGCCATCGAATCCGGACATACCACTGGAGGAGAAAGAAGATACTTTCAAGGATGAAGAAAGGGTTATTCTTGTCCTCGACGCTCGCTCCTCGAAAGAACTCGAACTCCTAGCCCGAGCCTGGTGCGCGGATAAAGGCCTCCATGCGATAATCGGACGTGTAGGACGCACGTGTCTTGCCTGCTGTGTTAGGGAGGCTAGGGGACTTGGAGTCAGCGTCGTGGTTAGAGCTTAAAGTGAGGGAAGCTAAGTATGGATGCTGATATGGATATGGATATGAATTTGACGAATGAACTTTGATGATACTGGAGTATGCCCAGCTAACCTGAGAATGGATAACGATATAAGATTGGTATTTGGTTTGATTTTTCCTGCTCTGATGTTTGGGACGGTGGGCGGCGTGACTTGTTCAGCTATATACCCAGATTTTAGTATACGGATATTTCGTTTGATTCTTGAATATACATTTGATGATGGGTGTTGTTAAGCCTGCATGTCTGGTGAGTGGAGGACGTGTAGATTTAAGCACTCCCAAGACTATATTCATGTCCTGAACCAAAACGCTCACGTTCTCCGTCAAATTCCAGCAACGCTTCCAGTCGATTAATCCTACAACCGGATTCTGAGTGGACCCAGCCGACTAAAGGGGAGGATATCTCTTGATAAGACTCGAACCAGTAACTAGAGAATCCTCATGCAAGTAGGTACCACAAGGGTCTCAGGTTCGCAGCTGTGGATGTGAATCGATTGCATTATGAAGATCACGCCTACTCCAGCAGATCAACTGCAGGCTGGCAAGAGTCTGATCGGCCTGAACCCGAATAAAAAGTTGTACAGCCACTAATGCATTCCAAGAGACCAAAAATCATCCATTATCTTGTTGGCTTTGCCGGACTTCCAATTCCAAACTCCCAGAGACCTATCGGCCTCGTTTCTTCGTCTCCTCATCCCCATCTACGACTTAACCACCTTTTCAACCTCCTTCCCCACCTGCTTCGCCTCCTTCTTAACCTCCTTTGCCTCCATCTTCCCTTGACCTTCCACGCCCTTCAAGCTCTGCTGATACAGCAATATCCGCGTAACCTGGGTGCTGCCAACGACGAACAGGAAGAAGTTGACAGCAGCAAGGAACATGTTTTTCGGCCGGATGACGAAGCACCAGCGCGTCCAGATGGCGCCAGTGGCCATGAGGGCAGCGTTTTGGGTGAGGGAGAGCGATGATGCCGGACGGAAGAAGTCGGATACGCCGGTCAGGACGACGGCCCATTTCATTATAGGAGCCCTGGTGAAAATGCCGTTAGCAAGCGGGATCAGTTTGTAGCAAAAGACGGGGGTTTGAGCGTTATGTAGTGTGCGATGACTCCAACCTGGCACACTCCCACTCCACAGACCCAACCAACCCAGAACCAAAAAGAATAATATACTTACCAGAAATGCACTGTCTTCGGCCCAACAGGACTATTCCACAACCTAGCAAACGCACTTTGCTCCGCCTCCGCGGTTGTAGCAACTCGTCGCCTCAACAGCGGTTGCCGAAACCGCAATGCCGGTCGGAAGGCCGTAAAGATGCGGGCGGCGGGTCTGAAAGACATGATGTTGGGTTCGCGGAGACGGGGGCTGACCAAGCCGATAGTTTGCGAAGGGAATTGAGGGGGAAGGTGGATGCGTGGGTAGGAGAAAGAAGACTTGGGCTCGGGGACAAAGCGTTGGTGTTGAGGTTCCAAGATTTTCGGGATCGGGGTTTGAACGTGGGATTCTCCGAAGAGCGCTAGACTGGTTTGAGGATGGTGGGGAGAGCTTGACGGGACATCGACAGATGTTTAACGACCGCGAATTGAATCACACAACCACCGCTGAGGATACGCCCTTTGACTTATTGACAGAATGGCGACGAAATACGGATTTGCGCAAAGCTTGAAGGAATTGAGGTTCCTGTTCTGTCAGACGAGCGAGCAGAGCGCTGGTTTGAGGTATATGCTTCTCTTCACTCGTGCACCCCCATCCCCGACCGCCAGGATTGAAGGGTGTGGATCGCTAGGGCCTTGAAATGGAAGAGACACTGACAATTTTTCTGCGTAGGAATTTCCTCACCAAGAGCTACCCAACGATGAAGAAGCACAATCCCCACACACCCATCATGATCCGAGAAGCCAGCGGCATCGAACCAAAAGTCTATGCGAGATACGGTGCGTTCAATGCCTCTCCCATCCCCCACACTCTTTCTAGAAATAATTCCAAAAGGGGAATGTAGAATTGAGGTTCAATGCTGGCTGAGAGGCTCCACGGCACAACGGAGGCTAACAACCGGTATTACAGAATTCGGCAAAGAGAAGATGATACCACTAAAAGGTACATACTCCCACTCCCTAAACTTCTGAGAGTGCAAGAGCTGACGTAAAACTGGATAGGTCTGGATGATAAAGCGATCGAGAAGCAAGTCTCCGAGCTAGTGAAATCCTCCGCATGATGTTATTTCATGGTTAGCGGTACGAGGGAGGATGCTTCATCGGGAGGAAGAATACGGCGTACGATACCAAATGAAGGAAGCCAGCAAACTGAGAAGTTTCTGTATATATGTATAACGATGAAGAAATAACACTATAGAACCCAGCTGCCGCGGGTGGGTTAAAATCTGAAAGAAGGTGATACTTGTGGTTTAAGGCATTGCTCAAGGATGCCCTTTCGCACCAGCTACTTACATGAAGGTCTATTACCTGCCAGGGTTGGCCTTAACAAGCTAAGTAGCGTAAGGACTGGTTGGCTTGGATCTCTGTTGAGGCTTGGAAAACATTCTTCGCAAATGCACGCCATTTGGAGATTGAAAGTGGAGACCAAGACCAAGGGAACACAGGCTAAAGCTTTCAGTCTCCAACTCTGGGAACGAGGCCTGGAGCATCGCGATTCCTGACTATCCTTTGGAAGTTAACGAATCTGTTTCCTCATTTACTTAATTTGGGCGCAGATGGTCGGGTGCTGCTCATAGAGGGCGATATTTGCATATTTTGTGTTTGGAAGCGCAGAGGGAGAAGGGCATGATCCGTTGGAATTTGAGTTTTAGATGCTGAAAATCAAGTGCCACCCCTTCAATTTACTCCTACAACGAGGAGAACATGTCTGTCTGGCACTTCCAATTTCAAAGGCACACCGAGAAGGTGTGCTAGGTTGTATAGAGTAATTAGGGAAGGGGGAGGAGGTATTTTCATACCTGAAGGTTACTTGTGGTCCATGCAGTTCATGTGCAATCTAGAGGGGAAGGAGAGCAGGAGCTGATTTTGTAGTAGAGAACCTACCCATGTCTTACCCCTTAGCGAACACAGGGGAGCACGGATATTTAAACTCCCCCTGTGGGTTCCACTAATACCCCCTCACTCTCAAGCTTTTGCTTGGAAGTACAAAAGTTCAAAAAACCTGAAGAGAACGTGTGTTTGGGCGGCCAGGTACTATAATCAACATTGACCTATTTAGATGCCAAAACACCCTCAAATGCTTGGAGTGCGAAAGTAGAGTCAATTCGGGGAGTATTGACATTTTAAAGCCTCAGTATGGCTTGAGGAGACTGTACTAAATCTTGAAGGAGTCTGCTTTGCGCGAGGACAGTGGAGAGGAAGACATTGAACGCGACGATCTTGAAAATGCCTTGAGAATATGTCTAGAGCTCTGAAACATAACGATGAAACATGGTAGTAATGACTACTATTGATTTGTCAATTTCGAATGAGGATCGGGTCTCCACCATTCTGTACAGAACAGAGGCTTCCATAAATCTCCAGGAGTTCCGATATCTTTTGGCCAGATCCGGTCAGAACTTTTTCTCCCCGTCTTCTGTACTTTAAACTTTCACAAGGAGCATGAAAGTGGTTAGGTAGTGTTTCAGTCCGTGGCCGCGATAGAAGCCACGACGATAAGTTGAATCTTCGTAGTTGTCTTTGATGGAGTGTGCATCGCATAGAGGAGGTGTTATATATACGTGAGATAGTATGTGAGACCATGGAAAATATGTGGTTAATCTCTCCAAGTAAAAGACATTGGAATTCTACCTTTTAAGCTTCATATTTTCTATCGAGCATCTTTGGGTTGTTTTTGAGCAGACCTCATAGATCTTTGGGCTTTATGGATTTTTTGAGGCTAATTCCCAGTAGTTATCGCAGCCTAGAAATGACTTAACTTATTTTCCTATTCTTGCTCAAGCTCCATGAATATTGTCCTCAGACTTTGTCTGCTAGAGGTTCGAGCACGAGAAACTTCCACCTTATAACTCTAATGTTTTTGTCTAGACCTCTCTGAGTGCGAATATTCTACATTAGGTAACTCGAGCATCAAGTTAGGCCATACGAATCTTCGTCGTGATACCTCAACCGCATGTGCCTTAATTGCATTTTAGAACTGCTGCGCTGAACTCGCCAAACATGTCTTCTGCTCTATGTTCGTTTTTGACTTGAGCAGGGTCAAGGATTTGTGTTAGTAGCCGGTGTGTTTCGTGTGGACTTGACCATTGGATTGACGTAAGCGCACTTCCGCTGAATGGCTTGATGTTTGTCTATAGGTAGCCTAACCAACATCACCTTTGCACCCTAGAAAACTTTAGTGATATTGTCTTTATCACTAAGTGTGCGGCTTTAATTTCTGCTTTCCAAATTTGGAAGCGCTTTCCGAAAACGCCTTCGTTGATCCACTCCGAACTTGGATTTGGGTAGGTTAGTTCACATTGTTCTCTACATATGCCCATCACCTGCACTAGTTGTATAATCCATACCAAATAAGGATATATCTAAAATTTCTCTATTTGGGCCATAGTGCTACTGCATGCTGATTTAGTTGAAATTGAATTCTCCGTCCGAACCGATAAGCGCATACGAAGCGCATTTCAATTATCTAGTTCAAAATTATCAGCAGGCCATCCAACGCGACACGGATGCCAATTGGATCAGAAATAACTGATCTGGGGGAAGGTGAAGCCTGAACAAAGAAGCTCAAATCGCACTCCGTCGCCTGTTATTAACTCTCGGCGAATTCCGCGAAATACAAGGCTGCACGTTTTGGCGGTTCCATCGGATCTCTGGCAGACAATCCGATGATTGGAATCCGTTCGAGTATTTGTAGACCGACTGACCGTAGAAAGTAGTAGAGAGCTAGTAATAAGGCCGGTGATTGAAGAGATGCTATAGCTAGCAGCGGTGGTCCAGAAGGGACGAGTGGAAACCGGGCGGCTTCCGAGGGCCCGGAGAAAACAAAAGAGAGCGACATCTTATCCTCTGTGACTTTTTCATGGTTCCATTTCGAATTGCTCTCACTGCAGGATGACGTTCACATATGGGGTCGATAACACCCCAAGGAGGCCGAGAACTTTCCTCATTCTCATGGTGGGACTGTACCTATACAAAAGGTTTTAATACGCCATAGATTCGTAAATGCAGAAGATTTTCCCCAACATGAAGCTTTTATGAAGTCCATGGGCAGTAACGGCTGATAGTTTTGCAATGTCAATTGACTGAAGGGATCGCATTGTCTCGAGGCTGCTGACAGCCAGGGAGTAACTGCTCCGCATAATTAGTGTGGGGAGGCGAAAGGCTGCGTGTGCCAATTACATTTGATCTTTGCTTGTTGTTGGGGGTAGGAGTGATAGCATCTTGGCGAAATATAACCCGACACGTGATTGGTCAGGAATTGTGTAAAGTCCGAGAAAATCAGCAACGGCGTCCGATCACATTTTAATTGCTCCGTCGTTGCCTGCCTGCCTGACCATGTACACCATTGTTTGCACCGTCCTGCAAGTTTAAGTAGTTATTCCCTCCATAGCTGCTTTGCTCACAGGCCAAGGGACACGCCTTGCATCAATGCTCCCGAACGAGCATGTCGAACGCGACACCTACCACGATAACACAGTAGCTGGGGCTCAGGCAGACGACGAGGAAGCACAATTGCTCCCAACGGAAGAGCTTGAGTTTGAGGACAATCTCGCCACGTCTTTGCCGTATACGGCACGGCACAGGAGCATCTGGCATTGGCTTCAAGGAGCTCAGCCGCCCCGACCTCAAACCATACACCCCTTTCTCCCTTCGATCCAACGAGCGCCGATACGATTTCTTGACCGCATTCTTCCCGGGAAACACCATCAAAGCATAGTTCTCGCTGCGTGTCTGTTGTTGTGGGCCATTGTGTTCCTGCTGTTCTTACGATCGCAGCTTCCAATAAAGGACGGCGCAGGACGAAACATAGTGAACCTCGACTGCGTCGATACGTTGTGGAAACCCAAGAACCAGTGCGGCGTAGACGGTATAGACTGTCGCCCATTCTCAAATGATTCGTTTGCATTTCGCTGTCCAGCCAAGTGCGCCGGTGTCCAGTTGCTCAACCCACGCGCCGTTGGACCACTGCATGTCAATTACCGGCCGTTGGTGGTTGGTGATGAGATATACCGTGGTGACAGCTTCATCTGTGGTTCTGCTATTCACTCTGGTATCATTAGTGATACGAAAGGTGGTTGTGGGAGGGTGTCGCGCCTTGGTAATCATGACGAATTCCCCAGTGCGAAGAGGCACGGAATTGAATCGATACCCTTTGATTCGTATTTTCCATTGTCTTTCTCCGTATTGAAAGACCCAACCATTCAGTGTAGAGGCGACCCTCGTCAAGCACTACTGGTCGTGTCGTTATTATTCACAACTCTTTTTTCAATATTCTCGACATCGCCTCTACAATTCTTCCCCACCTTCACTCTCATTTTCGCCCACGTAAGCTTCGCATCGGACCCCCCTTCAGCTTCGTATCTCAACATCTCTGTTCTACCTGATCATATCTCCATGTTTGCCAAACGGTTCCTTCCTGCCTTCTTCTGCGCCGTCGTTCTGTACTGGACAGTCGTCAAGCGCACTTTATCTGGACTCGAAGCACAATTTGAAAAGACAGTTTTCTGGCTTGGCGGCTTCTGGTTCGGCGCTCTATCCAACTACACGTTCGACTGGATCCCAATCTCCCGTCTCACGGCTCACGACCTAGAACAACAGCCAGGCGCTAAGGTAGCACTTGCTGTCATCCTAATCATCCTAGTCTGTATCATTGCACAACAAATATACTACTTCTGGCTCGAACGACGCTTACTCCGCTACCTGGCGTTATACGGACTCTTCATACTTGTTATCCTTATCTGCCTTGTGATTCCAGGGGTCTTGCTCCGGATTCATCACTACATCCTTGCTCTACTTTTGCTGCCGGGGACTAGCGTGCAGACTCGGCCATCTCTTCTATACCAAGGCATACTGCTTGGCCTATTTGTCAACGGCATCGCCAGATGGGATTTTGACTCTATTCTTCAAACAGCCGACGTTCTTAGGGGAGATGGTTCTTTTGATTCAGTACTCCCTTCCCTTATGCAGCCTCTGATTTTTCAAGATGGAGAAAGTTTCACTGCCTCATTTTCATGGGAGATACCACCTGTCGGCGTGCATGGTATTAGTGTGCTAGTAAATGACGTTGAGCGTGATCGGGCTTTCTTTACAGATGAGGGGGTTCACAGCTTCGTGTGGACCAGAAGCAATGGCCTAGATCTACCAGAATACTTTAGGCTTGGGTATATTAAAGAAGGAAGGGCGTTGGATTATACAAAGGTGGGTACGTTGTTCGCAAATGGGACTTGGGGGATAGAGGAAGTAGGATAACCTTTCGTCACAAAACGTCAGGTTGAGAACGGAGAGCAATTTTTAGAGATGATCTCTGACTGCACTGGAGCATGATCTTCATCCCCGAATGCATCTACCTAATCATCTAATCTATCTAAATCGCCACTGATAAATTCTACCCCGTTTTAGATCACTTCAGGTCCGTCCCCTGTCTTCAGGTCGTCGCTGCGGTTCTTAATTGGTTCGTGGCTTATTTAAATGGGCTAAGTTCCGTCCAGCTCTTTGATTGACAGGATTTGTGCTAGGCGGGGATGGGAGAGTAAGACGTAATTACGCTTTTTGTATGTGGCTATGATGGTGTTTTCAAGTGTGGCCGTGTATATTGAAAGAAAGAGGCCAGGAGGGAGGACGTAGAGTTTCAATCGAAAGATAAATATTATGCGGACGGATGCTATTTCAATAGAGGGTCGAAGGACATTAGAAGTGATGAGAAAACTATGAGCGAAAGAAGGGTGATGAAAATGAACAAACAAAGAGGTAGTGGGATTAGGATCTAATGTTTAGGATTTAATACATATCCCCCTTAGTTGTAGTGATCTCAGGGGAGATTTTGCGCACCAGACTGTTTCACAGTAGGATCATGTGGTAAATGTAGCATATTATTTCCTTCCACTTTGGGTAACGAAGATGAATGCTTTGTTTTCCTTCTCATGAGATGCAGTTCCCACAGTGCTGCCTTAGGGGACTATTTGTATTCACGTCAACAGCGTACGCCGTTGACCCCTGTACTGTACCCCCCACTCCCTTCTCAAGTCAGACTCCTAGCTTAAGAAATCTCCAAAGGGAAGTCTTTCGGTAACTGCTTGAAGCCAGGTCGTTGATGTAAGGTCGGTGACTCCTGATTCACACCAACTGATCCGAAACCTGGATCTCCTCCCCCTACCTCTCCCGCGCTCTCTCTCACGCATTTCCTGCCTTTATCACACTCCAAGGCCTCAATCTCGCCCACTAGGAGTCCATCACGTTCGAACTCTGCCTCTTTTCCCTCTCTTGCATTTCCCTTAGAGCTTACAGTAACGCTAGTCGCTCGCTTGCGTATACTGGTTCTCGGAGCGCCGCTTCAAAGAAGCGCACTTTACGCTCCGCTAGCAACTTGTTCAGCCTCTCTGCTCTTACGGTCCCACTACTCCGAACCATGCTTATGAATCTTTAGTTTACCAAACCTGTAAGCCCGGGGGCTCTATGATGGGCTGTCTAATTAACTTAGGACCGGTGCCCCATACTACTATATACATCACACATCACCTCGGACTTCAGTCTACAAGACATCGCTTCTCTCATAACTCATTCCCATGGAAGGCTACAGGTACGTTAGGGGTCTGGTGCGTCCGAAACTTTGTCTCCTACCTGCAAGACCCCAACCCATTGCCGACAGAGCATAAAATATCCACAACAAGCCAAGAGAGTGGATCCAACTCTGCGCTGCTCCATTTTAAGGCGAAAATTTACTAACAGGATGAGTAAGGTGTAGCAACTTATCGAACTATTAACACCTTATAAGGTGTTTGTAACTTGTTAACAACACTTTACCTGACATGGGCGCAGTATCACCGCCCGTTCCCTGTTGCCCGTTACATGGACGTGCATCCGTAATAAACCTTCCCGTCAACATTAACCTTATCCTGATTACTCTCACTATTTAGGAAACTTGTTGTTGCGCTCGAGTTCCGAGTGTGCTACAACATGTACTCGTAGCTCTCCACTAGAAAACACAACTTCCCGAAGCAAAACTCGCAAGATATTGTAGCTTTTGAGGGGCATGAGTAATGAGAGAAGTGATGTGTGTGGCTATGCGATATATATAATGGTGTGGGACTCCAGGTCCCGAGTTAATTGGATAGCCCGTCGTAGATCCCTCGGTCTTACAAATATAGACGCCTCTCAGCCAACCTAACAAAGTAGTTTAGGGAGTTAGGTATTAGTGCGCGTGTATCATGAGTTCTGCTGTAAGGCTCCATGTATGCCAAAACGTGGTTTCTGTTGTCGGTTGAGCCATTGGAACCAATGATGTCGCGGCATCCGAGTTGTGCCGGGTAAGCATCGCCGCATCCGGATCCAGCGCCGCGGGTCAGTTGTTGCTGCCTGGGGTGAATCCAGGTGGATTGCGCTACTGCTGAGTTGCAGATACATGTTTGACTCCAATTTTGCGTTACGCTTCTGAAAATCCACACTCTTTCACTTAGAGGGAAGCATTTGCATCCTCTCCACTCATTCTAGATGGACCCAGCATCGGCCATTATTGGGCTTAGCGCTAGTCTCACAACACTCGCCGGCCTCGTTCTCGAGAGCACCAAAATACTCTACAAAGCTCAAGGCCACTTCAGAGAAGCCCCACGAGACATCAGCCGGCTATGTTGGCAGCTAAGCGAATTCGAAGCCCTAGTAAAAGAAGTCCAGTCACAGGTTGACGCTGATTGTGGCGCCCGGAGTTCAGCCATTCGAACTCTCATGACTACGTCCGCGCAAAATATGCTAGAAGACCTACAGGAATTCAACATAAAAGTCCAGCAGCTAGGATCAATCCTGACAGGGCCTGCCACCAGGAGGAAACGGTTTGGACTTAGGCTCCGACACGTATTCACGGAGTCGAAGGTGGCCCAGTATCAGCAACTGATATCCTCATATTCAGGAACTTTAACATTGTTTTTAGCATTAAGTAACAAAGTATGACACATACCATCTCTCGGACGATGATGCGAGGCTAATGTAATAGAGTTTTTATAGAGTCAAGCTGGAGCAGCTTTCGAAACGAAATCTCACAGTATCTTTAAATCCCAATCAGAAGGCCCCACAACGACCTCGTATTGCTCATAAAGCGCCGAAATACAGGGGAAATTCGACAGGTTGGAAGCTTCAACTCCCATTTGGCGTGACGGCTTCCTCGAGCACAGTATTCTACAACCACGAAGACCGCAAACCTGGATTGCAAGCCTCTCTAAATTACCGGCTCACATTCATTCCACCTCGATGGCTGTCTTCATTAATACTGCAATGGGAGTTCCGTTTCAACGATGAAAAGAGTAGATTTCCGGCACTCGGAGTATTCCTCACTCCAATTCGGTACAACTCAGATCCTCGCCTTATAAAGGCTATCAAATCCTGCGATGCAGCGCAGCTTCGCGAGTTGTTCCGTTCCGGGATAGCAAGAGCTGACGACTATGTGCTCATGCGACGTCGGCCGGTACTGTTGTTGGAGGTATTGCTTTTATATCGCCACAATAGCTGTAGACTAACGCTCTGTAGGCAATGGCTCCTCGATCTTCCTCATGCGATCAAGAAAGGGTTCTAGAGACTTACGAATATCTTCTAAATGCAGGTTATTCTACTAGTGGCTTAACGTACGTGATTTTTCACAAATACAAATTTTGGCGACTTTGCCCGATATTCAAATATGCCCATAAGCTCGTTCCACGCTAAACAATGATCCTAGTCTCGCGCCGTCACACACTCAGATCCTAATTAATCTCGCCAAAGGCTCCAAGAAACGGTTAAACTCCGCCTTGAATACATTCTGCTCACACGATGGCAGCCTTTTCTGGTCGTCACATTCCGAACCGCTCTCGGAAAGAGCCGGAACAGAGCCAGCGAGCACAATCCTATCTCTCATTTCTCGACACGGTGCTGGATTTGGTTGCCTGGAAGAGTTTATTTTCCGACAGTCTGAGCCGTGGATGACAGAAGACTTATCTATTATAGATCGATGGCTCATAGGAATTCTAGCCAGCGTCTCCAATAGCTTCCGGAATTCCCTGGAAAGTTATTTGCAGTCCTACAAGTGTGTGTTCGCAGCACAGAGAAACAACCGTTTCTGTTTAGACGCATTCGACTTGGCGACAATCGTGTCTGAGGTTGCGCAAGCTCCTAATAAAGCTCGTATTGAGCTTCTCAAAATCATTATAAAATGGGGTACAAAGGAAATGCTTCACCCATTTCTCTCTGCTGGATTCGTCGATCTAGAAGAATCTGCTGCGAATGAGATGTTTCCTTGGCTGCGTCTCAGCTATCTCAGCAAGGCCGTCAAGTGGAACAACAAAGAGACATTTGAGTATCTACTCAGTCTTGGGGCATGCCCGATCAGAGGTCTCGCCTACATGTCAAGGTTCCCCGACTCTTCTCCTCAAGAGACTGGAAATTCCCAAGAGCAGATCAGAACCATGGCATTGAAGATGGTCGAGTATGCGCTATCAGATGATACCAATCATCTCGTCAATGGCGAGGTGGGGATTGATCATGATTTACTCCTCGCCCTTTTACTTCGTACCAGCAACTTACGTAGATATTCTCAACCGGTAACGGGCCAACTTATCCAACGGCTTTTCAACCACAATTCCGACCGTATTATGGATTGTTCCCAAAGCGTGCAAACCATTTATATTCTTTTCGCGCTTGTCTTGAACCTTCCAAGCACAGTACAGCATTTTCTTGACCAGGCAGCTACACAGAAAGCCAAATTCTGCTCGACCAGGGACTGGACTTCTACGCATAACGCTTTTTGCCCGTTCGACCAAGTTGCACCTACATTCGAGGGAACCTCTGTTGCGCTGAAATGTCATCCACCACTTAACACATTCACCTGGGTATCTCTAGCTGTCGAGCTGGGCCTGCCGGAGTGTTTGCAAGTTCTACTGGATTCATGGACCTCTTCGGGTCCGAAATCGTCGACCACAGAAACTAGCTATAGCAACAACCTCTTTAACACTGAACGATATTCGGAATTTATCTATGCGTTGAACCAGTCGCTTTTAGAGATTGAGGGTGTACAAAAGCATCAAAACTATCCGCGAACAGCGAGCAGGCTCTACACCTGGCCATGCCAAATTCAACAACGGCAGGTAGAGCAACGTGAAGACGAGCACATCGCCAAAATCCTCAAGGATACGATTCAGAAACTTGAGAAACTTCTAAATGTTGACTCCATTGCTAGCATAGGGGGGTCGTCGGACAATGAGGTATCCAATGGTGTCAAAGCAGCTAGGCCAAGTCGGACTCCTAAAACACCGGGCAGCAGGAGGGCATTAGGGGCTGGGTTGATTGTCTCTGCGGCGTCGCTACTGCAACTGAAAGTTTGGGAGATCGTTGTTTTGGCTTGTTTCTATATGATTACCCTTGCACTGTTTGCAGTCTTTTGATATTAGCCTAGTGTTACACAAGGGCTTCCTTCCTCAATAGGATCACAGGGACTTAACTAAAAAGTGTGAGGTGTATGCTCTGTGGTTGGGCTTTAGTAATCTCCAAGCGATGCGAGGCATGTTGGCTCGTAAGAATCGTTGGCAATGACTTTGTGAAAGTGTGCACTAAGCTGTGTTTGTGATAGATCACGAACTTCGCAGACAGGTAAGTCATAAATGAACTTGAATGGAGCTTGCGCAGCAAAGCAAACCATCTGAATCGTAAATTTAAAGGCAATCCTGAGTTGTATATCGTGATGCTGCTCTTTTTGAAAGCGGAAGCCGATTTCGTATCCTGATAGAACTATAAAACACTCCACTTTCTTTACATGAACTTCCATCTTGATATCGTCATTAGCGCCTCAATTACAACAATCCCCGCACCCATTACAACATGATGAACAGCAATCTACCAACCCGAAACAACTCATCGTTACACCGCTCCAAATCCCTGTCCAGAAATCGAAGAACCACATACTCGATCGTGCATTGACTTGATTCAGAAACTGGAGGCAACCGGTGTTGCGCGATGCACTTGGACTGGTGAATACGTCTTCGGAATCCTCGAGGAAGGACGGCATGTTGATCCGTAAAGAGAGAATTCCGGGTTGGTTTGGAAGAGAGAGAAGTTTTCTTGGATGAAAAATTTCACAAAGACGAGAGTGAAAGTATTGAATCGTATGTTGTAGGGTCTACAAGTAAAGATAACTGGGCGTTTGTTTTGTTTAGGGACTGAGGACGGATGGAGTTTGCATATTCCAACGAAGGGAAGGACGGCCCAGATGTCAAGTGGCTAGACCGAGGAATCGTAACATTAAGTTAAACGTGTGTGCCGTGTCGAAAGAGTCGCACGACGTTGAATTAGGGGTTCATGGGATTTTAATGGTTTAAGAGGTGTGATGATGATGGAGGCTGAGAGCCTTGTTCGTAAATCCTCTAACGCCAAATTGGGTAAGTACTCACCTCGTTTGCACAGCATCATGAAACGAATCCTTCAGAAGCACAGCCACAGCGCGCGGCGGCTCTTTTACGAACATGTATAATTAGGTAAAAATTCAGGGCCGTAGGCGAGGCTGCTGCAATCCGAAGAACCAAAGACAATATGAAAAAAAATAAACCCATCCTTTCAGTGTTGTAGCACAACTCAAAACAATCAAGAAACCAGCCGGTTTCGGAATGACTATAGAACACTTCACAGTACTACTTCGTGGATGTACCCACCCCATATTTTTGGAAAGACTTGATTTCAATGTGCTAATGAGGTATGGGATTCCGATTGTGGACAAGTGTCTTTGAAAAGCTACGAGCCTGGCTATTAGCTTGGTATGTCTTAGGTTATTAAACCTCGTACTATTTCCCGACTCTAAAGAGTATAAGGAGGGGGGATAAGTAGGGAAGAGAATAAAGTAAAGGAAGAGAAGAGAAGACGTGGTAGGAGGAGAATAAGAGATGCAAGGAGAAGTAAAACAACAAAAAAGAAGAGAGAGAAATGTCCCGATTCAATAAAGAGTGAAGCAATACTTTGAGTTTGGTATTGCGATGGAATGTGGTTTGATGGTAATTGAAAAAACAGAAAAGTGATGCTGAGCATTGAGATTTGCGGGCCGCGTATGATAGGCCTATCAAATGATTGGCTGGGCAGCCAGAACATCAATAGTATATCCATGTAGGCTTTCCTTCCACATAGTAATGCCAGGAAAACGTCTTGGATGACAAGGTTGAAACTAGAATCTGAGGATATATCGAACCTGGCTGGAAAGTGCCATTGATCCCCTTACGACCAAACCTAGAGGATAATCCAGCATTCAAAAACACATACATTACGTACCTACTCTTTGTCCCCTAGTGCGTTTGGGCCTCCTTTAATTTTTATCGGGACTCCGTCCTGAACAAATACAGGATCATTGCTTAGCATGACCATCTATTGACTCCGATTTGTAGAGCAGAGGTTCGGAGATATGTCGATTTTCTTTTCACAAGCGGCTTGACCAAAGGGCTTTCCATTAGCCTCCCTCAAGCTGACCTTTTAAAAGCAAGCAAATCATACGACTTAGCTGAATAGAAGCCTTGGAAAGGTAAATGAATACTTCCATCTTACCCTAGGAACCAGCGCTCTTCAGAAACCTACTACCTCGAGAGAAGGCGGCAAGACCATAATGTGCAAAAGGATCTGGAGAACATTAGAGATATATTGAAGTAATCAGAAGCCATCGAGGAACCAATGCCAAGGATTCATGCTACTTTTGAGTGAGATGTAATTAGAGAAGAAAATTCTCAGAGGCTTGCTTCTGAGACATTCACTCTGTTTGCCTTCAACTCATCTAGCTGTCGTGACAGGTCATTCGTTTCTTGAACGCTGAAATGCAAAGAATAGCCAATGAGACAGCCAATACTGAAGCTGTAACAAGCTCAGGGGATGGAGGCCTCGTCGGAAGGGAGGAGGGCAAAGATAGTCAGAGGGATGTATTGTTTTCGCCAAGCGGGGGAATTTGCTGATTCAAATAAGCCTCCAGGTGGTCGATCTCTTCAGGGTCCGCCGAATGGATAAGGTTTCTGGAATGTGTCAGCATAATACCGATTCTGACAAGTGTGTGCATACTCGTATGTCCGGAAGTCCACCTTATAGCCCAGTTCAGTGAGCGCGTCAGCACTCGCCTTCCCGTACTTATATGCTACCACCTGGTCCGAGTCACCATGTCCCATGAAAATGGGAGTATTCTCGTTTGGGGTCTCTGCGGGGGTCATATCCTTGAGCTTCTTCTGAAGAAGCAGGTAGCAGCTCAGGCCAAATATTCCGCCGAGCTGGCTCTTGTATGTGACGCCAGATAGCAGGGATATGGCGCCGCCTTGTGAGAAGCCTCCAATGACGACGCGGTCCGCGGGGATGCCGTTGGCGATTTCGGCGTCGATAAGACTGTGAAAGTAATCGCGGCTTTGGGTTATGCCGGCCTCATCTTCTTCGCGCCCAGCAATATCGGTGAGGGATATGATGTCGTACCATCCAGGCATTCGCATTCTCCCGTTCTATACCGGAGATAAGTTACATATCGACCATCGGGTCGGAAGCTTGACGAACACATGTGATGGGAATCATCGGCGCGCTTGGAAACACGAACTTGACCTCTCCAAATTTACTTCGGCGTCGCCAGTTCTCTGCGAGGAAGATCCTACGACATTTAGCTGCCTGGTAGTGAGCTGGTATAAAGGTTGTCGTACCATCCTGCCCCGCTATCTCCCAGCCCGTGAGCAACAATAACTGTGGCCGTGTGTCGCTTGATAGCGGGTACGACTAAGGGTGTAGTTAGAACCATATTGAGGCAAGACTGGGGGGATTCCAGGAGAGAAGAGCGTTTATGTTGATTCACGCGGGGCAGTAATCGAGGCGTGGTGTTGAGGCCCGGCCGCTTGAACTTCGGTGCCGATTTCGCGCTAGCCGTTCCTGCATCAGATCAGACCTCAGGAGGCAGAGGTCCAAGCTCCTCTCAAAACGTCATGCATTCACACTAGGCCCATTCACCTCACTTTCGTTTCGCGTTTGCTTTCCTCTCTACCTCGAATATTCACTCACACCGCTTTTACTTGTGTTTGCTCTCAGCTTACGTCAAGAATTTCACGCCTTCCTCAGCTGTCCCTTCCAACATCGTTTGTCCACCACCCGAACGCTATTAACCTTCCGAATCTGGGGGAATTAATTCATCCTTTCCCTCCGTGCTCCTCGTCGATTCTTGCATGATCCCACTATGTCGACGAGGGTGACCAGGAGCTCGGCTGCCAAGCTCGCCACAGCCATTCAATCGACTCCAGCGAGGAAAGAGCCAGTGCAGCTCTCAGACCCTTCCGCAAGCCCAGGTTCATCCAAGAGTAGGAAACGACAGAACATCAAAACAGATCCTGAAGCCGTAGATAGACCTCTGACTAAAGCATTTCCAACCCCCAAGGGCACTCGAAAACGACCTCGAGCGGCAACCCTCAAGGATGAAGACGTGAATGGGCTTCCTCACAATCTCAGCAGCATCCAGAACCTTCTGCCTAGCACAACGGACAGGGAAACCGGTTCCCCTACAAAGAAACCTAGGATGTCCCGCAAATCTGGCCCTAGTACTCTGCCAAGGGAGGATGATGTTAGTAGATTAGGAGTTAAGGCCTCTGCCATTCCCGAGGCTTCTCCAAAAAAGTCGAAAAACAACGGCTACGGCCTGACCCCCGGTCGAACGCCGTATCCAAATTGGCCTCATCCTACGACTGAAGAATGTGAAGAGGTGACTCGCCTCCTCTCTAGCATCCATGGGGAGGTTAAACCACCAAAGGAAATACCGATGCCTTCTTTGACAGTATCAGGTTGCGGTGAAGTACCTTCTGTCTTGGATGCTCTTATTCGAACTCGCTTGTCAGCCGCGACATCGGGAACAAACTCCAGTCGTGCATTTGCAGGGCTAGTGGCGAAGTTTGGTATTCTTCAAACAGGCGTTGGTAAAGGCAGTGTTGATTGGAACAAAGTGCGTCTCGCCGACACCAAAGAAATTTTCGAGGCGATCAAGAGCGGAGGTCTGGCAGATGTCAAGAGTAAGGATATCAAGAAAATTCTGCAGATGGTTTGGGAGGAAAATCAAGCCCGTGGTGCTGCTTTGACCTCATACTGCGAAGCACCAGGTTCACCAAATGAAGCTCTTGAAGATAAAAATGCTGAAGTTGCACGAGCGCAGGAGAATGTGCTCTCCCTTGATCACCTCCATCTCCTTTCCAATGAGGATGCTTTCAATGAGTTGACCAAATACCCTGGAATTGGCCCAAAAACGGCGTCATGTGTGCTGCTGTTCTGCCTTCAGCGTCCAAGCTTCGCAGTTGACACTCACGTCTTCCGCTTATGCAAATGGCTGGGGTGGGTCCCACCACCAGGTGATCCTGCAGGATTAGCACCAGGTGCCAAGGGCATCTTCATGGGACCAAACCGCAACTCGACTTATGCCCACTGTGAGTTCAGGATCCCGGATAGTCTCAAGTATCCACTTCATCAGCTCTTCATCAAACACGGAAAAACGTGCCCAAGGTGCAGGGCGATCACCGGTGAAGGAAGTGTACGATGGGGCGAGGGCTGCGTGATCGATCACCTTGTGCAGAGATCTGGAGGGAGGAAGGAGGGTGTGGGTGCCAGTCCTTCGAAAGCAACTCTTGGACGCAAACCGAAGGGGAAGAAGAAGTCGAAGGAAGAGACAGAGAGTGAGCTAGAGAGTAGTGAACTGAGTGATCTTGGGAGCGATGATGAAGTTAGCTAATATGCTGCCAATTGAGCTCAGCTTGCAGAGATATTTTATTGTAGTATGCGGGTGATTCGAAGACCACATCTAGAAGATTCGCATTTGCTGCAACGAGACTGTAGAACATGGCATATCAGGCTGCTAATTTGGTATGGATTTTTTCAGTACATTATAGGTCCGATATTGAGTTCCGAGTATAACATTCCTCTTTCCACTCCCGTCTTCCTTTTTTGCCTCCATTTCATATTATTGTGAAGTACGGGTGCCCCAGCGGTCTTTCCTCTCTATCCACCACTCTCCCAGAAGTACACTACATTCAATTATATACTCAAAGTTAACCATAACATAGAAATCAAACAACTGTCGGATTCGTATTCCGGATTCAAGTGTGGAGAGGCCGGGTGTGGGAGTTGCAACTACTACCGGGAAATAAAGATCCCTGCCGCATACCCCACAAAAGAGATTACCCAAAGCTTCATTCGACGTCTACGGTAAGGATAGTTATTGAAGGTATCACAAGCACGTCTTCCATGATTGGGGGAGTTTCTAGCCGCGATGGAATGTTCTCGGCATTTATTATGCTATGGCATCGTGGCGATTACCAGAGAGGGAGATGCTGGGGTAGACATATTGATGGTCGAGGTTGCATCCGCCCCACGAGACAACAATCGCACAAACACTTGGTAGGTTCGCTGAGACTTAAATGCTGGACTTCTATAAAGTTGGGCTTTATATTGGCTATATAACGAAGACGTTTCCCAACCCACCGCGACCTCATTGCCAGACCCCAGTGCAACACCGCCAAGATGCTTCCCACCATACCCACCTTCCTCATTACCATCACCACCCTCTTCGCTCTCCCAGCAACCTCCCTCCTCCGCTTCTCCTGTTCCCAACTCGTCGTCGAGCGCCTCGACCCGCTCGTCAACCCGGGCGTAAGCGGCTCCCCCCACCTCCACCAAATCATCGGCGGCAATGCGTTCAATATCTCCATGGACCCGTCTATTTCTCCCTCTGATAAAGCCTCCTGCACCACCTGCACTTTTGCCGAAGACTTCTCCAACTACTGGACCGCTGTAATGTTCTTCAAAGCCAAGAACGGAACGTTCAAGCGCATCCCGATTAAAGGGAATGTGGGATTTGAGCAGAGTCAGGGGGGGATGACGGTGTATTATTCGCCGCAGACTAAGGGGGCCAAGGGTACGACGGCGTTTAAGAAAGGGTTTAGAATGATTGTTGGTGAGTTGAGTTGAACTAAAGGTTGTTCTGGGATGAGGAGGATGAGAGCTGATTTAGAATAGGGAATCCAACGTATCGGACAGAAGCGCAGGCTAAACAGGTTTGTATTCGCTTGTTGATAAGTTGTTGGATAGCAGCTGATAGGTAGCTCTAGTTCCGCCAACTCACCTATACATGTCTGCAGAATGCCAACACGCGCTCTGGCGAAACCTTGGATTTCCCCAAGAAGCCTTGTCCAGCGGGTATTATGGCAAACGTAAGGTTTCCAACGTACGTCCATCCCTCCTCTTCATCGCCTAATTCTCTCTACGCCCTCCTCTCTTACAATCCTCTAACACTGTGTACACAGATGTTGGGACGGCCAAAACCTCGACTCCCCCGACCACATGAGCCACGTCGCCTACCCTACTACCGGAACCTTTGAAAGTGGTGGCCCCTGTCCATCCACTCATCCCGTTCAGATCCCTCAGCTCTTCTACGAAGTCATTTGGGACACTACGAAATTCAACGACAAGGCCCTCTGGCCCGCTGATGGCTCCCAGCCTTTTGTATGGAGCTTTGGTGGTATGTGGCCCCCTTCTCCTTCCATCTCCTTTACTCAACCTACTTGCCTGCTTTCACCTCGCCCTAGCGAACCCCGACATATCAGACAAGCATCGTAAACTAGCCCCTAATGAACAATAGATCCAACCGGGTACGGCAACCATGGAGATTATGTGTTTGGCTGGAAAGGCGATGCGCTACAGAAAGCAATGGATGCGAACTGTAATATCAATTGCCCACAACTGAAGACACAGAGTATTACGACTGGGAATCAGTGTTCGCAGAAGCAGATTGTGAATGAGGATTTGGATGGGTGGTTGACGGAATTGCCAGGTGGGATGAGGGTTACGATAAAGTGAAGGAATGGTTAGTGTGGGATAGGGCTGGGGGGTAGAGGAGGTAGCTGGAAGCGAGCATGGAGTTGGAAGGAACTTAATGGTAGAACTCAAGCCCGTCCCATGGGTCCCAGATTTTCCATGTTTCCATTTGCAACCTTGCACTCGTCCTTTTCCACAGATTGCAGTCTCAACACGTCTCCCCAACCCTAGTACAAACATCTCAGTCCGCCTCACTCTTCACCCCCACTGTCCCCATTGTCCCAATTAGCTTCATTGGCAGCCTCAACCGCGACATTGATCCCCTCCGCCACTACAGCAGCACCACTCACAACCCCAGCAACGGTAGCTGCACCATATCCACCCATCGCCGCACTCGTCAAAGTCGCGAACATCCCGCCTGCCATCACCGGTCCTATAATTGATTGAACGCCAGCGGCTATCGTTCCTATAGCTACGATTAGCTCCACGACTCCTTCTCGGCTATATAAGATTCATACCGGTTGCAACACCCACACTAGTGAATCCTAGAATCGATAGCACAGGTGCGACGATCAGACTGGGGACGAGGAAGAGTGTAGCGCAAGCGATATGTGTCACGGTCTGTATTGGATGCTGGACCGCATACTGGACGACCGGAGGGAGAATGGATCGGAGAACAGCTATGGCCTTGTCTTTAATGCGATTGAAAGCGTCTTCAACGAACGAGGAGATTTGATTGCCCATCTTGACGTCCAGTTGGGCGGGTCAGTTAATACGGAATTGTAGAGGGATTGGGCTAGGGAAGGAACGGAAGAGAAGGAACGGAAGAGGAAGAGGCGAGTGTAATATATATCGCCCTATCACGTGCCTTATTGAATTTAGTACAAAGTTCCGATATCGTTTGCCTTATCGGTGATCTCTTGCGCTTTCAAATCTAGGATATTCTCGATAATTCCAAGCCGAATCGCTCTCCCGGTTACACATCCAAGGCTTTGATCGCCACCCCTCAGTGTCACTCATGAATTTTAGCACCACCATAATCTCCCCTTATTCGAACATGAAGCACGTGTCTTTTCGCTGCAAGGGTTTGTCCTAGTTCCAGATTGCCCTTTCTTCTGTGGTGTAAATCGCCCCTCATCGAACATGTTGAAAACTGATTTTGGTTTTTGGACATGAATAAAGAGGATCCAAGGTTTAAGATAGACATCGGAAGCATCACTTTTTTTTGGTTTCTTCATAGGTAGTCTTCATGACAATTTTTGTTCGTTTTTAGGGATTGTGAAGACTTTGGGAGGGAAGAGAAAGGAGGTGAAGAAGTAGTGAGGTCAATTTATAAGATTGCGTGATATGTGAAGGGAACCGGGTGACTGTGAAGGCTAGGCGTGATGTAGGGGGATGGATTCGGATTCGGTATGTTTTTCCGCCACCCCCAGTCTTATATATCCTTTCACATGTTCAATCTCGCACTAATCTGTTTGAAGAGGAGATATTCGGAATTTAAACTTCTTTTGGTTATGTGTCTTGAGTGCCCAGGCTACCCGGTTCAGACCTGAGGTTCCCAGACTCCCTGTTCTTCACTTCATAACCCTCGCCCTCCGCTCACCACACTGCCACAGCTTCCCCATTATAACGACGCCTAGGAGGAGGTTTTAATACTACAGTTTTTAGAAACTGTTCCATGGGTTTAGACGCATATACATCCTAGATGTCATTTCTTCGCTCTTCCTCTCATCTGGTGGAAAGCTGCGTCAATCCCATAATTGAGGGGTGTAGCGGATTCTAGTCCTTGAGTCCATATTTATATATGCGCTTGGTTTGATATGTAGCAACGGTAGAAATATCGCAGCCGTAACAGATTGTTTCTCTGCCACTCCAGTCTAAAAGCAGCTATGTTGGAGCTTTGGAAGGGAATTTGATACTGTAAAAGAGCATGAACCAATGGCGAAATTCTTTCGACGTCCTGAGATTTGTCGTCGGTCCCGAAGTGACCCTTGAGTTTCAGATTTGAAATCCTTTGGAAACCAAGAACATAGACTTGAAATCATGTATCCAAATTTGGGTACCCCAAAAGAACATACAACTGTTGTGAAATCGTTTGGACTTTGTGTGATTCATCGCTGGGGGAGAAACATATAATATTCTTGATCGTATTTTTCACCAATTTCGAAGCAATCCATACTTTCCAGATTCTGGGTTTTCTGGAAATGGAGAATATGCGGGCTTGCAAATGGTGTCGCGAATCTCAAAGTCTCCATAGATGATGTTCGTTCCAATTTCCGAGCCGCACAGACAGTTAGATCTAGTGTACGAGGGTCGACTATTCTTAAGAGTTCCGGATTCCTAAACAGAAAATACTCAACTTCTGACAAGGTATTCTCGCCGTGCAGCTCAAAGCAAAACTGCGGCACTACGCACCTTTCGTAGCATCAAATAGCAACTACTCCCGTGCTTGGGGGGTCGAGTCGAGACATTGCCCCGCTCGTGTTCTTTTGTATCCCCCAACCCAGGGACATATAATTTCCATGACATATGCTCTAAGGATCTTGATCCACTAAGTAGGTCTCCGCGAGATTCTTTTCACAATATAGAACTGATGACTCTTGCCAATGAGTTAATGACACATGCAAATATTTTCTGACAGTTGCTGCACTGTCCCATCTTCGATGGGCAGCATGCTAGCGCGAAAGCATTGGCTTATCTAAGTCATTGGTTTGAGGTGATGCATATCAAAACCCTAGCGGACTTTTATTGTTGAACGTTCACATTGGGAAAAAGAAAAGGAGATATTGTATGGCCATGCATTTGCTTGAGTGTCCCTTGGACATTGGTGTAGGTTTGTTAGGAATAAGACTAGAGGATCCGGAGGAGCCAACCACATTCCAACTATATGACAAATTTGTTGTTAGTCCTAGGAAAGCATGAGATCTATGCTAACGGGTTTTGGTTCTAGTTATATTCTAGTGATGACATGGTGTTCTTCCCCGCACAGTTTTTGATGTAGTTTTCCATCTTTGCCAAGAGCATCTCTCTAGGGAGTGGAGAGAATTTTTATCCTTTAAAAAATGGGCTAATATTAGTTGGGTTGGCAAGACTTCGACCGCGGCAGCATGGGGACCAATATATCCATATTTTGGTGGCAAAGATGACCCAGCGAGCAAGGGTGAACCCAACCTATTAATTAACGTGCAGGTAGCGAGAACTCCGCCGTGCTAAGGAAACTAATAGATACTTTAACTTTAGGCAACTCGGACTCTGTGCACACTTTAGCATTTACTATATTCTGTATAAGCTAGATACTATTGTACTCTTGAAAGGGAGGTGATTTATGAAGGAAGTGATGTATTGTGCTCCGAGGGTCCGGGGTGTCGCGCGTGCATTTTTATTCGCCTGTATGTTTTCTTCTGCTGTGCTCGGTAGAAGACTGACCTTTTGCCACTTGCAACACGAGGAGCTATGTAATTTATAGAGTATTGTGGGACGCCAGGCCCAACGTTGATTGGGCGGCCATTATAGAGCCCTCCCGCTTATAACTATAACTACTTATAACCTTTAAAAAATCTCTTATTGAGAAAATTACGCTCGCATTATTGCCTCTGCGCTTAGTTTGGAAAGAGCCTCCTTCTATAGATAGCGTAACAGAGTTCCTTCCCTACAGCACTACCGCTTAGCATCTTACTATTTATGATGCTTATAAAAGAGTCTTTTATGGGCCTTAGAGCCTCACTACGATAGACACTATTTGGCTGCAGTATCGAACTAGACTCCGTAGCGCCAGGTGAAACGCGAATACCTCGTCCAAGGGCCGACGACTATAATTTTTATTACGGGAGCTTTCGCCTATGTACTGTAGTTTTGAATCTGCTTTGGTCTTAGTTACTTGCCCGTGGGACATATGAAGACCGGGTGCGTACAAATGCAGGACATAGTCCCGTCGAGCCTCATGGATATGATGGCTGACAGCCCTTTCATAATATGAACTACGCCGAGGATGGAGTCTCCCCTGTTGCGCTTCTTCTCTCGCAAGCGCGTTAGCAGGCTTTGGACCTTTATATATGTTTTCGTGGAGGAATCGAGAAATCCGACCTGGCGATGTATAAACTATTTCTCTTCCAGGCAGCATTTCACAAGAGAATCATGGCTATGCAGAGTGCTTAAGGAATCACCCTTCTAAACACTGGCAAATATATTTATAGCAAGTTGGTAAATGGTTGATGGTTTTCTGCATTTCCATCACTGTTCATGCTATACTGAGCTATCTGCTGGTGAAGTGACGGGGAGGTAGGCGGCGAATCAAAGAAAAAATATCGGACGGCTAGGTCGAGTTGAAGCAGTTAATTCAGGGGAGAACAGGAATTGCTTGGCGTCGTCCTGGCCGTAGCCCTAAAAGCGACGAGACGTGGCGGGGATGCGGTTCGTAAGACATCAATTTAGGTGGACGGCGATTTTAAGAAAGGACCACAGACTTTTGGGGTCAGGGAAGATGCTCCAAGCCACGGTGAACGTTCGTGGGTTCTTCATCATATCATTTACTGAAATTTAAAAGGACCAGTGGACAGCCCAGATACGACAACTAGGCTAGATGATGGATACAAATGATGGTCTTATATTGCTTGTTTTAGGTGCCCAAATCAACACCCTACTCTTCACACGCACAGCCTTCACCAGCGTCCGGATGGTTCTACTCGCAAGCAATTCGAGGACCTATATTGAACACTCGAACTCCCTGGTAATTAGATTCCTCACATCGATCGCCGTGAACTAGTTGAGGGCGTACCTTGAGATATTCCTTGTCGGATCCATCTCCTCTAGCTTAAGGCCTAAGGTCTTAGCTATGTTCCCGACAAGATCATCGCATACGACTTGCCCAGCCTCTAGAAGGGACTCAGCAGCTTTGAACGCAGCCTCCTAGGACACTAAATTAGTACTATCGCTGAGTATGGCAGCTGTCACTTCAGCCGCGAGACGCAGAAGCTTGTATTTGGCATCCTGAGCCCATAATGGTATATTCAGAGGATTAAGAGGCACACTAGTGATGATATGGTTATTGCAGCTCGTGTCGGCGGCACCGTCCAGAGTGGATTCCCATGGAGAAAGTACATTACACATATTTAGAGTCTTAAGATTCTAGTATGAGCAAACAAGCACGAATATTAAAAAAATTAATAGTAGGAGAGACTAAAAAAGTCAAAGCCTAAGCAATAAAAGCAACTTAAAAAAGCACCTTGAAGTACTCAAATAATTTGAACAGTGATAAATAAAAAGCTCCGCAGCATCGATATCGCAGGCTTCCAAACCAACAACGGGAAGGAACGTCGTTTTCTACTCTAGACTCTAGTAAACCCAACTGCATCAGAGCCCTCCGAAGTGCAATTTCCAAGACCATCTAAGGGTTGGAATATGAGTGATTCAGGGCCCCTCCCGAGCAGAGGATATGAATTCTTTGAAGAAAAACTTGTGGTCTTCGACGTGAATAAAATGAGAAGGTTCACGTAAAATTAAGAATGGCTTACTAGAGTCCTCGGACATTCCTTGTCGATCGCAATGGCAGCATTAGCATTCGCACTGGTAGTTTTGCAACGCCATCCCCACTGGAAACATGGACCAGCCCATGGAATTCTTTCAATGGTTCGGTGCCATAGTATGTGGTCAAATTTCTTCTCGTCTCAGGTTCCGGACTCGAGAATCCGCGAGCTCATGTTAATAGCCTGATGTAGCCTGCCTTTGTCGCGCTGGTGCTCCGTTCATCAAAATTGGGCTGAAAGATTGTAGTACCCCAAAACCCATGTTTAACGTTGATACTAGCCTCAATCGCTCGAACGTCATACTGAAAGCATCATGATTTTCTTTCGCTGGAAGTCCGAATCCGACGTACTCATACGACCCTGGGATTACCGTTTTAGTGCTGCAGCGGGACATTAGAGGTTTCGATCTCTATTTTTAATGGTCCGCAGGAGAGAACACATGGCTATCAGCGGGGGTAGTGGTGTTTCTTTCAGAGAAGAAGACCCATAGAACTGTGTTTTAGCATATTTTTTCTCAAGTCCGCAAACCCAGCCCAAAGTAGAATTTTGGGTTTACTATTCTGCTTATCGTGCCAGGAATGCAGTGCGTGAATAAACTACGAGAAGACAACCCCTTTTCCATATCCTTAAGAGGCAGGCCATGATCTGAAATTGGTGCTATAGACTTTTTACTTTTCATTTTGCTGCGAAGCTGATATAATAATCAGATTGGTACTCATTTTAGTCTGGGAAGACCTGCAGGATATGGGAATTGATTCCGGCGAGTTTTTCAAGGGCAGGACCTGTAGTGCGAGAATACACAATAACGAGCAAAGCGAGGTGATTTTTGTATTCCGTATGAGAAGACATCGACCTCGAGTCGAGTGGTCCCATCAAGGTTTTTTTTTTGCAGAGAAGACACATCATTGGTGGATAGTCGGATTTTTTGTTCCCAAGTGCAGTTCAAAGTAGACATAAATTGGCTCTCAATAGCTTTTCTGAGCCCAGGGTTGCAGTATGTGAGGAATCTATTGAGGGGAAAATGGAGAGGGGTTTTATTGAGGACGAAGGGGTTGACTAAGCTTAGGGAGCTTGCATGCTAAGAGAAAGTGGGAAGGAACCTTGAAACAGTTCAAAATTTCCACCCGTAAGTCCAGGAGGGTAGCGAAACATGGCACCAACCCCCCAAAAAGCCCTTGCAAGAATTTTTTTCATTTAATATAATTCACCCTATATTCCCCAGAGAAGCCTCCACTACCCCCTTCGTGCTCGTCCATCAAAGCTTAGAGCCAGAGTCCCTGCATGATTGAGTCATTCAGCACCATTCTTTCGACTCCATAACATTGATCTTCCCCAGAGCCACCCCCACCTTGATGTTCAATATGTGATGCGGTGCGATGCGATGCTGTTGTAAATAGAGCACTCACATGTGCTTGTGGAAGAAGTTGAGCAGGGTCTTGTAGCCGCGCTCGTATTCAGCCTTGACTCTGGAGTCCTCGAGGTCGGCGCTAGTATCGTCGTCAGCTTCATTCATTTACTCCAAAGAGGGGAATTAGAAGGAAACCTACCGAGCAGCCATCCAGCCGTGAAGCTGATCCGGGAACCACTCAACGATGTGCGGGACCTTGATTCCGGCCTGCCACTTCTCGACGTCTTCCTTGCTCTCGTCCTTGCTGGGAAGCATGGCGTACGGAATCGTGATTCCGGGCGCATCGTCACCGGCAACCATAGCTGGATGGCAGGCTGCGGCGGCTTTGAAGGGAGTACCTTCCATAGAGGAAAGATTGACGATCTATAATTAATTGAGTTAGTAAAATTAACACGGGGATCCTCAAACAGAATCGGGTCTTACCTTCCCACCCCAGCAGAACCCCACAACCGCCCACTTCTCAACGCCCTTGCTCTCACTTAACTCCTTCACCACCTTTGGCACTCGCGGTAGCGTCTTTGGCGGTGCAGCCTTGGTCTGAAAGAATTGGCGCAACAACTTCCCCTTCTCCTCGTTGTCGGGCGGATACCAGCTAATATCAGCAGCCTCACCCTCGAAAAAGTCGGGCATGAAGACCTGATACGGGTGCTCCTTGTCGGAGAAGGCAAGAATATCTGCGCCTTGGATCGTCTGCGGGAAGAAGCCAAAAATATCGTAGATGATCAGGATGCCCTGTTTTGCGTCCTTGGGACCCGTGGCGTCTGCGTTAGTGGAGGTTAGTGGATGCGACGGGTGAGGGGCAGTGTGAAGCTTAGGATGGAAAGCATACACGTCTTCATGCCATCGACGGTGATGTAATCGCCCTTTGGTTCGTAGCCCTTGCTGACAACTGCCGGAAGGTTGCAGCCTGGTCAATTGGTTAGTACTCGATGCTGCCGCAGTTTTGCATCGTACGACCAGGCCTTCTTACAGGCTGCGGATTGGGTAGATTCCATAGACATGGTCGCAAGCTTTCGTAGATGGCTTCGAGGAGCAATTAGTGGACGTCGGAAGGGTGAAGACGAGGGTTGGAGATGTGAGAGTTTAAAAGTAGAAAGTGAAGGTCGTAGGGAAGGAGTAAAGGCGTACAGACGGCGCGTTATCATACTGCAGGAGCATTGGTAAGACCATATTTCCACCGCACCTTTTGTGGTTTGACACAACCCCTCGCAGGTGGGGTACATCTCACATGACATCACCATTGCGGGGCAAGCACATCAACATTCCCACACGCTGTGAGAGTGGTCTGTAAACACTACAGTGAGTGCATGCAACCCATTTTTGATGCTTAGACGCAGCGATTGTCGCATCGTCTCTAATGGAACTCGTATGTTAGTCGGCCCAAATGTTGTGTCATTGGCGCTTGCCTCCGCCGTCTATTGTTTGATGCTGCCTGTCAACACCGCCAGTGCAGAAATGCCAAAACAACCTCCCCTGAAGCTGGTTCAAGCATCCAAACTAAGGGTTTCCAGGAGGTGGTCAATTTTCCCAAGAAGGGTCTGGTAGTTGATTGCATCCTGCATGAATTCGTCGCCCGCAATCTCGCCGTTCAGCGTTCGTATGGCGCCTGCTGCGAGCTGGGTTTCGATATCGAAGGCAAAACCGTCCTTCTGCTTCTCAGGACCCTTATCGCGAATCTCTAGCTCCTCCATAGGGCTCACAACGACTCCACCTGTCCCCTGTGTGGCTTCATCCATCATTTCATCTAGCCCGCTGTCTTCAAAGCGGAGCCTAAACCGCTCACTTAGATAGTATCGGATGTCGTCCACCAGCTCGACTGTATCCGTTTCTTGTCTGCCTTTGACCCTCTTTGCCGACTCCTGCACTAAGCCCGCAAATTCTGGTTCGTCAATGTAGTTCTCCAGCCGGTATGCGATGTATCGTGCTCCAAACTCCTCGAGTCTCTGCACTCGTGTGTCCCATCCAGCGCGAATGACCTCGTAGATATCAACGGCCTCCTCGGCATCTGTCTCTCCACGTGGATTGTCTGATTCGACAGTAGAAGTAGAGCCATTTCCAAGAGCAGAGATGATGATGGCCGCGCGGTGCTTCAGCTTCTCAATGAAGAGTTGGTCTGCGGTAAATAAAACGTCGATTGCGATATCAAGGCCAAAGTCTGCTCGCTCCGTGTACAGAAATGTTAGAACTGTCTCCAGAACTGCTGGGGAGCAATCAAGTTTAACTATTTGAAGGGTTTGTGTTTCTTGCGCCTCACGAAACGACGAGCTGAACATGGCGAGGAAATATTCGGACCGGAGAAGCATCGCACGATGGGCTGGGTATAGAATCGACTTTCGAGAGCGGCGGCGACGCGATGGTGAACGCGATTTTATAGGGCCGACGGGAATACCATTGAGAGGGCCTAAGGCATTTCGAATATGAGTCTGAGGCGGCGTAGAAGACTCGGAGGGACCGGGCGAGACATCGGCGGAAAACGGTTCGTACGGGTCATCCTCATCGGCTCGCAATAGAATGTCGGCGAAGATTGAGTTCTCGCGGTCCCATTGTACGTTGCCCACCTTGTCTGTGTCTACTACGATCCGGTTCTTGACGATATTTCCTTTGAACCAAGCCTCCAACTGATTTCGACCTCGATCTAGCTCCTCTGCTCGCCGCTGCCGTAGCATGCGTCGGTCCGAAACTTCCATGACGCTTTCAAATAGCCGTTCAATCTCTAATTGACGACTGATTTTATCGAGCCCTTCAAGCACAATCCGCTCATCCTCGTCACTCAGGCCGAAGGTGGCAGATCTCAGCGACACTTCAGAGAGGTATAAGTATTGTAATGCAACACCCAAGGACTCAGCAGGAACCAATTGCGACAGTTTCCATGACGTTGTGTCCGGCGCCGCTGCCAGCTTCTTCGCAAAGTACGGCGATCTCGCCGCCAATACAAACTTGTGGAGATGGAAGCTCTGATCGTACGTTACAAGAGTAATGTCGGAGGTCTTAGGACTCGGCCGAGAGAGGAGCGATGTTAGGTGCGCGGCGAGGGGCTGCAGAGGGTTCGTTGACTTTGCATAGTCGTAGGAGAGGAGTAAATTACGTATTCGGTCATTGAGAGCGTTATATAGGCATCGTTCACCCTGAAAGGTATCCCGTTCGCATAGGGCACCGTGTTCCAGTAATAGACGGATGACTTCGTAGTGTCCGCAAAGGCTGGCCTTGGTAAACAATGGTTACCATTACGATGACAAGCAGCGTCAAAATGGGACTTGCCAGGGAGATTGGCGCGCATAGGCCCTAAGCAGAAGAATTCAGGGATGAAAACGAGGGTTGCTCACCAAAATCAGCGGAGTATAGTCGAATTTGTCCCTTGCATTTATATTGACGCCTGCGGAAATAAGCTCCTGACACACCTTCAAGTCGCCCCTCCGACAAGCTTCACAGAAAACGCGAAAATTGTCGCTGAGATCAAGGGGATTGTCCTCTTTCAGTTTCCCGGAGGAAATCGCCTGGGCTTCCGTCACAAGCGCCGCTTCAATCTGATGTTTGTTTAGGACCATAGTAGTAAGTACAGGAGAAGAGCGAAGTGAAAGCGAAGTGAAAGGGAAAGAGAAGGTAAAAGCGAAGGTGAAAGGGGAGTGAAAGCGAGGTGAAAGAGAAGTGGGTGAAAGCAAAGTAAAAGAAAAGTGGGTGAAAGTGAAGTGAAAATGCAGAGGTGGGACAAAAGTCGCAGCGAATTAGCAAAGCGGCGGGGGTTAGCGGCGATAAGATCGAGTCCGATGCACGTGACAGCGAGCCCGGAGCGTTGTCGGCAGTGGCTCGTGCGCAGGTGGTTGCCATGGCACGCTGGCGAACCAAAACACGGCAACGGCTGACTACACACACGCACAGTACACACATCCATGCATCCCACATCAACTACGCCGGCCTCCCATTCACACCACTAACACAGCAGCCTCATACCCCAGTACAACTTTCGTTGCATGTCATAAATATATCTTCCGCCATGCCTGAGGACGACAAATACGACGTCCTCGAGAAGATTGGTACGCACAATTAACCCCCAATAAATTTAGCTGCGTATGCTGATGCATCTATAGGACATGGCTCCTTTGGCGTCATTCGCAAGGTCAAACGGAAGTCTGATGGATATGTGAGTTCATGTGCTTCTATTCCACCATCCAGTGTTAATTGTGGCCAGATTCTCTGCCGGAAGGAAATTAGTTACTCCAAGATGTCGCAGAAGGAGCGCGAGCAACTCCAGGCAGAGTTATCCATCCTAAAGGAGCTTCGACACCCCAATATCGTCGCCTACTTTGAGCGCGACCACATCAAGGCTTCGCAGGATCTTCATCTTTATATGGAGTACTGCGGAAATGGCGATCTAGGACGAGTCATCCGAGACTTGAAGAGCAAGAACCAGCTCGCCGAAGAGGAATTCGTCTGGAGTATCTTCTCCCAGATCGTCAGCGCATTGTACCGCTGCCATTATGGAGAAGATCCTCCTGCAGCCGGACGCAATGTTATGGGCCTCGGTGCAAATGCGAAACCGCGAGGGAATGGCAAGCCCATGATCCTGCACCGCGACTTGAAGCCCGAGAACAGTAAGTTTACCTCGCATGTCGATTGCCACATAAATTGAACAGGCCTGTATAGTCTTTCTCGGTGACGACAACTCCGTAAAGCTCGGCGACTTCGGCCTCTCCAAGATCCTCCAGTCCCACGACTTCGCCTCAACCTACGTCGGGACCCCCTTCTACATGTCCCCTGAGATCTGCAAGGCCGAGCAATACACTCTCCACTCCGACATCTGGGCTCTGGGCTGCATTATCTATGAAATGTGCGCAAAGCAGCCGCCTTTCAACGCAAAGACGCACTTCGAGCTTATTCAGAAGATCAAGCTCGGAAGATACTCCCCGCTCCCAGCTTGCTACTCCCCTGAGCTCGCTAAGGTGGTTGCCAGCTGCCTTCAGACAAACCCCAACAACCGCCCAGATACCGCACATCTATTAAACCTCCCCGTCGTCAAGTTGATGCGCAAGGAGCAGGAGGTGGTGAGGCTTGGTCAGGAATTAAAGGAGCAGAAGCAGGCTGCAGCCCGCATGATCAAAGAGGCAGAAGAGAAGGTCGCGCGAGCGGACGCACACATCGCCAACATGCGCAAAGAGATAGACAACCAGCTGCGACGCGAATGGGAACTCAAGGCCCGGTTAGAGATTGACCGGCAGGTTGCGCTGGAGCTGGAGAAGCTTCGACAGAAGTTCGAGGCTGAGGTTACGAAACGGGTCGATGCTGCTCTCGAAAAGCATCCTGCACGCCTCAGCACATCACCGAAGCTGGCTCCTCGCTCAAACACACCAACCATGCCCGCGGAGCAACAAGTCCTCTTCCCAACAGAACCATTGGAAATGGCCATCAACGCTTCGACAAGCACATTAGGCACCGCATCCGACTTCGCCAGCGGCACCGATATTTCCTCGCTATCTATAGAAGACTCCGAAGAACCCACACAGCCCGTGCCAAAGAAGAGGTCAGCTCGCGCTCCTCTATCACGAGCACGAACCATGTTCACCGGCCCGGTAGCTGCCCAGCCTCCCCCATCACCCATGGACATCCAAATGGTAGATCCCAGTCCCGCTCCCGCATCTATTGCCTCCCTCTCACTCTCCCCCCGTCGGCACGCTGCAAACCGCAGCAACATCTTCGCCGCCGCCGCCGCCAAAGACAGCGCAAAGAAATGGGAAGCAGAAGCCCCACCTTCCCCTATAGAAGATGACTGGAACGGCGACTTCGACGACGACGACATCCCCGCCCTCCCATCACCCACTCGCGCGCGCAGCGCCTCAGGCGCTCGCAATGGAAACGAAGACCCCTTCAAAGTCCTCGCAGCCGGCCAACGGCCAATCTTAAAGCCAAACCAACGTCTCGCCAGCGCCCCGAGCCTCTCTGCCCCAGGCCAGAAAACGCGTCCACAAAGTACCGTCCCCATCGTCGCGACATCTCCCAGCCGCACTAGAACAAAACCTATAGCCATAGACAGCGGGAGCCCCACCCGCAAACCCGCAGCCACGAAAATTACTACGGAGGGTGGTCTCAAATCCAAGAAAGGAAACGAACAGATCCGCATCCAAGCCATCCGCAACAATGGTATCCAGGGCCGCACACTCGTTGAACTTCAGCAAGCGCGCGGGATCCCGGTACAAGCGATGAGTGAGGATGAGGGGAAGCGCGGGTCCAGGTCGAAGACAAAGAGTCCGGTGAAGCTAGGAGCTAGAAGTGCGAATGAACCTGCGATCTGGGATCCTGAGACGGAGTTTGATATGCCGAGTCCGTTCATTGTGAGGTCGAAGAGGATGGTTAAATAGGATGGTGAGCTGGGAGGTGAAAGGAGAGGGTTGGAATATGAGGTTTGGATATGATGTTGACGATGTGGGGTTTAGGTTTGGGGTACGGAATCGAAATCCAGGGGAGGGGGGTTGTACGAACGGCGTCGAGGCGCTATTGATTGGTATCTGGGTGTGCGGTGCGATGACATATCCCGTTGCGTCCTACCCAGTCCTATCCTGTCCTGTCTATTCATCTCTTCCATTTGTTGTTATTCACATCACATTTCTCCAGCCTTCATTGGCGGCATCTTTGCATCTTAGGCGAAAATCTTTTCTTTTTCTAGATACGGGCGTTCACTTTGGATCGATGACGGGGATGAGGGGTTGGGTTGGACAAATGTATTCTACGTCATTCATAACATGACTACTATCTTCACGGTTGGTGTGTGCACTGTGGGTTTGAATTAATGTTGTGATTAGGGGATGGTTCGAGAAATTGACGTACATGCTCTTCTTGGGTTCTGAAGAGTATTATACGCATAATACGTCCGTCCGTAGTACTCGCTGCAACACCGGCTGTTTATACGACACTCATCCACCGGAGGAGTGCATTTGATCTTCATATTACCATCCACCAAATCCAGCATCCTTGGGGTATCATAAACTTAACCCTCACACCGTCGCCTCTCCAACTCCTCTCAATACCCTCTCACATACAGCCCAGCGCTCAAAACTCCTCGTAACCAAATCTTTCATAACATCCCTATCAACAACCCCACCACCGGACTTCTCGATCCTTCGTATCTGCCCTCTGGCTTTCTTCCTCCGATCCGAACAATCTAAAACAATACAAACACCCTCCCTACAAACCCCCTCTTCGAACGCATCAGGATCACTTAGAACCCAATCTGGGCCCTTATCCCCATCCTCATCCATATCCACATCTTTCAAATCGTCACCCCTTCCTTCAAACACAGCGAAAGTACTAGCAACCGGCAATCCCCGCAGACGCAGACGTTCAGCATCCGAAAACTTATCCGAACACAACACCATCTCGACATCCTCATCCCAACTCGCTTTGGGAAGGACGGTGTCTTTTAGCGCGGCGAGGATAGCGAGCCAGGCGGCATCGAAGGCGGAGCCGTCAAGCGAGATGAAGAGAATGTCGAGGTAGAGGGTCCAGTACGCTTTTACTTCTGGGACTGGCTGGGACTCTGTGTCGGGGGGATTGTCAGGATCGTTGGTGTTAAGAGGCAGCGGGGTAAATGCTATCCTCAGATCTTTCGCGCGGATGAGACGGGTAGACAGGAGTAGAGATCGAATCCTTGTTATCAGTGTCTGTGCGGCTGCACTAGGTGCGGAGCCGGGGATGTTAGATGGTGCGCTGCCAGTATTCAACTCCAAATTAGGGACGAGCAATCTCAATCCCTCCAGCTCCCCCTCATCCTCCTCTTCATCCTCCTCTTCGTCCTCCTGCGCACCAACCCCATCTATACCTCCAACTACCCCGTCCGTCGCGGCCACAGCAGGCAAATCCTGAACATCCTCCACCCTCAAAATCTCCCCGCGTACACCACACACTACACTCGTATTCCCGAGTCTTACAACCGCACTACCATGGCAATGGGTCAGCGTCCCGGTCTTGATACCCGGGGTCCGGAATTCCTGAGCCGAGCGAGCGTTGGCGCGGAATCCTTTATTGGCTCCTGGAGCGGAGAGGTGAGCTTGGAGGAAGGGGTGCGGGGATATTGCGGCGAAGATTGGGCGCGGGAAGGAGAGTGCGGGAGTCGACGTCGCGGTTTTTGTGGACGCCATTATGAGGCGTGGGAGGAGGTTGTGAAGTTGGGGATTGTGTGGTGGTTTGTGGCGATCTGAGGTGGGTTTGGGCGGAATGGAGAATTTTTGGGGGAGCTGGTTTGGGGAGATCTATCTTGCCGAGGCGCTAGATTTAAGCTTATTTTCGCGGGGCATTCACCAGACAGCCTTGAAAATCGCAATTAGAAGTTGCCTTGAGGGTTCATTGTCAAGGCCTAGAGCGGCCGGCATTATTGGAGTCCGTTTACTAGTTTCCATGGAACAGCACCTGACAATTCTCCCTAATTAACACTCTAGGTTAAAACTCCTTAATCCCCCAATAAAGCCGATATTCTCCTATTCTCGAACATTTATGGAACCGTCAAGCAACTGTCCATGCCGTTTCTAGCGTCGTCTTTCCGATCTCCCATTCGGCCATTGATACCCACGTAAGGCTGCTCTTAGCAAAATAAATCAGCCCGCCGTTGCTTTCGAGAATGTCTTCGATCGAAATTGATCGATCCACATTAGAACCGAAAGGCTCCGGCGACATCTAGACTCTCCAGTTTCCCTTGTTCCAAAGCCAATCTCCAGACTCGTCTTCACTTAATCCTTCCGGAATCCTCCGTCCCTTGCTTCCACTTCGTATTATTTCCATACAATCTATTATCAGCTTGCCTCTCTGCGAGTTCCTTCCCCTGGATCGATAATTCGCTCCTCATTCAACAAGCGGAGAAGCGTATAGGCATCATAGAGACATTCTAGAGGCGTGGAGACAATGCGAATACCGTCTCCGATGAGCCCATAAAGCCGAGGGATTTCGTCGAGTCGCCTATTGCTCTCATAACGCAAAGCCGATGAGAGTGAGCAGAGTGAGCACGCATAATCAAAGCTAAAGCTAGTATTCAAGCTTCGTTGCTGGGCTTTGTAGTTTTCCGGTCCGTCGAGGTAAGATATTATGAAATTTCTTCGCCTTCTTCGATGTCTCTAATGCTGTGGATCGTAACCTTGTTCAAGTTCTCGTTCTGGGTGTTCTGCGAGTTCGGATCGCACACATGGTTAATGCGAGAGGCTTCAAGGAAGAGGCCGCCTTCCGGTACATTAGGCCCAAGAGACAGTGCGTTTGTCTTCACAATACCAAGGAAAGGGCCATGTCTAGGTCTATGGGCGTTATGCAGAGCAGAGAAGGCGCGCTATTGTCCCTTTCCAAGACTCTACGCTGATTTGGTGATTGTGGGTTTTCACGCTTTGAGGCGATGAAGAGCGTGGAACCTTCAAATTTGGTGTTTCGGTGAGGATGCAGATTTCTTTCCTAATGTTAGACGTGGCAACCCAGCTTTGCCCTTCCCTGTAGATCGACTTCATTGCGTGTAGTCGGTCGTTTTCGGGCGCTTGATCAGCATCTCTATCCATAACCTTCATTTGCGTGATAATATTTTGGCAAACAGATGGTAGCTGCTGAGCCGTACGACAGAGCTTCTAGGTCGGACTTGAGGGTGGGGTTATCAGAATATCAATCCGTTTTCGTGGACAAAGGTGATACAGTCAAGGTGCCCTAGCTCATGTGCCATGGCTTGGCAGCATTGATTAATCACCTAAGCAAGGGCTGACCTGATAATGTCCAATTCATGCATGCTTTCCAAGTAACATCGTATTATCTATCAAAAGGCAAGTCTTTCTTCTAAAGTTCCTAATCACCAACTGACAAGCCGTTAAGGAATCTCCGCATTTCTAGTTTGTCAATAACATCTTATTAGAGCGTTCCTCTATTGCACAGGTTGATCGAAGTAGTATGAAAGGCAGTTTACGAAGAGGGAATGGAGAAGAGAGTATCCTCCATTTCGCACACTCCTTCCTTATATAGAGTACAAGATTGTCCATGAAGTTCATGTTCATTATTGTATTAAGCCTTGACTATGAGTCCGAAAAAGCCATCCGAATCATGCTCTACCCCGCCCCATCGCCACCCTGCGTGGATCATTTTAGGGTATATGATGAAAATGCAATGCCTGGAACCCCCTCCCGGAAATCTCCCAACTATTACATAATCCTTGCCTCCCATCCCTTTGCCCTCCCGTACCACGTCTCTCACAATTTCGCGATCTAACCACTCGCCAATCCAGTCTTGGCCTTCGTAGCAGCAACTGGCTCTGGAGTCCATTTCCCCTCCTTGCTGAAGCTGCTACCACTCAAGATCTGCGGCGCAAGCTGCCCCGACATGTAGTCCCGACCTTTGATAGCCCAGACCATGAAGCTCGGGAGCTTGTGGCCTCCGAACGCCCCAACGCCTTTTCCGGTGCCAATTGGGCAAATCTGCTGCTCGCTTAGGTTGGCCTTATATACTCGGTCTGGGCCGGCTTCCTTTCCGCTAATCAGAGCCGTGAGGTCGGTCCTGAGGTTCGTCATAGCCACGGGAATGGCATCGCCAAGATCGATGGCCCCCCCACGAGTGTAAGAGCCGACATCGCCAACGACGTAGACGCGGGGTCCAGCTGCCTCGACCCGAAGGGTCTTCGGATTGCATGCCACACGATTGCGGTTGTCAAGCCACTCCTTCGGGAGGAATGAAGTGTTGGGGCGGACACCCGTAGCGTCGATATAGATATCTGCTTCAATAGTCCTGCCGTCGGAGAGCGTGACCGTAGTCTTTGTGCCCTCACCATCTCCTGATGGGCTCGTAGACACCACCTTTGTGTTGTAGACAACGTCAGCACCGAGCTTCTTCAAGAACGTCTCTGCCTGCTTGGAGATGGCTTCTCGCAGAATCGGCAACATCTTCTTCTCCGCGCAGATGAGTGTGACCTTTGCCTTGGGGTTCTTCGGGGCCGAGGCCATGAAGCCTGGCTTGCCATTCAGGGCCTCAGCAATCTCTCCCGCGGTCTCCACGCCAACGGGGCCGGCGCCACCAATGACGACGGTTTTAGCGGAGGGAAGCTGCTTCTGGAAGACATCCCACGTAGATTGGAGGGCGGTGGCGTCGGTAGCTTGCGTGAAGAGGGGAGACGGGGTCGAGAAGCCGGTCGCAATGACGAGAGCCGCATAGGGGATTTGCGTCTGCTCTCCGGATGGGGTAGTGACGGATACGGTTTGGCCAGCCGAGTCTACGTGAGTAGCAGTGCCCTGGATGAATACAAAGCTTCCTTTAGGGTAGCTATTGAAGGCTGGCTCAATAGGGAAAAACATCTTGCTCGCTGGCATGAGCTGCTTCGAAACACAGGCTCGTGGACCACCAATGCGCCAGAAGAGATCCTTTGATGGGCTGACAATTGTGACATTGTAAGTGGTGCCTTCTTTCTTTGGAAGCTGGGGAACAACGTGCTTGAGCGCGTAGTGAGCAGCGCCCAGTCCAGCAAAGGACCCGCCGAGGATGATGATGGATTCCGTGCTCATGATGGTGGTTGGGTATCTCAGGTATTAAGGGAAACAAACAGAGAGAACGAGGAGGGTGGGAAGGAGAAAGTGAAGAGGGGAAGTCGTCAGGGAAATAAATCAACACAAAATAAGCGTGAGCGCTTCAGACAAAGTGTCAAAATGTGGCCTAACACGCAACTGCAGTGACGGTGCCTCAGGTCAGGACAATGTGTGGGGAACCGATTGGAAACGCGGTTGATTCCCTGTCGAGCAGAGAAGGCAGGCGTGAAACGTTGCGAAAATCTACGAAAACATCCTCCTTCGCCACGGTTTATCTACACATTCCACGCATGGCACAATGTCCACTCCCCGGCTGTGACTCTCTAACCAAGCGACACGCGGCGAAGTTGCTTAGGAATAGGCGACCAGGGAAAAGCATGAAGCTATTGGAGCTATGGCCAACATTCACCGCACTTTGCCGGATTTAGCTTAGCAACTGCCAAAAACAGCTTTCCGGAGGAGATCCTCCCGGCATCCGGACTGCTGACAATTCACTGTGCCATGACTTCGGCGTCGGGTCAGCCAATATCAACCGACGACTTGGGTAAAGCATCCAAGGATTTCTCATCGCCGAACTAATCAGGCAAATTTCTATTGCTCGACAAAGAACCAGAATAGCCCTTCCAGAGCCTTAGTTTACTCGAACGTTTGGTATCTATGGTTTCTCTTTCGGACCGGATTGCTCACAGCGTGCCAGTTCAACAAGCAAGAACTCAGCAGAGCCAAGGTAATCGAGCCTCGGGCCTTGAATTCGTGCCGGTCACGGGTCAGTTAGGGTTTCGGGAAGTCTGGGTGCCCTTGAGTCTCCGTAAATTCCAAGCTCAAATGCTACTGGCTAGCTTGCCATGTGCCCTTGACTGGCCACAAGCGTTTTGCTGACTTCACGGAAATGGGTGTGCTTTTCAGGTAGTTCAAGTTTAAGATGGATTCTCCAGGAACTTTTCCATTTCCATATCGTTGCAAAATGAGAAAACGCCAGTCCGGTGTCCGCATGTCACAAGAGATCCGCCGCGACTGCCACAGATGAGGAGATATGATAGGTACAGCATCTGCAGTCCTTCATTTCGAATTCACAGTGCAGGCTACGCTGTCTCTAGCCCATAATAGCTCTGCACACAGCTCCCCTCCACCAACACGCCACCAGAAGGCGGAATTTACTCGACTTCAGCCTTCGACTCGAAGTTCTCACCGGCTACAAGGTCCGGGATGTCGTCATCATCGTCATCATCCTTCTTGTCCTCGCCTTCGCCCTTCTTCTCCTGCATGCTCTGGTAGCTCTCGGCGAGCTTGCGAAGAGAGGCCAGTGAGTCAGGCCCGAGTTGGTTGAGGATACCGGGAACAAGTTCGGTCAGCTCCTTGTCCTCGCCGTTGCCATAGATGGCGAAGGTGTTCGCGGGTACGGAGGCGTGCACTGCCAGAATATATGTTAGCTAAATTGCCAAAGTGGCAGGCTGTGGTGTTCTGGTGAATAGGGCAAATTCATCGGCGAGCAGTGCCGTAGAGGTACGCGAAGTATGTCTTCCACGGACGTTTTTAATGAAGTATTTGTAGAAGTGTCGTACGTGCTTGAATAAGCACTGCTGATGCAGAAGGAAGCATTCCTCGTACCTTTTGGCGCAGAGAAGTGGATGACGTTTCCGTCACTCTTGAACATGTTGACCTCCTCAATAGCCTGGATAGGCTGGACATTGAGCTTCTTCAGCGATGTCTGAAGCTTCTTGTCGTCGGTGCCGGCGCTCTTGTGAACCTTCTTGACTTTCCTGCGCGGGGTGCCTTTGCCTCTGCGGAATCACGCTGTTAGCCAAATCCTTCAATGCCTTGAAACCCCCGGATTGCTGTATTCTCCAAACACACAAGTAGATTTTAGCCACGAGAAAATTGTACATTCGTGATGTTCTGCAGGGAGCGGGGTCGGTAGAGAAGGAGAGTGCTTACCCTGTTCATGAATATTAGCCGAATGTCCCTCGTGAGCGTGAAAAGACATATCAAACAGCATCCATAGTTCTAGGGAGAAGGGTTCTGAACATACCGATACGCACCGACGCTTGCATGCGCGCCAGCTTTGCCTGATCCATATTTGCGGTGGATAGAAAAGTTGGGCGAGATTGGGTCGAGGGAAGGCTGCAGCACGGAAGTCAGCCAAGTTGTCTTTGCGATAGACTTAAGAAATGCTTATATGACGTATGGAACGCGGTGACGCTTGTACACACCTAGATTGACGTGGGTGAGTGAAGCTCAGTTGTGAGGTTGGTGATGGAGTCGACGGCTGGCAGCTATCGGAGAAACTGCGCCGAGGCCTCCGATTGTGTGGCTCGCTTGTTGTTGGCCAAATTCAATACACCACGAAAGTGCATAGTTATAACAGCGGTGAGAATGATCAATTGGTCCGCTGGCCTTTCAAATAGCTTTCCTTAGCCCTACTATTACCACCATGAGCGCATTCGCTACAACATCGAGCCTGGGATTCAGCAAAACTTCTCAGCCAATCACATCCGGGCAGAAATGTTCCATTAGCTAAGCTTCATGGAGCAATGGAGCAGGCAAGGCAAACATCTTTCACAACCACATTCACACAATAATAGCTGTCATACTTTTGACTCGTATGCTGTATTTACACAGGTGCCTACTCGGATATCACGTACAAAACTCCCTGCTACAAATTTCCACAACCGTTACCCGGTCTCACGCTTACAGAAGAGCCATCCCAGCCAGACCAACCGCACCCATAATCCAGGAGGCCACCGTCGGGTGGGCTGCGAGTCCCGTGCGACTCGCAGAAGCTGCTGCTCCAGTAGACGAGGGGCTTGCGTTTGTGGTTTCATTTGGGTTGCCTTTGATGTTTTCGCTCGTGACCTTGACACCAGTGCCGTTCGTGCATTTGGACTTGTACTCATTGGTGTCGAGCGATTTGGTGGTCAACGTGACATCTGCGCACTAATTACAAAGTCAGTCCGATTCAACCGGCTTCTGGAATCACTACGATTCATTTGAACGACCGTAACAGCCACTCATCGGTTGTGTAGTCTGGACGGAAGATGAGAAACCCTGGACTTACCTGGTAAAGACCACCATCTGGATCGCCGTTCGAGACAACCTGGATTGTCGCAGGCGTGCCGTCTGTGATGTTCAACTCACTAGGAACATTGACCGTGCCCAAGCAGAATTTCCCGAGACCTTCCTGAGCTACCGTGTGTCGCAGGACAATATTGTAATTACTCCCGGGATCCGAGCCCACGGCCAACAGGACTTCAACTTTAGTCTGCGTGTGGTGCATGTCCAATTGAATTGGCCCGCCATTGATGGGAAACGAGGTACGGTTGGAGCTAACTGTGTCGAAGCCACCGCAGGGGAATGTACCTGCCTTGTCGTCCGAGAAGCCTCTCGCCGCTGGATAGGTCAGAAGGAAGTGGGCGGTACTGAGAGGAAGAAGAGAAAATAGCGCAAAAGCGTCGGAGAACATGATGCGAAGATATTCAGAGTAATCAATGACAGAGGAAGTGTCTGTAGACTTAAGAGGTTCTTGGAGAAAGAGGAGGCCAATTGAAGAGGACGGGGACAATGGGGAAGCTTGCAAAAGGAGCAAAGAGCTGTTTACAAAGCTGCCTAAGACTGGGCGCGCTCGCCTTTGTATTCACGAGCAGGAGCTGTTGCGTCCCCGTATGCCGTGTTATGCGGTGCCCTCGTGGCTTTGGCGCGATCTAAGCACTGCATCAAGCTTCAAGGCGTATTGAGCTTGTTCCAGCAGTAGATTCTAACTGGCTGCTCTACCCGGGGTTGAGACAGATTTCGGGAGGTGGAAGACCCCAACTTGCTTCGTGATGATGGCCGACGGCTGATGCGAGTCCGCCATGCAGTCGGTTACATGTGGGGATATCAATAGGTCCAGAACCGGAAATTTTGAGAACAAATGAGCAAGTTTCCAGCCCCACGGTTCAACTGTGGCGCATCGCCCAGGTTCAATTCACGCTAAGCTTGGGTTTTGCATGGGCCTTGCATCCACGCCAGTCGCTCTCCTCGGATATCAGATACTGACTAAAGTCTCGCACTGCAAACGCTGGATCGTGTGAATCAGTAAATTTGGAGAATGATAGGATTCTGTCAAAGTCAAGCTTTGGCTAACGGCAGTGGCACACTGATCGTGCATCGGGATTTCAGGTGCAGCTGGATGCAATGCTGGACCCTGCAGCTACTCTATTATCCATATCCAGCCTTACAACCAAGACAAAGCCAAGAGCACCTGCTCTAAAGCACATACAACCTAAGCAGCCCTTCACCCGATCATTAAAAGTTGAATCGTAAGACTTCGGTCAGCCGCCTGTTACATCCTCATCACCTCTTGATTGAATCTGCCGAAAATGAGCTCCCCAATCAAAGTGCCTCCCAGTACAGAAATGAAGTAGCCAACATTGAAAGTCATCACAGCCAGCATGCTACACAAATCAGCATAAGGTCGTTCGAGTTACCGCATAGTGCAACTTACAGGAGGTACCCAACACCCGCGATGACTGTCATCACTGCTGCTCGGGGCAGATCAACGCTAAATCTCCATGGCTGGATGTGGCTAGCAGGTGCCTGCACCACTCGTACCCTCTCTTCTACACCATTTGTCGTAAGGATTCCGGTTGTTGAGTTTGTGTCCGAGGCAACTTGTTCCGCGACGGGAGTCTTGTCTGCTACAACAACGTATCTTCGTTTTAGTGATGATTCAGCCCACTTGAGGTCGAGGTGGTGCTTCAGAGTGAAGCCTCCGCGGTAAAGGATTGCGAGGATGATGAGGAATATGCAGGTCCCGGCGTAGGCGCCAGCGCTCGACGGGGTCCAGGATGTAGAGTAGAGAGGTGTGTTGGTAGCGGAGAAGAAGCCCATCGACATCATTGACATTGAACTCGATTCCATGTTCATCCCGCTCATATCGTCCATGGCCACGTCGTGGCCTGTGTGCGCGACCATTGGGAATGGACGAAGGTTACGTCTGTGGAGGTTTAAGGAAGTGGAAAGGGCAATTCTGGAAATTCAGGCTACAGTCAACGGTCGAGCAGGCAGGGAGGTTTAAAGGTTGGAGCGATGAAGCAGCTTGGTGTCTTGAACACTTGGCTGGTTTGTTGTTGGCTTATTGTGCGACTTCGAAAGCAGCTTAGCATTGACGCATTGGTAGGGCGTCTCGAATGCGCGATACCAAGACAATACCAAGAGCGAGAATGCGGTCGTTCTTGCGACAGTCCAGGAGAGACAAGAAGAAACAAGCACTGAGGATGAAGCGTGCGATGTAACAGAATGTAAGGACATTAAGGTGTCGGCTTACCAGGAGGTCACCCTTGCAGCAAATCCATCATCGCCGCGATGGACGGGCCTCGTACAACCGGACACCATGCGGGTGAATGTCTTTTGCAATTATCTAGGCTCGTTGGCGCGCCAAGGAGAGCGCGATCAGCAAAGAAAGCGTGGAGGAGTACCTAGGTCTGCGGTAAATTGAGCAAGTTTCGATTGGTGCGTGCGCCTGCCGTACCGAACGCCACACCGAGAACTAGCTCACCTGCCCTCAATCTCGATAAAGATCTGTGCCCGTTCGAGAGCTCCTCTGCGCGGCGTCATTAGGCCTGCATGAGGGATCCAGGGCCATGGCGAAAGGCATTTGCCCCCGTCTGCACATGTAACGTGCGCAAGTGAGAACGTTTTCTCTCCCTCATCTCTCTTCATACGTCCTCACTTCCCTCTACGCGGAGTTGAGACGCTAGCTGTCATCCTGGCATCAGATCTTTATATCCGAGGAAATTGTTCAGCTAAAAGAGAGCATTAATCGTCACCGTGAGATAGACTTCATACATGGCCGGATCCACAGACGAAATCACCCCAACACACCGCCCCATCGTAGGATTTTGGCGACAATAGCCATCATTCCTAGCAGAATCCTGTCGCATCGCATCCATCTTCAACGTAATCAACGTCAAACGCTTCAGCTTCGCATCACCATGGACATGGGCGGTATGGCTATGGGCTCTATGTCCATGGAAGGGCTGCCCCCTCTCATTGACTTCCCCAAGATGTACTGGGCAGTGGTGGGCACTGCTATTGGAGTCGCAACCTTTGTTAACATGTTTAACCATATGCTCTACCGGCACAGGTTTGTCTTTCCTGAAGCGTCTCCAGGCATCAGCTGACATGTGCCAGGCTGTCTGCTGCAAAAGCTGGAGTACCAAAACCTGCAAAACCAAGGTCACCGTTCCTTTTAGGGGTTGCGACGATATTTGCTATAATGCGAGAAGCATCAAATTTTTCTATTCGGATGCCAATCAAGAATCGGATATTCCGGCTACCTACAGTCGGCCGGACTAGCTTGGTGGTAGCGAACCTTGTTGTATTGATTGCATTGTGCTTCTATGGGTTCAACCTTAACGACAGGTGGTCCAGAGAAGATATTGGATACCGAACTGGATTCGTCTCTATCGGCCAGCTGCCTTTGATATTCCTGCTTGCGGGGAAGAACAACGTTGTTGGATATCTATCCGGCATCAGCCACGAACGTCTTAACTGGCTTCACAGGTGGTGTGCGAGATGTTTACTCGTGACTGTGACCATTCATATGGGATACTTTTTTGCCGATTGGGCCCCGTACAACTACATTGGAACCCAACTGAAGGAAAACACATTGGTCTGGAAAGGTGTCGTTGCATGGGCAATGCTGGTATGGATTGTCTTCAGCTCCATGACACCGATCCGGGGCTGGTGCTACGAAGTCTTCGTTTTGCAGCATCTCGCTTCATTTGCCGTTCTAATCGGTTTCATCTATATACATACGCCGGCCGAGGTTCATATCTATATATGGCTGCCTGTTGGGCTATTCTTCTTCGATCGCGTGGTTCGAGCATTGAGAGTTCTTTATGCGAACATCTCCTTATTCCATCCTAAGCAACGCAAAGCCGGCCAAATGTCCAGTTTTTGGGCTTGCAAAGCCGAGTTCACACCCCTCCCACACAAGACTACGCGAATCACTATTCACAATCCTCCGATCAGTTGGACCCCGGGACAACATGTCTTCCTGTCATGCCACTCGATTGTTCCGCTCCAAAGCCATCCGTTTACCATAGCTTCAATACCAGAAGACGGGAAAATGGAGTTCTTGGTCAAAGCTGAAACCGGGGGCACGAAACGCTTCTTCAGACATGCCGAGAAGACACATGGACTCTCCGCCTCATCGGAAAGATCCCGTGCTAAAACAGTTGCTATTGAAGGGCCATATGGATTTATAAGACCCCTGCGTCAATTTGACAGCATTGTGTTATTAGCAGGTAGTACGGGAGCTACGTTCACTGTTCCATTACTTCGAGATGTCTTACAGGGCTGGAAGGACAACGCTGATCCTACGCAACAACAATCATCCTCTTTTTTCAAGACACCAAAGGGTGCAGCCACACGTCACGTTCGCTTCATTTGGGTTGTAAAAAGCCGAAGCCAACTGGGATGGTTCTCAGAACAGCTATCGGCAGTATGGTCAGACTTTCAAACTGTTCAACAAGCAAGTCGCGACATCAAGCTTGAAATGACAGTCTACATAACCTGCGACGACTCCTTTACGGAAGGACACAAAGCACTTTTATCTTCCATTACTGCACCGAACTCAGATCCGTTGCCAAAGAAGCAACGGGAGCCACAACGCGGTCCCGTCGAACTCCGGGGTCGAACACCATCCCTGAACGAGAAAGAGAAAGCTCAGGATTCCAAAGAGGAGGTCAAAGAAGTCACCACTACATCCCTATCGCCGCCAGCAAACGCGTGCGGATCGGATGGAGCTTGCTGCTGTAGAACGTCTGTCGACGAAGCAGCTTCAGGAGAAAAAATCTCCCCTTGCTGCTGTTCTCCGAATGGTCCTTCGAACCCGTCTACGCGCCCACTCTCTCTGACATCATCCTCACACTTGTCTGGTCCGAAACAAGAATCGCTTTTACACCCCTCGATATCCATTGTCTCAGGCCGGCCAAATCCGAAGACTATTATTAGGAGGAGCTTAGAGCAAGCTCTTGGTGAGTCAGCGGTCGTGGTTTGCGGACCGCACGGACTCGTGGCAGATGTAAAGCAAGATGTGTGTTCTTTGAGTGATGAGCGAGCGGTGCACAAAGGAACAGGAGCGCAGGGAATCTATCTACATACGGAGAGCTTCGGGTATTGAGCGAAGGATGATACCCGTGCCTCTTTCTGGCAAGGCTTTGAGTCTCTTTGTTGAGAGGTTTTTGTATACGATTGCATCCAACCGAACATTTTCGACGATAGGAATGGCGTTTTGGACAGTCGGAAGACATAAACCTATAATCTACTCGTAACTTTTAACTCGTCTTTTTTATAGGAGAGGTGCTTAATACGCGTCTACAGTGCTCGTTCCGCTTGTGCACCCTCACAATACCTTCCTCTTGGCTATTGTTCTGATCTTCCAACCCTTCCCATGGCATCCCCATTCCCTTCATAGTTCAGAGAGATCTCGCCTCTTTGCGGGTCGCTCATGGCGGGGCGGAGTCGGTGAGAGCTTGAATGCGTGGGCACGGCCGCCTACGGGCTCTGTATCACCATGAACCGTGTGCTGGGTATGATCAATATGTGGTAGGAAGAACGGAAGAAAGAATTTCCTGAATTTTCATGCCATTACTGTTTGTCAACTTTCACCGCTTCCAGCGCAAGCCACGCGGGAGGTATAAAAACCTCTTCGCCCACTTAAAAAGTCCACCTTACGTTAAGCACAACACCGAACCCGGGCCGTCTTGCCACTCTCCTGCCTACCAACTACGCGCTGCTCTCTGATTCTAGACAGGATGGCAGACCATATTAAAGCGGAGGAGGCTGACGATAAAAAGGCAGCTATTATTAAGACTAAGGACGCGTGCGGAGATGGTAGCAGTAGCAGTAAGTCGTCCAGTAAGATCATGATTCACTTTAGAGATATGGTAGTCGTGCTGAAGAATTATCACAAAGGAGACGATCGTACAGGCTACGGTAGTGACGGTGAGGCTGGCGCAACTACAGGTATGTCAATTGACCATCTCTCTTTACTTTTGCTCAGGCAAGCTTCGGATTTGCCAAACCGATATGGCCTAATATGAATGTAGGTGTTAGCAGTCCTGCAACGGGGCTGGGTACACCGGATGGGGTCGAGATGGTGAAGGTTGAAGACGCGATCGTTGTGAAGACTCGCGGCACTCAAGACCTCACTGTCTCCGCAGCTGTCATTCCAGCGGAGGTTGCCACTGTTTCCCAAGATCTCGTCCTCGACATCGACGACCGGCTCTTCTATCGCCACGGGTGGCCTCTCCTCCCTGTCCTCCCTGTACTCACGTCCAATCACAATATCCCGAAAGTCTTCTCTCCAAAGAGCGAGCATATCAGCAAGATACGAACCATGCTCTCCAACCACAAAGTCACCGTTCACGACTTATTCGCTGCCCATCGCTTCAACCCTGGAGCAGACCAGAGCAAATCCTTCCTTACAATATGCATTCTTTCTAATTATCTCGAACATGGCCGATGGGTTAAAGCTATTCGCGATATCCGCACCTACCTTGTCGAAAACAAGAAATCCCCGGCCGTCAAAGTCGAACTCATTGATCACCGTATCTTCCACGGAATATGGACGCATCCCATCCTTCCCACCGAGAAAGGCCTTTTAAAGGACATGAAGCGCAAGAGGAGAGTTGCTGAGATCCTCAACGAGAGTGGAGAGGAGTGGAATTCTCTGGACTTCTACCATCGTGGGATGTGTGTAAATCGCAAAGAGTGCATTGCGTCTGTCATCATTGGGGCACCATTCCCGAATCGGGCCGTCTGGTGGGAGAAAGTGGTGCCAGAGGTGAAGAAGGTGGTTGGTTGCAGGTGGACCGTGGAGATGATGTACGCTATACAAGCGAAGTATTGAACTGGTTGAGAAGATCTGATATGTGTAGTGCATTGACGGGCAAGGAGATATGAAGCAACTCCCACTTATAGATGTGTGGGAGATCGTGTCACTAAGACGAGGAGTCTGTACAACGATATCTTCATCAAGGCCATTCTGCTCATCATTGTCTGTCTATTCCTGTCTCCTCTCGCGTGTTGGAATGGATCAAGTCTAAGTTCACCAACTAATCACCTGATCTAGTTAGCGCTTGATGTTCTCAGACCTCAAAGTTTCTCTCTTCTGAAACCTACCTCGTTTTCATGGTTTTCCGACTCGTAGATATGCCAAGGTACTCGGATCCGTCCTTGTTCTTGACGAGCGTTTTATCCCTGCATCACACTTTCCCTTCTTCTCATACCTGCTCGTCGTTAAATATTAGAATCATTGGACACTCTCTCCATGTCCGATTGGGTTTATAACCCCCCCTATGCTGTTGCATACCTCTGCCTGCCTTTACACACTGTACAAGGTACTATACTGTAATATGGGTGGCCTGATGCGTTGTGTTAGTTCTACCTGCAGAACTAGCGCCTTCAGCTTGCACCGATCTTAACTACATTGGTCGGCTCGCATATTGGCCAACGTCATGAGGCTGGGCCATACCATGAGCTCGCTGGACCTTTATATAGTGCGAAGCTAACTTCTTTCCACAAGTTTATTTTCTAGCTATCGGTAATCCCAATCAATCTTCAAAATGGTATATACCTCTGGAATCGACAAAGACCGTTTCCCCTACCTACATCGGGTGGAAACACTTAAGACTAGCTTTCCATGTTTGGGGACTTTTACAAGCAGACTTATGAACGTAAGCGATGAGGGCAGAAGGCTTGTTGATCAGCACTTCCAGCGAGAAGATGGCAGTTATTGTCCTCCCGGACGTTGCTGTGTTCTTGAGTTTCGATCCAACTCGAATCGCGCTTGGGGGCATGTAGTCAAATTCAAGGACGACTTGGATTTATTCGATTACTTGCAGCTCCATAACCCGCTCAATGGACCCCCGACCCCGAGTGATTGTTCGCATCGACTTTACATTCTAGAGGATATTTCCCCGGAGTACGTGGAACTGATCGGACGACACCTTCATGTGGACCCGTTGATATTTGCGTCTCAAATCAACACTTGGAAGTTTCTCAACTCCAAGGCTATCGCACAAAGGACTCTCCCTTCGCTCTCCAAGCCAGCTAAGTCCTTCACGCTTCGCTACCACGAACCTCGAACTTTCGACAATCCACTCGAGAATGGACACTGCACATTTGCAAGCAATCGGCGGACCATCGATTCTTGGTTTCCAATTCCCGGAGGCCGGATCACAATGCCCTTTGAAGCAGCTCTAGTCAGACACTGCGCATCTTTCTGGGTAGACAATGCCTCTGATCCGGACAAAGGTTGGAACGGTAATAGCCACATCTTCTCTTTCTCCAGAACTATCAGTCAGTAACATTGGTGAAGCTCTCCTACTTGTTGACCCGCCTATTTCTTCGTGCAAAGCCCCTGAAGAACTAGTGTTGCCACATGGAACATACACACTTTTGAAAAGAGTCCCAACGAAGGATTCAAGATATGCCATGTTTAGGACCCAGCCCCATATCAGCAGGCCCTATAATGGCGGCCATCCAGATCCAATACCGGAATCAGCAGCGCTTAGATTCACATCGGATTACGGGAAAGCGAACCTAGAGCACAGTGGTGCAAAATCCATTTACCGGAGGAAAAATTCGCTCTTCGACGAGGCCATTTTGTACTGGACGCAGAAAGACAATGATGACGCAGTGAGGCTGGCTATCGAACAACCATTCAATACTATGCAATATGTCCTCAAAATCGTGGCATATCATTGGACTAACACGTTGGAATTATTTCTGGTTACGCTGAATCAAGCAGAATTCCTCGCAGACGAGGGGAGATATCAACAGCTAGAAGAGGGAGGTGATGCCGTATCAGGAATCTTCACGGACGACTACCACAAATGGAAGAAGGAGATATCTCGCCTATATGTTGCAATCTACTCCCTTAACGTCTTTCGCCGCCGCCTGGCTTACTTTGAAGACGATGTCGAGTTGAACCTTGAAAGACTGGGATGTAAACCTGACGGAACGCTCTACTCCCCCTTCGCAGATGCTCAAAACCTTCCACTTGCTCTTCAAGATGCGATGATGGATTTCTCAGCGATCGCCGGCAGAGTTAAACTTTACAAGGACCGGGCAGATGCATTAGCTTCCACCGCCGATGAAATTGTCAATCTCCGCGGCGCAGCAAAGAGTCTTGACGATGGAGCCTTCAATTTACGTCTTGCAGTCCTCGCTGCTGTTGTCTTCCCTCCTACTCTAATCGCGGCTCTTTTTGGCATGTCCGATGGATTCAAACCCGGTGATGGCCAATTTTGGATCTTTTGGGCCGTGTCAATACCCTCCGTTATATTCATGGTGATAATTGTGTTGAGGTGGGACACGATTTCTAGCTTCTTGCGCCTTTCTAGGCCACGGGGAATGCAATTTACCCACGAAAGAAGGCGTCGTTAGATGAATGGGGGCCCATCGGACAAAGAGCGCAATTCTGCTATGATTCATGTGCATTAGGAACGTCGTCTATCCGTCAATGCACCTCAGATCCAATATGCCAATTGCTACGGAATTCACGTGACGGTTGTGAGAGAGAAACCCTCCAAAAGAACTCTGCAACCTCCCATCCTTTCCGCTCATGAAGCAGCCCCCCAGATCCATCGTGGAGGGGCGTTTATCCACCTTGATCCTGGTGTTAGCAATTGTCTGCCAAACTTCGTTCACACAAAAAATGGACGATATGTGGAAGCTTGAGCACCAACATCCGTTTCTTATCCGGTACTGGCTTCAGAGCCCACATTCAACTCCATGTATCGTTCTATTTTCCCACACGAATATCTTACCGCCAGCCTTGTTTCCATATCACAGAAAAGCAGCTCAAGGACTAAATCACCTGAATCACGTCGGAAATCGGCTCATAGGGATACCTTAGACTTGATTATCGGCTACCGTCAGCCTTAAGTCTTTCCATGTGATAGTTGATTGCGTAACCCACATTCATTTCTAAGATAATAAAATAACCTCAGAGGTCAGTTTAGATAGAGGGCGGCGAAAACGCCCCACGTGAACTTTCAGCATTACCGGTGACGTAAAAACAAACTGCCCTTCCCTCTCTACATAACATACTCGTACTGTTTCCCCACCTACACCACTCCCTAACAAACCACCTCCTAGGACAAACATTACTAGAGCCTACTCCATGCGTCCCCAAACTAGCGTTCATAAACTATTAAAATGTCGTAGAGCAGTAATACGCAATATCTTTCAGGTTGAATATAGTATTGAGGATGTAGATTTGATGTCATGTAATCTGAACAATAAGGATAAGAATCCGTTTTAGGAGGAGAAGAGCCTTTTGATAGTGAGTGGTGAGTATATGCAGATGATTTGTGAAAGGGGGGGAGTGGGGAACAATCTTGATTGGCCGAATCTCACGGGCAGGGGTCCGAATAAGACGAGGCAGGATGTGTGGTTTCCTTCTGCTGGGTAGTATGGATTGCGAACATGGATGATTGGTGGGTGTCACGGTGTGCATGCTTTGGGATTGGGGCCACTGTGTTGGTTAAGACTATATAAGACATGATTACAGATGGGTTGGTAAGTAGATGGAAAGATTTCTTCTAAACGACATTAGTACAGCACATAGAGGTCCCATTATATCGGGGTACCTAACACACTTTGTAGACTTATTGTGGGCAACGGCAGCAAATTCAAGGTATTTAAAGAACACTGAACAGGGTATAGGTGTCTTTCTCTAGTCCTGCTCAATATATGTAGAATATGGGCGAGCAAATATCCGGGATTATTTACTCATGCTTGAGCAAATGGGACCCATGATTACACATACAAAATGCCATCCACATCCTCGACCAATGTTGCCCATCCTGAGATCAGGTACGTTTCATCTAATTTTGCGTACTCTCCGACGAATTAGAGCTGCGGGGACTCACTTTAATGCGCTGGATTAGGTCATAGATCTTTGGGAGGAGATCGGGGATTCGGAAGGGCTTTGTAATGACATCGTCCTGCAGATATAAGTTAGCGGACTAGATTTCTTGTAGGAAAGGGTTAAGGGAGACCCGGGGATTTTTTACTTACCATTCCCGCATCCAAAGCTTTCGTAACCTGCTCCCTCCTAGCATTTGCCGTACACGCTATCACTGGTACATGGCCCATCAACTCCCCATTCCCCTGCATCTCGCGGATCCGACGAATGCAGGTAAGCCCATCCATAAGCGGCATTTCCTGGTCGAGGAGAATGACTGATAGCGGGAGTGCATGGGTGCTCGAAGCAGACTCCGCCAGCTCCTCGTCATTCACCATGAGTTTAGGGGTTCCCCGATAATAGCAGCATTTTTCCAGAAAATCGAGACACTCAAGCCCATGATTCGCGACGTGCACTGTGCAGCCGATATTGCGTAGCTGCCGCGCTGTGACTTTCTGATTGATGAGGTTGTCTTCGACGAGTAGGATGTGGAGGTCTGTTGGTAAAAGAACGGTGTGCAGTTTCCCGCACTGCTCTTCGGGTCGCGCGGCGTCGTCGTATGCAAGAGATGCTGACAGAGATTTCTTAACGGGTCGAACGCCGGGAGCGGATTCGTCGCAGAAAGTCTCCTCGTACGGAGATTCAGGTCGGTACTGTCGGGCTTTGATGTAGAAGGCAAAAGTGCTGCCTTGGCCTGCGATTGAGTGCACGCCGATCTGGCCGCCTTGCAGTTCGGTCAATTCTCGAGAGATGAAGAGGCCGAGCCCGGAGCCGCCGTATTGGGAGTATGTCTTTGGAGATGCTTGGGAGAATTTGAGGAAGAGCCGTTTTAATTCTTCTGCTGTAAGGCCCTTTCCAGTGTCGCATACGTCGAATTGGAGGTATACTTCTTTGCCTTTCCCCCACTCATTTGATGATAGTATGTCGACCCGCGAAGCACGTTGAGGAATGAACGAGAGGCTAGATGAGCCTGAAGGTGGTGTTGTGGATGCTGCCAGGAAAATGGTGATTCGCTTGGCATGAGCCTTCCTTGTGAACTTAATGGCATTTGTGAGGAGATTGATGAGCACCTGCGCCAGTGAGCAAAGAGGATGTGAGCAGGGGAGGTTGGATGCCGACCTGCAACAACCGTGCCTGGTCAAGGAGAAGAACATCAATCCCAAGACTCCGATATGACTCTTGAACGACGAGACTGGCGGTAATCTTAGCCTCCGCTAGCTCGGACTCGTACATTTGAAGAGCCTTCTCTACCAGAGCAACAGGTCGAGAACGCTCGGGAGCAATTAGGAGTAGGTTAGAGTCGAGTTTGGAAAGGGTGAGAATATCGTCGACGATTCTTTTCTGGTGTTGTGCGCAGAGCAGGATGGTTTGCGCCGAGTCGAGGACTGCAGCCTGTGTATCTCCTGAAATGGGTTGTAGGGCTGTGGAGACATCACACCCTAGCTTGCAGCGTCAGTCGCCCCTTATTTATTTTGGAACATCTTTTGGTTTAGCTAGGAGGTGAACCTCGAGAATTTAGATGAGAAGAAGTGAAATGGAGAGACCCATACCTCGTGTATTTGGATCCAGTGCTGTAATGACGCCGTCGGCAGACTGAATTATGGCGGAGAGGGGATTGCGCATCTCGTGGCAAGTCTGCTAGAGTTAATGAAATCCACAGTGGGTTTTTGCTGAGCAATGTGTATAGTACCATGTCGATAAAGTTTTCACTTTGTCGTTTAGTTTCAAGAGCGTCCTCAAGCCTCTTTCCTTGTTGTGCCTCTGCTTCCTTAGCCGGGGTGATGTCGACCAGGACATGCGTTACCCTGATAACACTGCCAGACTCGTCCAGATCTGTAGATGCTGTAGCAAGAAGCCATCGCCACTTTCCAGGAGCTTCTTGCTCTACTGGTACGGATAGATCGGTTTGCACGCGGAAATGAAAGCAGATAGTATCGGCTTTGCCTGAGGAGACTAAGTTGGCAAGAATTTCCATGAGTTTGGGGCGATCGATAGGGTGAATGGGAGATTGCCATCCACGGGGTGAGCTGCGGTCTTCTTGCATGTTAGTGAGGCTCTTGTATTCATGGTTCATCCATATCGGGATGCCTGAAGGTTCCAGCATGGCCAGACCGACAGGCGCAACTTCTGCCAGCCTTGAGAATACTCGTTCTTGGTCTTTCGCTTTACGCATTTGCTGCAATAGCTCCTCCTTTGTTTCCGAGAACAGAACTGTGGCTGCTCCTCTTACGAGATGATCAAGAAGTCGCCTGATGAACCCTCGATATGGATCGTCGTAGGGTCTTTGGGGATTTAGTCCTAACAGCAAGAATCCAATGGTACCAGGGCCATCCAATCGGCTTATTGGATAGAGAACAGCAGAGTGACAGACTGTACCATGGCCCCGTCCAGGTATGCTGACCGCCAGGCATTCAGGCAAAGTGTGATTTTTTGTTTGGAGAAGCACCGGTTTCCTGTTGATCCATGCTGTTCGAAATTGTTTCGCAAGAGGATAGGCAAGGTCCGTGATATCGAGCTCGTTGATAACCAAAGGATTGCTTTCCTCCAAGCCAACAAGGCGTTCGAGCTTGAATGGTCCTGGTATGGTATCCTCAATGGATGAGCTTCCTAGCTTTTCCGGTTGCGGGTCTTTAGGAGCGGAATACATGAGGCAGAATGGGAAGTCTTGGGGATTCGACATGATTAGTTCGTGAACCTGGGTCCAGAACATCGCAATGTTCTCTGCCTGGGGCATTTGCTCCGCATTGTGTATCGTTTTAGACCTTCTCTCACTGATAGCCCTAGTCGTAGTCTCACTGTATTCCTTCATCACCCCGAATATACGACCGTTGTCATCAAGCATGGGCAATATGGACCAGGAAAAGTAGCGCTCCTCTAATGCAAGGTCCTCACTAGGGATTGGAAAATAGTGATCGTGCTCTCGAATGACTTCGCCAGTCCGTAGAACCTGCTTTATAGCGTGAATCTTGTATTGCCACGCTGGTCCGGCTCCGACTGCGCCTGAAACACCCAGTGCGGCCGGATGAAGGGTTCCTATCAGTCTTGCAGTGGCCTCGTTGTAGAGCATGGTTGGATCGTCATAGCCTAGATACATACACCTAGGTAATGGATTGTTCATCATGTAGTACACATGTCGTCGAGTGGCAGAACTCCAGTTGCTCATTGGTCCAATGGTTGTTTGTGACCAGTCGAAATTCCGCAGAAATGTAATATACTCAGGGGCGTTCGGGACATCATATCGAGTCCAATCGGCAAGAGGTCCTGATGGTTTGTTTAATGATTCTACACAAGGATCGGGGGAAGGAGGGTACGGCTGCACAATTAGGGTGGGATTGACGGCCTGAGAAGAGGGCGATAGAATTTCTTCGCTTGATGCTGTTCGCTTGCGTTTTCGAGGCCTGGAAGATCCATCACCATTAGGCGCTGGCAGGTCACCGTATGGTAATAATAGCTGTAGGACTATCCATCGCTCATTGATAGTGGAGGCGTCCCAGGTTATTCCGCAATATTCAGCGCAGGCTGTCTTGTTCCCCCCAAGGGTCGCCCAAAGTTCTGGATCTGTGGCCCATGTCTTGAAGAAATTCATGTTGAAACACCAACGAGCGATCCAAGCCGTATAAGCTGGGTTGTAATAGGCAAAAATGGCACTATATGATGCTCTTTCGTAGGGACGGCCATGGTCAACAATCACAGTTGGACATCTGTGACGGTCCAGAAACTCTGTGAGAGAGGCGATCTCATCCATATCTGTGGGGTCAGGATGAATACCCATGCTTCAGATCCGAGTGGCCAGAATTGGGAATAACGGAAGGGGGACTTTCAGCGGAGTTGTTCGAGAAACGGGTTCCCGATTCGAGGCGGTGGCCCTTCGAGAGGCCTCTGGGTACGGCGTAGAAATAACAATGTCCCAGAGCTCGACTGCCTGCGTGAATGCACCCGTTGGAACAATGGCTAGCAAACGTTTAAGGAAGTCAAACTGCTCTGACGAGAGAGCGGCGCTGGCGAAAAGAGCCCAAGGTTTGATCCGAAGCCGAGCGAGCTGCCCCGGTCCGATTTGCTTTCTTCTGGAACACACACGAACGCCTCCGCAGGGACCGGGTTCAGGAGGAGCGCCGATTGCCCCGAAATGTTACACAGACATTCATTTTTCGTACTGAAATGGAGCAGCTGGGCGAAGCCAATTTCTCCAGTACGGCGGGATTAGCCCTTGTCGCGTACAGCTCCTGCGCATTTGACAGGAGCCTCTTCGCTGGGTTTCTCAGCCCAGTGAGGGCAGTGGTTAGAAGGTTAAGCATCATATCGCCAAGAAACGCCATGGAGAGAGTCAGTCCACTTTAACAACTTGTTTTTGCTCCTGAGGTGCTGAGAGCCAATGGCAGCGGCACAGCTGCTGCTCTTGAACGGTAAAGCGAAAAAGCAATGTGATCCCGCTTACCCTAACCGGTTCACTGTTGCGGTGCATTCTGTTCCACAACATTGCCACATGGCTACAATTGTCATTCCTCTCTGCTGCATCGTCGATGGATAGACAGTGCGATTGCGTGTTTCGCATCCTGTCAACCTGCTCCCTGATTCTAGCAAGAGATTAAACTTGTCAAATTCTCCGGAGTGAAATCCGAAAGCGCGAATATGTCGTACCTACATGCTTAACACCTTTTTGCTACAGCTTGGCTGGCTGCTGCATGACCCTCAAATCCTCCCGACTTAGATCCGATATACTCTTCTTGCCAAGGTTTGCCAAAGAATTGTCGGTGTCTGCGAGAATACATTCGAGCACGTGTTTCACTCCGCTCTCACCCCCCATCGCTAATCCGTAGACGTAAGGCCGTCCAAGGAGAACAGCTTTTGCTCCAAGAGCAATGGCCTTAAGAACATCACTACCGGTACGAATCCCGCTGTCAAATAGGACAGTTAGACCCGATTTCTTAACTCTTCCGTCACCTCCAATTTCAGCCAGAGCATCAAGAGATGAGATTGCGCCATTCAACTGTCGGCCGCCGTGGTTAGAGACAATAATACCGTCCATCCCATGATCTATGGAACGGTGGGCGTCCTCTACAGTTTGGATACCTTTCAAAACAATTGGTCCGTCCCAATATTTTCGGAGAATTTGTAAATGCTTCCATTCACGGTATGTTCCAGAGGAGACGAGAGTCGTAAAAAGCATCGCCTTTTTCATTGTCGCAGCATTAGCTAAGACTCTCATGGTCCCCGAAAATGTGCCAGGTCGCTTCAGGATTTGCCATATCTCTGAAAGCTTTTCGGTTGCGCTCCTGGTATCCTCCGCCCGCATCTTCTCGTACATGCGGTTGAAGACTGGGTCGGAAAATCCAACCTGGCAGCCTTGCCCATAGATGAAAGGTAGATATGATTCGTCCAGGTCATTAGGCCGCCATCCGATCATGAAGGTGTCCAACGTGACCACTAAAACTTTGAAGCCATTTGCTTTAGCACGTGAAAGTAGGCTCACGGTAAGCTCCTCAGCCTGGGGTTTAGGCCAATACAATTGATACCAACGATCACCATCGCCATTAGCCTTTGCCACCTGTTCGATTGATCTCGTTGCCGCAGTGGATAGAATCATCGGGATTTTGACGGATGCGCATGCTCGGGCCGTTGCTTCTTCTCCATCAGGGTGCGCAATTTCTTGCACGCCAATTGGGGCAACGAGCAACGGGCTGCTGTACCGGGTGCCAAAAAGCTCGACCGATAAATCACGCCGTGTGGCTTCAACGAGCATCCAAGGGCGCAGTCGGTAGCGATCGAAGGCTGACAAATTGCCTGCGTGGGTTTCTTCTGAACTGGCGGATCCATAAATATACAGAAAGTTGGACAGGGGTATGGCTTTCCGCGCCTGAGCCTCCCATTCTGTCGGTTTCGTGGAGAAGGCCGGCTTTCGAAGGTTGGCGTAGATGTCCCGTTGGTACCGCACGAACGACTCGGGATCAGGCTCGGGAATGTCCTTCAAGCTTGGGATGTCACCCGCCATCGTGGCCGGTGTTATCTTGGCGGGTGTTTTTAGCTGAGGCCCGGTTTCTCAACGGCGATGAAGTCGATCCGTAAGCTTCTGGTGAGAGAAATTCCTAGCAGCTCAAAGGTCCGAAGGCTTTTTATATAGTAGCTTGATGAAGGGGTTTCTTCGTGGCTAACCATGCTCCATACCAACGAAGGGTTGATGTTGGAGAAAGCGTGAAGCCCGACGCTAGCATCTGTTGCCTCGGTTCAGTGCCTCGAGTTGACTCGTCAATCATCATTCATGCATTCCACATCTGTCTTGCAACACCTACGGACTTTGCACCCGTATTGAAATATGTCATCCTACGAGCATCTTCTGTCACTGATATTGATGGGAGGATGTGGATGTTGAGGATGGTGCCCAATCCGGCATAGCGCCTCAGCACACCGACTTTCTTTGAACAACTTCTGCGACAGCCAACCATGAAGTGCTCTGACGTTACTCACTCCCCGACTGGCCTGAACAGATTGTAATTGCGATGCCATCTCCCACCCCGATTATCACAGTCGTAATCCTCGTATCCTCTTTGGCGGTTGCTCTTTTCGCCGTCTGGTGGAATTCATTCTCGCAAAAATGTGTCCCTATAGTGATAGAGGCTCAGCATTCCAGATACTTCGAGTATGAATATACAGGAAAGCCGCATCACTCAAGCTGGCATAGCTGGTGGCATCCCCAACGCATCTGGAGCAGCGCTGAAGCCAGCCCTGGTCGTGGACAGGGCGGCGGCGCTGTGACACACGATTGGAATATACTGTACCATCTTGGAGGCAACGGACCCTGGGTCGAGAAAGTAGACAATGTGGTAGAGGGAGGCATTGCTGTTCCTGATGGCTGCGCCGTGGATCAAGTGCATATGGTAGGTTCGGGGAGGGTTAGAGGGTCGACTACATGCTGACATCGATTCTTTGATTGAAGATGTCAAGACATGCGGAGAGATATCCAACGTTTAGAGTTGGCAGAAGTGGGTTCATTTTTGCCTAGCCCGCACTGGAACTTCAGGTGTCATGAGCTTACTGGAAAGTCAAGGAATGATTAAACTTCTAGACAGGATGAAGCAGAGCAGGATCAGATTCCAAGGTGACTTGGCTTTCGTCAACCATTGGGAGCTTTTCTGGTCAGGTGGGTTTGTCCTCCATTCTTGTCACGTAGCGAAATACATGCTCCTGCAAAAATCAACCAACCCAACGCGTGTCTTCTCAGCTTCTATTCTTGTCTGCCCTCAACGCATGCCCACAAGTCATTGCAGATGTCTCGGAGATCACCCTTACCTGCTTGAGAATTATGTTGACAGTATGCCAAAGACGATTCGCAGATGGAGCAGCTCACCTCGACGGGTCCTTTCTCTGGAACTCTAGGATCCTTCACCACAGGTGTTCGGCTCCGCACTCGATACCACAATCTCCTTGCTAATCCCAAATCTCTGGAACGCAAGACTAGATTTTGGGCTAGTGACTCGGAGAGGGTCATCGACACTGCGCGCTATTTCGGAGCCGGATTTTTCGGCCTTGATTGGGAAAGGGCAGCCCATCTGGAGATCATCCCCGAGAGGTCTGACCTCGGTGGGAACACGCTAACCCCAGGAGACACTTGCCTTAAATACATTGAGGACACAGAGGAAGGACACGATAAAGGGCCCAAAACTATGCAGAACTACCGGGCTACGTACATGCCTGCGATTCGCGAACGTCTTCTGAAACAGAATCCGGGAATGGAGTTCACTGACGACGAGATCTATGCTATGCAAGAAATGTGCGGTTTTGAGACAACTGTTAGGGGGAGCAGTCATTGGTGTGATGTCTTCACCCAGAATGAGTTTTTGAACTTTGAGTATGCGAGGGATATCTTGCATTACTACCGGGCTGGCCCAGGAACAAAGTATGGAGCAGTGATGGGCTGGTTGTGGCTGAATGCGACGACAAATCTCATGCTTGAGGGACCCAGCGCTGGTCCACTATTCTTCAGCTTGTGAGTCTTTGCTAAGTCCAACTCTGTGCTTGCGAGAAGCACTGACGCCCGTAGTGTTCACGATGGGGATATAGCTCCAATGATCACAGCCCTTGACATTATCAACGACGATGAGCACCTCCCAATTACACATATCCCTTCATCGCGGAAGTGGCGGAAATCTCAGGTGTCCCCGATGGGCGGTCGCATCATCTTCGAGCTGCTCTCGTGCGGGACCCAACAGAATCATTTCGTCAGAATCAACATCAACGATGGAATCACTACAATTCCCGAATGCGATGGAGGTCCTGGAAGTAGTTGTCCACTTGCCGAGTTCAGGGATAGAGTCAAGCGGAAAGGCGAGGAGGTGGGGCATTTTAGAGAGAAGTGTGGACTCGATGATGAGGCGCCGGAGAGGATCACATTCTTACATCAGTGATTTGCTTCTGGGGGCTTTGCGACGTGCCTGTCAAGCTTTTGGGCAGTGTGAGAGACTCACAGCCTCGTTAGTGTATTAAAATATAGACGTGTGCTATAGACCAAGAGCAGTATATCTCTGTAGACTGAGTCCATCATCAGCGTCAAAGGGTCAGCACCCAACATGGAACAGTAATGGGAACATTTTGAACTATGGAGCCCCAGTCCGGACCAAATACGAGTGTTAGGAGGAGAAAAATGGTAGCCCTAAATTCAGTCCAAGTCAGGCTCTGTCGTCAATGCTAATATGCTGGGTCTCAATCATTGCCTCTCCTACTAATGCCTGTCTAAAGCTTAACCACAATAGCGACGCCAAGATCAGCACTACCAATTGCAGCGAATTCCGTCGGGTCGGGGCGAAGGAAGAGACATCTCTCCGCAGGCCGTCCGAAGCCCCGACTACGACTAAACACAAAACTATTTTGCCCCAGAGCCCCGGACGTTCTGCTTTTCGGACGGGGGCTAGGAAGCCACATGAAGCTGCCACCCAGGCGATAGCGCCGTGTCACTTGTCGCCGCCTTGCCTGAAACGGCAAGTCCCTCGGCTCTCCCGCCACTGTCCAAGATGCACATCGTGAGATATCAATGATGGACGAACATCGCATCCGGCCAACGGACGTAACGGTCGAACAAGCATATCAGCGTCCAAAAAAGTCGGCGTTAAAGATTGGTATATATATCCTAACACAGGTCTTTGAAATTTCTGCCACAACAATCTTCCTCTTCTTCAACTTCTTGATACCGACACTCTCACATACCTTACGGAGTATGGGCAAAGGCGTGAAGTTCAATCCGGTGACGGATATCCCGAGCCTGGCGGGGAAGGTCATTTTGGTCACTGGAGGTATGTGTCTTACGGAGCCTTTCGCAAAGCAATTAGAACCACCAAAGGACGCAACGCTAACCGCAAGTAAACAGGCAACGCAGGCCTAGGCAAGCAAACCATCCTCTACCTCTCTCAACATTCCCCTTCACGAATCTACCTCGCCGCACGCACCGCCTCCAAAGCCACTTCCGCAATCGCCGATATCAAAAAGCTCGTTCCGGATGCACCCATCGAACACCTCCCCCTCGACCTCACATCCATGGCCTCCATCAAAGCCGCCGCCGACATCTTTCAGGCCAAGGAATCACGCCTCGACATCCTCATCAACAACGCCGGTGTTATGGCCACGCCCTACAGTCTCACAAAAGAAGGCTACGAGATTCAATTCGGCACAAACCACATGGGCCACGCACTTCTCACAAAACTGCTCCTCCCGACTTTGCTCGAGACGGCTAAGCAGCCCGGTGCCGACGTCCGCATCATCAATCTCAGCAGCATAGGGCATATGATGGCGCCATCTGAAGGCATCATCCAGACGCAATCCACACTACAGCAAAGATCAACCTGGACGCGTTACGGCCAATCCAAACTCGCAAACATCCTTTTCTCGAACGAACTCGCCGCCCGCTACCCCGAGATAACAACCGTATCCATCCACCCCGGCGTCATTGTCACAGACCTATACGCCTCTCTCAAGTCGAATTTTATTATGCGGCTCTTGGTCGGGCTTTATCAACTGCTGACGCCAATTCTACCAGGCCATTATAAGGACACGACGGGGGGTGCGTTGAATCAGACGTGGGCGGCGACAACAAAGAAGGAGGGATTGACAAACGGCGAGTTTTATACGCCGGTGGGGAAGACGGGGTCGGGGAGTAAGAAGAGTAGGGATGCGGGGTTGGGGAAGAAGTTGTGGGAGTATACAGAGGTAGAGCTGGAGAAGCATGGGTATTGAGGTGATGGGGAATGGTGTAAACGGGATTTTGGAGTGTCGGGGAGTTCTTCAAGATATCTAATAGATTATTGGGGGTTCGGTTATTATGACTGGTTCCAGGCGAAGCAGCATAACAGTGTTGCTAAATACTTTAATTATCTATGTTCTATACTATCTGCTTGAAGCAGGTAATGCACTCAATTTCAGCCCCACTACTTGGCTTCAAGCTGAGCTCTACCTCTTCGGCTCATAAGCGCTGTTGGACAGAGCAACGCCATAAAAGGAATATGTATTGGTGGGTGGGAAATGGGGACTAATGCAAAATTTCTCCTACGCACATTCTCAGAGGAATCGGGAAAATAGGGATAGATATATGTAGCATGGAGATGGGTATTGCTCGAGAAACCCGTGAAACCACAAGGGGTAGTAGCTGCGGCGACCGGTCCGAAAACCCTAAGGTGTAGAGTGTAATGCGGAAAGCGCATACACAAGTCGAATGGACAGAGGCATGTATTCGCCAACTAGTACCGAGGGAAACGATTTCTGGTTCTCATTGACAAGGGTATCACTGAGGTTGAGCTCAAATGCCCTTATTTGCAGCCTTTCTCAACTCCTTCGTTTCTGGTGACGTCCTAACCGGTAAATTCTAAGGTGACGATGACGCACCTAACATTGACTGCTCCCTCTTGCCGCCCGCAACGGGAAATCCAGATCCAGATCCCAATCCTAGCCTCGATCCAGTGGTAGGATTCTTCATAGCGCGGAACTCAGCCAGGATGCGCACGCGCTTATTCTCAATACTTTCGCTTGCGGCAGTGGCCCTGCTGCCAAAGGAAGAGAGGAGGTTTTGACGTTCCTCCTCGACGTCGTCGGTTAGATCAATTGTACCGTTGAGTTGGGGAGGGCTAGGGGTAGGAAATTTTCTAGGGAGGGATTGGGGATAGGAGCGGGCGAGTTGGGGTGGGTGTGGTTCCTCTGGAGATGAGGATTTAGCGGCGTTGAGGATTGCTTGGAGTTGGTCTTCGACGTGGACGAGGGTTGCGGATGTGTTTAGACGGCTTGGTGCTGGTGGGGGCTGTTGGGGTTGTGTGCGGTGCTGCGGTTGGTTGGGTTGCGGGTGAGGCCGGACAGGATCAAGTTGGTGATGGCGCTGAGATTGTCGGGTTTGGTGATGATGTTGCTGTGCTTGTTGATGTTGTGGATGACGCTGGAGTATTCGTGCCGCCGGTGCCATTTGTGCAAGCGATACAGGGGCAGCCATCATGCCCATAGGTTCCATAGGTTCCATAGGTGAACCATTGCTGCTCATCTCGGAGACGTGATTCTGGCGTACCTGGAGAGTGGAGGGGGTATGTGGAGATTGGCAGTGCATACCACTATACTCATCCGGCGAAGTAGGGACTGGTGGGGTAGTGAACTTATATTCGTTTGTCCCGATTCGCGACATACTAGGCGTGTGTCTCTGAGAAGATGCTGCTAGAGCTTTACTTGGTTGTCTACGAGACGCTGGATGAGGTGGCGCTGGATCATCGTCTATGACGAGAGGAAGTGCCGAGGAACCAACGCCAGTAGTAACAAAGCCATGGACGCTATCCCCGGGGAAGGGGGGGTAGACAACGCTTCCTGGAAAAGTTTTCGGCCTCCTCTGCTCAACTCGTTGTCGTTTCGGCGGATGAGGTTCAACTGGGACGACGGATGAAGCTGCGTTTACGGCTACAAACGATGCTTGTTTCGGACGTGCTGTTGGCCTTCCCCTCCTCTTCGCACTGCCTGGCGACGATCCTGGTGCTTTCTGAGCTGGTGTACCAGTAACATCGGAAACGGGCACAGAAAGTCTCACGTTCCGGTCAATCGTAACTCCCTCGATAGTTCCACGATAAGCTTCTAAGTCGTTGAGGAATCCCCAGATAAACTTCCAAACAGGCGCGTTCATTCGGATATCAACGAAGTTGTCACGGAGTCTATTCCGCAGGGTACGGATGTCACCTAGGAGAAGTTTGTTGTTTCGCTTGTGGGAGTACATCGAGATAAGGACCGCGACAGCAACGAGTTCGATGGGAGCGAAGGTCTGAACACCTTTCAGTTTTCGTTCCACATTTGTGAACGTCTCTGGGCTTTCTTGGACCAGTTCCTTGAAAGTAGCGAATGTATTCGCTAAGTGGGATCTGATTTGATCGTCCATTGCCGCATGATTCGACAGTAGTTTTGGAAGAGATTTATAATTCGTCTTTAGCATAGGGATGCCGTTAGCGTTGGAGGGATTCTCAACCTCGATAATTTGACTGAAGCACGAGAGAGCAAGCTGGAAATCTTTAGAGCGTGCTCGATCCTTCAACAGCGCAAAGATCACAGCGAAATCGTCGACGAAAAGCTTGGCCAATTCTTGCCATGGCCCGTTCGATGCACGCATCTTCTCCGCCAAGGTTAGTTGCATCCCCATTTGCACTCTTGCGAAGAGGTCCTCTTCTTGTTCTGGAGTTAGGCCAGAGAACTCGGTTGACACGAGGTCCTTGCCCAGGAACTCCTTTCGAGCAGCTTCAGGAAGAATCCTTTTGGAGGGCTTATTGGAAGGATCGACAAACCACCTAGAACAGTCAGCTGTTGCGAAGCGGTTCGATAGTGTATAAACAATTACCATTTCTGTCCGCGATAGTCATGGCACGGAATCATACCCTTAATGAACGCTCGAACGGACGATAGACGCTGCTTGCCGTCGACGCAAACCATCGAGTACGAAGAACCATTACCATTTGGGTTTTTGTATTCCTTCTTGTTCAGAATGATAGGCGGGATGTAGTAATTTTCCATCAACGAGTTGACGAGTCCCGTCATTCTATCGGCTACATTTGTATGTCAGCGAATAAATCAACCAAGAAACTCTCTCTTACCTGTCCATACAACCTCTCTCTGGTATTCCGGGTCGACATCGATGCTGCCGGCATCTAATGCCTCTTCACAATACTATTAGTACCTCGGATCACACGAGTGAAGGCATAAGGTTTCTAACTCATTAAATCCCCCAATGTTCGCATCACCACAAAGGGCTGCGGCAATCGAGGGCAAGGCTTGTAGGTGAAGTCCCTGCCCTCATCATCATCGTCGAAGAATTCGTCTCCGTCGTCATCTTCATCTTTAATGCTGGGCTGCATGTTGTGAGTAGTGGCTATTGCTTTGAATTGGATCAGCTGTCAGAAGGCTTGACGCTTACTTCGTGTTGATTGGCTGCCATTGGCATCTCAGGCATGCGCTATGATTGGTAAGTGTCGCTAGGAGCAAAACTTATCCAATGAAACTGTAGAGCTTTTTTTGGCAGTTTTAAGCTTCTTATTTATGATTGTTTATGTTTAGACTATATTTTATATACTTAGTTAGAAAGATAATAGTAAAAAAGAAGAAAAGAAGAAAAGCAAATTATGTTACAGGAGTAGAAGGAGCAGCCTTTAAAAGGGGGGAGAAATAAGTGGGGCCTGTCAATTGATAAGCAGTTGCGTTAATATATCTGGATATGATTGGAAGCTAATCTTGTCACACGATCACCTCGCATTAGTGTGTAACGCTTAGCGTAATAGACTAAATCTCTAATTAGTTGAGGTGATGGTCACTATATATTGGTTCTGTGCTTTCTGGAGGCACTTTACAAATGACGCCTTTCATTTCTGGGACGCTCCTTCGAATTCTGAGTCATTGAACTCTAATCACTGCGGAAGTCCGACATGCCTTCTCTCACTACTTTTCGCAGTTGAGCAGCCGCACGGCCCAACTCTCCGCCGCCTTTCGTTACCTGGTCAAGACCAGCAACAATTGCAGCTTCTGCTTTATCGTGAAAAACTCTCTGTCGATCCTCTCGGTCTTCATACATCTCTGCTTCTTCGTCCCTTGGAGCCCCGAACAGATTCAAGTGCACAAATGTGTTTGATCGTTCAGACACCATGTGGTGCTCGCACTGCCAGAGTGGAAAGGTAGTACCGCCTACATCAATTGGTTCTTCAGTTTGAGAAGGCACAAGCCCTGCTCTCAAAAATGCTGCAAGAGCATTCATCTGCTTGACCATGATCTTTGCGTCTCCGCCCGATTTCCCAAATGATTTAGGGGCCGACCATTTACCTGACGTTTCATTTTGCCAGCCTAAGAGGCCAATAAAACACTTGAGCATCTTGACCCAACCACCTACGCCACTAACAACTTCATCACCTGCTACTCCGAGTAACCATTCCAGAACATCCAGAGCAAAAGTTCGAATTTCTGTCGCTATATGGGTCATTCCAGCTCGGGTATGCAATAACAGTTGATCACTATAGCTTGCGATGTCGTTCTTTGGTAGACTTTGAAGGAGCTTGAGAAGCTGTTGTCGCACAGCGTTGGAACCATCCAGAATGAGACGTTGCACAGCCGGTAGAATGATTGATGTTGGTTGTGGTAGCGGAGCACCAGCGGGAGTGTTTGTGATTGCTGTGGTCAAATATGCCAGAGAGTCACGTCTCTGCGAATCGGACTTGTGAGCGAGCATGGAAAGATGATGAGAGCACTGTGCAACCACGGATGGCGCATTCGCTGAAAGAGACTGTTGAGTCAATACAATTGCTAGAGAGGTCAGCCATATATCGCTAAGCTAGGGTTTCTAATCCTACATTTGGCTTTGAAACTTGTGTCTGTGAAGTTGGCCGCTTTCGGCTTTGCCTTCCCGACCTTCAACTTTGGTTTCTACGAAGCTGTCAAGAGTTGGTTAAATGGGCGGATTTGCGAAAAGTGAACTTGCCTGGAAATCTTTCTTCTTTTCCTTCTTCCTTTTAGCACTGGAACCCCCCATGATGTTCTCTCATCCGCTGTCAAGACGCTTTCCCCAAAGAATATGCCGAGAATGCGAGGATATAAGAAGCATGAATGTTGAAAGTCGGAGAGTGTTTCACATCAGAAGGACCTGCAGATTGATTGCTGAAAGGTAAAATTTCGGAATCCTTGCAAGCGCGCTAGCTGTTTCAAGGCTAGTGCTAGTATCTCTTGGCAAAACGCACCTGAGCTCGACCATATCCCTCGTTCAAGAATCACTTCAGTCAGTAAGTCCATGGGACTATCTGGAATTTCCCTAACCAAACCGGCACCGAGGATTAGCTTCATCCCACAATGGCCCAAAATGCGGTATGATGCTGCCTCATCCAGGTATTAATTCGAATTTGAATCCATCGTTAACATCAGAAGCAGCCCGACGAGACCCTCTCACTCCTCACGCGACTCAGCCAAAAGCCTGGCGTACAAAGCACTCTCGTACTTTCTCGCGAGAACGGCGCCATTGTGCGCACGTCCGGCTTGATCTCGAACAATACCTCTACAAATCCAAATAACACTCTGCCCTCGTCCATCGACAATGCCCCGGACAACTACAGCAACGGAAGGAAGGAAGGTGGCATACACAGTGCGGAAGATGTAGCAAGCATGGTATGGTCATTTCTGAGCTCAGCTGGCAAGCTAGTGGATGAGTTGGACAAGGAAGACGAGGTCAAGCTGCTAAGGTTAAGAACCAAAAAGAATGAACTGGTCATCGTGCCTGGTGCGCGCCCCTGGCCTGATTGATTCAGCGAAATTGTGCTAAAATGAATCTAGATCCCAAGTTCATCCTAGTCGTAATTCACGATACACCCCCAGCATAACGGATCTAACAAGTACGCATGTCATAATTGGCGTTGGACTTTTATCGGCGTTAAATGATACCCCTCGATTTTGAACCTAGTGCTTGTTTTAACTCATTACCAATGAGCCTCACTGATATCAACTTCGTTCACATCGACACCGTCTTTATACCACCGCTCTAGAGTACCTGTCAGCAGACGCTCATAGATTTGCGCTAAATGAGGAGCCTTGCCAGCTTCACTGATCTCAACATCATTACCACTCATTTGACGCTTCCGCATCCTTCCATCCTCAGTAAATGTCCAATCCTCTAGGCCATAGCAACGCTTCCATTTCATGCCGTCGTGGGCATCTTGATACTCATACCAGAACTGGACTGCAATCTTGTTCTCCGTGAAAGCGAACAGCTCTTTACGGAGACGGTAACTTTTTTCCTTTTCCCATTTCTTAGTCAGGAAGTCCTCAATCGCCGCTGTTCCGGTTAAAAACGAGGCACGATTCCTCCAAATGCTATCTGGTGTATATGCCTTCGCAATTGTTTTAGGATCCCTGGTACTATCAGTCCAAGCTCCTTTGATGGATATAGTTGGCTCACTGAGTGTTCCAAAGGTCTTGGGCCTTCTTGACTTTGGCATGGGCGGTTTCTGCGGTAAATGGAGGGGTAAGAGACATCTTGGCTTGAGCGAATTTCAAAGGGGGTCGTCTACTCATTCAGTCAACACAGCAACACTGTCCCCTTATATACCCTCACCCTATTTGTTCTTACATGGTGGCCTCTGCTGATAGCTTAGTCGGCATGTCCGCTGCATGCCGATTTATATGACTAAAATGTGTTGCATCACCCCAGACTCTTTACCGCAACAGAAATCCGATGCTTGCACCAGAAAAAACTCGTATTAAACCTTTAATCTAGTTCTTGAAAGTTTCTGGTGTCCTTGAAAAGGCTCAATCGCTCCCTAGCAGCCTCGAAGCTGAAGGATGATCCGGCATGCGGTGTGCGGTTTCTCAGGCACTCACCGAAGCCATTGCGTCATCGCCCCGTGTGCCCCACCGCCCACCGAGGATTGTAAATCGCTGAACCCCTCCAAGCTCGGCCTCGGAACAAACCCCAAGAGCCTCATAACACCTATCGTGAACAGTTACCTTCAAATCCAAATCAGACCTCAATCTCCAATTGACCAAAAATGTCACCTCTCAAAGTCGGCGACACTTTGCCGGAGGGAGTCAAGTTTGAGTGAGTGCCAGACAACCCTCCTGCATCTACACAGCTGCCCTGTGTCAAACTTTGCGCAGCAAGTCATCTTAGGGATTCATTGTCTAGCCCGACCTAATAGCTCTGTACAGGTGGGCTCCGATCACCGACTCTGATCCAACTGCCTGTGGAAGGCCGCAAGAGTATGATGCGAGCAAAGAGTGGAAGGGCAAAAAGGTTGTCCTCTTCAGCGTCCCAGGTGCGTACCTCCCTCTTTTCAGCCTCATGCGACGCTGATGGAATCCCTCGTGCAGGTGCTTTCACCCCTGGCTGTCAAGCTCGTCACCTTCCACCGTACATCGAGAAACTCAGCCAGTTCAAGAGCAAGGGTGTTGACATTGTAGCCGTCATTGCTTCCAACGACTCGTGGGTCATGAATGCGTGGGGTAAGGTGAATGGCGTGAAGGGTGATGAGATTGTAAGCATGGAGACATTCAGCACAAGGCTCTAGCGGTAACTAATGAAGGATTAAGCTGTTCCTTAGCGACACCAAGACTTTTTTCTCCAAGGACTACGGGTGGGCAGCCGGCATGGGAGATCGGAAGTGAGTTGCAGTAGTCTTGCGCGGGTGTTACTTGCTAATCCATTCTAAGTGGCCGCTGGGCTATGGTCTTCGACAGCGGCAAGGTCATCTACGCTGAGAATGAGAAGAGCCCAGGCGAGGTTTCTGTAAGCATTATTACAACCTATTTTGTCACGGGAACATGCTGATGAACAATCAGGTCTCTGGTTATCTCACGAGTCAGCCGCCCCACAGATGATTTTGCACTAATACTATTTTAGATTAGACAAAACTTCTAAAACTTCTAAGCTAATTAAAACTTCTAGGGTCTTCTAGGCTAATTAGAGGCTAATTACTAACAACGTATAAAATTATCTACAGAGCGTCTAAGAAGAAATAGAGCAAGTTTATATGTATCTTAGTTTATAAATCTATTAAATTATGCAATAGCACTACACTAGCATTAGTATCTATTAAAATGTTTAATGTAATTAAAAACAGAGGTATTTATTCTTATAATAGGCACATTTTAAGATGTATCTAACACTATTTAAAGAGTGAAGTACATTATTAAACATGTTTTTAACATGTTGTGTGTCCTAGCTATTAACTATCTATCTCTATCCTATTACTCCTGTTAACACCACACGTTGTATCCCTCTATAACTGCAGAAGCTAAGGCACACATGCCTTCTCTATTACCTCCTGTAATTAAAACTTTAGTGTAAACAGGTGTAGGTGTGCAGTTATAGTTATTAGTACACCTATGCTTAACCTACTGTATTATACAACTTAGTTAATAAGAAGAGCGTTAGAGATCTTACACTTCTAAAAAACTTCTAGGAACTTCTAAGAACTTCTAGAAACTTCTAAAAACTTCTAAGAACTTTTAAGGACTTCTAAGGACTTCTAGAAACTTTTAAAGTATAGTAAAAAAAAAGGTTAAGAAAAAAAAAGATAAGTGTTTAAAATAGTAAAGAAGTAAAAAGAAGTAAAAACATTAGAATACTTTAAATGTAATAAGTTAAAGCCCTATTTTTTTAAGCTTTTAGCTTTAAATTAATTTTATTCTGTCTATAAAGTTAAAAGATCTTTCTAGCCTTATCTTAGCAGCTAAGGATGTCTGTAATGTTAAATTCTAGAAGGACGTTTTCTACGCGTGTCTTACACAGATCCTCTACAAAGAAAAGATAATAAGCGCTAATAATAGTAGCCTATTACTATATAATAAGCAAGTTTGTACTTTAAAGTAACTAATATTTAATTATAAGGATACTTTTTTAATTACTTAGACTAGTTTTAGTAAAAGCATAATCTTCTATGCCTATTTAGTGTTAACTACTAAAATTACTATCTAAATTATTTTACTAAATAAGCTTAAAGATAAGCAGCTAGATAATATATAATAACTAAAAAGATCTAAGCTATACATTGTTAATATGCAGAGTAGGGCTAGTTAGTAGAGACTGTTTACTTAAATTATTAATAAAAAATTTACTTATCTACTTATAAGGCTAAAGTAGGCTTTTAGTAGAGCTTTCTAGGACATTTTAAAAAATCTAGAGTTGCAGTCTTAAATTAGATTAGTAGCTATTAATAAATGTTATTTTATATTAAACTAAAAGAAGTTTTAACTTATGTTTATAATGCTAAGTTAACTATAAGTTATACTTTAAAAGGATATTGTCTAGTTTACCTGTTCTACTATGTTAGACAGTACTGCAGAGGATGCAGTCTTACGCTACGCTAGTTTCTGTCCGCTAGGCTGCTATATGTACTAGACTAAGGTTATCTGCATGTTAGTTAATTACTTTAATGTTGCTATTTTAGTAGTTTCTTTACTATAAGGTAAAGTTAACTTATAAGATAGTCTTTATTTCCTTCTAAAAAAAAGTGTTTTAAGTAAGTGTACTAATTCTAAAGAGATCTCTAAAATAGTTATATTTATTAATAAGTGTATATCTATTTAGTTAGCTGTAGTGTAGTTTTACTTAATGCTCCTTTATTTAACAGAAGGACTAGAACTTTATAATTAGTATATAACTAATATTAACAATAGTCTACAGTGCGTGTACAACATAGTAGAGATGTTTACTATAAATGTGTAAAAATATAACTAGAATAAGCGTTATTCTAAGTTTAAAAAGCTAACATTCTGTATTTAAATTATAGTAGCTACTACCTTACTAAGCATAAGTGTTAATATCCTTAATGTTAACTGCGTTGTATGCTAGAAGTTCTTAATTATAAAGAGCCTTTTAAATCTCTAGTAGTGTGCTAGGCGCAGTAGACGCGCACTTAGTTAATTAAGTACTATGTATATATTTCTACTATATTAGTTGTTTAACTCTAAGGGTTTATATAAACTAAGCATTTTGCTACTCTGCTCTAAATAAAATAGACAGCCTTTAAAGAGAAAAACAGCGCAAAATTAGTTACTAGTTAATAAAGTAAAAGTATATAGTTAATTAGCTTAAAGCTTTACACTAGGTAATACTAGTAATGTAAATAGTGTCTGCTTATAAGAGTCTAGCTAAGAAACTGCTAGGTTAGACTAGCCTTCTACTAGATATTAGACAAAGTCTAATATGCAGGCCTAGGCAAACATAGGCAATTACTAGATTAATATAGCTAATAGTCTGTGTTACTACAAGGGTATTCTATCTTAACTAGGGGAGTATAATGTCCCCTTAAAAGACAGATCTGTTGTTGTACTAGGTTCCTACTGTTTAAAGTGCAACATTGCACTTTTTCTGCTAGCTACGCTACTGCTAGAGCCTCTAAGTGTAGTTTCTACTTTAAGGACAGGCACACTCCCTACTTTTATACTTATTACTTTTAATAAGTAGGCTAGAATCTAAGTAGAAAAACACTATAGTAACTTTACATGTTAAGCACCTCTACTTTTATCTGTGTATATAAGGACGTGCTTATAATAGAAGCTGTTATAATACTATAGAATTAAGTATACTATTAAAGTAGATCTTATAGTTAATAAAATATATAAGTATGTTTTATTTATATCTAGTTAAAAACATTTTAGAACTAATACTAAAGCACTTTATAATATACTTCTAGGCATAGTAGTGTCTGTAAATATATATTTAGTTTGTTATAAAAAAAAGCTATAACACTAGTGTGTAAAGTAAAATAAATCTAGTTAGGTCTATGCTTTATTATTTATAGAGAATTTAAGTGTAGATTATGTTACTTAAATCTATTAATAGAATAACGCTCTTGCTAAGAAGGTAGCACTGCGACGTACACTGCAGGCCGCATCCGCATCCTCCAGTGGCCGCGTTGTCCTCTAGCTAGTTGTATTAGACAATACTTGTACAACTGCAAGTGCCTTTACCTTAACTGTACTAGAGATACTACCTTTAAATAACACGTTACATAGTGTTATTTATGCAATTATATTAAGCCCTACTTAGAAAGTTATATATTTATAAAGTTTTATAAATAACTTCTTTTAGCGTGCAGTCTAGGTTCTCTAAGATGTTTAAAAGTAGGCTAATAGTAGGCTAGTAACGCTAACTGCTAGCACTAGTTAATCTAGTTAGCTAGAGCCCCTAGAAGACAGGAGTTTGCTAGTAACAGTACGCGACAATGCAAGTCGCAGTAGGCAGAATAAGCTATATATACATAAGGCAGCTGCAAACACCACACTATTGCAACCCTAGGCAGCATTAGTAGATGTAGATAAAAATACATTATGTTACTAAAAAAAAGTTCTTAGTTTCTTACTAGTATTTTAAAGTAAGAGGGTGTAATATATAACTAATAAAAAAAAAAGCTGTTTAATGTGTTATAAATTATATTATTAGCCTAAGCATTTTTTTAAAGGCTTTAATTCTTTACTTTGTGCCTTAGTTAGCTTAAAAGTTTGCAGGAGTTTTAAAGCACTTAAAATATCTAAAATATTTAAAGTAAAATTATAGTTTATAGTAATCTAATTAGTAAAAGTTAGCTAAAGTTTTAAAGTATTCTATAATTTAAAAAAGTACTATATGTTATAGGGTCTTTATTAGTCTAGAAGTTTACAGAAGTTTTAGAAGTTAGTAAAAGTAAGAATATAGTAAAGTTGCTGTAGTAAAAGTATAACATATGTAACTTACTAGTAACTAATAAATAGTAATATAAATAACACTATATTATAAGTTTAACTTTAACTATAACATTAACATGCTTTACTTTTAGTCTTTTTTAGAAGCCTTAGGTTTTATAACCTAAAATAAACATTAAGCTATAGCAGTAGCTGCTGCTTTAAGCTATAAAGTAACTTATAGTAAGCGCATTTTCTACTTTTTATAAGCTATTAGTTGCTGTTGCTGTCTTTATAGTAGTTATAGTTAAAAGCATAGGTTGCTAACATTAGTATAGCTGCTATTACTATTGCCTTTACCTTTACCCTTGCCTTTGCCTTTGCCTCCCTCCTACCCTTCTTATCCGCCTCTGCCTCTCTTCTTCTTCTTCTCTACTACTACTACTACCTTTTTTTTTTTTCTTTTTCTTTTTTTTTTTTTTCTCCTTCTCTTCTTTTCTTTTTGCTACTTTTTAATAATAATAATAATAATAATAATAAGGTCTAGTAGCTATTTAGGGACAACCCTCCCTCTTTAGCTACTCCCCTCCTCCCTTCTCCTCCCCCTGCTGTGGTGGTGCCTGCGCCTGTGCCTGGCTTGCAAGGATACTACACCTAGGGTTAACAGGTAAACCCTGTTTACTAGCTATAAGCTTAGGCTAACTAGCTTACTAGTAAACATTATGTTTACTAGAAGAATAGCAAGTAGTAGTTTACTCTAAAGGCTATAAAGTCTACTTTATAAAAAAAGGCAGACACAGTTTACAGTTATGTAGGCTAAATTATAAAAATAAAGTTAGGTAAGTAGTTGCTAAGTAATTAGCAGTGCACTTACTATTAAAAAAAAGGTTAGAAGTGCTAGCATTATTTTAATAACACTAAGTTATAGGTTAAGCATGCTAGATTAACTTGCGCTTATTATTATGCTAACTCTTATAGAGGTAGTTGCATGTTCTTAACCTACTATAGGAAGGACCTACAGGCAAAACTGCCTTTTAGACCTAGGGGGATAGAGTATTATCTCTTAGCACTAAAAAGGCTACCCCCTCCTCTACCTCTTAGGGGTGCTGGCGGCATTGCTGTGTAATAAGTATTAGGTGTTAATAAATAATAACTTTTATGTATATTTTTACTACAGCAGCTTTAAACTATCTCTAGAGTAGCTTTAAGTACTATATAAAAAAAGACACTAAAGTGTTAGAGTTAGGTTAACTTAGTAAAGTGTCTTTTACTATTTAGGTTTTAACTTTATGCTAGCTTTAGCTAGTGTCTTAGAAGGATCTAGGTAATAGGGCTTAGTAAAATAATGTTAATATATAATAACTTTTATATACACTTTTATTATAGCAGCTTTAAACTATCTCTAAAGTAGCTTTAAGTACTGTATAGAAAAGAATGCTAAAGTGTTAGAGTTAGGTTAACTTAGTAAAGTGTTCTTTACTACTTAAGTTTTAACTTTATGCTAGCTTTAGCTAGTATCTTAAAAAAATCTAGGTAATAGGGCTTAGTAAAGTAATGTTAATATATAATAACCTTTATGTACACTTTTATTGCAGCAGCTTTAAACTGTCTCTAGAGTAGCTTTAAGTACTATATAGAAAAAAACACTAGAGTGTTAGGGTTAAATTAACTTAGCAAAGTGTCTTTTACTATCTAGGTTTTAACTTTATGCTAGCTTTAGCTAGTGTCTTAGAAGGATCTAGGTAACAGAGCTTAGTAAGATAATGTTAATATATAATAACTTTTATATACACCTTTATTACAGCAGCTTTAAACTGTCTCTAGAGTAGCTCTAAGTATTATATAAAAAAGGACGCTAAAGTGTTAAAGTTAAGTTAACTTAGTAAAGTATTTCTTACTATCTAGGCTTTAACTTTATACTAGCTTTAGCTAGTGTTTTAGAAGAGCTTTAAAGTAAAGCTTATTAAGACAGCTTATATTTTTAGTAGCTTAAAAATAGTTAGTTTAAGCCTTAGTTTTTTTAAAGTTTAGAGTTTAAACTATACTACTTTAACTACTAGTGTTTAACTAATACTTACATAGCTTCTAGCTTAACTTTTACTTATACTAAAATAGTGTTTAACTTCTATATATATAGTAAATATAGCTTTTACTATAGCAACAGCAACAGGTATTCTAATAGGTATAATAGTAGAAGCAGTAGACATAGTGCTTATAATATTTACTATTACTACTTTACTATTAGACAAGAGGTAGAGCAGCTTGTACGCTAGTATGTCTAATTAGTAATAATCTCCTAAGACTTGTAGATAAGCTTAAAGTAGATAAATATTACACTAGTATACTTATCTTATAATAATAACTTTAGCGCCTATAATATCTTTATTACAGACGCTGCCTTATACTACAGTAACACTACATACTTTACACTTATGCTAGGCAGAAACTTTTATGCTAACACTACCTTATATTTAGGCAGTTATACATGTAATGTATATAATAACTTTAACCTATAAGCTACCTAGTTAATAGAAATAGTTTAATAGACACAGTTTAATAGACATAGTCTAATAGACATAGTTTAATAGACACAGCTTTATAAAAATGCTAGAATAAAAATACTTTAATAAACACACTTTAATAAATACACTTTAATAGACATAGTTTAATAAACACGCTTTAATAAACATAATTTAATAGACATAGTTTAATAGACATAGCTTTATAAAAATGCTAGAATAAAAACACTTTAATAGACATAGTCTAATAGACATAGTTTAATAGACACAGCTTTATAAAAATACTAGAATAAAAACACTTTAATAGACACGCTTTAATAGACATAGTCTAATAGACGCAGTTTAATAGACATAGCTTTATAGAAATACTAGAATAGAAACGCTTTAATAGACACACTTTAATAGACACAGTCTAATAGACACAGTTTAATAGACACAGCTTTATAAAAATGCTAGAATAGAAACGCTTTAATAGACACACTTTAATAGACATAGTTTAATAAACACACTTTAATAAACATAGTTTAATAGACGCAGTTTAATAGACACAGCTTTATAAAAATGCTAGAATTAAAACGCTTTAATAGAAATGCTTTAATAGAAGCGCTTTAAGGAATGCCTATAAATAGGCTTTTTTAATGTTGTATATAACTCTATAATTCTACTGTCTACAAACTCCTACAAACTTGTACAAACTTCTGCAGACTCCTAGAAACTTCTGTAGACTCCTAGAAACTTCTATAGACTCCTAGAAACTTCTGTAGACTTCTAGAAACTTTTGTAGACTCCTAAAAACTTTTAATGTAATTATAAAAGGCTATTAATTATTAGAACTTCTATTAGCTTCTAATCTAATTAGTAGCACTACTAGTAATTGCTAGGTCTATAATTACATTAAACTTATCTCTAACTGCGCGCGCGTACTTAGCAATATTAGCAAACTTAGAATTGTCTGTGGTGTTAGGTTAGGCAGTTAGATATAGAAGGTCTACAGAGCCTTAAAGCTGCACATGCGCGCAGTTAAATTTATTAACCTCTGCCTTAAGCATATCTATCCTAGCAGTGTATATATTAAATAAGTTAAAGAACTTATAGCTTACTAAATTATTTAAGTTTTAAAGCGCTACTAATCTATCTATAATAAGTATTTAAGCTAAGAGGAACATGTTTTAAATAGTAATAGCAGAAGTATAACTACTAGGCATATTCTTACTAAAGACCCTCTCTAACGCTATCTACACCTTCTTTACCTAGACATTACAGAGGCAAGTCTAGTTAAACACTTAATTAATATTATGTGTAAAGTTTTTATAGTTTTTTAAATTAATTTTATAGCTATAGTTAAGATGCTCTAGGCCTAGATTAATTAGCTTAAACATGTTTTCCTGTCTATACTAGTTTATAAGACTAGATGCAAGGATAGCATGCTATAACTCTGCAGTGTTAGCTAGCAAGAGAAGCTAGTAATACTAAAGCATTTTCTAGCTATAATTTATCTACCTAGCGCTAAAGAAAACAATAATAAGAGGATTTATAAAGTGTTATAACATGCTAATATTGCTGTACCTAATAGCATAGTGTACTGCAAGGAAGAGCTTAATCTCCTAGAGCATGCAACACATGGTACAGAACTCAACATTATCTACACTAGCGCTAGAACCCCACACCTGACGCTTAAAGGCAACAGTGCGTATGTTTTTAACTAGCTGTAAGAAATTATTTACTAAAAGATTTTTAATAGCATTCTTTATATAACTAAGGCGCTTTAAGAAGAACTTATTAGTTGTATGTTCTAGAAAAAGGTGTTAGCGTTGCATAGTAGTATAAAACAGTGCAGTAACATAGGACATAAACCCTTAAATAACTAACAGTTCTAGTAGATAGTATTTACTATTGTCTTATGTAAGCTGTGTTTAACACTACATAACAACATCTAACTTAATAGTATAGTGTGCAACCTTATCTACTATAACTAGGCCTTAATGTGTTTAGCTAATAGTTAACAAAAGGTTTATTTACACATAGAACTATGCAGAAACACTAAGCAACTACTGCTTTTTATTATACAGTTAAGTTGCTTAAACCTGTTTACCTTATATTAAGTAGATATTACGCGCTGTAAGCTAATTACTATAGCATAACTAAAAGTAATTATTAAAATTATTACTAGAAATATTAGCAAGGTTGTTAGGCATGTTTAGACTTAATTAATTTAGCTAAATAGTATTATAAACTTTATAAGTTTTACTAATAAACTTTTTTTTATTAAATATAGCACTTAACTAATAATACTTAGTCTTAACTAAGAGTAAGTAGTTTAAAATAGAGAATGCTAGGTATTTAAAAAATGCTCTACTACTAAAGACATGCAATATAGCTTTTAAGTAGAGACGCTTAATTAAATTAGTAATAAGACTTTAGAATATATTATTATTAATACTATCTAGCCTATCTAATCTAGGGCTAAGTATAATGTCCTTAAAACCTAGAAGAACTGCTAGGTTATGCATAGACTAAGTAAGACTAGACTTAGGTAGCTTAGAAGCTAAAATAGCTACAGCGTTTGTTATGCTTTACATAGTAGCTGTATAGCCTGCCTTCTTATAGCGCGTGTAATCTATAAAGTTAATATTATTATACATAAGTACTAGCTTTAGGTTCTTTATAAGAACTTATAATTTATTTTTTTTAGCACTATTAGTTTTTATTAGCCTAAAGGTTTATAAGTAATTTTAAAAGTTTTAAAAGTTCTAAAAGTTTTAAAAGTTTTAAAAGTATTAAAAGTATTAAAAGTATTAAAAGTATTAAAAGTATTAAAAGTACTAAATAGCATATATACTTAAGCTTTTTCTACAACCTTATTTATTAGCTTATTAGTGTAATAATATAAATAATATAACCTAAGTCTACTTAAAACTTTAATTACACAACACTTTGTTTTAGACCTAATAAAATAAGCATCTAGCATAAATGCTAAAGTGTTTAATCTCTTCTTAGCCTAAAAGAAGCACATAATACTAGTAATAGTAAACACGCGCTTTTTAATTACATTAGACTTATTAGCACCTTAGTAGCTTACATATCCCTAGCGTAAATTGCGTAATATGCTTATAATAAAGTTATACTAAGTTAGCGCTTAATTCTAAATAGTTTAACTAGCATTATTAAAGTTAAGTGTTAATATATCTATATTAAAATTAAAATCTTTAAAGTATATCTCTTATACTAGCTAATTTAGCTTTAAAGCGCAATAATTTATTACATCCTCTATATAAAAGACTTTTATTTTAAAAAGTAAGTCTATTAAAGTCTTTAGCATGTGCTGCCTGTTACACGCCTTATAATACTAGTAATGCTAAAAAAGTGTATTATCCTTTTTATTATCTACTTATTCTAGCATAAAGTCTTAAAAGCTTTATTAGACAGTCTGCAACGTGTTTACTATGTACTGCAACTTCTCACGCCACAACATAGGACTACGACGCCGTGTGGAGGCGCCAGAGATCCTGCCTGCCTAGGTAAGGTTGCTAGAGGCACCTATATTATTATTATAGTCTATAGGTTAATCTAGCATAAACATATTTTTATTTTATTTAATTAGAGAGTTACTTGTTAGCTAAAAGAGCCTAGAAGGTAGGCTTAATAATAGGGAAAAGTTGCTAAATAAAGCTATAGTTAGCGCGTCTGCTAGTGCGTCTACTAGTGCGTCTGCTAGCGTGTTAGATAGAGTGCTAGCATTATTTATATTTAATGTATATTATAGAGCAAGACAAGCGCTTTACAGTAATAACAATTTTAAGAATTTTAACATAGTATTAGGAGGTAAAGTACACTGTTAAAGATAGTAACGCTAATAGCTAATAGATAAATTAAGATACACATAAATAACTACTATTTTCTCTTAGACTTTTAGGACAGAATTGCCCCTCTCTTATTTAGTGTGTTTTAATTAGTTTAGAAGTTTCTAGAAGTTCTTAGAAGTTTTAATTAGCTTAGAAGTTTTAGAAGTTCTGTCTATTCCTAAATAAGTTAAGGGCGATTCTGGGTTGAGGGTCTGACTCGTGAGATAAGTCTCTGGCGCCGAGGCTGTTCTCTCAAAGCTTTGAAGAAAGTTACATGGCCAGGGTCGAGCTGAAGCTGCAGTCAATCTGACCTCAAAAGGCTTTTATATCCTAGATGTTTAGATAACCTCGATGTCGAGGGAATAAACTAAGTTAAGCATGATGCTCTCTCTTGTGAGCGAATTCACCGGCTGGTGGATCACTGGCAAGTACAGCCCCGATAAGATAAGGAACTGGGAATGTGCTGACACACCACGGTTACATAAGCTCTTGAATTCGTTAACTAACGTGTTCCACTAGTCACGAAAAACTACTTGAAAATTACGAAATTCTCAACTTAACATCTCAACAACGGAAAAGCAGAAAGGTCTATGATTCTAAGATGAGCATTTTATACCTCTTCTAAAATTTATATTCGAGGCTTAGAGTTTACACTTACACTGTTGTTAAAATATCATGTTTGGGTGCCAAAATAGGGCTAAAATATAGCTAAAACCAAATATCTGCGGAATAATTGTATTATTCTCTTCTATTTATTTACAGTGTGCTCTAGAGGCGCAAAAATGGCTGTATTATAAATCTAGAACTGTTATTTCAAGCGGTTGTTGAGATCTTGAGATACAGTTTTCGTTATTTTTAGTGGGTTTTGGCCTCACTGGCCGGACGACTGGTGGAACACATTACTCAGACTTGGGCTTCAGCTGAAGGTGACCAACTCTAACACAATGTCGCCCCAATTCTCAGAATTCGCACCTAGCCCACCACCTCATCTACTAAGATGATTAGCTTTCCATAATCCCTACTCCTGAACTTTACTCTAGGGGTCAGCTCAGTCCAACCAAGTTCGGATGTCGCTAGCATTCGTTAGTCAAGTATCCTTTCTCAGCCTTGAGATCTAATACGGAACAACTGATGGTCTTATTTCTTTCAGCCACTTGCGTCACCGTAATGACCAGTTTTTAAAGTAATGCTCCCCGAATGCTAAGGGGTAATCCTCAATTTCCTTCGTTGGAGGAAGTCCTAAACACTACGTGAACGGCAACCCTCCTATCCCCATCATGTACCTATTTTGTCACCAGATAGGACCATGGTTCCGGTGATTAGACAAGGAACGTACGATGTCTATGCATCCACATGGAAAAGACAACCGCAGAAGACGTTGGGACAGCTAGCATAGTCACCATGGGGAACAATGACCCTTCATTACACATTAATAACGGTATCTAACCCAGAGCTTGAGGGCTTCAATCACCCTAAGTGACACTCCATGCTGTTCTGGTTTCTCTATGTTTTTTCTACTTATGATCCTACCCTTAGGAACGAATAGCCATTCTTATTTTATCTGCCATACTATTTTATCATATCCCATCTCGAGCGTGCAACTTTTCTAGTATATTCTGTGCGATGTTGGAGCAACGCCAATAGGTCCGCCAAGTAAGCCATCATGATTGCGAGGAATACGAAAACGTGCTTATAAGCACACTGCTGTTAACTCCTTTGCTGAGTTCCACAGATTTCTGTAGCCACAGCTTCATCGCCATGGGTATGGCTATAAAGAAAATGGGAGAGTTGGCAACGAGGGTCAAGAAGGCACGTAGGACTAGAATAACAGCAATTAGCCCCGAACACCTTCCTTCCTCCTCATCTCTACATCCTCTATTAATTATTCTTTTCAGGGCATCTTAGACATGCCAGAGATAAAGAACGGTAAGTCGGTCATCATCGACGACACACATGGTATCGGCCTCGCAACCGCACAGCTCCTTCTTTCCGAACGTGCGGGGGTGATAGTCACTGGCCGTAACCCGGTAAACATCTAGCCCGTGAAACATTCGCTTGGTGGCAAAGCACTTACGCATAAATGCGATATAACATCCACATTAGCTATCTCCACCTTAGCAGAGACAGTTTCCAGCCACTTCGGCCAAGGCCCACAGCTCACTCCCCTCATAACACCCGGCAGGGCTATTATCTTCACAACATCCTTTGCAAACCGTCGCGGCATCCCAGGAATGTTCGTCTATGCTGTAAGCCAAACTGCAATCCACTCGCTGCGAAATTGACGCCTATGAATGTTAGGGTTAATGTGGTGAGTCCCTGATATAATAGGACTCCGACAATGGGGGTGGTGAAAACTTCGAAGGAGGAGTTGGCTGCATTTGAGGTTCAGGGTGCGAAGTTGACGCCCATGAGGAGGATTGGGGAGGCTGCAAGAGCGGTTGTGTTTTTGGGGTATGAGGGGACGTTTTCGACTGGAAGTGAGGTTGTGGTTGACAGGGTTTGGAGGCATCTGAGAAGGTAGAGAGTTGAGGGGAGTTGGTGTAGAAGTAATTGGCAACGGAGAGATACAGTCCTTCGTCCTTGTTTGTAGCCTTGTTTTCCAATTCCATTTGTGTACTCGGAATTTTTCGATACGTGAGGCGCCTTGTGGTTGCTAAAATCATCAGTGTTGGTTGAGCATCCGTTTGTTCACCAGCGCTATGCAACGACGTCTATGAAGACACTGATGACCGACGCGGAATCGTCAAACCAAGTAAAAGGTAGTTCAGATAAAACACTTGGCTGTGTCCTTTACTCAAAAGTTGGGTTTGATTGGTATGCTACTCGCAATTTCCCGCTGTACCGCTCTTCCAAACAGAGAAGCAAAAATACATAGAGGACATCTCTCTCCCTCAGGGAATCGAACCTTTTTTCTACTCGTTAGCTAGATTCAGGAATATGTAATATGGATTCAACCTACCCGGTCTCCCGCGCTTGTAGGCAATCAACAGCCGAGCAATTGTTTGGATGACAAGCGGAAATCATGACCACTAGACCAAGGAAGATGAGGCTGAATATGTGACAGAATAGGGATAATTATTTAGTATATATCAAAGGCTTAGTGTGAATTGACGGTGGTGAGACTTGAAAGTTCGATTCCAAGTGTCGCTCATAGCTTTATTACCGATGGATTGATTGGGTGTGATTCTACAAACGGTATGAGGCGTGAAGAGGTATTTGATTAGGCATTGGTAAGTGAGGTTTACCAAAGGCTTTGCAATCATGCATCATTCAGCATCCCCAGCTGCACCACCTTACGAAACAAACGCTCCAACACCCTGTCAGGAGGGACCTAGAAATCACTTTGGAGCAGTCTCCGCAGTCATGTAATGTACAGCCCAAAAAGCTGAATGACCCAGACCCAAGACGTAGAGGTAGGGGGTATCATTGAGAGGCCAAATTTCAAAAAGAATGAGTGTGCTCGAGATTCAAAGAGTGTGCATGTATCGCCACATTACGACCCGCTAATTCAGATCAAATCCATAGCGGGAGATACAGGACGAGTATCCATATCACGCGCACAAACAATACCAGTGAAGATACTGAGCGTTCTGGGCAAAATCATTCGTGGAGCGATGCCCTCAGCGTGCGCGTGTTGCAGGAAAAGAGTCCAATTCAGGGCGGAAAGGAATTTAGAGTCGTCTTAGTCATCCACGCTAGGCAGAAAAATATCGGCACCCAAGTTCTTCCGAGTAACTCCCTCTTTTCACACCAACAACCATGGACACGCTCGATGGCACAGAATGGGACGTTCTGATCGTAGGGACAGGTCTACCGCAGTCCCTTCTTGCCCTGTAAGTATACTCTGGCTGCACTTAATATCTACGCAAGTCTGACTGACGCAGCACCTGAAGAGCCTTGTCTCGCTCCGGAAAGAAAATCCTCCACATCGATGAGAACGGCTATTATGGAGGTACTGAAGCTGCTTTCAGCTTACAAGAAGCTGAAGAGTGGGAAAAGCATATAGATGAAGGTATGAAGATCGCTCGAAAAGCTTTGCGAAGTGATGCTAACGGGTCAAAAAGATGTATCTGCTGCAGCCTTCTCGAATATCTCCATCACTAAGTCTGAATCGGCCGTGTCGGAAACAACACCCTCGTTGTCTTTTTCAAGAGCGTACAGTTTGGCGTTGAGTCCACAACTCATATATGCTCGTTCGACACTTCTCCAGTACCTGGTATCTTCGAAAGTCTACAGACAACTTGAATTCCTCGCCGTCGGAAGCTGGTGGGTATACTCGGCAGAGTCAGACAACATGGACAATGGCGAGCCTTCAATTTCGTCTGAATCGGGCCCGCGGCATGGTCGGTTGCTCAAGGTGCCCAACGGAAGAGAAGACGTGTTCCAAGACCAAGTCCTCGATTTCAAGGCAAAACGAGCCTTAATGAGGTTCCTGCGGTTCATCACCGAGTACGAAGAGCAGATGGAGATGTGGGAAGATCATCGAACCAAGGCGTTTCCAACGTTTCTCTCAGAGCAGTTCAAGATACCCATCACACTCCATGCTCCGTTGCTCGCACTCACCCTATCCCCCTCAGTTTCAAGTCAGACCACCACAGAGTATGCTCTCCCACGGATAGCGAGGCATCTGCGATCCATTGGATTGTTTGGCGCTGGATTTGGTTCTGTTATTCCCAAGTGGGGCGGCATGTCCGAGATCACCCAGGTAGCCTGTCGTGCCTCTGCGGTTGGGGGTGGAGTCTACGTCCTTGGCAAACGTCTCTCGTGTATCGACGGGCCTACATCCGCTGATAATTCCGAAGAGGAGACTAGCGGCTTCAGGCTTCGCTTGAACGATGGCGAAGCCATATCCGCACAGCATGTCGTCGGCGAATTGTCACGACCTCCAATCTCAAGCGCAACATGTTGCAAATCAATCACCATTGTCTCTTCTCCACTTCCACCACTGTTCCCACCTATTGCAGAAGACGCACCGCCTCCAGCCTGTGCTGTTGTCGTCTTTCCCTCTGGAAGTCTACCCCTAGACGCCGACGAACAAGCCGCTGAGTTGCCGCCAATCTACATATTCATTCACAACAGCGATGCTGGAGAGTGTGCAGCCGGTCAAAGTGAGTCTAGTCTCTAATTATCACTATTTCCCTATTCTTATGATGATTCAACTATGAATACTTATCTACATTGTCTGAACAACATTGACGATAACTATCCTCTGACAACCTGATGTCGACTATATTTCCACCCTTCTAGCTTTGATACCTTCATAGGAACCCGTAGCTAACCGCCATAGGTGTCTTGTATGCTTCAACTACTCTGACAGGAGAAAAGGGCTTTCAACTTCTCAAGAAAGCTGTTCGGGCACTGCTGTTGTCCGTCGATGTAACTCCAGCACCAAATGTACTTTGGACGCTCCAATATGAACAGCACCCGAGACCCTTAATCAGCTTGCTAGCCTTGGACCCCGACGAACGTCCTCTTGATCTACTCACGGATCTTGCCTTTGATGACTCCGTTTTAGATCACGTCAAGGGAATATGGCAGCAAATCATGGGTGATAGTGCTGGCGACTTCTTAGTGTTTGAAGATAGGGAGGCGAATCAAGGTGATGATGATGAGTAATCATGTCTGGGTGGCGATTGCATTGGTGTTAACACAGGTTAGGATCTTGGGCGCATATGGGAAGTTGCTCTAGGGAAGGGGGTTGGGCGGTAGAGCGGTTTTTAATTAATTAATGCCTATACTATTCTAACCATTGTTTAAAGGGTGAATATTTTTTGTTGAGTGTTACCTATAGTCTGAGTTTATCCCCTGTGCTCTATCTTAGAGATGTTGCTGGGGTCTGGTAGCGTTCGCTTGGTTTTTTGTGGCAGATACTGGAACATTCTAAAGTGATAGATCACATGTTTAGTGACCCATATCCCATTCCGGTAACAGGTTAACAGGAATGAACCACCCTCCGCTAATTCCCCTAGTGTTGTGTGTGTGTGGGTTAAAAGCTCTTATTTTTGTACTCCATCTTAGAAATTGTCGAATAAAGCTAGCCAGCGTCCAAAAAGAACTTTAGCGGGAATTGCGGAAGGCTCTAGGTTCTTTTTTCGCTAACGAGGTTCCCGTAATTAATCCCAATTGTATTCCAGCATTGAGATGAGAGGGTACAGCCTTTTTCTTTACTAACCCTCATAGCTGTGAGGGTTCAGTAAAGCTCATCTTCCCATTTTGCGACTCGGCAGTCAAGAGAGCACTGCCATGGACACTATTAATTTGCTCAATAGCTTGGGCATGCTTATTAGGACCTGCCCTTGAAGGGGAGACACACGAACCACAAAATGCAATCCCATCAAGAGAATAGGTTGAAGGATAGCTCTTGTTTCTCCTATCTCCTGTATATCTTGTGTTCGCACTAAAAGTTCTTCTTCCTACATCTCGGTAATGAAGGGAAGGTGCACAAACCACAAAATCCAAAACACTATCGTATTGGCACCTGAAGGGAATGAAATATGTACGTACGCCAGACTGAAGACAGTCTCAAACCAGCCTTGGGTCGGCACCATCCAAATCAGGAGTGTTAAGTCAGCAAAATCGGAAGATGTATACAGAGCTTCTGCACACTAAAACTTATCGCTATATGGGGGATATATGGAGTGATTCGAGGTAAGGAACTTGGGGATAGTAGTGGGCAAATATCTAAGATACAAGCTAGGTATGCTGGGTTCACATGAAGAGAACATATAAGGGCAGTACAAAACCAAAATAGCGCATCCGAGGGAGGAATGGAGGTATAGCTCGGAACAGACGGGGCTGTGGAAACGGCCTGATGTCCAGAACATGGGCGTTAGAAATGTCACACGAAGAAGAAAGAAAAGTTAATAGACCCAAAACCCAGCGAAGAATGCTTCATCCATGTTCTACTAGAGCTTAGTGGAGGCGAATAGGCACTAGTATGGGATTCAAAAGATTTTGGCAGGTCGCATCGTCTAGTGGCCAAATACATCGGGATGTTACCAAGTTCAGTGGTCGAAACTCTCTCAGTGGCATGGTGATAATGCTTACCGGCGAAGAAATCAATAATATGTGGAAAACTAGGACTGGGGCCGTCAGATTCAACAGACAGCAGAACCTCATTCAATTGATAAGCGGATGAAGCAACATTGCAACACCACGAAGCTATGCAGCTAAGGCGAGATGAGAGTTGTAGGAGGAGCGATGACTTTGTGGGAATGAGGCAAACGAATGGGAGGGGGAGGGTTTATACTCGTGTGAGTAGCGGGAGAAATGGTCACGCGATAAGTGGGCGCCGTTATGGCTTTAGAAAAAGGAAGGAGGCTTTCTGGTGCTCGTACTTCTTGCCGTTCAGCTACAACCGGGCAATTGGTTGTTGCTTGGTGCACCTTCTCTCCTTGCAGTGAGGTAGTTATGTATTGGGCTGCTGAGTAATCACCTCAAGGGGAAGTGACGAATGACACCCCCCATTGTGAAGAAGGTACCCCGTCGTGCTTTGCTGCTCAAAAACCGACCCTATCTGATTAAGCAAGAGCCTCAATTGTTATGTGAGTTATGATCCTTCCACGGCATATATGGTACAAAAGAGAATGGCTTCAAAAGGGAACCTCTTCACGTTTCTGAGTGACCATTACTTCGCCTCGCGAACTGTTCGTTGGGGGAGACAGGGAAAGCTGAAGTCCGAGGTATACAAATTGCCCGTATCATCCAAGTTCCTCAAAGATCTCAGTGTCCAAATTGGGGGGTTCACAGCGGTCAATGGCGGATTGGGAATGCGGTGAGCCAACCTTGGCATTCAATACCATCTCTATCTCGAGCCTCACTATAGCTTAGAAGTTGCCAGGATGCAATTGTGAGCTGTTTTCCAAACCTAGTTTGTTCTGTTTCCAGAGCGCACTAGTAAACACACGGAGCAAGTTCCTTCAACGCTATCATAGTTAACTAAGTATATGCTAAAGTGCCGCTCCTTCCGCGTCATCGTGTCTCGCATACGCAGTAAGACTGCATTGCTGCGAACTCGGTGTTGAGGAGAGCCGGCCTAAGACTTGACACACCTGTGGACGGCTACACAATGCAGATATGTCGATCTGAAGCACTGCAGATGAAGTCTATTGGTATGTTCGGCCCGCCACCCGCTCATCGAGCCTCACACAGCCTCCTTCCAATATTCAAAATATCGCTCTCTCGATGTTACACGCGACTCTGTATAAAACTCGGGCTGACGCATCCGCGATCAACGGCAGGGTTGGTCGGACATCGTGAGCGAGTAATCGAGCGATCAACACTGGATATTCTGAGCCTCTTATCCAAGGCTCGTTTGAATAGATGAAGCCGCAACACCATATAGTCCGAGTGCATGCTTTTCAATATACGTGGAATGTGACGTCGGGGTGCGGTTTGACGAGGGCGTGATATGAAAAACGTCACTACATGGGCAGTGATCGACCGTGCGTATACGAGGTAGATTGAATATATTGATGTCATGGATGTTCATCCAGAGAATGCTAGGCTTGAACGCCTTCGGTGATAAAACCGTGGTAGCGAGGTCGCCGCTCTCCAGATTACTTCCATGGTTTTGTTTCACTTGGACATTCAGTTGCTCACAACATCTCGCTTCAAGGAATGCCGAGCGTGAAAGAGGTGCGAGCTCATTGAGGCGCGCCTGGAAGAAAGGTTGGCAGTTAATATATGGATTAATGGAAAGTGCCTCGTGAACCACAGCTGATAATGTTGTAGTCGGCCGACAAGAGATAACAGTAAGTGCTACGCCTACGAGGCTTGATGCGCAATCTGACTGTAATGACGGGCATGAGTGGTGAAGGAGGGTTGGTGCAACTACCTGGTTGTCCCCAGTATCTCTAGCACATTAGTATGCGCATGCGAAAACGTGGTGAGGGTTTTCCACGCTACGCGTTTTGTTATTAACTCTCATGGCTCCTGCTCCATGTCTCTAACGCCTATCAGAGGTCTACGTCGTTTCGACGAAGCCCCCAAATCTTGAGTAGCGCAATACAGTTCTAGATGAACCTGCTTATGTATCTACTGCGCAAATTTCCCCACGAAATCCGCATTATCTTCACGTAAAGTTCTTACTGATGAGTGGGCAGAAGATTCGGTTTACGATAGAGGGTCCTTACCTTTACGAGCTGTCACCCAACCAAAGCCACCAGCCCGGCAGCCAGGTCGTCGTCGAAAACCCCTTTCGCGGTTCATTCTGAAAAAAGGCAAAGCGGCGTGTGCCGTAGCCACTTGGCCCTTGAATTTGGTTCGTCTAGCGTTACCCAGTTTCTACAGTAGCGCCGGAAGAAGTGATAGCTCACACTTCGATCACCAAGGCGCCTTTCTTTCCAGAAGGTCGATTGGAAATTGCGAGTCGAAAGTTAAAAAGCACCGAAGACATATGCCGAAGATGCCACTGGGATAAGATGGGCATAGAGACGGACCGAGAAGCATTCCAGACGTAGCATTTGCTCGCATGAGGAAGATCTAAAACAAACTTGGGGGAGCAGCGGCCTCTCCAAGCGGAAGAAGTGGAGAGCAGAATGCCACGGTCCACTCTTGATGATCGACTGAAGTGATTGACAGACTGCATCTTCCGCAGGTCCGGGACTATTTCCGCACGCTGCTTGGGAACAAAGCAACGGGTTTGACGAAGATCGTGCATGTCGTGGTAGTCATCGATAGATGAGTGTGAGGCAACTCAACCGCAATGCAGCAGTCATTCATAGTAGATGTCTCATGTGGCCAACTGAATGAAGACAGCTTCTGCGGGGAGTGCAGCCGATTCGGATTTGGTCCGTTTAGAGGCGTCCTGCACTTCGCCGCTAAACAGGAATGGTGTCCAACTTATTTCGAATCAAAATTGATGAGTGTGACGACTCCTTGCAGGTGCTCAGATATCCCGCACGTGTTGCAATAGAGAGCTTCTAGCCGAGAGGACTATTCCCTGTATTCCACGGACGCAGATCTTGTGCTTGGGAGGGTACGCGTCGATCCTGACCCCCAAAGCTAGGGTGGACTCGGAGCACTGATTCGAGATAACTGGTGGAAATGTTCCGGCAAAATGGACCAGATTTGAGAGAATCGTACGATTTTGATTGTTTTTCCAGCGACAGTCAAGGACTTGCGTTACCGCGCAGAGCGCCATCAGCACTCACTGCCAATCCGCAGTTGGAAGTGTGATCAAGCTGGCGGTGGAGCCATTCTGCTGGTACCCTCCCGTCCATCCTCCAGGCATTCCTTTCTGCCTTTTGTAGACAAGTGCGTGGAGCTAACCGGCCGTATTATTCAAATACAGTGGTGGTTTTCATACTTGTTATGCCAGACTCTCAGCGCTTTGTGAGAGGCTTCTGCGTTTGGCAAAGGCTGCGGGACGAAACCTAAATTATTGCCTGCCTCCGAATCACCCTCGGCACCTTGCACATCTTCAAGACACGCTGGGGTTTTCAGTGACAAGGGTCAGGATAGCAAGACAACGTGGCCGTTTGGTGGATAGGGACAAAAATCGCGGACAAAACCCCAGGCTGGAGTGAGACGTCTGACACATCAGAGGATCCGGTATACCAATTGACAGGGATAATTCAGATGCGCCGAGCCAGTCCAACATCAGACTTACAGGGGGTGCACATCATGGCTGGAAATCATGATCATCTGAGATTCAGCTGGATCCAGGAGTGGGTAGCATCACTGAAGACTGTACCTGAGCAACCCGCAAAGAGACGAAGTTAGAAAGGTGCGGCTGTAGATTAGGACGTGTGAGAAATGGCCGAGAGAGGATATAACGGCGAGCCGCCAGAAAGCTCATCAAGCTGCACCTTTCTTGGACCCCTGAAACCTTTCGGCGATCGAGGGCTTGAACCGATTGCCGTCCTTCGCCTTGTACCAGGCAACGGAGGCACGTATCGACGGCACATCACTTCGGCGTTGGAACCTAGTCGCTGGGGTTGAAAGTTCTGCGACCAGGCAATAACATCCATCCTTGACTCGAACAGGTTCGGAATGGACAAGTTTGCATTCCGGCTGATCAGAGACTTGGCGCCCATGAACTTGTTCCCAGGAGGTTTTGCGGCCAACCGAGAGCGCCTCTCCGTGTTGGTGGTCAGGACTCGAGATGGATCTACATCAGCCGTTCTCCGAGCCCAAGTTGTGGCGATTTGACAGTCGGAGTATCGACCGAAAACGGCCGCGCAGGGACCAGGGTGTGGCTGTCTGGAGGAGTTCCTCGCTGTCAGTCTGTTTTTGTCGACCGTTTGGCTGTTCAGTTCCTATTGCGGCCAGAGCACGGATTGCTTTTGGCACAATTTTCCAATTCCAACAACATGACCCCTGCTCAATGCGAGAAAGGAGCTACTGCAGAAAGCTTCATTGAGCCTATGACGGCCCAAATTGTCCAGCGGCAGAATCAAGTGAGCCGTTGGTCTCTTGGTCACTCACACAACACAGGATGAGTAACTTTCTTTTGGGTTTATGCCATTGTGTTGAACGTGCAACATCGGTTCAAACTGTTTGTGCAAGCTTAATTCCACATTAAGGTAAAGCTTTGTGCATGTCCCAGGCAAACCGGACGTGTAGAGAGTGGGTGGAAAATGTTTGGGGTATGGCATGACTTCTGTGGAGAACAGTGGAACTGCTGGTGGTGCCTGCAATTTCAGGCTGTCGACCTGAAGCAGAAGAAGGAGCGCGATGATTATTGGCGAGGAAAGGGGTGTAGCAACTCGCAGGGAACAATAGGACAAAATAAAAACAAATATTGAATGAACAAAAAGGGCGATATGAAGCTCCATGAAGCCCCAGGATGCGCCCGAATTGTGACTGTGCGGCTCACCGTGCAGAATAGGGATACGGACTAGCCATGTGTTTCAGGAATTTGCGGACATGGAAGCCTGGGGAGACTGCGATTGCTAACTAATGAACCGTAGCCTTCACGGCCTTGGCGATGTGCCTTTCAATATTCATGCAAGTGTTATGTCTAGAAAAGGCCCTTTTTTTGGCGTCGGTGACCGGGAATGATGGCGAGTGGCGGCGGGTGAAATGTAATGGCTCGATGAGGGAAGAGTTCATGACAAAGGAAGGGCATAATGCCAGCGCTTTCCATCTCGAGCACCGAGAAGATATATTAGGGGCTTTGTTGGCCAGGTTCTGCTTGCTCTCCAGAAGAGCCATGACGGTTCTTAAGCCCGGCCCGACTACAGCCTCATTTTTCCAGGCACTCATTTCCAGAAGTTATGATCCTCGACCGCACGAACGAATTTTTGGAAACCAAAAAACGAACGCGTTGCAGTATGCAGCTCCAGAGTCCTGGCCATGTCAGCAATGGCCAAGTTGCCAGGTGGTGGCTGGCAAAGAGGATCGATTGCCGCTGCATGGGAATACTCGGCAAGGCCGGGTTCGCTGTGGGCGCTTGAACACTGGCTCAGCTCGTACTGATGATGCTATGCAGAAACAATACATATTTGGAGCGCCATCCGGAGTGCACAGCGAGTGTTGATGGCTGCTGAAAGTTTTCAAGCTGGCTCTCACTCAATGGATGTCGATGCCCTCTTGATGTTGCCGTTCTAGCATCTGATATCGGCAGCGCTAGGAACGTTTTCCCGACATTGGCACAATTGCACAGGCGCCATTATTACCGGGATGATCGACGCGCAGAGCAAAAGGGCAAATGTGGGCTTAACGTGCGTGCAAGCGAGAGTGAGGGCGGCAGGGAAGGACCCTCAGGGCCCCGATGGCGGAGCCGCTTGTCTGCTTCCGGCCTCGATTCGTCTTTCAAACCAGTTGTGGTGAATAGCGGCTTCGCAATGCGAGTCTGAGTTTACTTCCAACAAGGCTGCAGATCGTGAGGTTGCTCATCACCAAAGCCTCGAAGAGGCGGGCTTACCCCACGAGGACTGGCAGCGCTTTGCTGTTTAGCCGGAATCATCGCAGGGTGCCGGCGCTCCGTTACCTGGTGACTCGTGAGATTTGCCCAGATCAGAGGATGCAGAACCCTACGGCCGGCATGTCGATAGTGATGCATTAAGGAGCCAACAGACGCCTCGACATGCTTCCTGGTTCTCCCCCAAAATTACCAGACAGGAAGGAGGGCACACCATGTGCGTGGCCGAGGGCTGGGACAAAAATAGACGCGTATTCTTCGAAATGGCTTCCAGTCCCACTCGCCGTTGGCCACGGCCGCAAGCGATGCTCAGGATGCCGCAGTGTGCCGACTTGACCAGCCGAATGATCGCTGGCGGCCACGACAAAGAAGACTTCGTGTGGGATTAAGCTTGTCTCGCCAGGGACGGGGACATGACCGCTTGTGCTGCGGCCCACGCCTCGGTACCCTTGCCCAACTCACGTCGCTCTGACCATGGCGAGCCTCGTTGGTGCGTCTCCCGGAAGATCATGCACTAATGCCCTGCACAACAAATTGTCCGTTGCGTCGGGATGTTTGATTCGAAATGCCTCGCTCTGGCCGCTGCTTTGATCGGCCTCGTTCTGCACTCGCACTCGCGATGCAGCCACGACGTGTCCTTGTGGAGAGCATCGTACTCGCCGCGAGCATTCGCAACACCGGCTCACTCATTCAGTGCCTCCCGGGGCCACGGCTGCAGTCATTCTGTCATCTCCACCGTGGTCGCAAGATCCAGGGTGCCGGGACGAGTGCGAATCGCGCGACGCCCGGCTATTCGCTTCGAGGGGGGATTTTCCTTCATCAGATAACCCTGGCAGCTCATCTCTCATCTCCAGCGTCACCATGTGCCTGCCTGCCATGCTGGCCGCGGGCGGTGAGGAAGTCGTCATCACGGTACCCCGAAGTTCGTCGTATTGCTTGCGGACGCACTAGTTGCACGCCTGGGCAGGCTGTCCCTGCTGCTGCTACAATATTTGCTCTTTTTTCCAGACTGGCCGGACACGTGGAGGAGGGTGACACGAAGAGAGGCGGTTCGTCTTGGCTGCTCGCCCAGCGTGAGGTCACTAGCAGAGGGAACAGCATCATCGCATGGCGAACTAGAGGCCAACTGCTGGAGGATCGTGATGATTATTGCCTCGGGGGATGAACGGGCCCTGCTGATTGGAGCGGTGGCGGCCAGTTGCGACGTTGATTGGCCTCTTCCACGCACCCGGCTGCAGAGGGAGGCTTCCTTCAGCCCATGGCCTTCCAGAAGCCAAGCAAGCGGGACGACGTCGCCGGCTGCACAGAGGCCAGAGAGGCCAGAGGTTGGGCAGGGGCGGTCGGTTGTGCTGCTCGGCCAGGCTGCCTCAGGGCGAGGTCACGGGAGGTCACCAGGTCTCATCAGGGTGCCGTGGTGCAGGCGGAGAGGCAGGATGAAGGGTGACAGCAGGCCAACGTGGCTCCAGGGTTTAGCTGCAGGCGCTTGTTCTGATCGACCCGCGTCGCTCAGAGATCCTCCACAGACAAACGGGGCCAAGCCATGGCTCCAACGCCGCCATCCGCCCTCGCGGCGTCTCTTCGACCTCGCGTACGATGGTGCGAACGGAGACGGCTGCTGAATGAGGCCTTAGCGGTGAGGCCGGCACTGCTGCAGCGCTGCCTTTCCGCGCTTGCCTGCGTGCTGAAACGCTGTGGGAAAGACGCGGCCTTCTGGAGCGACTAGCAAGAGGAGAACGCCGTCGCAGAGACCCAAACCCTCGACCTCGACATCGTGATCATGACTCTGTGCTACCACAGGAGAGTCCCGCCGTCGGGTCGAGCGCCGGTAGCTTCCCGAGCGGCGAGTCAGGAGCGCTGCGGCGAGCCCAATGTGCCGTGTCGCTGGCCATGAGGGCGAGCATCTGCTCAACTGTCCGATCTCCTGTTGCACAAGCGTAAGCACCTGAAGCAGCACAAAGGGACTGGCAATGTCGACGCTGCTGATGGGAGTACTGGCGGACGAGGCATGATATTGGCTGGCGGCCGCCTCCCAATATCCATCGTCATGCCCCAAAGCGCTGGGCGATCCTCTTGCGCTGCGGGCTGCACTGCAGGCTGCGCTGCGGTTCGCTGAAGCAAGACAGACCTCGCTCCGCTGCTCAGCCATGCGCATCATCGTCGACAAGAACCCTCTAACAGTTCGCCCGAGGCCTTCGCAATTGTCCCCCGACTAATGGCTGCTGGTCTGCGTTAGGCCGTCAAATTGGATCCGTGCTCGCTGGGTTTAGGTAGCTTTGGTAGTCTCTGCCGTCGGCGCCATGCTCGCGTCTCAACTGCGTCCTCTCTCCCATTATTTCTCCTGGCGGGACGATGGTGCTATCCTAGCTAAGTTCGCCCGTCACGGCACAAAATGCCTCCCCTACCGCTTCTTCTTGGAAGCGACATGACAGGGCCGCCGGGGGGCTTAAAGCGTGCGGAAGGTGTATCACTGCGTGCCAGCCGCTGCTCGTCTCAGTCCCCTTCGGCAAACCCTCAGGGTGTCCCTCCGCTTCAAACACTTCCCCCTGCTGTCACAACGGGAAATGCGTAATCCTTCGTAAGCCTATTCAGTCTCTGTCTCGGCGCCTTGTTTGTTGCTCTGGCTGCGTGAGGTTGGTAGAGGGGGCATCCCCACCTCGGATATCAGGTCTTGATTCACTCGACTCCACTACTCAGGAACGCGTCCTCTTTCCCTCTTTCTACTCTCCCCCTTTCTCAAACACACAGTGCAGCGTGCAGTAAGTGCTCGCGGGCTCCCGTCGTCGATCGATCTCACCCGAGGGGCGTGCAGGTCTATCCTTCCTTGGAGCGTGCTCTTGTTGCCTCAAACTCCCCTCCAGCAACAAGTCGAGCCGGGCTCTGGGCAGGATTAGAAGCAGCTTAAGTCGCCGACTTAGACCGCACACCAGACGCACTGCGTCATCAGGAACTGGTGAGTGTGCATCACGGAGATTCCTCGCCCTCCCAACATCTGCTGCAGCCGAGGAATTTATCCGTTGCACTGAACAGTGGCCTGCGCGGGCGTGGGCGTCTTTCACAGTCCACTCGTAGCAGCGTGCAGCCGCACGACGAGTGGACCGGGCGAGGGCTCCTCTTGCCTGTGCTCCTGCGCTTCCTGGGGAGGGCCGATCTGCGGTGCATCACAGCCTGTCCTTGAGCGCTACCCAGGTCCCCTGGCATGCCTCCGTGGCCTCATTCCCCAAAAGCGCTCGATAGCCGGTGCGGTATAGATTGGCTGTCTGGGATGTGAGCGGATCGCTCGGCCACGGCATTTTTTGGGGGCTTGCGCATCTCCCTTCTAACTGTTCTTGTCCATCATCTGCATTACCGTTGGGGGAGCATTGAGTGTCCTTCTAACTGCCTTTGGGCTCTGGCTGCGTCAACATAACGGTCCGCCGCCCTGCCCACTGCTCAAGAGCAATTTGCAGCCCACACCAAAACAGGGCTCCACGTACCGGGGCCCCTCGCCGCTGTCTGACCCACCCCGCTGGCAACGGTTTGGTTGCCGCGGCCTCTCCCACACGACGACGGTGCTAGTCTAGGAGTGAGCAGAGCGTGCGTGCAGCGTGCTGAAATCTCGCCAACCGCTCGCCATCCTACTTGAACGCTTGTAGGCCCGACAATTCGTCCCGCTCTTGCAATCACGCCCCGAGGTCCTGGCGCCCTACGTCCTCTGCCCGTACCCGTACTTTTCACCCCCATCCACCCTCTGACCCCATTTCCTAACTTCCTCATTCTCTCACTTACTTTTCCCCTTCTGCGTTCCCTCTTTTGTTACGCAGATATTCTGCTGTGACCCGAGGACCATCGATGGCTATGCATCTTGCTAGCATGGTACACGGCAGCGGGAGGGAACGTGAGGCGCCCGTTCATCATCGTCATCTTCACCAACATTCGAATTTCTATCCTCATCCTCAGCAGCCGCTCCAGCGAGTGTACGAAGTACCCACCAGCGTTGCGGCGAGCCCATACTCCCATCTGCAGACCACCGAATATCAGTTTCAGCGCCACCCGCAGTCCCCACCATCGCCACCAGTCGAGGAGCAGAAGCCTTCATTGCCCTCGATATCAAGTCTCCTAGTCATTGCAGGTGACGCTGAGAAGGCCGCGTCCGAAACAGGTGAGCCTACTCCTATGACATTGTGGCTTACTCCATTAAGTACTCACAACGGCTTTACAGCAGGCCAAAGTCCCAAGTCACAGCAAAACCAGTTCCAGCAACAACAGCAGTCATCTCCCCAGATCAAGCAGGAGCCGCAGAGAGCAGCCCAGCAAGTGCATCAGGCAGAGAGCCGTCCCGACCAAGCGGCGCATGCTTTCGGTCCTGCGATCGTGAGCAACCCCAGAATGACCCTGCCTCCTACGCCTCCAATGCAGCCGGACTCGGTGGTTGACGGCAACCAGTCTCCGTCGGCTGCATCTAGTCACTCAGCCGTCTCCGCGCCGTACTTCCTGGGCCAGTCTCTAAACAACATGGAGCCTCACCAACAGCGGCAGAACGTCCCATCCGCACCACCAGGAAAGCGCCACTCACTACCTTCCCAGCCTTCAATGTCTCCTTACAACGCTTCCGCGTATTCTCACTCTCCGTACGCCGCCTCTCCGGGCGCAGCTTCCACTGGATCCTTCTACTCACCCGAAACACATGCCTTCAACTCGGTCGGCATGTACGGACAGCGACCTCTCCCATCCAACTTCCAGCCGCAGACTATGCCACTACCAGTCCCAACAGGCACGGCAAATGGATCTAACCCGTGGCAGCACCACCACTATATCAGCGCGTCCAGCCAAGCGGCCTTCCCGCAATCTCAGGATCGCTATATTTGTTCCACCTGCAACAAAGCATTTTCGCGACCAAGCAGCCTTCGGATTCATAGCCATAGCCATACGGGCGAGAAGCCTTACAAGTGCCCACAACCTGGCTGTGGGAAGGCTTTCAGTGTACGCAGCAACATGAAACGACATGAGCGGGGCTGCCATGCTTCAGCAAGCACCTCCATAACGACGGCATCATGAAACTTATCAAATTCTCAACATTGTATCGGAAAGTGGGCGAGGTTCTGCTTTGGCGTTGTTCGGTCCGGCTTCGGTTGACTGCGAATGTACCTGGATTCAGCGAGGGGGAATTCATTCGTTTCTGGCATTCATTGCCCAGCGTGATACCATCGGACGGCACCTTACTCGGCGTTCACTATGGGAGGCGTTCAATCCATTTTTCTCAGCATATTCACCGGAGTCATTGAGATTTTCCTGGCTACCCTTTGAGGCATTCTTCAGCCTCAAATCTGCTCGAACAGTTTCGGCCCTTGATCGAATTTTATATTCCCTATTTTCACAAAAACTCTATTCGCATTTAACCGCAAAGTTCCTAGAGGATGGTCCACAAGATCCCGCAAGGGACTGCTGGGATGGTTCTATGGATGGCTTCATTTTGTATGTATTATAAAGAATTACGCATAAGCATTTAGTGCTTTTCGTGTGTGTGAAAACATCAGAATCAATATTAGTGAACAGTATGGGTTATCCCGGTTGTGTACGTACTCTCTTGAATCAGGTGGTGAAATAAGGTATCGTACAAAGTTCGTTTGCATTAACTGTGAGTCTCCATATGGCCAATGCTTTGCGCACTCCAAACTGATTTTGTCAGGACGAAATTGAATCGGAGCCCGCCTTATATTTGATTGCAATAATGTCAACAATGGATGACCCATGACCACGCTGTCGCGTATTGATGCTACGTTCTCCACCTACCGCTGCGCTTTGGAAACAATATATCTACCATTACGACGCCCAGCCCATCAATCGCGAGAAATCCTTCCTTTGAAGGCAATACTTGGTCAGCCTTTTTGAATTTAGACGCGTATACCTTGAGAGTAGGAAGCGCCATTCGATATGCACTCGTGTAAAGATACCAAGATCGACTCCCCCTTGATAATGTCATTTGCCAGAAGCCGCGTTGACCGACTGGCACAGGAATAACAGGGAGCTTACAGAGACTTCTGCTCATGCGCAAGCCGAATTCACCAGGCTCACTCGCATGAGGTATGTTATGCTGTCTTCGTTCGCTCACCACTGTTTAGCTTTCTCGAAGAGTATCCGGCATTTAGACACGTCGTAACTGTTTCGTTTTATCGCCTCCCTCCTCGATATCCCCGCCGAGCCACCCCTCTTACGGCAGTTAGTACAATGCATATAGGTTCGCGGTTCTGCAGGAATAATCTTGCCGTTCTGAGGCATCTTCGTTCAACTTTGACCGCTTCAATCATCGGAGCAGCCGCGAGGATACCAAAGCAGTAAAATGGCGCGACCACCTCGATTGAGCACAACATGAAACAGACGTCACGAAATTATTGTCAACGCGTATTTTCGACCACAAGAATGGGGAAGATACACGAGCGATGCATGATCTCTCCTTGCTAGTGAATATACCATAGCTTGATCCGACCAACTTGAAGCTCGAACATTAAACGAAAACTCCTGAATCTGTGTCCTCAAACGGCAATAACGTTCGCGCTTCGAGTTCCACTTAGCGAATACACATTCCTTCTTGCCTCAACGGTCCTTTCTCGGTCTTGTGAAGCTGAATGCAGCTCTCTCGGGATGTGTGACACATTCAAGCTTTGGAAGGTTAGGTGCCTTATCCCCCGCGCGCCACACGACGTCTATTCAAAGACGCAAAAAACAATCAACATTCAACTGTGCGCTCGTGTCGTCTCTACGCGAACCCGACGGATCCGTTGATCATCGTTTCATTTGATTAGCAAGCGAAGTGTCGAGGACTTTTGTGGCGGCCTGTGTGGCGGCCTGTGTGGCGTTGAGGGCATTGTGCTATTCACTGCGCTCGCGAAAAAGGCAAGCATCTCACCGCACATCACAGATGTGATGTGAGGGCGATCACGATCGATTCGGAGGATCCTCAGGTACGGCTCGTCCTGGCTTCCGAATTCAGAATAAATATCGATCGAAATTCTATGACGTGCAGCCTACTGCTGACATGAACGGATCCAGAAGACACTTGGAGTCCTCCAAACATCTATGCCTCCCTGCAGGTCTAGCTAACAAACGGGACTCGCTTTTTTAGGGTACGTCAAGATTAAGCTCTGCTCGCTTGTGAGCCGTTTTAGAAGCAACAGCAGCGGGTACAGCCCACTGTGTGAAACGACGCAACAAAAAAGCAACTGTGGCAGACTCCCTCTGCCCTGTTCCCAGCATTAGCCCTCGGTCTCGCAAAGAGACAGACTTACGAAAAAGCAAAAGCCCGCTCAAGTTCCTCCCCGCGACGGGCTCGGGGCCTTCGGGGCCGTTCGCCGTATGCCGCCATCCAGTGCAGCTCGGGGCTGGCGATAAATTGGGAAAGGGGCGCAATGCGATGTCGGTCCTGTCTCCCGTTGTTGGGCCGCAAAAAGGAACTATTTCACACACGTCAATTTTCGACATACCGATGTAGCTGAATTCATCGAAATGCAGCAAGCCGAAGAAGCAACAAAAGGCCCTATTTCGACTTCATCGTATGATGTCCTCGTCATCTTTCATCTCTCTCCCTCTTCTCTTTGCACCAGCGCTCTTTGCTTCTGTCTTCTGACAAGGAGGGCGCCGAAAACCAGTGCGTCGCCTGGAATCGGACCAAAAGTCTGCCAAACTTATCAAAATTCAGAAAGCCAAATGCATGCAGTCTCTAGTGGAGTGGCGTCGACTCACAGCTGCACGCGATGTCGCACATCACAGCGTCCAGCATTCATCCCTGAACCAGACATCTGCCCCATCCTCTCAAAAAGCGCCACCTTTGCCTTTTCTTTCAACTTTTGACCGATGTTTGTGAGAGACATTTCTAGCCCTTCTCCACTCCTCACCGAGAACGTGGGAATCCACTTGGCTACAGGGATCATCGAGGGAAAGGAGGCCTCGCGTGGCCGCATAAGGTTTCGAAGATGCTGATGACCCTTTTCGTGTCACTTTCGGTCAAGTGCGGACTATTGGAATTGACCGATGTCTTCGATTGTTCGTTTATCTGCTGATTTCTACATATTGCTGTGCGAATTGTCGGGTTCCTGGAAGACTTCCCATGCATATGCTGGGGGATCCTTTCAACCCTTCCTTGTGTTCAGCATCCGCACTTCAGTGGACGGAAATAGTTCCTGCGAAACGTATCACAAGCATTCGCTCCTCCAGCGACATACTACTACTGAAGTCGGCCGCGCAATATCCACGCCTATGCGATAATGCGATGATTCTCTTGCCATTCAGCACTAAAGAACCCTGAAGACAGAAAGAGGAGAAGGCGTTTGACCGAGGATCCGCTAACGTTGTCAAGTCAACTCAGTTCGGCCGATGGACTCACTAGTGTCACAACGTCATCAGTCATTTCACTGCACTCCATGCACTCCATGCACTCCATGCGTGCGGGCTCGGAACTAGCAGATTGCATGCTGAGGAAAAAGGAGGGATGATCGGAACGTTTGGCGTTGGGATGACCGCGGGAGCCAAAAACGGAGATGCTGGGTGGAAGGCGGGGATGGTACGACTTCGCGTAGAGAAGGGATGCAGGGTTCATCGATGTTGGGAAGGTATGATGGTGGGGAACGACTAGCGGCTGCAGATGAAAAAGCGAAGGGAGATTGGGAAAATAGAGATGGCTTGTTGTTGATGAGATGTCGGACTCTGCAGTAGGCGGTGTAGTTTGGGATGTGGAGATTGTTTCCAGGTTATTGGGACGATTGGAAGGATGTGAATGTACAGCTGTATTGGTACTACGTATGACTTTCTAAAGTTTGGAGCGCTAAGAAGCATCTCTTATCCACGGTGATTGGTCGAGGTCATCGAAAATGCAAAAAAAAATAATTCGTGAGCCAAAAACGACTCCGTATATGCAGAATGTTTGCCACGGCATCTGCATGCTATTGCAAGTTGCAGGCTTTGAGCGACCGACAGACACTCAACCCAGGGTAAGTGAAGATGATCACTGTTCTAGGGTTAGCGAAGTCCCACGGGGTAGCCTCCGCAATCTCGAGGTGTTCTGATCGGGTGTCGTAAGGCACAATTCAGGAACGAGGGGCAGAACTCAGGAACGAGAGGCGAATTTCCGCCTCAAGTTCCACCCGAATACTTCCATGCCCTGCAGACAGGCTCACAATTCCCAAGCCTCCTCTTGACTCTCGTCCGCGCCCAAACCCAACCATGAGCTCCACGAACCCCATCCGTGCTTCCTCTCACCCGGCAGCCTGCATTCCTCTATCTCCTCTTTCGTCACGCTCTTCCACTCATCCAGCGGTATCCACCCGATATACGCGCGATCCCCGAAACCACCAATCCAATACACGTCCTCAACGACCAACCTCACCCACTTACTCTCATGGATTCTGTTCCCAGGGAGCCATGCTGCAGCGTCAGGGTGATATTTCACAAAACAGGCAGCTACTCGTTGACTGCTTATTTCCTCCGGCGTAAGATACTCGAGATGTCCCACGAGCGAATAACGTGGTAGAGACGCGGCGCTATAAGGTCGGTGACGTGAATACGGAGGATGCCATCTCAACGACAGGGTAATATTCGAGCCTGCAGCGACATTTTTGAAGCTCGTTGCAATCGAAATAGCGAGAATTGTTGGGTTTCCAGTACTCGGCTCGCAGTCCCCAAAGTAGTCCATCAACCCTATGGGCGTGCCAGAGACATCTAAAGGGCGGTTTTCAGCCCTCTGTGTAGAAGGGAAGATAGTCGAGAGGGTGCCAATAGTCTCGAGGTGTAGGATGCGGCGAGCTTGGATGGCGGATTCGTGAACGGTAGGGATCTTGTAGGTAGAGTCTTCGAGTGGCGCCGCGTTCTCGAAGATGTGTTGAAGTGGAGGGAGGTTAGAGGCAGATGTGAGAGAAATGAGAGTGAGTATGGCGGTTAAGGGATGCATTGTGGGCGCAAAGCGCTCTAAGAAGCTGTGGCATAAGCAAGAGACCTGGTGCTATGCTTGAGTGTGGTGTTTGGGTCAGTGGTATTGAGATTTTGATGTGCTAAGTATCAGGTCGAGCTTCCGTCGCAGTAGCGCATCACAAGACTGAAGAGGGGTGTTTAGCGGGATGTTCCGGATAAGATGTTCCTCATGCACATGAAGTAGTGAACGAAAATATGTCAATATGGTGAGGAACAAGAAGAATTCAATCACTTTTCAGCCCCTTCTGTCACCTAGGCATTCATGAAGACGAGAATTGTGGCAGCTCGAAGGATGTGCAACTTAGAGAAGCTTACCTAATGCTTACACGTGATTAAGTCTTGGCTCGGTTAGCAACCACATTTCGAAACTCCGCGTTGAGGGCCTCAAGAGTCATCCACCACCTACGGACGCAACAGCAGCCTGTAAGTTCATCGCTATCCACACTGCAATTTCTACAGGACTCTACTTCGAAATTATGACAGCCTCTGCGACACTCTGCTACTTTTGCGACCACCGCTGACGAGCCATTTGCAACATAGAAATCTCTTTAATCGCAGCAAGCACTCCTTATCAAACACACCGCATCCACCGACCGCAGTCATGGGTAAAGTTCACGGATCTCTCGCACGTGCCGGAAAAGTCAAGTCTCAGACACCAAAGGTACGCCAAGCCGAATTTTGACGGACATTTGTGGGCGGACGTTGGAAGGGTGTCTGCTTTGCTAGGAAGATGAACACAACCATATTTTTAATGGAGCATTTTTGCCGGCGTCTTAGGGACAGAAAGGGCTGACGATCCGTGTCTTATAGGTTGAGCCCCAGGAGAAGAAGAAGACCCCCAAGGGCCGAGCCAAGAAGAGGATAACCTATACTCGCCGATTCGTCAACGTCACCATGACTGGCGGCAAGCGGAAGGTGAGTAACCTCCCAGCATATCTTGTGCTACTTTTGAGCCGGAGGCTAATGTATATATAGATGAACCCCAACCCAACTTCATAATCGGATCGTCTTGGAAGGGATGAAGCAGGCACGAACACAATCAGCTAGAAACCTTCTGTCATGGGTTTCAATTTCCTCGGGATGGCTATGACTCTAGATCAAAGAACTCGGGATGCTTGGCTCGAGACGGATGTGGACGTCGCATGTCCGCTTGAGAGAGGGTCCCAAGCTTTTGGGAGGAAAGGGGCATATTCATGGCGTACGATGTACATTCGGCTTTGCATGGCTAAACTATGAAATCAAGGCTCCTTGTGTTTTGATCCTGCCTTATGCTCGTGATACTGGCAGAATCCTTTCACATGTAGTTCACTTCTCGTGGTGGCCCGTAGAGGATGTCGTCTGCTCTCGTTCTCTAACTGTACACCTCTTTTCGGCAAACTCTTACCAAATGACCCCCATCGCGCAATCCAGACCACTTCGTCCCAGTGAGGCGTAGTTCATATAAAATTCTCGGTGAGTGATTGGCGATGACTCTGGTTGGCTGTGCCCGAGTTCCAAGCCAAGAGATTCGGAAGCGAATGCGATCGACGTCATCCCAACCTCACCTCTTCGTGCATCTTCATTTCACGTCCGGAGTGAGAACCAATAGAGCATTACACCACCACGAACAGTAGTTATGTTCAAGAAACTATTTGGAGAAGTATGTCCTCTTTAATTGACCTTCAATCCCACAACACTAACGGTTTCCCTAGCACGGCGCGAAAAACGTCGTAACTCTATTCCACAAGCCGTCTAGCCAACCATCGACCCGCGTGCTCACCCTCCTCAAGCAAGCGAATGCGCAGTCAGTAGCCCATGCAACTGAGGATCAAGCAAGCAGCCATCAGGCCCAGAGTAAGCTAGAACGGGCCGAGTTCACTCTCGACGTAACGGAAGCCCCTCCAACAGCCGATCAACTCAAGAACATTCTCGAGTATCTTGGGAGCCCATTGTCTGGGGCTGCTGGGAAGGTTATTAGAGGTGCGGTGGATGAATCAGACGCAATGAGGAAGTTGAAAGAGGATGCTGATGCGTTCCAGCGGCCTTTGGTATGGGACCTCACAATCTTAGTGGCTTCGCTTCACTGATCATGATGTGACTAGGTCGTGGACTGGCATCAAGGAAAAGCAGGTGCGCTATGAAATCCCTCTTTAAGAGTATCCTGGGCTAACACGTCTAGTCGTCGGCGAGAATGAGTCGGAGATATTAGCCCTCCTTCGATCCATTCCCAAGGAAGTTGACAAGGCATGACGTGTAATAAAGCTGTAATTTGTGCGTATTACCACTATAATGTACTATCAGATTCTTAGTTTTGAGCGGTTCTCAGATTGATATACTCTGAGCTGATTTGTTGCCATTGGTCATCCAGAGTGATGGGACAAACGGCGTTCGCGCCAGCAACGGGTAGTTGCAATTGCGCTCAAACGACTGCTTTCATACAGCATTTTGAAAACGATATTTTACATCGGTTAGCTGATTACAGACGGCACCTTAGATGGCACGTTCGCAGGTAAAATTCCCAATCAACAACACCCTCCTTGTGTAGACACTCTGAGCAAGCATCGGAGGGAGGGCTGATAGCGTCAGCATCTTAACTCTCCTTAATACAATTTGTGAATATCTCCAAGAGCATACACAGGCATGTGACGCCTCTCGGTGACCGCAAGTACAGGTGAGCAGACGGTTGGCGGTGAGACGACGGTGTGGCTCTTCAAAGTATCGCGACTTTCACCACATCACGACCTCGTTGCTAACGCGCGTGCCTTCCCTCTCCGCCTCGAGGTGCGGCCACAACACGGCGCCCGCTCTCTCACCTTGACCTCTATAACACGACTTCCTTTTCCCACCCGTGGGCCCCCTGCAACTTCCTCTTTTCTTCACTGCCATTTCCTTTGGCGTTAGGGCGTCAACTTGGCTTCTAATTGCCCTACTCAAGAACCCTCGCACCTTCTGCATCGGCCTCGAGCCCATTGCTTCCTTCCTCTACTTCTCTATTGTTGACACCAGGGATTTTCGCCCTTCATGGCCAATTCGTCACCGCCAGCGACTGCCACAGCTGCAATCTGTGCCCCATCTCCGGCCGACTCAGAGAAGACGGTGGTTCCGTTTACTACCCCGCCGGCATCTGAGCAGATGGCTGTACCAGACTCTGCATCGTCCAACTGCCCTGGCAAGGCCTTGTTCTCGACCGACTTGAACCGACGGCCACCAAGGACACTCAAGCCACCCTACCCACCGGTCATTGCTCGTGGATATGCCGACCAAAAGCAGGCTGTCGCCGACTATGCCCACTTCTGGCGTAGCAAATATCCTGACCAATACCAGTGCTTCTTCCCTCTGTGCGGCTGGACCATCAACGACCTGTGGGATGACTGGGATATCCACGTCGACTCACCGTCATTCCTTGAGCAGGTCCTGGTATTCATCACGTGGGAAAACACCCACCACGCACGGGGTTACGCCCATGTGTGGGCTACTGCGAACAAAGACCGCTTCTTGAATATTGTCTGCGGTGATATAAATGAGCTCCAAGATCCCGCCGGTGAACTCGCTACTGTCGATAAGGTCTTCGTCAGTGGTGAAACCAACTTGTTCCCTCATGTATTCCTGTGGCACGTCTTCAACATCATGAGGGTGAGCATCCACAACGTCAACAGGAAGCAGCACGAAGAAGCTCAGAAGCATCACGAGACTACCGCCGCGGAGACAGCTACTAAGAAAGCTGAGAATATTACTGTCCCGCCAGAAGCCGTGGCAGTGCTCCAGCCTGCCAGGGCGTCTGCCGGGAGTGTTTCTAAGCATCAGGCCGTGTCTGGCAGTGTCGCAAGTAAGTTAAATCCCTTGGGGAGTCCTTTTGGGCTTGGACTGACATATTTGACAGAGGCCACCCCCCCTATGCAGCCACCCGCCATTCCGCTACCGGTTACGCATCCGTCTATATTCGCGCCAGCTGCCCCTACTATCCGCGGCCCCATTCCACCGTTTAGGCAAAACGCACCACTTCGAGGTGGTTATCACAACCAACCAGCCGGAGGGTCAATGAGTATTAACCCTACTATGCCCACTATACCACCTATGCCTCCTGTCCACATGAACCAACCCCAAGTGAGGTATCCAAAAAATAGGAATATGCGGTCGGCGTCTGGCTCGTACATCCAAGGAATCCCAATGCCACAGTCTAGCATGCCTGGTGGATGGGCTGAGAACGTGCCCGTGCCTCATACCGGTCAACCGTCTCGACAGACTTCAGGCGCCATGTCAGCCGTGCACTCGCCTCGATACAGCCAGCCAGTTCCTATTTCCCAGTCGGTGATGCACTCCATGAATCCTATGGCGCCTTTTCCACCGAATCCTACGTTTGGGCCTCCAATGAGCGGACCGAATCAGATGCCGTACACACCCATGATGAACCCCGCAATGATGGTACAACAGACCACACCATTCGGTAGCCCAGCAATGGAACCCGGCCAGCAGAACTACGTTTACGGCTCCTCTACTCCGCGCGGTGTGCCGATTGGTGATGTGACCAACAACAATTCACAATATCCGTTCATAGGCCCTCCACGAATGGATCAGCGCGGAAACATGCCTCGCCGAGGTAGCCGTGCCGACAAGCAGCAAGGCCTCTACAATCCCTACGGCTCGGATAGGCCTGATTTCTCTCACATTCCCGCACAGCCCACTAGCAGGAAGACGGGACGTAATAGTTTTTCTAATCAACCTAACCGTGGCCGAAAGGCCTCAATTGGTTCTTATAACCGCAATGCATATGGGCAAAACCCAGATCCAGGTGACTTCAATTTCCAGCGCCAGGGTGCCCGCCAGCCGGAGGTTATACAGGATTCTCCCTACGGCCAGCGCGGCTACAAAGACGAGGTTGACTTCAATATAACTCAAGACCGGGAGCGTGGTTGCGACGAGGGCTTCATTGGAGACAAGAATGATTTTGTCGACTTCCTTTGGGTCGTGGAATTCCCTGTCCACATGAAGGATGACGCTATTAGGAGGTTATTCGAGGAGGCCACCGGCGTCAAGGTTACCCAAGTGCGCATGCTAACTGATAAACGACACATGCCGATAGCATACGTTCAGTAAGTAACTTACTTTCTCGTACCTAGATCAACTACTAACTTTGGGGAGCTTTAATACCCCTGCGGATGCAAAGAAAGGTCTGAAAGTCAATGGCCAACTGGTTGGGGGTAAGAGTATAATTGTGAGGGTTCCGAAACATTTCTACATGGTGAAGGATCCGAATTCGAAGCGTCAATGGACGGCCAACTACTATGAGCCTCGTCAGCCAGGACCCCAATCTCTTGCCAAGGGAAAACATCGAACAGCGCATGGCGCACAGAATATTCTCGAGAATGACAGATTACCCAATGCTCCCGGGCCAGCTTACTCTCCGCAAGATGCGAGGAGTGACCTACAGCGCCGAACTAGCCAAGACCTTCCCATGATGCGAGGCAGCCCTGAGGCGCGCAAGTCGAAGAAGCAGCCATACACATCCCCGACGAAGGTGAAAATTTTTCAGGAAGATCCTGGAGAGATTAATGTCAAGGAGAGCGCCTCAACGGCCCTAACTACAAAGGACAAAGAAGAATTCGTCATGGTACAATCCTCTTGTGCGTATGTTGCCGATAAAGTGCAAACCCCAGCGCAACAACCTACAATCGCCGAGGCTCCGTCCATTACCGTGGTTGAGAAAAAGACACCTGTCACGCCTAGGGCCGAAGAGACACATCAAGTTGATACCGAGACCCAATCGGTGACTAATTCACTCTCCCCAACCCAAGAAATTCCCCAACAGATCGAAGGAATCATTAAAGCAGATCCTCCTAAGCGCGCTCTACCGCCACCACCGGAGCCGACCAACCATACACCTAAGTCCCCACCGACTAACGAACGTCTCGATTTAAATAACTCTGATCACGAGACCACTGTGGAAGGGTCTCTTGCAAAGCCGCCAACACCGGTCGAGGATCCCCCTCCAGCGAGCCCCCTCCAGGACGAGCTTGATCGTGACATCCAGGTCCGAGATAGCGAGGAAGCTTCGGACGACGACCCGAAGAACGACGTTAGCTTTCATTCAGCGAAGGAGTCTCTGTCCGATTCTGAAAAGCACGACGAAGCAAAAGCCACAGCCCTTCCGGGCACAGACGGACAGCCCCAGGACATCACAGGGGCACCAACCTTGTCCACCAGTGCTGAGAACGAGTTGGGCGAACAAGCGAATGACACCCCATCCACCATGAAGTCGCCAGCAATCGAGCAGAAAGCACTTGCAATTACAGGCGCACTCGTGGTGGAGACTCCTCGAGAGCCTACTTCTGATGTTACACAAGCGCCAGCTAGCCTCGAGAAGAAACCAGGACCGAAACAGACCGAGTCCCTTTTCCCCATGGCAAAGTCCAAAAACCAGAAGAAGAAGGAAAGGAAGGAAAAGGAAAAGGCGAAGGCGAAGTCAAAGGCTAAAACCGCTGAAAAGTCCACCTCATCCAACAAAGCAACCGAAGGAAATGCTGGAAAGGATAAAGGTGCTTCGTCTCTAGCTACAACTGCGAGTGAAGCTGGAACGATTGAGCAAGAGGTCAAATTCCCTTCAGCTCCACCGCAATCTTCGAGGTGTTTGGCATCCGTGAGAGGGTCAAATTTTGCGGCTCACATGAAGGATGTGGGCGTCTTGGTCACTGGAGACAAGGTTGACGTGATGGGAGGCAGTGGTGAGTCGGTCACCGACCCTGGCCAGCTTGACATGGAGGTAGAGGATACAGTGTTAGGAGGTAAAGAATCCAACCCCTCTACTAAGAGCAAGGATGATACTTTACGCTTATTGCTTCAGACCTCTCTCCAGTGCACTCCTCTATCGCCTCCAAAGTCTTCGGCAAGTGCGCAGTCTCATAAATCTACGGCCATGCAAAAGCCAACACCAGCTTCAGCTCCAGGAGAGCCATCTGCGAAGGATATGGAAGTACAAGAAGAAGCAAAGAAAAAGAAAGCGATTCGTGATAAGGTTGCCATTCCGAAACTCAATCTCACTGCTCGTAAGCCTTCGCCTTCTGGCACTGGCCCAGCGAGTGATACTACATTACATTCAAAGTTCTCGAGCACCGTTCCAAGCCCCGTCGACGGAGATGACAAGGCAGGGGTGACAGAGGGTCAAATTTTACAGATGAAGCAAGCTCTTCCACATATGTTGCGTGCGAATGAAAAAGGTATGTCGCTCTGCGCAGAAATGACACACGAAGCTAACAGTGTTGAAGTCTTTGCAGAATCTAAGAATGTTGAGGATCTTCCAGCAAAATCTCCTTCAGGGTCAGTATCAGCTGCGAGCTCCGACACTGTTCGACCAGAACCATTCTCCCCAAGCCCAACGGCTGCCGACTTCTTCACACCAATGCAGACGCCGAGTACCCTCCCGAACCAGGCTCCTACTACACTCCCTCCCTTTGAACAAGCACAAGCTAAGAAGTCCAAGAACAAGAAGAAGAAGAAGAAAGCATCTGTTATAGCTCCTCTTGAACTGAGTGGACCACAAACTTCATCTGGTTCGTCTAGGAAGCGAGTTTCTATCTTGGCTGAAGATGCTGACATAAAATTGGCAGAGAATGTCTCCGAGGAAGAGAATGCGCCGTTCATGGATCAGATACAACAAGTTGATGTTCTTAAGGGGAACAACAGGAGTAGACGCAAATCAACCGTCTCGTATTATCCTGTCCAGCCAGCCGCTCCTTCGCCTACCATACTGGAGAGTGAGAAGGTTAGTACACCAGCCAAAGCAGGCTTTACAATTATAAGTCCTACTTTTACTAACGGCGTGACAGAATCTGGAATTCATGCTTCAAGAAGTTAAAGCCTACCAAAACGACAAGGAGACTAAATACCAACCGGAAGCTGAAAAACAGTGGGAAGCTCAACGAAATCTGCCGGAGTCACCACGGAAGGATATGGATTTCCAAGAAGTCACCGATCTTATCAAAGGCAAACAGATACATCCAGGTTTTCACCGGTTGGCAACCGATGATGGAGTTTTTGGGAAGGTGTCTCCCACCCCAGATGATCCGTCTCTCTTCTGAGATGGGGCGAGACTTCTTGGCTCTTTCTTCCGAGACTGTTTGGAGTAGTGAGGACTTACCAGGTTTCTGTGGGTATGGCCTCAGGGTGCGCTGGGGCGTTGTATAACAGGGGGGTTCAGAGACAGGGATATGTGGTCCTTTGGGGCGTATAACGGCGGCGTAGTCTGACACTTGTTGATACCCCAATTTCTTGCCTCAACAGTGTCCACATTGCACGGGCGTGGCTTAACATGGTCGGACCAGGGTTTCTCAGATACATGAATGTAGATTGAAGTTCTTGAATATTCTTTATGCATATTTGCGTGGAGTACTTGCTTCTTCCACACGATGTTTACCGGGGCAGATGCACTTACCTCGTGCGTGTGCCACTGTAGATTCGGAACTACGTCATGTCAAGATTTGTTCCGTGAAACACTGGCTTATCTCTATTCCGCTGGCGCTTTCAGAGAAGACTTCATAGAAGGTCGCGGTTACCCTTGAGTTAGGTATTTTTATGTGGATCTCTCGAGGTTAACAATGGTCTGGGTACTATGCATGAGAGATTCTTGCTAGAAGATCCGTTCGTTGTTAATTTTGGCCATTGAGAGGCTGTTCCACAGGCGCTAAAAAAAAATTTAAAAAAAAAAACAAGTCCCTTCCTTCAAGGCCCTAACAGAGCAAAAAACTACGCTGTGGTCCCGACGAGGGTCGAACTCGCGACCTTGGCGTTATTAGCACCACCTGCTTGTGAGTTAGAATCTTGGACTACAGGCTGCTGTTCCTGTCACTTACGCTCTAACCAACTGAGCTACGGGACCCGAACTACTTTTTGAACTGCTTTTGAGTTTTCAAAAAAAGTTCAATATCTATAGTCAATTGGCGAAGGACAATTCGTCAAGAGATGGACCCATTTAAAAAAAATTCCGCAGAGGGGCTGAGCACTGGCCACCAACACACTCCTTGATGCGGCCACGAACCTTTGAAATTTTACGACTTCTTGATTTTAACACTAGGATAAAAGTGGGCTATATTGATAGATCTGAACATTTTCGCTCATGGAAATAGGTAAGGTTCGAGACCTGCAGATTTCTGGCAGTGCGCGGCGAGGTCGGCCACTCTGCATATTTTGTCATACCGAAGTCAGCTATGTTAAAGGTTGGGCTATGGGGTCTAAGGGCTCAGAAGACCGACGAAACTACAATGCTAATGGCTCTGTTTGCCGAGGAAGTGAAACCTGTTGTTAAAGCCCATAGCTTTGTTGGTAGATGATTCAAAGGCAGACTACTGGCACATCCGTCGAGCGGTGATGGCGCTTGTGATGACCGCGCAATGGGAATGTTCGAATGGCGAATGTATTCCATGTTCGGGTTCCCGGGTTCCCGGCCTTCCCTGGAGGTAAGGTTGAAAATTCGACTTACCTACTCGGCCTATTTCTCTCGTCACTGCAGCCTCTGATAATCCATCCTGCGGAGTGGCAGTGGGATTCTGCAAACATGCCATGGATACGCCCTCTTGCGATATATTTCTTGTCTCTCTATGCCATTTCGTGTCTCAGTCAACGCTTAGGTTCTCACAGTTCTTCTTAACCTTAGAAGTGAATTCCGGCGGAATGTCAGGAATACCCTACCAACATTCATAGCTGTCTTTGGTTAGCCTCAGCAACCCGAATGCATTTAGGACAACTGACGTTTAGAGGTTTTGTTTGTAAATCAAGTGCCGATACTATCTCCTACGGCCCGCTGTTCTGCATCACAACCAGAAATGGCCGGTCGAACTAAGGATACCGGTCATGTTGATACTGTTAGCAACTTCTTCTATTTCGGTGCCTGTACCGATATAGACAGGAATTTTCGCTGTCGGGTCCTGTGCCGGTTGTTTCCTTAGCTGAGCTCATTTTCGCAAGTGCGAATAAATTGCCGGCTCAGGAAGCATATTTGCAGCCGGGCGAATGTAACCGCTCGAATAATTCGGGAATAATGTAAAACGAAAGGTCGTGTTTCTAGCGCAAACCTTCTGTCCGTTGCACTGTCGCCACCAAAGCAGTTGTAAGTTTCCGTATTCTTGACGGCTAAGCTTCATGGATGCTTCAAAGATATTAGGTTGTCAGCATTCTCGATTGTCACCGTGTAGGGTTTAAATTACTGAATTTCTTGTGTCCTGGGGTTATCCATTATGGGTGAAGCAGTTGGGAGGTCTTTTCACCCGAATGGAGTTCTAGGTTACTCATCCATGATGATAGATAGTTAATGCGGTCGATCACTCAAGAAGCGTTGGCAGCACGACTAAGGCTCCTCCAACACAACTCCAAAATCGATGAACCAAAAAGGGAAAATAAAGCGCACTTGTCTGTTTTATTTAGACACCCGATAACAATTATTATATACTTTCCGTTATTTCATTTCACTATGACATGTGAACAGAGAGCTTGGCGCTCGGCTGTCACTACAAATTGAGAGATCGAAAATAATGGCAAAAAGATATGGTCAGTACGGGGGTCGAACCCGCGACCTTGGCGTTACAGCAGAAGCTATTAGCACCACCTACGTCGTATTAGTGATTGCTGACCACTCGAATGATGATTTCAACTTACGCTCTAACCAACTGAGCTAACCGACCGATTTACGCTTTGATTGATGGTATAAAGGTTAATTTTATCATATATATAGGTAGTAAAAATGGAGTAAACCCCCGCATTGACGAACCCGCTGTGCGAAAATCAGTATGATGAACGAGAGGCTGAGTTCCAAGGTCCGAGCTCCGGCCCTAAAGTTCCGATCTTCGCGAGTGAGAAGACAGTCTTGTCCCATCAACGGTATTTGAAACACTATGCGCATCACGACACTCACTGAAATAGGCGTATGATGTTGGCTTGCTTGATTAGATATATGCATTGAAAGTGCGATGTTTGGTGTAACCAGAATGGGCGCCACGTGATCCTTATGAATAACACTAGTAGACATTCGCTGGACTCACAGTGGGTATTCTGCAGAGAGTACATCGCTGATGGTGCGGAAATTTTTCTAGACTGAACTTTGCCAGCGCCTTGTTGATACCATTATTAAATCGAACGGTAGCGTCTGCACCGCTACCGTTTTATCGCTAGGGACTCTTGAAAGGAAACGCCAGGCATAAATATCACCGGTTCGCCACTTAATGGGATATAGTGTGGAGTATTTAACATAGGCGATTAAATTTGTCATAGTTGCGGAAAGTAAGGGATAGAAAATAGAATCCAATGCTCATAAGGTAAGCTTTGTGATTTACACTTCCTCTCTTCATTAGCAGAGCAAAGACGAGAGGATATTTAGCCCCTTATTGAGATCCCTAAAAACATGCGCAAATACCAAAATTCTCCTTGCTAGCCGAGTCTAACCCTTCTGGGTTTACATAACATTCATTGTCAAGACCACTTGAGCAAGTTCCAAGGTGGAAAAACCTGAAATCCGAAACTCTCTGAGTGAGACCAACACAAAATAACTCTGAAGGCTCTACATACGAGAGGCAATGCAGTTCGGCAGGATCAATACTTCCCGAATAGCTTTTGATGTGCATGGCGCACAAACCCGAGAGATATCGACGAAGCGGGGCTGGCGTTTCGCCTTACAGTCCAAACTTTAAAGTAGCACAATGTCGACTTTAGTAGACCCTTGAGCATCCACACTTTCATCAACGTCTAAATGTTTCAGAGTCAGACTTTATGCTTGAAGCGGGGCGGATGACGGCGTAGAACAAATGGCATCGTGTACTGGGGGGCGTTCGACGCTGAGCTGCCGTCGCCATCTGAGGTTGTTGAACAAGAGAAGAGGCAGGGCGGGTGTGGCGTCGTGGCAGTTGATCATTTAAGGGTCGGGCTAGATCGCAGGCGAACGATGCTGGTTCCGGTGCCGGTGCCGGTGCCGGTGCGTCGACGGAGAAGGCTTGGAATATGACTCGGTCGGCTTCGAGATCGGGACCACTCCATTTCAGGACGTGGGTATCAAAGGACTAGACTTTGGAAGTAAACGGTTTCATTCTAAGATCTTAGTAGGACTTGCACGTCATGTACAGTCAGTAGGCTCTCGGTTGCCGAAGGGAAAGTCTACTCCATATTTTTAGGTTTGTTGGGGAGATGCAAAGGAGAAAGTTCACTAAGGTTAGTCCCTGGAGTGCTTTGTTAGATATCTAGCATACCCAATTGGAATGCATTTTGTCTTCAAGCAACCTCGGTAGGTAGGATAGTGTGACCTTTGAAGGTCAGAATGATGAGTTTGGTAAGTTTCGCTTCACGACTCAGTCCAGAACCACGAAAGCTTTTTGAGCCTCTTCGTATTGTAGCACCCAATTACACCCAATATTGGAAGCAATTAGTAGGGAAGAGTTCTAAGGAGGAAACTTTATGCCAAGGAGCTAGGCCAGAATATCTCGTGTCTTCGTTTTCGCATTACAGATTTGAAGGAGTCGAGTGAGCATCTGGCGACTCGTGATGCTCTGAAATGACTTTGAAGGAGGAGGTGGAGAACTAGAAAGGAGGTATAATCCGATGCAGCATTGGGTGAGAGGGGTATAGCTCGTATGGATATGACGCTAAATTTGAAAATCGAATGTGAAAGAGAAAGCGAAAGTCTGTAGGGAAACAACCGAAGATCGATGCTAGAACGCATTGCTAGATCAATATCTTCAAAGTGGGAAGATGCTCTCACGGACATGAGCGATGCACCCTGATAGAATCGTATACCCTTGCAGTCGAGTTCAAGACGTTGCAGTGCGATTCTCGCCGAGGTAAAGTCCTTACGACACGTCATTTGTTCGTCTAATGTTCATAGAAGCTGGCTTGAATACGTGCATTTACCAGGCATCGAGTGTCGCACTCTCAGGGTTCAGGACGCAAGAGGATAAAGCAGTGCTGATCGTCGTGTGGTGAGAGAACATGCAGCACTCCTTTTGGCTGGTGTTAACATGTGGTAGCAGGGGGGTAGCCCATCCAGGGTGGGGCTAGTTAAGCAGTGGTCAGAACAAGGTGAAGACGGTGTGCATTGAGAAGCGAAGTGTACCAGACTTGAGTTCTAAAAATCGGACGCGAACCCGAGATTAGGTGTCAACAGCAACTCGATTAGGAAATGGAAGTCTGAAACAAAAGGTTCCGTGGAAGGAGACAGCCTTCTGCCCATCGTCGATCTCGCACATGCGTCTTGAAACATAGCTCAGCTATTCCAAGGCTGACGTTATTCTGTGGTTTGATGCCGTAGTGAAACTTTATGCTTTTTCATTAACGCAAATCTTATGGTACTGCAGTGGCATCGCTCAGCTTTATGATTGGTCACTGGTGGGATTTCTTTCGCCGATGATCATGTGTCACTGCACTGTGCCTAACATGTATGACATCCTAAAATATTCAACTCCGAACAAATGATGCAAGATCGCCATTAATGGGGAAATGTGGCTAGTAGATCCTACGATACACATTTAGTTAAACAGTTATTATTCAGTTTTGGGGCTATTTTTGAGACGGTGATGCTTGGTCCGCAGCAAAAGCTGTTGGGGATATAGTACTCAGAGTTCTTGCGGGGGCCTCCCCAATATTGCACTAGCAACCGGACTTATCATAAGGCTGAGTCGGAGGGCAAAAGGTGTGGTCCGGAACGACGACATTTCACAAGGCTGTTGGCCTTTGATTAGCTGGATATTAGATGCTGCAATATGTGGTCAGGCGACCGTTAAGGTGCAAAGTCTCTTGGGATTCCGGGATCGGGTAATTGGGAAAAGTCTTAATTCGACTTCATCAATGAGAGCCCGGTAAACGTCGGGGGGCGCTGATTCGGCATGGTGTCTTACGCGCATGTAGACGATGCAAGCGTTGGGAGTAACATGGTTGTGGCGTGGCCGGTCGTACGGAGCTTGGAAATGTTGATGCCAAGGGCCGTCAACGATTTGTCGAACGGCCATCGTACAACTCCAGCTGCCCAGGCACGTGCTGAAACGTGGTGCCGTAGGAATGACATGCTCACAATTTGCTTCGTATTGACACATGCTTTTAATAAAAGAATCAGCATGGAGATACCCTAATCGTCATACTAGGCCTAGGATTATTCCACATTGCCACCTTGTCTGCGAACTGGATCCGTGTGACGCACACTAATCACGACGGCTGTCCTTTGGGGTCAGTGACGATATCGCATGCATCACCGATGAGGCAGCTGCTGCGACAAAGCAAGAGTTAAGTTACGATTGCGGAAGATGGGGGTACGGTGGTCATTCGAGAGATGCAGGTGGAAAAATGTAGCGATTCATGACTGGATTGGGAAGGTGCCAGTCGATCATGTTTGATGCCTGAACGATAGGGATTTAAAGACGCAGGAGTATTTTTAGAGAAGCGATGCGGGCCTGTCCAAGGCTCACCGTCGGCGAGTCGTCGATATCCCGCACGCGACCGGCCAATCAATGGCCGGCAGAGGGTAGATAAATGAGTTTTGGAGCGCAGAACTTCGCGGATGCACCTTTTATTTATTTCTTCTTCGGATTACTGTTCAGCAGCGCATTCGCAATGATCAGACCTGGCAAAAGCAAGCCGGCCCACGGGCCAAGGTCGATGATGGCGCCCCGACACGACGCAGCCTCACGGGCGTGGCCAGGGAACTGAATCGATGGAGTGTTGTTTGCCAATGAGCCCCCTGACGGCGGCGCACAGAATTTAGTGATCAACAATCAATCTTGGTTCTGATGAAGCCTCGTGAGATGCGGATCGATCGGACGGCACGTTTCAGATGTGTCGGCATTTAGCCAGAATGCACCTCTCCAGGGCCGCCGGCTGGCCATTCCGGCTGGTAGGCACCGCAGGAGCCTCACTTCTGGCGATGGAGAGGCCAGCGCCGGTGACCTGGTACCTCCTAGAGCCAGTACCGAGTCAATGCGGCGAGAGCCAGGCGTTGCAGGGTCGTTGCTGGTGGGCAGAGAGATGTCGAATGCAAGCGACGAGCGATAATGACATTTGTAGTGTGGTGGACGCCCTGAAGAGCGCGCAGAACGTGGGATATCTTGGCTCGACCAGTCCGCAGGTGGCGGAGGGATGCTCTGAAAAGGAAAAATAGAGCAGCGAGGCTGTCACTAGCGGAAGAGGCCCGCTGGCAGCTCACGAATGCTGTTGAGACCGCGCGCGGGCTGTTGTCTTCGACGGCCCTCGAAGAATGCCATGCACGGTTCCGGGTGTGCCGCCCGTCTCCAGCCTCCGCTGCCTCTCCAGCTCCTTCAACGCATCCCTCCGAAGACAGTGGAACAGAGCGTCATGGAGAAGCGCTGCCACGTGCGGCGTCATGCTGGGAGACCCGTGGAGGTCCTGCGAACCTTTGGGACGTCATGCACATGCACGTCCCCTTAGCCACAGCACTGGGTCACTGATGCAGATGCATTAACCAACCGACATGTTGTGTCAGTCACATTCCTAGGTATCAGTCTATCACAAACCACCACACAGCGTGGGCCAGTGACGGCGCGCGACTCCTGCCGTTGTGTAACACGACCTCAGAGTGCACGCTACTATACGGAACGGCGGAGCAATTGAGCACTGGGCAGGCTTGCACTGGAAATGAAGCTGAGGCTTCCAAGGGCCTCTGTAGCGAAATGAGAGAGTGTGGAGAAAGGGTGCTGCGTTGCGCCGCCATGTGTCGCAGAAATATCTGCTCAAATGTGGTGGCATCACGCATCCTCATCGCCGCCATCCCTGCGCCGCTGGCCCTGCCGGCGATATTGCTGGCTCTCCACCAGTCTGTCATGCTCACAGACATCACGACGGCGCAGTGAGCAACGAAGAGCGACGGGATTCGTGCGTTTTCCTCCGCTGGTCCAGCGTGTCAGCCACCTTCTCTCTACACCCGCCGACGCAATTATTCAAGCATGAATTCTTCCACTACTGCTCCATGGGTGTGTCCATCATCTCAAATCGCTACAACGATGTGGATGGGTCGCCCCTGCTCACCGCCATGCTCCCCAGTCATCGTTCACAACCAAATTACCCACCACCAGCGCTCGGCCCCATCTGCCACCTGCAGCATGCTGGCTGGTGGACCCCTTACAGATGATGACCTCCGAAGTGCAGAAAAGAGTTTGGGGGTTCGCGATGGCGTGAAGCTTCACGTCCGCCGTCGAATTTCCCTTCGCTGCCACCCGCCCACCCAAAACTGTTCTGGCCGCCTCTGACGCTGCGGCGCTGGAGCAATCGACCTGTCACAACGTTTGCCCACCGACCTGTGACAGACAGGCCAAGCGACCGTGGGTGGAAGGCCGCCGAGGAAGCAGTGGACGGTGCATGGCCGACTATGTTGAGCGCATTCTGGCCTGTGTGCCATTCATCCATCCCGCACATCAGTTGGCTCCTGCGGCGCCGCCAACATGACAGGGTTCACCCAAACCTCCTGCCAGACCAGCGCAAGATCGTCGTGTTGAAGCCAAGCTGCTAGGATGGCTGCTCAATCTTGTCCTGGTCGTAGTGTGTGGTGGCACTTTTAATCATCGAGACACTCAACCATACAGCGCTGGGGAAAATCCAAAATTTTTTCCCTTTCCTAATCCTTTTCGTTCCCCGGCAGTCTTTGCTTTTGGCTCTCTTCGTTTCTTGTTTGGGGATTGTGGCTGTTTCCCCGCCAGGGTTTGGTTGAGACAGCTTACAAAGGGTGTGATTGTCGTGAACAATCCCCCAACTATCATTTCCACTGCAGCAGCTCTCGTCCAGTGCTGGACCCAGAACTTCGCCATTCTCTGGCCCTAGCTGTCGGATTTCCACCTGCAGAATTGATTGCGCCTAAAATCCCATGGCCTGGTTGATCGTCCATCCCCGCCTGCGACTCCCGACTACAGACAAGATCTAGTGCGGGCTCCAACGTTTAGAAATCTTTGCGCCTAACTACCAAGGTATGTCGCCCTTTTCTGAAATACTGTTCCTATAGCACCTTATAGTGTCGACGCGTCAATTCTGACAACTCTAGTACACTTCAATGCGCTGGCCAGCCCCGTGGGTTGATATTCGAGAAGCGCGACAGCATAGTGCCTCCTATGGCTATAGGAGTGGAGCACCGTGTGAGAGACGCTGCTTCTAGACTAGACCACGCGTTGCATTTGCGTCCTATTCAAAGCACTGCAATGCCCTTCGATACTCTATCCCATACATCTGGAATCGGCTTGCCCGTGACCGAGACCGCGTCTATCCACAACTCTACGGACCACTCAGACCTCGACACAACCATTCCAGGCCAAGGGATTGTGCCCTCACTTCATCAGCAATCAAACAAGAAGAGACGACCGTCCAAAGGCAAGGTCGCGCCTGAAATACGGCGCTCTTCTTCAACACCACACATGCGCAACCTGGCCCTCGCAACTTCGGGCGAGCTGTCGCCTACAGCGGATAAACGACGGAACAAGTTGGGATACCATCGAACCTCTGTCGCATGTGGTAAGCAGGACCATTGATACCTAATAGTGACTGAGGTGAGTCACTGACCTTACCGATTCCAGGACACTGTCGACGCAGGAAGATTCGATGTCTTGTTGCCAACGACGACCCTCAAGGCCGCTGCGCAAACTGCATCCGCCTAAAGAAAGAATGCAACTTCTATCCTGTCGAGCAAACGCCCGAGATTCAGCGCTCTCAGACAAGCTCGGCAAAGGAGCCTAGCGCTGGCGCACCAACATCCTCGACAACATCTTCGCCCCGTCACCCTTCTTCAGCCTCTGGTGAGAAGATTGAAGAATTTCGTCCTCCATTCGCTACGGTGACGACCAAGACTCCGACGCCAAGATACGGCTTGCAGCCTGACGTAGATGTTGCCCCGTCTCAAGTGCCTCATTCGAGTGCAAGTGAGTGTTACAGTATCTGTGCAGAAGACATTTTGCTGATTATGAAAGTACCTATGCCACATCCCCCGTACACATATCCCCAGCAAATAGAAACACAGTGGAGCACGCCTGGGTTCTTGCCTTCATCTTCCGTGACAGAAAGCTCCCCCTCATCTTCTGGGTACTGGCGACCATCACCTTCAGCAGCTAATTCTACCTATGGAAGCGAGACCAACATGTCTGGTGGGCAGACCCCAGCGACCATGAGCACTACTTCAAACATGTCTTATGGCGGCCAGCATGATAACCATAGCTGGGCTCAGCCCAATCTCCAGCCGCCGACAAGATCTATGTCGTACGGAAACATTGAAGGGATTCCCAACCAGTATCCTGGCTCAGGGCTCGGCATTCAACAACATGATTATCCGCGCCGGACTTCTCCCTATCCTTACCCAACTACTATAGACACAAATACAGCAATTATGCACACCACAACGCTTGGAGATAGCAGTTCGGCTCCTCTCTCGGCTCCGATTCTACCAAACCATCAGTACAGCTACCCACAGACTTGGACCCCGTATGGAGGACTACAGAATCCAACACCTGACATGCCTTTGCCAAGTCGATCGATGAGCGCTCAGTGGTATGGGGAACCAGGACATTTGGACCAAGTTCAGGAGGAAGGCGGGCCATCGATGGCGTATGGCCACCACAACATGCAACAATTTTACTCGGGGGCTTGAAATAGCACCCTCATGGAATTCGTATTCTTGCCCGATCCAGGGATTTGGTTTTGACTTAGCGCGTTTTCTTACCCGGAGTCTGATAGACCGCTTTGGGATATTTCCTCCGTTTGTGGCATTCGCATGGGATTCTAGGGCAATGTCTGGGCTTTACGGCGCTTCTTCGACGATCAGTGTACGTCACGGAATGGAATGGAATGGATAATGGAAACACGGACCATTGCAAAAAGCTTTGAATCCGGCTGTGTGAAGGTAAGGGTATTCCACTTATTGTTACTGGGTGCGACGTCAACGACTTGACGACACCATTATACGATTCTTACCCGAGATGGAACCTCGTGGCCTGGCTTCAGCTCTCGACTACTCCAACTGTTGCTTAATTTGCAGCACCCTCTCTTTCGGTCGAATGCTCCTAAGCCATATTATCGGATCTCATTACGCATTTCAATACCTACTTCGGACATCGCATGTACGATTAAAGCATGGCCGGTGTATTATTTTTATTGTGGAGGCAGTCAGACCACGACACCCAAGAACTCAACGTCTGTAAGATATAACGCGATATTAGTCGCAAGACACCATATCAACATTCTTCCAGCCAGAATTTCAGACGCTTCACGCATTTACTAGCCTCTTATTTTGGTCTTTCCACGTTATACGATCTAATGATCTGAGACTTAGGCTGTTTCGTGGCTGGACTAATCCAAACTTCATTTTTGAAATTCTAGCATATTGTACGACATTGTTGATTCTGCTCTGGTGATGAAATTGCCGGGATTGGCGTCGTTGTTGACACTTTTTAAGCAATTCATGCCTTATACCTGAGGGATATTTGGTGCCCATATCTTACCGAACTTTCCCTAATTCGACACTGACGGGGATATCTCCTACAAAGTCTCCTACAAAGGAAGGCGTTCACATTATGACGGCGAATTATCAGGAGGCCATGAATGTGCAGTGAGACCAGTTGCAAAACAAGATCCCCAACGCCTCTGACTAGAACCACCGAATACGAGAACAGCATGCCTGTTTCCCGCCGGTCCGAAAGCTCGGGCATTATATCACAAGCTAACCTAAACCCAAGCAGCCCTCTTGTACCGAACTAGTGTCCACGTCTCCAACACTGCCCCACCATTTCGGTATCCTAGTCCAGTGCTCCCCTGCACAAGCCAAGCTTCCCCACCCCGCAAAGAAGCCTGGGCTTGCCTTGACTTTCCCCAGGAGTCGAAGAAGAGCAGGCTGCAGGGTCAATATGCCCGAGAATTGTGCCTGGTGGGTGGAAGCCACGTCTAGACCACATCCGTTCGGCAAAGGACCATGGAGTGTAGGATTTTAGCAAGGTTTTGATATGCACGTAGTCATCTTTCTTCAACCAGCAACCCACTGCTTCAACTTTGGAGAAATGCCGTGAAAATTTCCAGTATTTCTTCACTCCGCTCATTCGCATGGCCCTTGGTTCTAGCATGTCTGGAGAACATTTATTTCTTGAAAGGCAGGAAATCCCGGTTTGGGTTCGAGGGAGGGAAGTTGACACTAGGATCAGTCAGGCCGCTGCTGATCACTGGCGTTCGGGATGGCTCGGCAAGCCGGAGGGATCTTGAAGGGGAATTTGGGGCTTGACTCTTTGGGCTCGAGTCGGAGGTCGGATTCGCGTAATGCAGTTGCGCTTCCGTTGATTACGCTATAACCTAAGGGTCGCGTGCTTTTGTTTCAAGATTAGAAATTCATGGACATTCGAGCGTGAGCGTCGGGGCAAATCTGATGGGTGTTTGACAGTTCCCTGACTCGGCATATGGGCTAAGACGCTAATGAGCAACCCGATCGGTGAATGCCAAACTCTCAATGCGAAAGGACATTGGCCTAGTGAACCGAGTAGAACTGGGAGGTATCAAAAGCAACACCATATGTGACTTCCTGAACGGTAGGGTGGTGGTCTCAACAGGAAGAGCTCTGCGCGCCTTCAAAGAGGCTGCGTGTGTCTGCACTCGCTTCCTACCTCCAAGATGTCATTGACCAGACTCCCACCCACAACTCTCCTCGAAGACACCTGTTTCTACTTCTGATAGTCCAACCCTATTGTACCCTCTTTATCACTGGCTTGAACTCATCGCCGAACCAATGGAAGTAACCTTTCGTTCGAGCGGTGCTAACGCGGCTCTTGTTGAGCAATATAGTGTTATTTGACGCCAGGAGATATCTATCTCTAACGCCTCAGCATGAGCACAATGGAGGTCTGATTCTTTACTGTGCTTAAAATGCCAGCCATTTCATGCCACATTCTCAACATGAGAGCCCTTTCCCCACAGCTTCTCGTCTTCCTCCCAGATGGCATCAGAAGCTTCATCACTTCCAAATTCAAGAACAGGGCCCTTTCTTCCCATATTAGATGTAAACCCAGGAAACAACCTTTCATACTCATCAGCAACAAATATCCTGTCGTCCTTCCTCATGAACAGATCATCTATCTCCTCAATCGTAAATCTCGGGTAGAAGAGCCAAACGATGACTCAAAACCGACATTGAAAACGAAGAATATCGGGTAAATCTTCCACTGGATGTTCCTAGTGGAAATATATGTAATTTGGGCCGTTAAGTAGTTAAACATTCAGTCGCTCGCCGTAGCTATGCTGCACTATGTGACCAATGCCGAAGGGACATAATCTCGAGTGCATATAGCTACAGAATCGGTAGCAGCCAACTACAGAGTTAGACTCGCAGGGGAAGAAGAACGGAGTTGGAGCCGATCTATGAGCTTGCTTAGGATTAATCCGAAGTACTACGACCATCAGAAAGCATAGGAAGCAGACCAGGGCCGTCCAGATCAAAGGCTGACAGCGGCCCATTCGGTCGAGCTAGAATATAACGATGAAGCTTAACAGCCAGTAATTGTCTGCTAATCAAGCTCTGATGTTGAGAGATGTGTCGCATGAGACTCCTATATCCATTGTGAGGGCGTGAGGGACATAATAGACTAGGATGGTGATTCTAGAGAGCTGTTGCACGGATCAGAGCCATGGATCTGGTCAGTCCACAACCTATTGAACCAGTTCATTAACTCACACATTGCCAGAATATAACGCCGACGGATCTTCAGTGTGGCGTTCTTGAAGCACTCACTAAAGCACCGGGGTTCGTCTGTCGTCCTGAGAGCAATGGCGTTGTAGATTGTCCGCTAGCGCTTTCAACGAGGCATAGTACTGTACGATTGCGCGATTCTGATGGCTGTACAGGTGGGATTGTGTGTACGTTTGTACGGTAGGGAGGACGGGAGACAGGTAGGTGTACGTATTGTAACTGTTACGGCTCACGTGGTCTGGTCAAGTAGTACAGTTTCATTACAGTCCGCTGTACTTTAGTTAAACAGCTAAGGTTATTTTAAGTCGATACCTCACCTAATAATAAGGGTTTACTTTGTGTTAGTTGCGGTGGCTATGGTCAAAAGGCAGGGGGGAAACGCGGATAGAGTGAGGAAGGAGGTGTAGGTGACGGTTATGCATGCCGACTGGCTAGTGGGTGACCAGTCGAAGAAGTTCGTGCGAGAGGGGGAGGGGGCAAGTATTAAGGGAAGTAAAGGATAAGTGACTGTTATGCTTTAGTGCTTAGTAGGCGTAGGCTGAAGGGGTCCTAAAATAGGCTGCCTAATCAACCTAATGCTTAGCGTCTATTAATACTATAAATTATATAGATCCTTAGGCTTTTAGTCTATAATAAATAACGTTAATAGATATCTTAATTTAAAAAAATAAGTATAAAGTTAAAACTATTTAAACACTATAATAATTTAAGTGTTAAAAAAGTATTTAGTTGAATAAAAAATTAGCTTACTAGCTAAAACACATAAAAACTAGTTAAGAGCTTAAGAAACTACTAATAATTGTAAGGCTAGTAGTTCTTATAAAAAGGGTAATGCACTGCAAGGCTAGAAGCGGCTTGTGCTACAGTTCTTACGCGCGACAGGTATATATACTATTCTGTACGCAGATCAACCGTTGGTTGATTATTCGCACCTTTTGGTTGTATTGGCGCAGTGGTACAGAGCTCCGTCCTTACAAATAGGAGTGTATTGTAAGGGAGACGAATCGCTGTCAAGCCGAGCTTGTCAGGATTCATGCTTATATACGAAGCACAGGTCATGTGACCTCCAAACAGGTCAGGTGAGGCCATATAGGCCCGTTCTAGGACATCTGATCTTACAACTAGACACTTAGATTATTACTGTATAGTTATTTAAATTTCTTTTTGTCTTACTTGCATACGCACGTGTAATAATATAGAAGCCTAACACCTTGTGAATATCTCTTTATAAACTATTGTTTGTCTCTAACGCACAATAAGCCTCCCCCCACTTAGTTGTGAAGAGATACAGCATCACTCATCTCCTGAGGGTTTAGTTGAGATAGGTGAAGGATAACATAACATGGTATTACCTATTGCCGACGCTCGGTGGAACCTCCAGAGGGTATGGCTCGTGAGATAAGCCAAGGACCGGATGTGAACGAGCGGGGTCGGAGAGTTCGACACGTGACATTGGAGTAATCCATGCATGCAGAAATTTCGGAGCGACACGTGTTCAAATCACCCGAATATCCAACAAGGTTATGGACCGCAATATTTTCAGAGCACCTGAGGCTAACTAGTACTAGTTTGAATATTACCTATCAAAATCTGGTTCGCCGGCATTCAACGCAGATGGACAAAGCAGAGTCGCACTCATTTCCAGCCGACCGCGGGCAAAATATCCTCGTCGCGAAGCGCACGGCTTCCGAAGAACCGAATTCCGCTCCTGATACCAAAAGAATTGATAATAGGTTGAAAGAACCAGATATTCAACCTGCAGCTACAACCTGGAGAATTCCTATCCTAGAGAAGGTTCGCTAGCTCCTTTAAATATCAGGAAACATTCTAATTGTTCTAAAGCCTGCAGTTTTAGAAGAAAGAAATGGCGAGATCGAATTCCGAGTTGTTAATAATAATAGCACAAGCGAGAGTACGATTATCCTTACAGGTCTTAAAAACCTGTTTCAAAAGCAACTTCCAAAAATGCCTAAAGATTACATCGCACGTCTCGTCTACGATCGCACTCATTTGTCTCTCGCCATCGTCAAAATGCCTCTTGAGGTCATTGGCGGAATATCATTCCGAGAATTCCGAAACCGCAATTTTGCTGAAATCGTTTTTTGTGCTGTCTCATCTGATCAGCAGGTGAAGGGATACGGAGCACATCTCATGGCCCATTTGAAGGATTATGTCAAAGCTACTTCCCCAGTGATGCATTTTCTGACTTACGCCGATAATTTTGCCACGGGGTATTTTCAAAAACAAGGATTTACCAAAGAGATCACTCTCCCCAAGTCCGCCTGGATGGGGTATATCAAGGACTACGAAGGAGGGACACTCATGCAATGCACTATGCTTCCTCGAATACGTTATCTCGAAGTTGGTCGTATGCTTCAGAAGCAAAAGGAAACCGTACAAGCCAAAATTCGTAGCTTGAGTAAAAGCCACATCATCCATCAACCACCTCGTCAATGGGCCAACGATGTTGTCACTCCAATCGACCCATTCTCTATCCCTGCCATTCGGGCACTTGGCTGGTCTCCAGAAATGGACGAATTAGCACGGGAGCCACGCCGCGGGCCTCATTTCAACGAATTTAGACGTTTTCTGTATCAAATCCAAAACCACAAACAAGCATGGCCCTTCCTCAAGCCAGTCGACAAAGACGAAGTCCTTGATTATTACAATGTCATTACATCACCAATGGATCTAACGACTATGGAAGAAAAATTGGAGCATGGTCTTTATGCTACTCCGAAAGACCTCGTCGATGACCTCAAGCTAATTTTTAGTAATTGCCGGCAGTATAATGAACCAACAACGGTATACGCCAAGTGCGCGGTCAGCCTGGAGAAGTACATGTGGAGACTTATTCAAGAGATTCCAGAGTGGTTTGAGCTACTTGAAAAATAATTAGTGTTAGTGTATCATATTCTCTAGAGTTAGATCTATTGCTGAATGAAGCGAGGCTTTGGTATGGTTGGAGTCGGTATCGGGCGATTGGATTTGGGGGTTTATGAAGAGCAAGGGATAACAAGGGGGATTCTACCATCTCTCCAGCTCACCTGTCATCTTAGTACCCCGAGCACTGCCAATGTACTCGAATATCCTTATATAATATGACGGTCGTCCATCTAATTAATATTTCACACCTTTCATCAAGGCTATATTAAGTTCACCATTTTCCATTCAAACACTTAGTGAAATAATAGATAAGGACAGTTTCCCGATAAAATACCATTGATTCCTAAACGAAGGGCTATAGCTAAAATCTTTGCTTAGACTAACAGAAAATATAACGATTGACAGTAGTGAGCACCAGTAATCTCACCCAAAATCAAGCTTGATAATAGTAATTCTAATTCGATCTCGCATTAGACTTTAGTGTTAGGCGCCTGATTAATACATTAGCGACTAGGCTTGGCACGCATTGGTTGAATCAGAAGTTGGGAGAGGGGGGAAAGAGGTTGAGTGCATGAATGAATGGAGTGAATGGCGCTGTTGTCAGAACACCCATGTCATTTGACTTACAGTCTTCATATGTTCAACCGGGCGAATCAGTGCACCCATTGCAAACTGGGCACGCATCTTCCTGTTAAAGAAATATCAGCGAGCATATGTCTTCAGCAGTGAAATACATCACAAGAGACGCTAGCTTTAGTAAAAAAGTAGAGTAATATATCTTACTACTGTCTACAGAAGGGAAAAAGGCTAAAGTTTTTTTTAAAAAAAATGTAAAAGCATTCTACTTTACGTCTAGCTAATAAGAACCTAAAGAAGCTTAAAACAGTAATGTACTCTATAGGCAAGTTGCTTACACACCTAAGTTGCTTACTTTTACTAAGACCTTACTAAACTACTCTTTCTATACTAGTGCATTCCTAATAACACTACTTAAACATGCTAAAAAACATTAAATATAGCTTATGCTTTAAGCTTTTAAATAAAATGTAACACTTTTAAAGTAACATACTATAGCTATATGTAAGGTTTTTAAAAAAAAATAATAAATAACTAACACACTAAACAACTTTTATAAGCTAATTCTATAGTTAACTTATAAAGGCTAAGTAATAATAAAAAGTAAGTAATTATTAAGCATATACTTAAGCTATAACTATATATAAGGATTTTCCTTTTAGCTAGTAGCTATAGCTAATATAGCTAATTCTTTACACACTAAGCATAATCTAGGCTATGTTAGTATAAACTAGCCTAGTATGTTTATAAAGTGTTATTTAAAGCTTAAAGTAAAGTTTAAAGTATAAGTATAGTTAGTGTCACAATTGTGCACGAGTAAGGTTATAGAGCTTCACAGAGGTCTAGTTTAATTACTACGTGAGGTATTATAGTAGGTATAAGACGTTGTGTAAGGAATAGAAAAGTTTAGAAGAAAATTAGTAATTAAATACTTAGCTTAAAAGTCTAAGCACTTTAAGTATAAATTAAGCTTATTTTAAGTTTAGTTAGTATTAAAGCAGTTTATGCTTAAGTTTATGTCTATATTATATTGTGTTTATGTTAGACATGCACTAATAATACTCTAGTACATGTCTAATACAGTTATGTCTAGGATCTAGGAAGGATACTATAACAGTACCCCCTCTTTTATTAAGAAAGAAATCCTTTATATTAGTAGTTCTAGTATTAGGTTGTTTTTGTTAGAGTATAAGTTTAGTTTAGATAAGTATTAAGTATAAAATTAAGTTACTATAAAGTTTTTTTATAGGGCTTTTATAAGTTCTTATAATAGTTTATTATATCTAGTTTATTTTATAAGGTATTTATAGATATGTTTTTTCTTATTAAACTAAATCTATTTAATGTTTTTTATAACATATTCTAGTTTATTATTTATAATAATAGGTTTAAGTAGTAGGTTTAGCTGTTTAGGTAGATAGTTAGATTTAAAGGCTGCTTAGCGCAGCAATAATATGTAAAACACAGGGTGTATCTTTATGCTGTTAGGTAGGATTAATTAGTAAGCATGTAATAAGACTATATAAGCTACTATAAAAGAGCTAAAGTTTTTTTAATTAAGTTTCTTTAATTATTAGTTTATTTAGATATTTCTAGCATTTAGCTAGACTTTTTTGCTAGCTGCATATGTAAGGGTAAGAGTTTAAAATTAGTTTATGTACTTTTATTAAAAAGCTTAAGCCTATGTAAGCTTTTTATAAATATATTTAGATATATTTTAGATTTTATTAATAAGTTTATTTATATTTATTACTTATATAAATTAATAAGTTAGTTAAGAAGTATTTAAAAGTAGTTTAAATTTTATTTAAAAGTAGTATCTATAGTTTACTAAAAATAAAGATACTTATGTTAATTTAAATATTATATTATTAGCTTTAAACTATGCTGTAGCTAACTATTTTACTTAGTTATTTTACTAGTAGTTTATATATACTTATAGGACTTATTTTATTATAGTGTTTATGTTTTTAGTCTAGCTGTTAGTCTCTAGGTAAAAAGCTGTAGATAAATAGAGAATAATTTAAAGCTATTTACAGAGTTTATTTTAGAAGGCTAAGATAAACTATGTACCTTTATCTAATATAATTATGTTAGGCAGGCTATAGTAAACTTATATGTATTAGTAGAATAACTAGGCTATATTAAAGGCAGTTATAAAGGAACATAGTATTAAGTGTTAATACTTAGTTAAGTAATTAATAACTACTATAATATTTATATACCCTTTAAATAAAAGTAGGTTTATAATAAAATTAATTAATATATCTTTTTAAGCTTATTTAAAAATTAGGAGTAGTTTAAGTAGGCTATTATACTTTTTTTAAAAGGCTTTTACTTTACAGTAAGTATAGCAACATAATACGTATTAGTGTATAGTATAGAACATGCAGGGCTAGTAGTACTCTCTCTATAGTAGGTTAAGAGTTTTTCCTCTGCCTAGGTGTCCTTTAATAGGCAAGTTATGTATAATTTAGAGTAGTTTAATTCTTAGTTTATTAAAATTAAGAATTATAAGTTAGTTATAGTAATATAGCTTACTATTTTAGTTTTTATAGTTAGCTAGTGTTACCTTCTTTAACTAACTAGCGCTATTTTAAAGTAAGTCTAAAGTTTCTTAGATAAATTTATTATTTAAATACTTATTAGTAATAATTTAATTAATTATCTAATTTATTTTATTTAAGTTAAGGTTTAAAAATAGCTTAAGTTAAAGTAGAGTTTAGTGTTAAGCTTTTTACACTTTTTTTTAAGTAAAGATGTTTTAGGATTACTTTATAAAGGCATTTAGTTTCCTTTTATTTTAACTAGGATAATAAGTAATCTTAAAATTAAAATAAAATAAGTATTTAAACTAATAAGCTTATTAGTAGCTAAGTTATTTTATAGTTGTAAAGTACTGTAAGTTTTTATAGTTAGATAGGACCTATATTAAATGCGCTGCACTTTCTAGTTTAGGTTGCTATTATTTAAAGTAGTATACTATAGTAAGTAATTTTTTATTATAGATCTTATAATTACCTTCTACAGGACTTATTCTTTTTAAGAAATATGTAATAGGCCTAATAGTCCTATCTAGCTTAGTCTAAGAAAGAACTTCTGCTACTATGTAGTCTAAGGCATTAGCTTCTACAAGTATTAGTAGTTTAAAGTTAAAGTAGTAGAGTATTAAGGCTTTAGTAAAAGCTTTCTTTAGCTAGTTAAAAAACTATTAGTAATTTAAGTTAAAGTTAAATTAAATTTTTTTTTTAGTAAGTATAATTATAAGGCTTACTTACTATAAAAAGTTATTAATAAATTATTAGTAAAAGTTAGTAAATTTTATAAAAGCTTAAACATCTTTTATATTTTTTAAGTATTGCTAATCTAGCACAGTCTAAACCTTAATAGGGTCTATTTAGATGCTATTTATAGAGATTATATATTCTAAATATGTAACTTTTAATTAGTAGAACTTGCATTTATTTACATTAAGTTATAGACCTACTTCTTCTATAGCTTTTAGCACTAGGCGTACATGCTATTTATGCTTTAAAAGGCTATTACTATAGATTAGAATGTTGTTAATATACATAGTGCAGAACACATCTAGGTAGGGTTAAAGTAAGTTGTTTATAAAATGTTAAAAAGTACTAGGCGCATTAGCTAAGCTAAAGAGCATTACTAGGTACTTAAATAGTCTATATTAGGTCTAAAACACTATTAGCTACTTATTACTCTTTACTATCTTTAGCTTATTAAAGGCAGTAATAATATTTAACTTTATAAAATACTTTACTTTACTTAGTTAGCTTAGAGTTTCTTATAAAAAAAGAATTAAGTATTAGTTTTTAATAGTAATAGTGTTTAGTCTTTAGTAGTTAACATAGAATTAAAGCCTACTCTTAAGTTTCTTTATAAATAGTATAAGTAATACTACTAGTAAGAAGCTAGCTTAAATAAACCTTTTTTTAAGTTTTTATTAAGGTATTTTTAGAGCACTTTTAATTTATTTAGTAACATTTTATATAGTAGCTTATAACTAGGTTGTTTACTAGGCTTAAAAGTTATCTAGTAATTATATAGATATTATATTAAAAGCTTATTAAACTTATTTTAGAAAAAGACATATAATAAGTTATAGTAGTCTTAAGAAACTATTATTTTTAAGTTAGTATGTTTTTAGAGAGCTAAAGCTTAGTCTATATTAGAAATTATAACTATGTAGATTTTATAATCTAGTTATTAAGCTAGGGTTATAAATAAGGCAGGTTTTATGTAGCAGATGTCTATCTACTGTTTAAGTCCTAGTTTATGTTTAAATTAAGTAAGTAAAAATTTTTTAAAAGCTTTTTTTTTTTAAGTTTAAGTAGTTGTTAAATTATTTTATATAGCTTATTTTAGTAAAAGGCCTAGCTTATTAGCCTTACTTAAGTAGTTCTTTTTTAAGTTATTAGAAAGTAGGTCTAGAAACCTTCTATATTAAGTGCTACTTAAGTGTTATTTAGGTGTAAGTGTAAGCATATATTTTAGCATTAGAAAGAGTTAAAGTTTAGAACTTACTTTTAGTAATTAAAGGTAACTTTATGCTAATACAGCTATAGTTGTCCTAAAATTAGGTTATAACATCCTGTGTTTATTACATAGAGCTTAATCTGCTCCTTA